GACACCGGCGCACACCAGCTTGCTGCACCAGGATCACAGCAGGGCAGCATTGCAGGTGAGCCATCTGTCGGATGTCTACTGACAAGGCATTGCCAGGCGCTGTGGCTTCTTGTATTATCAGATGTGTTTCAAGCAATAATGGGGTCTCATGACTTTGTTGCAGGATCTTCTGAGTGCGTCCTCCACCAGGCAGCTCGGGTCTGGCGGGCGGAGCAACCGCAAATGGTATTTTGAGAAGCTTCTTGTGCAGGTGATTTCCCGTCCTAATTGGGCCCTCCAGTGTCTTGATAGATCTGTGAATCCCAGTCCCTGATCTTCTGTTTGCATTCTGAAGCGCCAAGGACGTCTTTCTCAAACTGGCATGTGGCATGCGCCAGGAGATACGCTGCAACTTGACGCTCATTCCCCAATCCGGCATGCGCAATGAGGCGGCAGTGCTGGGCCGCCTCAAGCTGGCAGCGACGCTGGGAATCCAGTTCCTGGACATCAACAGCCTGCCTCTGCGCATTCATGCTCTGCCGCTGCAGCATGCCTTTGTCAGCCCGCACTCTCTGTACAGCATCGTGACTCGCCATCTCATGTTCCAGGTCAGCAAGCCTCTGCCTCCTGGCCGAAGAGACGCCAAGGGAGATGCAATGTGCACAGCATGCTGTTTATTGGTCATTTGTCTGCAAGTCATCTGACCCTAGCTCTCATCAGCGGAAATAAGAAGGGTCAAGAACATCAACCGGAGATGATGCCTTGTGTAGGATCCACCCGCCCACAGACGTGCATAAATCTATGACTCATCACCAGACTCCCTTCGAGTACACCATCTACCCGTAATCCCCTCGAAGTTATGCCCCGTACTAAGTACGGCCCCTTTTCCACCCACTTGCGCCCGCTACTGACAGCTACTAGTGCTGATGTCTGAGGGTTCCTGGGGTGCTGGCAGGCGCTGCAGCAGATGCACAAGGTGCTGGGGCAGGTGGACATCCTTGGCACGCCCATTGTGCTGGGCAGCAGCGTGCTGTCTGGCATCTCCAGCCTCATCATCGAGCCCACCAGGGCCCACTCTCCCGAGGAGTTTCTGGATGGCGTCTTCAGTGGCACATTTACCCTCCTCAGGAACACTGCCTTTGGCCTCATGAACGCATTTGGTCAGGTACACTACTTGCTGCTCTGTCCTTGTTCCACTTAATGCGGGTGCCACATTGCAAACATGGCAGCGATGCTTTCTTTCGATGCTTTTGCTACTTCCATTCCTTGCATTGCACATGCAGGAGAACACATGCACACACATGTCATCGCAGATGCATGCACACACCTTGGATTTATTGAACTGGAGATTTGCATGCATGCAGATCCTTGGAGGGGCAGGCAAGGCGCTGGCAATCCTGACCACGGACCAGGAGTACATCAACAGGTTCAGGACTCGGCCGAGGACGTACCGCCAGAACCTGCTGCATGGCCTCCAGTCCGCTGGAGTGGGCTTCTACGAAGGAGCCATTGGCATCTTGAAGGAGCCCGTAATCCGCTGGCAGGCATGCAATGCCCTATTCATCACGTGCACCTAGCGTAGTAGTATTCCTCTCTCAGTCAAAATGGTTTCAAGCCGATCGAGATCGGACACAGGTGTTGTCATCCCTGGTTGAAAATGCATGTGTCTGACGCAGTTTCTGTCCTGTGATCAGGACAATGGCTTTCTGGGCATGTCGCACGGCCTGTATATTGGCGCGTCAGGGCTCTTCCTGAAGCCCACGTCTGGGGTGCTTGACATGCTCTCCAAGGCGCTGTGCAGCGCCGGCGGGAAGATCAAGGCCTGGGGCGACGAGGCCAGCCGAGGCCCGCCCAAGACGCGCGTCAGGAACCCACGCCAGTTCTCCGGCCTTGCCAGCGACGTGTCAGGTATGAGCTCATTTTGTGCAGAGGCCTTTATTGATTGTGATCCTGGTTCGCTGTGCAAAGGCTCTCATTAGGAGCTAATCCTAACAGTCTTGTGTGCCTTATGAAACACACGACCGCTGTTGACTGATAAGCTTCCTGGCATTACGTCCTGAACCGCTCAGTAAAGTGTTCCCCATTGAAGTATGTGTTCTGTGCATGGCAGGAGACATGAGAAATCTGGGGCAGCAGCGCATGATGCTGACGCGACTTCAGAAGGGTCGCTACTCTGGAGACACCGTGCTGGACTACCTGCAGAACAAGGACAACAAAGCGCTCATCTTCACCGACCGCCACGTGCTGTACATTGACCTCAAGCGCCAGAGCGTGCGCTGGGCCTTCTCGCTCGTGCACCTCTTCTCCGTGTCCTCCTCGGGTGCGCCAACTCCATCCCCCACTCATCTCCCTATCAGATGGCTCTTCTGTAAGCCTTACCTTGCGACAACTGTCCTCATCGATCTGCAGACATGGAAGTACACTTCCTGTAGCTTTGTATGATTAAACATGGCAGACTTGTTGAGAGACATGTCGATTAGGAAGGCTTGTGTGCCTGCAGGTCTGACAGTGCTACTCCACCACGAGGTGACTGTCCGGGTCGGGCTGTTCACCAAGACGAAGAAGGTGCTGCTGCATGTGCCCGCGCGCAAGATTGTGCGCTGCCGCACGCGCGAGCTGCACCAGAGCCTGCTGGTGAAGCTGGGTTCCTGCCTGCTGGAGAAGACTGAGCTGCCTGCCGGGTCAGCTTCTCAGCCAGGAGCACATATTGTGAAGGAGGTGCCCTCGCACATGGTGAGCTTGCCATCCCGACCTTATCGCAGAGCTTTGAAAGTGGCCACTTTAAGACTGATAGGCCCTTGTGCAAGAACCTCTCACATTCCTGGAGTAGAAACCAGCTTCCTTGCATAGCTTGGGAGTGCAATGGCTTCCTGATTGTGTCTCACTGCTACCTGAGCAGGATGATCTTCACATCGCAAACAAACCGCCGCCGTGCTCGCCGGCTGACGGCAGCGGTGAGAGGGCGCCCCGGCGGCCGTCTGCGCTGCAGCGCCTGTCAACCTTCCTGCGGCCATCAGGGCCAGCACCCTTCGTGGCTGCAGGGGTGGCAGCTGCACCAGCAGCCTCGCAGGGCAACCCAGCGACAGGGCAGACAGCCCCAGGCAGCACTCCAGCAGGTGCAGAGGATGCGGGCATCAGGCAGAGGAGGAGTTTGCAGGATGCAGCGCGTTTGGATGCAGATGCAGCTGGGCCCTTGGGCAGCCCTGCCAGTGCTCGCCAAGGTGCAGCTTCTTCCAGAGGAGCAGAGATTGTTGCATGCAGACCTGGATCAACAGCTCAGAGAGGGCAGGCGGTGGATGCAGCGTCAGGGCCGAGTGCAGAGGCGACCGGCAGGCCTGGGATGCTAGGAGCCATTGCGCTGTTGGTGGGTGAGAGCAGAGATGCCCCGGCGGAGCGCTTGAGGGACATTCTGGGTGCAACTGCACAGCTCTGTCACCTTGGGCTGTCAGGTGAGGGTGCCAGCTTGACAAGCCAGTTTGAGGCACGGGCAGGTTGACGATCCAAAAATGTTCTGTGCTTTGCATTTGTTGTGTTGTACTCCTCTGCAGAGCAGAACTAAGCATAATACTCTGACCGCAGGCAGCAGAGAAGGTGCCGAGACTGGAGACAGGGCGAAGCTGACAGCAATAAGGGCCCTGCTGAGTAGTCTGGAACCCAGTGACCTGGAGGATCTGAAACACCGCAGATCCATAGTGGAAATGCTCGCTTCAATCAGTGTTTAGAAGCCGCATGTGTAGAGCCTATTAGGAGTATTTGAGCCAGCGTTAACAGTCTGCAGTGCCCTATAAATCTGATGGCACTAATATAGTGTCTTTCTTTATCTAGATTTGCTCTGTGCTCTTCATTTTATTTAGTGCCAATGGCTTTTTCAGTTGAGAGCATCTTACAGGAATGACGAACTCTAAAGCTGCACATGCCAGTCAGCCTTTCGTAGCATGAAATGTAAGCAGACTATATCTAGAAGGGTCGCTTATGGCTGGATAGGCCGGCATCACCGCCGCATTTCATGGTGGTATATAATAAAATCTAGACAGCATTCTAAGGTTGGTAACCACAATCCCATATATTGCTTCATGGTTGCCTGTGCCATTGTCTGGGGCCATGCTCCAACTGTTTAGCCCCGGCTTCTTTTCTTTCCTTTCCCTTTGCCTTTCGGAGACTCCATCTTCGGCGCATCATTATCATCATCATCTTCTGATATAAGCTCCTCCAACATGTCATCTGGACAAGAAGGATCTACTGGTTAATTGCGCTTCGCTTTGTGCAAAGCGGATTTATGTGAGCAGAACAGGTGTGTTCTTCAGGGTGTGCACAGCCTGCAGGAGAGGAGGACCGGTAATTCGCACCTTCATTGGTTTGGCAGGCGTTGGTGCCCATGTACGCATTCAACTTAGCCATCAGGTCTCCTCGCAGCTTTAAAATGTTGTCTGACACCTTCCCTGGACACAGCAGAGCACGTTGCAAGGTGGAGCGAGTCTTGGTTCTGCTAGTTCAGGCGCGTATGATTCTCAAGATCAGATCCTCCTGATGAATTGCTTGTGACCATATCAATTACCTGGCTCATTTACACGAACTTCAAGCACTTCCTTTCCCTCGAAGGTGATCTGAGCTCGAGCTGTCCCTGCCATCCTTTGCTGAGGCTCGGCAGGTACAGCCTGTGGCGCTCTCTTTCAACAGATCAGATTGTCTCAAATATTCAATCAGTACGGACGCATGACGAGCGTCATGATGAGCGAGTCATACTTGGCAGGGTCCAGTAGCATCTGCAAATTGATCGGCACTTGGAGGTTATATTTTCTGGTAGCTTCACATTAGGATCGTTGTCAGAGAAAGGGCTTTTTGCATCTGCATATTCCCGTTGATATCTGCGAGAACAGGCTCCGAGACCTCTTTGAATCGCTCAAAACTTCATGCATGCCGGAGAATGCCCCTAATTATTACCCTCTCCGATGGCGAAATCTTCTTAGGGTTTTGGCCTCCGCAATAATCATTAATGCAGAGGTCCATGCAGATCCTTGGATGCAGATCTGAAATCCATCAAGAGCGCCCGGAAGCGCTTGCCCCGTTTCCCACAGCAGCTTTCCTCCCTTCGTGTGTTCATGCGATCGTCAGCAGACGGTGTTTTGGCGCTTTGAGGACCTTTAGGTTGTGCAAATTATCTGCTTGGTGGACAACGAGAAGAAGGGCTGCATCCTCTAGATTTCAAAAGACTCAGGTTTGAGCATTAAGACGTCTCCCACTGGGTGTCACAGCGTGGTAGGCACACCTTGGTGACATATCTTGGCGGCAGGCTGTGGTCTCGATTACCTGCGTGAGCGATGGCTTCCGTGGATAACTCGTCGCAACCCAGTGCTGCACCGGCGGCTACCGATGCATCAGCGTGAGTCCAGCCTAACATACCGTGGTGACATTGACGATTGCACAAGTACGAGGTCTCGAGAAGTAGACGATTGTGGCGATTGTGGTGAATTACCGCGCGTTCATGGATACGTTGTGCTTCTAAAAAGCATGATGTTAACAGGTACTTAAATACGCAAATCGCGATCCAATGGCGGTGTTGTCGAGCTGGTTGCTCCACCCTGGCAAGATCTGAATCACACAAGGACAGTAACGTGGGGACGCTTCAAGCTTTTGTCTGACCATCAGCATATTTTGCAGGCCATCATCTGGTGCACCCGAGAACGCGACAACAAGCGCAGGAACGCCAACACATGGCACGCACGCATCACTGGAGGCGTACAGTGCCACTTTCCTGTTTGACAAGCAGCTGACCACAAGCGATGCTGGGGGCCACGGCCGTGTAGTGATTCCCAAGGTGACCCATACAGCTCTGGCATGAGACCATCATGTCCAAGGATGGAGCAGGCATGGCATGTATCCCACATGTCATGCACTCATGCACCTGCGGGAAATGGTGGTCCCTGTGCTGATGACCATCCCGCTGCATGCTGCATGAATGCAAAGATTGTGTGCAATTCGTGTGCACTGTTGCCGCCGCAGAACCCAAATTAACATTGCTTTTGTTGCTGCAGGTGCATGCAAGGGCACATCTGCCCTCCTTAGAAGACAAGAATGGGGTCCATGTGGAGGTGATCGACACCTACGGGACCCGACACCGCTTCCGCTACTGCTCATGGATTAACAACTCCAGCCGCATGTACCTCCTCGAAGGCGTCGCTCCAGCCCTGGTGCGCCCTCCTTGTCCTCCAAGAAATGTGCCCTACTGTACCTTGCAGACTGTCATGCTGAAGGTTGGCTGATAAAAAGCAATGCACCGGTGGCGAATGACAACCGCCACATGCTGAATGCTGCGCATGCATCACGTCACGGCATTCGTGTACGAGGAGATTATTGGTGTGCAGAATGCGCTGAAGCTCAAGGCGGGGGACATCCTGATCTTTGCGAAGCTGCCCAATGGGGAGCTGCTGCTGGGCGGCCGCACGCGCACCAGCGCCGACAAGGACCGCAAGGCGCCCCCACGCGCGCGCAAGGGCTCCGAGCAGGGCGCCAACGGGACCCCCGCCGCTGGGGCGAAGCGCCCCCGCCTGAATGGTGGTGCCACTGGTGAGAACTGCCTTCTACGTCTCACTTACGTTAGGCTGTCAGAGGTTTTCTTTTTCCTAAGCACATGCCTTGTCCACCCTTCTTCTGCTGGGTGTCCCAAAGACCGACTTTCCTTTTGTTGCGCAGGAGGGCCGCAGCAGCGCCAGAAGTCAAACGCAAGCCCTCTCATGTACAGGCCGCTGTGCGATGGAGTTTTCCGCGCTGTGCCGCCGACCATCAGTGCCAGGGAGTACTGTGGCAAGGTCCTGCAGCAGGTCTGTAGGGTCCCTGAATCCCTTGACAAGACAGTAATGCCTGCACAGTACTGCTGCTGCCCTCCTGTCCTCGGCTCAGTTGATTGCATGTCTTGCAGGGTGCAGTGTGCAGAGAACCTGGCATCTAATCTAACAGAGCTGACGCTGAGTCTTTGCCTGCCACAGGGTGGGACCTGGACAGCCATCTTGGATGTGTCAGGAGAGGCGTACCAAGCATTCTTCGACTCCCAGGGTGCTGCGATGGAAGCTTTGAATGCAGCCGGGGTCCTTCCAAGGTCACAATGAGCAGACTTACCCAGCACAAGCTCTGCACACGTGTGCTCCTCTGAAGGCATGGACCTTGACTGCGCATTTGGAAGGCTTGTCCATGACCAGCATGGTGTCCACAGGTCATGGTGACCATCGTGATAGTGCTGGGAAATCCTTGGACTCTATAGAAATGAACGTTTAATGGATTCCAGCTCGTTACATATTTAATGAACAGTGCAACGTGATGTGGCTGAAAACTGAATGTACAGTGCATGCAGAAGCTGCATTACCAACCGTGTAAAGTATACAATACAAGTTGTGCCAGGAGTTCTCTGCTTCTTCGGTCTATCCGACGAGTGTCTTCGAATATCAGTTGGTTATATTTGGTAAAGATGCATTGCATGCCTTGACGCAGTGCGTGCAGCCACTGGCAATGCCACTGAGACTCGAGTCAAGTCCAGAGCTATAGCTAGATCTCAGATATATCCGGGTGCAGTTGCTCACTGAGGCTGTGTATTCGTATCTTGTTGATGAAGATGACGCAGAGAGCTAATTCTGGTGATATTGGCACTGGCATGCTGATTGCATGCTGAACTGAATGAAAGCTTTACATTGTTCTCAGTGAGTATGGCGAAACTAGTCAAGCTCACGATGCATTTGGCGAAAATGGTTTTGACCATTAGGACCAAGTCATAGAACGGCAACTCGAGAGACTTCCTTGAATGCCCTCCTCTTCTTCCAGAATATTGCGGTCAGATCCTGTTCTATCCTGCTGAACACTTTTCCGGGCCTGATCGTATTCCTACGGCACCTGAATAGTAGAGATCCATCAGTTCCTTTCCCTTCTGCCTGCCTCTGGGAGGTCACATGGCATTTGACGACGTCGAGAAACGGCTGAACTCGTCCTTGGACGCTTTGATTGCCAGCAGCAAAAAGGTTGGAGCTGGGAGAGGAGGCAGGGTACGAGTCTTCCTTCTCTGCGTCAGCTTGATGTCTGTCAACTCACTGCATCTGCTGGGTCAGCTCCAATTAACGCAGTACTATGCATCATAATTTACTGAGACATCATTTCGATTCTTCTAAGGGTGCAGTATCTTGCACGAAAGGTTCACCACTAGCCATGCTTAGTTAATCAGGCTCTCTTTGGGCTGGATGTCAATCTGTACAACCAACATTTTGCTTGGTGTGTCATTTGCATACCACCATATGTCCTTTCCATGTATCAGATCACGTTGATCAGATTATGACGCGAGATTGTCCACCTGTGTTTAGCAGGGAGGTGCTTCAGGTCGTGGTGGGAAGGCAGGGCGCGGTAGAGGCAATGGAAGGGCGAGTGGACCTGGCCGAGACAGTCAGGGAAAGGCTGCTGACAGAGATCAGGTACTGGAGGTGTCACAATCAATTCATACTCAAGCACCTTGCTGACTGCACAGGAGTATGGTTTTCGCAACCAGCACCAGGCAGAGGTTCGGCTCATTGATAGGAGAGATTCCAAGGTGGCATTTGCTTGCAGGCGGGCTCGGCAAAGAAGAAGGGGCTCAAGGTGGCACGCGGAGGAGTGCAGAAGCAGGGTGCTGGAAAGGGCAAGGTGATGGCGGTGCCGGTGAAGACAACAGGGGCGCAGCGCGGTGGGGGTGGGGGCAGAAGGGGCGGCGCGGGCGGCAGGGGTGGAGGCGGCAGGCAGCAACCGCAGCAGGCGCTGCACCCTGCCGCTCTCAAGATCACCATCAGGAACGATAAGGTGGGAAACACCATTTCCACTCTGGAGATACATAACACTGCGGTCGCATGCAGGGAGGCCCCAAGAGGCCCACAAAAGCTTTTGCCTTGTCTGTCCCTTGTCTTTGTTAATAAGGCATGAGATTGATGGGATTTGTTTTGCCGGTGCAGTTCACTGGGGAGGCGCCGTCCGCGACCTGGAACAACGATCAGGGGTCGGACCCGTACACAGTTGGCGGTTTCGGTCCGCGCAGTGGGTACTACGGCCAGGCAGCCGGGCAGGCAGCCGGCCCGCTGACGTTTGGCGGGGCCTCTGCGGCAACCTCGATGGCAGCCCCGCGCCAGCAACGCCCTGTGTGGGCGGCGGCAGGCGGATACTACAACGGCACACAGGTGAGATCACCCTTCTCAGTGCTGCAAAGCAGGTCTCACTGCAGCTGCAATTCTCAGCTGCAGCTGCCAGATGCATTGATAGTGTGCCTTGCGCATGACAGCACTGCTGAGAAGTCCAATGGTTGCACAACAGTTGCAATGCTTGCATGCCTGCATTGTAACCACCATGGTTGTCCTCTCAATTGTAGCAAAGGCAGCAATTAATGTGTACCGTCTAAATTAATGGTCCTCGGCTGTTAGTAGTGGCAGGTTCTGAGTTAAGCTGTGACTGCAGCACGATGATCGCACTGGAGCAAGCGGCGCCGTGCGGCGGCCAGTTGCCACCCAGTGGCCCGCTCAGACAGGGTATGGCAGCGGCAGCCTCCGGATGGACCAGGAGACCCAGAGATATTGAGCTCCGCACCTTTGCCACCATCATGGAGACAGGCATCATCCTTTGTGTGAAAATGAAGAGGTCTCTTGAGTGTACCAGAAAAGAATGTAACATGTTGACGAAATCCACACGTGCTGGAGGTTCTAGGCGTCTCATTGTCTCATTGCTTGTGTCAGAACAGAAAAGGACTCGAGTGAAATTTTGTGGATAAAAGTTTACATTGAGGGGAAGGTTGGTGCTGGCTACCAAAATGACTATCTTAGATCAACCTGCAACACCGTGCATGATTGTTGCAACCTGACATCAAGTCAGAAAGTTTCTGGTATGCAACGTCTAAAGACCGCTATGGTGCATCGACCGTGGATTTGTAACAGGCAACTGAAACCAGGAGAGAATTTGCAATGATCCTTTAGATATGTGAAGACAGGTCTTTAAAATAAACCCCCGGGGCCCCCAATACCTAGAGGTCTCTATCTGAAAAGGCATGATGATAATCTCATACATGGACCTATCCATATTTGCCCACATCCCCAATTTCATTGGACTCTCAATTGCATCTGACCACGCCTGATACAACGTCATCAAGACAGGCATCACAAAATTGTGATGCGTACCCTGTGAAGGCGTTTTAGAAGGCATAATCAACCCACTCTTTTGTTGCAAAGTAACTCATGATGACTCAGCTCAAGCTCTCCAAAGCTCCCGTACAAAACCAACGTTGTTACCAGAAGGAAGTGGACCCACTTTACACATCTACTTTGACCTTCCACTCTCAGCTCCCACTTCAGCCTTGACACTTCTTTAGTGTAGTGCAGGTGTTGCACTACACTACAGTCCGGACCGGACTTAAATGAGACGCTTGAATCTTCAAGTAAGAGATATCCTTGGCAGCGCCTCACAGCTGGTGGAGTCCTACAACAGCATCGTTGTTGACGGTACCAGCATGCTCTGGCTGGGTTTCTCCTCATCACGCATGAAAAGGTACAGCAGCGCTATGAGGAGGTATGTGGCAACCAGCTGGACTCCCATCAACCTGCACATTGCATGCGCCACATCTCAAGTCACTCCTGAAGCTACATGCCCACTGCACACCAGGATTTCATAGCACTCTAACAAGGTTGACTTGCAGGTGTCAAGGCCGGGGCTGCACACTCACTGCACAGCACAACAAAACAGCATGGGCGGCATGGTAAGGCGATGAGCAATAAGAGCGCAGGCTCACCAGTTGGAGTTGCCGTCGGAGGAGACGAAGTAGGTGTGGATGACTGAGAGGGTGAGGACGAGCGCGGCAAAGGGCTCGATGTCCAGGAGGAAGGGGCGGTTGATGGCCCAGCCCACCAGCACCATCACCGGCAGCACAAATATCGCAATCTGCGCGCAACAGCAACCATTGTATCTCAGCGTTTCTCTCTATGCATTAAGACAGGAGCTATGAACATCACAGCATGCAAGCAAGATACAAGTGTATTGCTGTGCTTTCCCGCTCTTGAGAGTTCTGCCTTCCTGCGTGATTAGCTTGCACAGCAGGATATGATGCATTGCTGGGCGGTCCCATCACAGAATTGTGGTTCCCTGCAGAATCATCCGGTGCACACCTGGATGGAGGAGCCAAGGGCGACGCCGATGGCCAGGTCCATCTTGTCCTTGACGGCCACGAACACTGCGGTGATGTGCTCGCATGCGTTGCCGGCTATGGGCAGCACTATGAGCCCCAGGAAGGCCTGCCCCAGCCCGCTCTTGTCCGCCACCTCCTCCAGAGCCCCCGTCAAAAACCTGCACAAGTTGCATCCCTTTCAGTCACTTTCAGAGCATCAGGACTACACTTGAGAAGGTCTGCCCCTGCGTTTTGCAGGTCAAGCAGCAGCAGAAGGGGCCACACATGTCTGAGCACCACAGGTCCGTCAGTCACTTTGAGTCTCCCATTAGGAGTGTGATTAAGATAGAGTGTGTCCTTTATTTCTAGCAGAAAACACAGCAGAAGGGTGTGCGCACTCTGAGCAGACGGCAACAATGCAAGTGATGCCGGCCAGGGCCCCCAATGCGGCGACAAGGGACAGTGCGGGCTCGCCATCGCCCTCGCTCTCGCTGAAGAAGGAGCTGTGCGTCTTCAGCTGGAACAGCAGGTAGCACAGGTACCTGCCATCAACCCAGCAATAATAGATACTTTTCCTTTGGGCTGCACCTTACGGCAACCAAGCACCCACATGCTCCCACAACTACAAGCCACACAGTGGATCTCTGTCACGTCATCTCACAATCAACAGAAGCAGCAAGGACGCTCTAGAATTTGCAGGAAATACAGAAAAATCCGTTAGATCAATCCTCTGCAAAAATACAGTAACCAAGGCAGGCGCAGGAGCGAAAAATTACAGTGTCAGTGCGCTGATATACCACAGTAGCATGGAGGGCAAGGTACTGGGAGAGAGTAGAGGGAGGGGAGGCGCTCACAGGAGGATAAGGAGGATGGCGATGGAGTGGGAGAGGTTGCGCAGGGTGGTGTCGTCGACGCGCTGGGGCCCAAAGAAGGAGAGCGCGGAGGTGGGGATGACGATGGCCACGCTGGCGATGAAGAGCAGGCTGCAGCACGCCTTGTTCACCATCATGTTGAAGCTCTGCTGCTTGTACTTTGAGCCCCCGCACAGGAAGCAGAAGCCTGCGAAAGCGCCAGCCACACAGCCTCAATCACACAGCTCTCCGGGCGACTTGCATGCCCTCTATTGGGTCCATGATGACTGATACACATGCACGGCAGCAGCACGCCAAAACCAGCTTCAAACAAGTGCTCCCACAGCAGCTTGCATGCACTGTGGTGCATCAAGATTACCCAGACACATGCATCCTCTCGACCCTCAGGCAACAGATGGGACCTCTGGTTGGACACATGGGCAGCAACAGGCTTCAAAATAGAGTCAGAAGCAAGCGAGGAGAGCTGAGGCGGGACAGGAGGAGAACGAGCGCACCGAGAACCAGGAGCAGATTGGAGAGGATGGAGCCGACGAGGGACATAGCGACGACGGTGTAGAGCCCCTTGGAGAGGGCCGCGATGGAGAGGATGAGCTCGACCACGTTGCCAAAAGTGGCGTTGAGGAGGCCACCGATGATGTCACCAAAGCGCAGCGCCAGATCCTCCGTCACCTCCCCCAGCACCAGCGCCAGGGGCACCAACGCGATGAAATTCTGTGGACGAAAAAAACACAATTTTGTCAATTTGATGCCATACTTCTTCAGCTATTGCAGGGCGACTGGTGCAAGAATGGAATCCAGACGCTGCTTCTGGCCTTGTGCGCCTCATCTTTGCAAGCACGCATGACAGACTGGCATTCGCACAATTTGGCCTGGATCACCAGGTGAACACACTCCGAAAGACTTGGATGTTGCAGATGTGGGCGTATGCCAGGCTATGACATTTTAAATATGGGGGAGGGCATGCAACTGTCAAAGGGGTAGGCAGGGTCCCACCAAAACGAAGATGGCAACTGGTCCCCAGTGGAAGATTTTTGCGCAGAGCCCCAGGGGCACAAAGATGAGGAAGAGGCTCATCCAGCTGCTGGTGACCAGCCGCAGCAGCGCAGCCGCGTCAGTCTTTGGGGAAATGAGGCCTGCAATCCCACACATGTCTTTCGCGGCCTCTCCACATGCCAACATCAGCCAGAGTGAGCTGCACACGTGCATTCCGATAACTTACTCTTCTGAATGCACCATAGCAGGAGCAAGATATGCTGGAAAGCTGACCTGGAACCTGCTTTGGCTCCTCGGCGACATCCTCGTCTGGAACGGAGCTCACCGGCCGCGGCGCCTTAGCCGGGTGCATGCTGTTGATCGCCACTATGCTGCGCACCGCCGATCGCCAGCGGCTCTTGCTCTTCTCTGAGGCTGCATGGAAACAGTCAGTCATTTGCGCCAGCCCAGGCAAACATCTTGTGTACGGCAACGAATAGATCATGCATCAGGTCATCTCATGCAGGCTGAAGGGTGCCAGTGTGCCTCACCAGACGTCGCAGTGCTGTTCTGTTGTTCTGCGTTGCCATTGTCTGCCATCAAGGGCGCCTGCTGACACAATACAAATTTAAGTGCATTGCATGGTGCTTGATCTGCTGGGAAAATTGATGCATGCGGCGAAGCCATCATGGGGGAGTGTCATGCACCTGCAATGATCTGGGTGCAAAGCCATGGTCCCTCTCGAGGGATCCTGGCGTGAATAGCAGTCCCATGTGGCCCTCGAAGGATTGTTTACTCGACGAGTCCCGCCTCGACCCACTCCTGCCTCCAAGGACCTGTGCCTCGACGTCGCTGTCATCCTGTGACCCTATGCCGCCTTCACTCCGGTAAGACCGCGCTGTGTTGAGAGAGTCCGCTTGCCTCAAAGCCTGCCTGGCTCGTTGAATGGGCTGTGCCATATCAGTGTCAGACTCGTTGCCTGCCAACACATAAGGAACACTTGGATGCCTGCTCATATACCCCCAAATAGCAACTAGCTTTCAGCCCGCAGGTCCAGATACTCTGCAGCCTTGTCAAATACTTTCTTCTATCATCTGATCACTTGATGGGGTGATTAGGGCAGCTATTTGAAGTTCCAGTAGTCTTGCTTCAGATGCATACTGCTATCAGCACTACAAGCTCTTGTCCTCGGACCTGCGAAACGATCGGGTAGAGACGCTGTCTCCAAATTAATGCGTCGCTTCGCCTGCCGCCAATGAGCTCGAGCTCTGGCATATGGGGTGGCCATTTGGTTTGTGAATGCCCAGCCTACCGCTGAATAAGAGGCCTCTCTAGTGATTACACGAGACGATCTCCGGGTGCTCGCACCCTCATTTTGCTCTGAGAAACTGATTTGCTTTCCAAATTTCGCTAGCAGCGAGCAGAGCACAAGAAAGAGCTTCCGAACGTTGGGATGCAGAGGTCTTTTAGGCAACGATGTTTGTGATCCGCCCAATAAGCCGTGCCATCACAAGAGGATAATTTGCTATTCTTGCATCATCTGGAAATTGGATTGATTGGAGGCACTCTCACCTTCGGGAGGCACCCACGTGAGTACCCTTCTCCTCTGTTACTTCAGAGGGAACTCCGGTCTCGCGCACTTAAAGATATATCTAGTGACGCGACCTTTAATGCATTTGTCATCCAAGAAAAGTCCAAGGACTTGCAAATGCAACGAAGGAGACCAATCAGAGAAGTGAAAGGAATATTCCTTCGTTTCATTCGTCAGTGAGGGCCACAGGGTTGAAAGAGTCAGAGAGTGCATGTTCTGCTTCGATGTATGATCATTGATCGTAATTTTGGATGCCGAGATTTCAATGATGGAAATTCCATCTCACAAGCTCAAAAGGGTGCATCTTTGTTGTGTTGATCTGGCTTCTACTTCAGATGCACCTCTCGGCATGTCCTTGCTGTAGGCCCACATGCATAAAATCTCAGTGGCAAATCGTAAGAACCTCACCATTTCAATTCTTCAGGACTTTTGAGCGGTGTTGTTTGAGATTTTGCAGCAAGCTTCATAGTTACAAGTCGCTTCCATCCCTGTACCAGCAACCTTCGACTCACAACCTTTCAGAACTTGAAAGGATTGGCCTACTTCATCACTGCGAGATGTGCGGTAAGGGTCCTGCTGCCGCCGTCAGAGATAAGAGAAAGACCACGGTGCAGAGAAAAAGCAGTGGCATTGCTCTGTGTGAACACAGGAAATGGAGATGGAATACTTCCATGCGGACAGTGCCATGGCGTTGGCATCATGCCAACAGAGGTATGAAATGCCAGAGTCCCAACACTGACGCATTTCTTGCTATTGCACATCTTCATTGCTGAAAGCCTCACAACTTATTGCAACATGCAGCCTGGAGGAGCAGGCGTGCCCTTTTATGTGGGCAATGCACGATGTAGCGAGTGCGGCGGTCAAGGATTCTGCCCTTGCCCATTATGTGTGGGTTATGCGCTCGACATGCCACGCCCAGATCCTGTGGCAGGTCCAGAGCCAGTTGAGGACATAGACTTGTATATCGACAGCCTGAGCTGGCTTAAGCGCTTTCCAGACAGCCGGAGACAGCCAAAGAGGGCTGCAGTGACCGCTAAGCGCATCAATCCAGCGCTGACCGCAAACGACAAGGACACGTCAGATGATGTGGACTACTCAGTGCTCGCTTACAACTTCTATGTCCAGCGTGCCCGTTTGAAGCACCGGGGATAAGATTAAACTGCAGATGGTTACGATGCCCGACCCTGCAGAGATTCGACTGACTTTTTCTCCCTTTGGTACCTGTCAGAAGGTGACTTTCTCTCAGCTGCAATTTGATCCAGTGCTTGTGACGTCTCTTAATCTGCTGACCCATTAGTGCTAAATTGAGATGCACATGCTCTACTACACTCTGTCAGAAATAATCATAATGTGCTCCCATGACTTCAAATTGCTGTTTATAGATTTCCTGATCACTCTGCTTGGTATGCAGGTCGTCCAACAGGGTTCACAAATGTTGCCTCGGGCACATAGTGCATGAGAAATGGAGCGAATGGCATTCCTTGCAGAGAGTTTAACTGCTTAAGTGTCAATGTGACTCCAAAGACGTTCCTAAACTAATCCTTCCAAGAAGTGCTATGCTGGCAGTTGGGTGCATGGTTCGGTAGACATGGAATTGCTAGCGAAACAACAGTGCTGCAAGTATTGAGAAATAAATGTAGTGGTTGATGTCGAGCGATTCCCCCACTTGAAAAGTTGTGATCGCCTATCAAATTTAGATCTAGATAGACTGCTGACAGGTCCTGCAACCAGACTTCGTCCTAGCTTAAACTGAGAAATTAAACGTTGAACTTGAAATTCATGACATCGCCTTCGTTTACCAGATACTCCTTGCCTTCTAATCTCAGCCTTCCATTTTCCTTGGCTTGGCCGAGGCTGCCAGCCGACACAAGGTCATCATAGCCCACGGTTTCTGCCTTGATGAACCCTCTTTCAAAGTCTGAGTGGATGACTCCTGCCGCCTCTGGTGCAGTCATCCCCTTTCGAATTGTCCATGCTCTCGTCTCCTGAACACCTGCAAACACATTATGACATGGAATGTTTAGAAATGACTGCCAGTTCAAAGCTGTTACTTGCACCTGCGTGCCAACGCCCCATAGCAGGCGCAATCCTGTGGCTTTGTGGGGAGAAGTAGCCCTTCCTTCAAGGAAGGGCAGAAGTTCCCATGCTGGACGAATGCAATGCATGCCTACCTGTAGTGAAGTATGTGAGGAGACCCAGCTGCCGGTAAGCAGTTCTGATAAGGCTGGCCAGGCCGCCCTCTGAGGCTCCCAAGGACTCCAGGTATTCTGCTGCCTCCACAGGATCCAACTCCCTCAACTCTGCCTCAACCTGTCCAGCACAACATGCGCCATCATTTGCTGATCATCCCGTTGAGTTTCTGTGTTCAGAAGGCTTCACTGTCATTTTGACCCAGGAAGTGCTCATTTGAAGTCCACAGAGCCACACCTGTGCGGAAACAATGATGACATCACAGTTCTCCTGGGCTGCTTTCTTCCGGAGAGCCTGCACAAAAGTATTGCTGGACCCCTGGTCCGCCAGGTCACTCTCATTGACGTTGGCTGCATATATCATGGGCTTCATGGTCAGCAGCTGCAGCCCGCGCACAAGAACGCTCTCATCAGCCGTCAGCTGCACTGCTCGCGCTGGAATGTTTTGGTCCAGTGCCTCCACAATGCGCGACAACGCCGCCTTTTCCACCTGCACAGGATGCAAGAAATTTTTCTTCTTATGTTCTGTGAACAGAGTGGGTCATGTGAGGAGATTGTCAAAATGATGAAGATGGCAGCTCTGCAGCTGAACGGCACATGCATCAGAGGTAGTCCCTAGCGGTACCTCGTTGGAGGCAATTTCCTCTTTGGTCTTTGCGCGACCCTTCTCTAGCCGCTGCAGCCTCTTCTCGATCTGTGTGATGTCAGCAAGCGCCAGCTCAAAGTTGATGACATCTGTGTCCTCCACAGGGTCGACCTTGCCCGCCACATGGATCACATTCTCGTCCTCAAAGCATCTGACCACCTGCACAATTTCAAGCAAGTCACCTTATCTGGACCAAGCTGGTGTCTCAACTCAGGATTTGGTGGATGTAAGAGAAGACGAAGAGCAATGTAAACCACAAGAAGCGCCAAGTACTGCACCTGTGCTAGCGCATCGCATTCCCGAATATTGGCCAGAAACTGATTGCCCAAGCCCTCCCCCTTGCTGGCACCCTTGACCAGCCCGGCTATGTCTACAAATTCCACAGAGGTCGGCACTATGGCCTTGGACTTTGATATGTTGCTGAGGGTTTCAAGACGGGAATCGGGGACTGCGACTATCCCCACATTCGGCTCAATTGTGCAGAATGGAAAGTTGGCTGCCTGTGCCTTTCCATTCTCACAGATCGCATTGAAAAGAGTGCTCTACATCACAGGGCAGCGTCCTTGAGAAGCAGTATTCTGACAGGGAAAAGGCGCCCATCATTATCATGTTTAAAAAACAATTGACTAATCCTCATGTGGTTTTACCTTTCCAACATTAGGAAGGCCCACAATGCCTGTCTTCAGACTCATGGACACCACTGAAGTCCTGCACGTGGCAAGCAAGGTAAGATAAGTCCAGGGATCCGTTCCAGGTCAAATTCGCATACAGATGCATGCTTGAATAGATCATCTTCATGACTGAAGATCGTCAATTGACCTTTGCGCGCACCTGAGTCCTCTGACTCCTTGAGGTCGTCTGCAAGATCTGAACATCTGTTCTTCGACAGACACATTTCGCCTAGTTTGGAACGCAGAATGCGTGGAATATGATTGACAATCATTTCCCAGTCTAGTTCTTGCAACAGTAGCGAACTTCAGAGGGGGGCGCCGCTGGAGAAATGAAGGGTGGCAAAGCTTTGTGGCTTGGCTCAGCCACTGTGCCGATAACGAAGGGCTTCCCCGCATTTGATTTGATTTGACTCCCACTTCAAGTACCTAGAAATCTGCTCACGTTGCACATGCAATACTCGGAGTATTGCATCGCTAATATTCTTGTCACGGACGCATTTGCATGCAGCTGCACCCGATCTGTCTAACGGCGTTCCTCCGGCGTTGGATCCAGTACTATTTACCTTGGATCTCCAAAGAGCGAATTAAAAGTCATTAAGTATACATTAATACTTTGGAAATTTTGATTAAGACTGCAGGATGATGATTGAGTCATACAACACCTTCATTCGTTGGTAATATTCTGATCATGGCCACCGATAAGGAGCAGGATGGAATGATATCCCAACTACCTGACAGAGTGAAGGCGCAAATTTTGTCTATCCTATCACAAAATCCCAAGCATTGTGGAAAGAACACTGATGTGATCTCTGGGCAGACATCGACAGGTAAGCCACTGTTTCAATGCTCCAGGTTTACTGATCACAATGCAACGCATGGATATGATCTTCTTTCCTGAACAAATGCAGATTATGGCGAAAATACGATTGGCGACCTTCTGCGTCGCCAAGGGGGCCTGTTCATTAAGGACGATTTTATGGCAGAGGGGTGCAAGGTGCGGCTTCTCAGGGAAAATATGATATGGTTCTTGATGTTTGACAGGCTTGCTAGTATTAAAATAATGATTCAAGGAGTTTTGATGCATCACAGGCTGCGAGACACGATGCAGAACGGATACTGGACCAGACCAACAAGCCTGCTGGGATGGGAGGTGGTGGGAGTGACGTGCAAATAAACAGCAGTTATCGTGGCGACAGGATGTGCTGGTTACAGCCAACGCATTCAGGGCCAGCCCTCCAGGCTGCCGCACAAAGTGTCCTTTCTCTGCAGAAAGGTAAGTTGATCCACATGAATGACTCCACCCTGCCAGCCCTTGGCCATCGCATTGCTGAAGTAAGCCATCTCCTGATCAAGCACTTGCTTTGGAGCAGATCTGGCACTTTGTGGATATGGTGTCGGTGGACGCCCATCGATCCAGCTGTCAATGTACCCTGGCAACGGAGCTCGTTATGGTAATGCCATGCATCCTTAGCACATGATATTCCTTTTTGTCTTTATTTGAGAAGTGCAACAGTAGCAAATGACCATCACCTTCACATGAGTGATCCTTGAAAATTTTGTTTACAGAGCGTCACACAGATGCTTCAGATTCGGTACCCAGTCGCTCTGTCACTGCCATCCTGTACCTGAATCCTGGCTGGGATGCGGCAAAACATGGTGGCCAGCTGTGCATTTATAACATGGGCGACAGATGGCGGCCAGGATTGAAGCTGGATGCACACAGCAGCCAAGGCTATGCAGCAGGAGAGCCTGCTGTTGTGGTTGCACCCATGGCCAATCGCCTAGTGGTCTTTGAAAGCAACATAGCCCATGAAGTGCTTCCTGCGCATGAGGCAAGGTAGGTCTGTCTCCAATTGGCATGCATGTTCACTAGCTGCATTTCTTTCCACTGGTTAAGATCGCTACACGCCACACAAGTGACAACATTCTGTTGATTGAATGCTTATGCAGGTGTGCGCTGACAGTGTGGTTCACAAAAGCAAATTCCCCCGCTTCAGACTGTGCCGTCCCACGCGCTCTTCCGGATCCTGACCAGCCAGAGAGCCGCATTTTTGTCTCCATTGCCGCCTTTAGAGATCCAGAGACACGCTGGACAGTGCATGACCTCCTGGCCAAGGCCTCACATCCAGCCCGCGTCCGCATTGGCATTGTCTGGCAGATTGATGCCATTGCAGATGCCCATTTCCTGGACCTGTCTCACTGCGTGGACCAGAAACAGGTGTGTCTGCAGTTTTACCTCCGAGCAACCACTTATCCAAATCTTGAAATATATACTGCACTAGTGCTGTCATGTGCTGAGGCCCCATCCTTGAGTTGACCTGTGACCTTGTATGTGGGCAGATAAGGCAGATCATAATCCCAGACAGAGAAGCCACGGGTCCCTGCAAGGCGCGCATGCTGGCCCAGAAGCTATGGGCAGGCGAGGAGTACTACCTCCAGATTGACTCGCACATGCGCTTTGCACCCGGCTGGGACGAGCAGCTCATCCATTGGCTGGCCGCTTGTGAGCAGCAGGCGCAGTTTGGGAAGGCAGTTCTATCTACCTACCCTCCAGACTTCCAGGTGTGCATGCTCTTTGTCAGCCCAGGACGCTGTTCCACTGCTCTATTTTATGCTTTAACTATCTCGGCTGCTCCTGAGATGCGTGCAAAGAATGACTATCATGGATATTTGTGCAGGGGTCTGGGCTGCAGGCCACGGTGCCAGCCGATGACAGGCCAGTTCTGCTCCGCGCAAGCCATTTTGGGCAGGACGGCATGCTGCGGCTGGTGGGAAGCCGCCTGGCAGAGTGCGCTGCTGCACCCCTGCCCAGCCTGTTCTGGGCTGCCGGCTTCTCCTTCTCCCGCTCGCAGCTCATCCAGGAGGTAAATTTTTTTATGCAGCTTCATTTCATATTAATCATATGCGGTCTTAGCAATCCTCCGTTTGCCTTGAATTTGAGCACCTGTACAGGTTTTGAGAATGCTCCAACTCTTGTGACCAGGCTGAGGATTTATTTGTATGCGCAGGTCCCTTATGAAGATCTGCCATTTCTATTCTTTGGAGAGGAGCAGTACATGCTGGCGCGCATGTCCACGCATGGCTACGATGTCTTCTCACCACCCTCCAGCATTGCCTACCACCTCTATAGCAGAGCGTACCGGAATACCTTCCAGTCATGTGTAACACAGGTGAGTGGACACATTCCACAAGGGCACATTCAAATTCTTGTCGTTGGGTATCTCTTTAAAGCTTGAGATCTACTCACAACCTTGTCGCATGGCAGAGCTTGCATCCGTCGTTGATTAGGGAGAATGAAAGTCGCATTGCAAGGTGTGCGATTTGTTTTGCAGGATGCCGCAGCAAAGGAGAGCTCAAGAAGAGGGGTCCTTGCAATATTTGGACAAGAGACTCTTACGTGCATTGAAGGACATTGCAGAGAAAGTCTGGGTACATTGAGGTCAGTCACAGATCTGCAGGCAGTCTGTGGTGTTCAATACAGCAAACGTAGTCTCAATGACAAAGCTAAGCGTGGCAGCGCCAATGATGCACTCCACTTTGCAGCCGATGGAAAGAACTGCCCATGAACAAAGAATTTCTGCTTGTTGCAGTAGCACTTTTGCGAGCATGCATGCGCATACTTTGGCACAGGTCCCATATATACTATGTGACCGTCAATCCTGACAATGCAACAATGACGAATGAAGACAAGGTAACATATTGACACTTGATGCTCCACCCTTTTTGGGCTGGATATTAGCTGAAGGGCTTAATCGACCTGACTGTGAGCCTTTCTCTATCAACTACCAGATCCATCAGACATCGAATCTTCAAATGAGTTCACTGGAAGAGGCGCCAGACACTCCAGTTGGATTTGATGTGCCAGCTCACTGCGCCTGCCAGCCATGCTGTTGACATCATCAGTACGCTGCAAATGTTGCCCCCTCACAATCTCCAATCCCTGTGAAGGTGCCTGTTCCAGTAAACTCGCCGTCTTCACTGTCAAGCGCCCCGTTGCCAACCAGCTGCCCGGTCCCATCAGCAGTGCCTTGCCCCTGACATGTACATCACACCCGTGTAAGAACGGACTGCAATTCAACACAGACTGCACGCCAGACAGACCTGCTGATGAAGTGTGCATGCATGTTTATGGATACCGGGCCTGGCCATTGCTGATGGACATGTTTGCAATGGCAGCACTGTTGCCTCTGGTAGATTTGATGCTTTGCAAAATCAAGTGACCAAATTCTTCCAGGGCATCAAGTACGCACTGGTGCTGAGGTGGCTCCTAGAACGTTTCTCACCACATATTCTCCAAAGCTGCTGGTCTCGCACTCGATCTTCTTGCCTGTGACGGTGTGATTGCCAACTGCCTTCCCAAATGTGGCCTGGAATGTTGCCTCACCCCCGTAATAGGTGATGGCAGAGCCCTTGAATTCACCTTGCATGCCAATATTTGACAAGGGTTACGCCCATGCTCAGGTATGGTCACTGGCAGCAACTTTATACGGTCTGCTCGCTTGATGACAATGCTGCATATCAAATGGCAAGGGAATAGCTCCAGATCAGTGTTGACAAGGCCGCATGACAAATGGCAATGAAGAGCTTCAGATCAGTATTGACAGGGCCGCCAAAACTCTCACCGGACCCAACAAAAGTGCCGCTTGGAACCAAGAAGCTCCCGTTGCCTTGCACTGTGCCATCGCCAGTCATGTATGTGCTCTTGGAGAGCGAGAAGAATGTGCTGTCAGTCCCATTGCATGTGCCATCCCCTGCAGGTGAGACACACAGTGTGGGAGCTCTGCCTTCTGAGTGACCTGCCTTAAGCATGTCAGGCAGACTTTGCTCAGCAATCAAGAGTTGCCTGAAGTGTCTTTGAAGGGAGGAAGGCAGTATAGACATTCTAGCAGCTGACCTGAGAAGGTGCCAGTGGTGATGTTCAGCGAGCCATATCCATTGAACGTTCCGTTGAAAACCTGAAATAGACCTGTGCCCACAAAGCGGCCGACACCCCTGGCCCCATGGCATGATTTCAATGCAATGCTGGTATCCCATATCTTGTTGACATTAGGGGCAGATCGCCGTTCTGGCTCGTTTGGTAGATCCTGCTGGTTTAAACAGGTGTCGCGAGCTAGGAAACGATGCTCACTGGAAATGTCCCGCTCCGTAGCAAGTCCCATTCTGGATCCGATACAATTGACTCACGCCGGGAGTTTGGGGCGATGAAGTGGGTCCAAGTCTCTGCCCGTGGACGGCATGGACGGCGAGCAGCGCTACCAACACAAAGAATCCCTGCTTGAATATCATTTCATCAAATAAATATCCCAAACTGACTTTTCTGGATCTACACACGTCCAGGATCCGTCGATGATGTGCTGGAACGCAGAATTCCTTTTAGCAGCTGGCGTCAAGACTAATCCTTGGACTGACGGATGCGCATGCAGGACAACCATGCATGCAGGACAACCGCACATCTGTGGTGGGCGTGGAGCATGCAATCAAGTTCTCCATGTGTAAGAATATATTTGCAAATTCACATACACACTTGAAGAGGTACTGTACCACCCTGTGATGAGTGGCTCCCAGCTAGCGCAAGGCAGAAAGAGCAGCTCCAACACATAGCAGTTGCAGGACAATGCGGACTTTGTAACATTCGTCTCCTAATTTGCACTTCACTACTTTTTGCCGTAATTTATCGCAATCTGTGTTGACGCATCCAGCAAGGGAGGCACATAGTCCCTGCATAGGTCAAAGCCACAGGCCTCTGCAGCACCCTTCTCTAACTTCCAGGGCCTGTGCGCAAAATCCCCTGGGAGATTACTGAGCTCGGGCACCCAGCTATTGATGTGTTGCGCCTCAGGATCGTAGGTCATTCCCTGACTCACAGTGCGGAAGATGCGGTCACGCGGGTCATTGCCCACACCGGCAAAATAGGCCCAGTTCACTGTGTTTACCGCCCAATCATGGTCCACCAGAAGAGTCTCAAACAGCGCCGCTCCAACCTGCCAACTGTGCCCCATCGCCTGCGCATGAAAGCAGTCGCTTACACAGACAAATCTCATTATCTATTCATGCTCTGGAGGCACATCATCGATATAAGCTTAGCTTAAATTCACAGACAGCACAACATTGCTGACATGAAAGATGGTGGCATAATGACCGCCGTCTTGGGGGATCCCAGCACCTTGCACAGGAAGCTGGACACGTTCTGGCGACCACGGTTGCTCATGTAGCCGGTGGCGGCCAGCTCGCGCATGCATGCATCCACAAATGGGAAGCCTGTGCGCCCTCGGCACCAGCGCAGGAACTCCTCATCACAGTGCCGCCACTGTCTTGCCTCCCCTCGGATGCCCTCTGGCCGCTCCAGCTTGTCGCCCTCCTTCAGTGCTGTGAAGAGGAAGAAATCCCTGGGCAAAGAAATGCTGGCTTGCTCAAACTAGTGCAAATCTCCAGACACACATTTCACTGTCATTCAGTGTTGCCGGCAACAATCAAATGCATGGAGGTCTAGCATGTGCGCAGAAAACAAGGGGTGGGGCCTGCCTGATGATCAGATGCATGATGAGCCAGGAGTGCCCGCTGTCTCCGCCACTCTGGTTCCTTGCTTTCTGTATCTCTGCATAGACCATGCGCGGCGACAGGCACCCGGCCGCCAGGTAGGCGCTCAGTTTGGCGCTGTTGTCCACACCCCCGGCCAACATGCGCGTGTCCTTGAAGGAGTCAATCGGCGCTGGAGCTGACAGGTTCCCATCCGCCGCCCCTGAATCATTTCTAGACACACTTGCCTCCCCTGGCATGCCCTCCTGCGCCACGCTAATGGACGGCAATGCTGCAATTGCATCTGCATCTGTTCTGTCAGTGCTGGCCTCTTCACCAAACAATGCTGTGGAAGCCTGTGCTGGCTCGGCTGTATTCACTGCGCCAGCGGCTTCTGAATTGCCATGGAGGTAGTAGCGCAGCCGCATGAGGCCCTCCAACTCACCACCTTCAAGGCAGAATGCAGACCGAGGGTGCCTGGCTTCGCTGGCCAGATCTGGGCATGCTGTCAGCTGCTCCAGGGCAGCCAGGGCAGCTCCTGCTGACTTGTACAGGCTCCTGACCTTCTTGGGCAGAGGAGCTGCACTAGGGATGCTGTCAGGGAATGGCGGTATCTGATCTGGCGCAGGCAAGGGTTCACGGACAAAGCCATGACTCTCCACCGCCTGCGAGAGCAAAATTTGATTCAGTGGTGTCTCTGAACTGGAATGATTTGACCGTCTGAAAGATCATTTGATGACATCACGCCCATCAAGAGTGCGGAGCAGCTCACCTTTCTGAAGTTGGTCATCACATGCGGCACATCCGCGAAAAGCGCCTGGATGTTGTTAAACCTCACGTCATCAAGATTGTCCGGTGCAGACACCAATTGAGAATTGGAGTCTCTGGCGGGCGGCTTCAGAGCTGCCAAAGCATTATGAGGATGGTACAGCGTGTGACCCCAGAAGTGGTGGACTTCTGAGGTCAGCTGTGACTCCTTGCAAGCGGCGTGGAAGGCATCAGCCACGGCGTCCTCTTCCTCAACTGAGTGCCGTCCGATTTGGAGGTAGTGGTACAGATCAACATGGGAGACCTGCCCAGCCAGACCTCTGACCAGTGCAGGTATTTCTTCCGCTGGTCTGCTGACAGCAAAATGCAGCTTCGAGCCGCGTGCAGCAAGCTGCTGCTGTAGAGCCTGCAGGGCTTCGAGGAGAAACCTGTGTTGCAAGCCACGTCAGGCCTTCGTCCACACTGCATGATACACTGCTGCAAAAATAGGCACAGAGAGGGTGGGTGGCTTCTGATAAATCTTGTCCCACCTGCCCCGGTGAGGACCAAGGACAGGAATGCCATTGAGTCCTGGAATGTTGCAGCGCGGCTGCAACAATGCAGGGCTCAGGCAGTAGACAGGCAGGACAAAGCAGGTCTGGGGAAGGCTGCAAGCTGACACCAAGGGCGCATGATCGGCCAAGCGTATATCGCTCCTTATCCAAACTATCGCAGCCTTCTTGATGTCATTTGATACCATGTCCCTATCTGAAGAGGCATCACACTTGTTGCTTGAAACCCTCCTGGCTCCAGCACAAATATGAAATAGCTTGAAGGTCGGTCGGCAAGATGCGAAATCTCTTGCAAGAAACCTATTGCATCGTATACCGATTTGCATATTTATGCAGGGAGGAGAGCTGAGGAGGAATACATGTCCCGAGATGAGGTCGACAGCTTCTCATCATGGGGAAGCTGGTCCATCCACATATGATTTCGATCGCAGCGTTTCATTGGTTTGGGGATTTGTAGAAGGCAGAGGCAAGTTTCTGATTGCTTGTCGAATTACGCGCCGAAGCCGTGAGTGTTCTGAGTGCTCTGAAAGCTCTGAGGGCATTCAGTGATCAGTGACACCACTGCATTTTCGAGTCGCCAACCATTCCACGTACATCAGCACAGGAAACATATCACAATCTTTCTTTCAATTACATAGCAGCTCAAAGGACTTGGCAAGCATGTCAGAGACTCAACCTCCCCCCGAAAGGGAAAGGGAGCGTCTAGGTTGGCTCACAGAGAGCTCCGTACAGCCTAGAAAGAGGCGCATGATCGAAGGTGATGAAGTGTGAATTAGTCAAATACCGGTGAAGCCGGTCAAGATTCAGGTAGACTCAGCAAAGTTCGGCTTCACCAACAGGAGTGGGAGCTGCGGGCATCTTGGATCTTAAAGCAGCACTATACAAGGAGCAGCAGGAGGCTCAGCTCACGAAAGAGGACCCAGCAGCTGCTGCAGCGCGCAGGTCACGGCGCACTGCTGGCATTGACCTGTCAAAGCATGCGAGGAAGAATGCTGGGGTTGAGGAGCGAGATCGCTATGACAGGGAGCACATCAAGGTCATCACGCCAACACTTATAGCAAACCAACATTGCCAGCTCTGACTGTGCCTCACAACTGTTTTTGCCAATTCGTGTTGTCCCTCACCAGCTCATTCTGGTTGCAGTAGACACCAGCAGCTCGTTTGGCTGAAAGCTACTCTGCGTTGGAGCGGAAAGCGCGGCTGTATGACAAACTGGCATCTGGGCAGCATGACGACGAGGATGAGCTGTACAATGTGGACTTTGTGCGCAAGGGCACCCTCGATGATGAGGGGCGGGAGATGGAGTCTTATGCCCATGAAGACACAGCGTCGCATGCTCCTGTTGATAGTGCTGCAGCAGCGACAAGAAAGGGAGGTGCGCCTGCTTCTCATTGGTGTGCCAAGCTCTGCCAACATTGTACAGCTGCTAATGTGCAATTGTGGTCCCTGAGACATTCCTGATCAATTTGAGGTGGCAGGCATGACGAGTGCTGACATGGAAATGGAGCAGCAACGGAGGCAATGGGAGGAGGATGAATGGAGTGAGCTGGAGCAGAGAAAGCGCGAGGAGGCTCGCAGGGATGACAAAATTGAGGTGGGCTGAACATACTGTTGCTGACCACGAAGTTTTGCAGGACGTTCAATTGGCAAGAACATCGACCTGCAACTGGAACGAGAGGTCCGTCTGTTTTGCAAGCAGGCTCTGGAGAGGATAGAGGAAGAAACGCAAGAGCTACGGGAGCGCTTGGCCAGGAAAAGGGAACAGAAAGAGGTGCAGGCTCAGCAGCAGCGAGAAAGGATCAAAGCTGCATTCTTGAAAAGGCAGGTGGCTGAGAGGATTAAGGCAGCAGCCAAGCAAAAAGCACAGGGTTGATGAAGACATCAGGAGCACAATCACAGCACCGGCAACCTGCCCATAGCTTTTGAAATGCTATCTATATGACCCTTCAACTATGGCATACATGGACTCATCTACCGAACGTTATCTCACAAGGAGCACCTGGGCACTGTCTATTACTATGTTGGCCCGCAAGAGTTTTTAGATCTTCTGCTGAGTGATTTTCAGGTCACCTGTACTGGGTTTACACCTCAGTCCTCAGGTAGCTTGATTGCTATGTTTTTCTCTCGGGCTTGTCTCTCTATCTCCTCTCTGAGCATCTTTTTGAACGCCTCACGTTCTTCTCTTGATTCCTCCAATCGCTGAGCTTCAATTTCAGTCACCCTGTATGTAGTGCAGTGGAAGAGCATTCATGGCCCAAAACAGAGACTTCGAATTAATTATCAAGGAGACAACTAGGAATCGTTACTATTTCGTATTAATGGTCATTCAAGGTTCGCACTTGTTATAAAAGCCCGTCTTGATCATAAAGCTCTCCATGCCTGCCCCAACCTGCACAACATGAAGTAAATATCCCAATCATAGTGGTCATTGCAGATCTGGGTCAACTTTAATGTGTAGGAGAGCATTCGATCACTCACCAAGAAGCACAGACCTGCTACTTTGGCGTAAAAGCTTGCTGGAAACGACATCCGCTAATCACAATCCTTTCCTTGGACGAGGGTCTCATTGGCCTGTTATGTGCATCGACCTGAGATCTGGCTCCATCGAATCATTCAGCTTCAAATGATCTTGGTATGGTGCATCTTGATGCTGCATGCCTTTCTTCTCTGAGCGTCACGCTGACGTCACAGGGACACTTTCTTCAAGTTCTTCCTTGGCTCGAACGATAAGTAATCGATGACCCTGCAAATTTCAATTTTTGAAGATGAGACACATGCATGCTGTAATCTGAGAGCGCCAGATCCTGTCAGCTTAAGCCTAAGGGAAGCCTGAGCGGGACTCCAGCGGGCCGCGGAGGTTGTCGCAACTGAGCTAGCTGCTATGATAGCGAGAGCAATCATGTCAGCAAAATGTTGCGGATTACAGAGATGTGCATGCCATTTGTCCATTTTTGGGCTGGTAGCACCTAGAGACCAATGCCACGGAAGTGAACAGCCTGGCTGCAGAGCACTTCACACTGCTTTCAAAGTTGATTGAAGGATTCAAGAGCACCATCATCCTCAACAAGCACGTTTCCACAGCTTGTGTCTCCTTCAGTCTCGTGGCATCAGACATTGCTGCTATGTGGGCAAAGCCTGCCACAGGCAGCTTCTGGCCCATCAATACTGGCCTGCTTGACCCACAGCTCAAGTCTGCTCTGCACCATTTGCACCAGATGCTAGAGCAGTCCCCATCCACCCGCGTACAAGGGAGCTCAGCGGTGTTATCCCATCGCATATTTCCTCGTCCACTCCCTGGCTGTCTCCTCATATCGCTGCCTGTCTGTCTTGTAGATGTGTGCAATTTCAGGGACCAGCGGGTCGTCCGGGTTGGGGTCTGTCAGCAACGAGCAGATGGACAGCAGGACCTGCACAGCACAGTCACCGTGTCACTTTCATACAGCCCAACAGGTGCACAGGCATGGGCAAGCAGCTCATTCAATTGGGTAAAATTCACGGTAGTGCTGCTGGCAACAAAGTCACCTTTGAGATCGTGAGCGCCGGACTCCACTGCTCCTTCAGGATGTCCAGGCAGATGCTTCCTTGGCTGTTGACGTTGGGGTGGTACACCTTTGTCTGGAACTGCACCTTGGGAGGCTTGAATGGGTAGTCAGGAGGGAAGTGAATCATGACGAAGAAGACACCGCCTGAGTATGGACTGTCACCAGGTCCCATGATAGTGGCCTGCGATACAATTGTTAACAACATATATTTTGAACCTGATCAACATTGATCACCACCTCGTGTTGCTGCTTCTAGCTCTTAGAGAACCTGTGAACCTCACAAACAGACAAAGTGTGACGAAGTCGAGAAGGCACCACACCTGCCAGTGGAATAGGTCATCTCCAGCAGGTCCTGCTGAGCATGATGTAGGAGGGTCTCTTTGCAAGTCCTGCAAAGCCAATCGCAGAGCAAGGTCTTACACACGACACAAAGTGTTTGAGCACAGAAAGGCGGCCATCGAAAGCATCCGTTGCTGCAAAGTGCCACATAATGCCTACCTGCAACTCCTTTTGAATTCTTTTTGATGCCATCAAAGTCTAGGAAAAACTTGCCACCTACGCGGAATGTATCTATACCAAAGCAGGTTCAAACGGAGGCACAACGTTCAGCGAGCAATCTCAGCTGGTCAGAATAAGTGTTTCAACGCACAGTAACAACGCCAGCCGGGCCACTTCTCTTCTCTGCGTGCGTCTTCTTCTTCGAGAGAGGCGACATCGATGGGTCGGGAGGCCTTTACGCGACGTCCGACGGCGTCTCTTCCGTGTCTTCCAGCCTGGCGGTTGCTCCCTTCGTCGAGCGTTGATTTGCTCGAGCGTCACGAAGATGATGCATCGGAGTTTTGAAATCTGCTTGTAGAAGACGAACTGTATCAGGGCACAAAGTATTCACCATGATGACCTTTTGCCAGGCGTGCAGCTTCATGGTTTGGATGTAACCGCTGCCTCCTGATGTCCACCAACACAGGACGAATGAGCGCTATCTTAAGAAACTGCCTGGACACAAAAGATTAATTTGAAAGTGAAAGAACAAAGTCGGGGCAGCCCAACGTAAGAGCTGTCAGCAGTATGTCGGTGAAAGCGCCTTTACGACTGCCTCGTTTGCGAATGAAAGATGATTTAATCAAGGTGAGATACGGTAATCGGCTGGTCTGAAGGAAGATACAACGGCTTTCATCATCGCTTGTTTGCGAGCAGATTTGAAGGCTTCGAAACAACTGTTGCTCTTGTCACTGCAGGCCGACCCAGACCTGGCCGTGTACTTGGAGGAGGCCTTCGAGCAGCTGTCTCCTCACAATGGCGCCCTCAAACAGCTTTCAGGAGGGCTGGCTCCAGCGGGCACCGACCTGCTGGGACTGAGTCTGGACGAGGAGCTCACTGAGGAGGAGGAACTGGTACAGACGCCCATCCCCTGTCTTTCACACAGTGTAAGGAGTATGTATGCATTTGGCACTCTGAAGACAGTGTCCGCCTAAGCAAGAAAGGTATCAACAAGATATGGTGCAACATAACTGTGCAGGGAAAGATTGTAAGTAACTGTTTTGACTTATTGTGTGCAACGGCAGAGGCTGGAGCTGGAGGGTGCAAAGAGGGAGAGGAGGGCGCTGATGGACTCGCTGGCAGCGCTCAAGGGGGATCAGGGCAAGGCCGGCAGCGAGCTACAGATCGCAGACATCACGCGCCTGCGCCGCGAGCTCGAGGTCAAGCAGGAGAAGATCAACGAGCTGCGACAGGTCAGCCCCATAACCTTGACAAATATATCCGCGTCAAAATAGTACATCCATATACTGCACGTGGCAAGCATGAATACTGTACATCACTGCCCCAGCTTCTACAAAACACATCGAAACCAGCGCTAAGCAGCATGGACACTGCTGTCCTTGTGTTTCTGCATGCGGCAAGCACCGTCTTTCGCCTTAGCACTTGAAAGAGAAGATGTCAGGATCAGAAGATACGCCTGTCGTACATTCAAAGGGTATAGGAAGCACTGAAGGCGGAGGGGCAGCAAGCACCGTCTTCTTGTTTTCACTTGAAAATGATGATGCTAGGATCAGCAGACGCATGTGTCTTACACTCCAGACTGGGCGCAGGAAGCGCTTAAGGCGGAGGGGCAGCTGATGCGGCTGGCGTTGACAAGCCGGGACTGCGCAGCGCTGATGCCGGGCGGCGGCCTGGACGCGAACGCGCGCGTGAAGGCGCTGGAGGCTGAGCTGGCGCACCTGGACACCGACATGGCTGAGACCGAGGCCCAGCACCGCCTCTACACCCTCCTGCAAGAGCGCACCAGGCATGCCCCTGCTTCCTGGAATGCCGCCAAGCCTGCTTTGATGAGCAACGTGCTGTCAGTAAGAGACTGGATGCCTCTCTGATCAAGCCAGGCTTGTCTTTGCATCCCTGCTTTTTCTACGAGGTGTGTATATGTTGATCAAGTCAAGCTGGCTCCTCTAGGGTCCAGTGGATCGCAACATGCCTGTGTGCGGCCCCTTGGTGCGCTGCAAAGCTAGTTGGCACGCTTGCCCTGCAAACGAGCAGCCCCGCTTTTATCCTCAAGCCATAGCGTTGCTTAGAGATGACAGTGGTCAAGGTCACATGATCAGGCGAGCATGTTGTCCAGCAGCAAGATCCCGGCACAGTTTGCATTGTTTCTGCACAAATGAGTGTGAGCTAGCAACCGTGGAAGAAGTGAATGCGTGCATGTGGGCGCAGGCGCGAGCACATGGCGCAGGACCTGAGGGTGCGCGAGGGGCGCGAGGCGTTGTTAGCGTTTGGGGAGGACCATGCGGTGCTGACGGAGCACATGCATGCGGCGCGCACGGCGCGAGAGGATGCCGATCGCGCTCTGGCAGTCACCAGGGCCCAGAAGGAGGCCGTGCGCAGCGACTGGGCCCGCAAGCTGCAGGACCGCCGCAAGGAGGCGCGGCATCGCTATTGCTGGGAGGAAAATGCATAGGATTTCGTATGTTGCAATGATCATTTATCGCCCAATACGAGCAGGCGGCCCAATCGCCAAGAAGCAGTCCTGCATGATTGAGCACAGCAATGGCAGCGCAGGAATTGACCATTCCAGATTGATGTAGCTGGCTGCATGAGGAAAGGCCTGTGTGTGTTTTTTTGGACCCTGCAGAATCTGGGTGTGTTGAGAGCGAGCAAGACAGAGCCAGGAGAGCAAGCAGTGTATAGGCTTGCTAGGCGTGAAGCAGCAGGGGAATGTCGTCTGCTGCATACTTTACTGGTTGGCATAGCAGGCCTCATCAACACCACACAGCCTTAAGCAGTGGGACAGGAGTCGGAGTCTGTCGTAGGGTGTTGCAGCATGTGGTCTGAAGGTGGCTCTAGATGGGCAAGAGGGTAGCACAAAATGGGCATGCTTGTGGCGTTGTGGTGAGCGGGCTATGCTGCGAGCAGGTGCGTGCGATGGAGCACAGGCAGAAGAGGGAGATGGCGGAGGAGGAGCAGCGTCGCGCGCGACAGGCCGAGCTCGACGCCGTCCAACGCGAAGCAGCCGCCAAAGCCCGCCTGGAAGAGGAGGCCTTCGAGCAGCAGCTGCAGGCATGTGCCACTTGTTCTAATAAAAAGCTTGTTCTCAGTCAGCACTGTGTCAGCGTGGTTGAGCACTTGTGTGTCAGAAAATGCGTCAGCAACGTGTCACCGTGTTCCAGCATATCTGTGATGTTCTGTGTCAGCATGTCTCTACACTTATGGGTGAGCATTGTGTCAGCAGTTCCCAGCGCTCCTGTGTCAGCATTGTCACAATGCAATTGTGTCAGCATGTCTCAGGGAAATTGTGCCAGTATTGGCCATGCATGTGAAACCTTTCACCAGAACAGCAAGGATGAAGGGTGCACAGTCGAGCTGGATAACAGGGTGATTTGGCAAGATAATTGTTGCTGAGGAGGGAGATGTGTGTTGCAGACATTGCAGCCGCAGATAGAGGAGATGGAGGCCGCATGGGCTCGGCTGCACACCATCACCGGCGCAAATAGCCCCGAGGAAGTGATCGGCTTCTGGGAAGGTGCGCTTTGCAGACATGCACCGCACTGAGTCATCTGCACCCTGCGGCAGCTATCAGAGATTCTGCCGATCATCACAAACGGGTATTCTCAATACAATGGCATGCTCGGCGCTGGTGTCTTCTGTATGGTACAATGGGAATTCACAGCAGCTGTGTTTGGGGCATGCAGAGCTATTACTGAATCACCGAGAGTCGCAGTAATGCTGAAGCTCAGCAGTGTTTAATTTGATTAGGTGCAAGGGGTGTTACAGCAATTCCACCCTGCAGCAGCCATCAGAGATTTGCCACTCATTTCAAACCGAGATGTTCAATATAATGGCATGCATGGCACTGGTGACTTCTGTACAGTATAGTTTTCACAGCAGCTGTGTCATGCAGAGCTTCAGGCAAAGGAGGCGAGCATGAAGGAGCTGGTGCGCCTGGCAGAAGAGGCAGAGGCCGCAGCAAAGGGCGAAATGGCCGCCCTTCTGGACAGCCGCAACGCCATGCTGGAAGCCATGGCAATGTGTGCCTTTCACCCTATGCTTTGCAGGACGTTCCTGATCTCTCATGCACGCTGAGCTGCTTTCAGATGCCTGCCTTTTGATATGAACAGCCCGCTGAATAAGCTGCCTACTCCCTCCTGATTTCCTCCCTTGCAATGGATGTCTGTGGAGCAGGGCTGCCTCTGCCACATGCTTTGCTTACCCTGCCTCTTTCTCTCGCAAGGCCAGCCATTTTCAAGCGCCGTCTGAAGCCTGATGGATGTGGTGGCTGCTCCCCGCATTCTTGCAATTGCCTCTCTAACAGCGGATGATCTGATGACGGATGCATATGGAGCAGGCCTGCCTCACCGGCTGCAAGCGCGGAAGAGGAGCTGCGAGCGCTGGAGGACAGGATCGCGGAGGCGCAGCAGCGGCATGCGGCGTCCACAAAGCAGTTCAACCGCGTGCGCACCGTCTGCATCAACGCCCAGCAGGTGCATTCAGCGCTCATCTCCCAGTGAGGGCAGACACCTTCATAGGAACTTCTCCGTGCACGAAAGCGGCTGTTCCGTTCTTACCATCAGGGGACGCCTGCAATTCTGAACAAGAGAGAAGAGAGAGACAGAGAAGCGGTGCATCTTCACCAGCAGAATGTATCGATGTCATGTGTTCGGGTGCCCAAGCCGATGTGTACTTTGTCTAATACAGGTTCGATGAAGACAATGGGTGTGCAGTCAATAATGCCACTTACTGGTGCAGGGCCTGCGCTCTCTGCTGGGCCGTCTGGACGAAGCACTGGCGGTGTCCGCCGCTCAGAAGCTGGGGCCGGGCGCGCCATCTCCAGGGCAGCGCAGCAGCGTCTTCCGCCAGTCGATAGCGGCTGTGGACGGATCGGCCGCGCGCCGGCAGTCGGCCGCGCTGCAGCCTGCTGCGTCCAGGCGGCAGTCCTCGGTGGCTGAGGCAGCGGCTGCTCGGAGGCAGTCCTCTGTCCCCGTGCAGGCCATCCCAGAGGACGGTGCGGCTGACTCTGTCGGCTCTGCCGGGTCAAGGCGGACCTCCAAGGTGGGGCATAAGAAAATGCTCTTTACGGCACATGAAGCACGTATTGATACATTCAGAGTAGGCAGTGTCACAGATGAAACGGTACACATGATGTATGGTTGGTGGAAGGCTACCAAAGTCACGATTGTCACGCTATCAGAAGTACCGCAGTGGCACAAAGGAAGCACATATTTGAGAGGAGCGTTTTGCTTTCAGGTGGGGGAGGCGGCGCGCCGTTCAAGCACAGTGGCCAGGCGCTCCTCGGTGGTGACTCCCAGTCTGGCGGCCATCCTGGGCAAGGTAGAGGCAGCGCCTGGCGCGCTGACCTTTGAGGAAGCACCCGCCGGTGGCCCTGCAGTGGGCAGCAGGCTGGATGGGCAAGCCTTCTTCCCGGACCTGCCGCAACTCGCCAAGGTCCGATCCGCCCACTGCAGGCGCATCATGTAACTTACAATCCCACTAATGGGCAAATCGCATCCGTACTGTTGTGCTTTCTGTTGAAGGAGCAGGACCGCGCTTTGTCCCTTGTTTGAAATCTGCACTGCCTCCATAATTGGCATCCTCTATCTTCACGTCAGCTTGCATTTACACGGCAAGGCAGTCCTTTCTCCTTACTTTTGGCTCTCGCTCTGCCTTGATGTCTGCATCCCATAGATAGCAGAGAAGGGAGTTCTGGGCAATGCAGAGTGTTGTCGAATGTGGTTGTGGGCATGTGCAGGTGGTGGCTGACAAGGTTGGGCGGCTGAAGTCTTCCTGCGTCAAGGAGAAGCGCAGGAGCAGCATGGTGGACGGCTCAGAGGCTGCTGGCAAGGCCGGGCAGGCAGCAAAGCTGAGCGAGGCGGCCATGAGGCACGGCGCGCGCAGGCAGACCTGGATGGGCCCCGCCTGGATGGGAACATCCACTGAGAATGATCCGGTGAGCACCTTTGACTTCTAAGCGCTGCTTCAAAGTGTCCTATGAATACATCAGAACCCCTCAAGGATCTTGTGAAATTGGTTATCTTCTACTGTTCAGGAGATGATGGGGGCACAGCGAGTTTCTGGAAGTGGCTCGACTCAATCGGATGTCTTTGTGTGCATGAGTGTGAGTGTATTGGCATGCACTGCGCAGGGGACAGTTAGTGGGGTCACAAGCGCAAAGGACTCCAGCAAGGACATCCTGTCTCGATTGGTCGGGTACCCAGCAGATTTTGACCAGGGCCATGGGCGTGCAGCCACTCCAGAGGTGACGCAACATGGCATTCCATGCACATGCTTGTCGAAAACAGGCTTGAATATAAGCTTTCTGCGTCCATTCCACCATCCCAAACTGCATTTTTTACAGTGAATCGTACAATGTGCAAAACAGAACAGCACATCAGCTTATTCAGGCAAGATGCCTATGTCTGCAGGGCAAGGATGATGAAGAGTGGGATGGGGTGCTGGACAGAGATTTCATCAAGCATAGAACGGCAAAATTGTTGGCTGCTGCTGCCAGGCATCAGGCAGACCTCAAGAAGACCAATGAAGGCTCCTCTTAGTGCTAGGTTGTCCTCATTGTTGGTGCAAATTATACTTGCTCGTGCCTTGCACAAGAGCTGCGCTCAGCATTTGTGCCCTTCTCAGCTGACATCCTTTGCTCAGTTGGGACACCAAGTTGAGACTCAGCATTTTCACGAACTTCCAGAACGTTCCGAATCAGCGATCCAGAAGGCTCAAAGACCACTCAAGCCGCATTGCTGCATTCATTTGGTCTGGATGACTGTCTAACTTTGCGGCCACCTCACTGTTTCTTGGTAGCATCCTTTTGCCGCACTGCTGATGTAATGGTCCTAACAACGAAGTAGGACAGAAGGCCCATTGGTCCCAGCATCATGGTGACCAGTAAGCATGGAACGACCAGGAGCCAGTGCGGCACAGAGTTGGCAATGGAGTCCTGCACCTGCAGATATGAACGAAATGCAGACCCCTCAGGAAAAAATATACTTTGATGTTGCAAACATTACGTCAGCCATTCATCACAAAGCAATCCAATTGGACAGGGATGCTCGCGATCTTAGAGAATAAAATCTGCGCTCACCAGCCACTTGGCCGTGAACAGATCGAAGGCAACATAGTGCACCCACGCTGGCAGCACGACCTCTGGAGATGACAGAGCCTCCTTGACGCCCTCATAGGTGAAGAACTTGTCAAAAGAGAAGTCACCGACAGGCTGCAGAAGCATCGTGACGAAGAGCAGCGTGTAAAGAATGCTGAATCCCACTGCCGTGAACGTGGCAAAGGCGTGTGTGACCTTCCACCTCGGCAACAAGATAAGCAGTAACCATGCTGGGAGCACCAAATTTACCCCTTGGAAAATATGGGCATCGGTGAGATCCAGACCAGCGATCGGCATTGTGCCAGTGATATCGGGTCAGAGAACAATGAAGGAGAATCTTCTCAGTCCTGCGAGGTTGAATATGATTGTGTCCAATATGACAGGAGAGAAACGGCTTGGATCAGAGCTGACATGGATGGCTTCCGGGCGGTGGGAAGCTGCAGATGACGAGTCAGCAGTCTGCATGCATGCGTTGTGGGAAAGGGAAGTCTCGTGATTGCAGGGATGCTATTGTGCACAATACAAAGAACTGGGCTTGGAGTTTACACAAGGCCCTGCAAAAGCTTGGGTATTCCCTAGACATTGCTTGCAATACTATGGATCAGATCTCTTTGGCCCAGGTTAGACAACAGTTACAGGGTCAATTAGATGCACACTGGGAGAATTTGGCCTTGTGTCCTAGGACCTGTGCAACACAAGGGCCTCGACTTTGTACCTATGAGAACTGGTTTGCTGCTATTCCTCCCCGTCGCCATTGTCTTAGGATCTCTGTGTCTGCCACCACGCTTAGACTCTTCCTGCGCTTTCGTACTGGTTGTCACGGTCTTCCAGTTGATCAGGGTCGTTGGGGGAATCGAGTACCTCGCTCGGAACGTTTCTGTCACTTGTGCAACACTCAGGCCATTAGTGATGAACGGCATATTGTCTTTGAATGTCCTGCGCTTCATGATCTGCGTGCTAGGTATGACAGCCTGTTTAGGCCCAGTATTACCACTATGCGTCAGTTCATGTGGCAAGATGATCTTGTACAGGTGGCTCAATTTATCAGACTCTCATTAGGACGCGTAAACACTGATCTAGATACAGTGAACATCTAATCAGCCTTGTTGGCTGGCATGATGTAATGTTTCTCTCTCTCTCTCTCTCGTGAGGAGTTTGTCTTACAATCAATCTCGGTTTGAAATTCTTCTCCCATCAAAACACCAGAAGAAACTAGCAGATCTTCCTGATCTATGAATTTGCATCAGGTGTGCCCAACCTGATCAATTGAAGGGTGTGCCACCGTGGCATGCAACATGCGAATACAACTGCAAGTTGCAATGGATAGACTTGAGGGTAGCTCATGATAGGGACTGTTTCAGGATTTTTATATATGCTCTGTTTCTATCAGAGCAGCAGAAATTTTTCAACAACTGTCACAGCTCCTCATGCATTGCTACCATGTCAACTGGGAACTTCTCCTCATACTCTTTGATGTAGGAATGCAGTGCCTCCCGGACAGGCTGCAGCATGTCTCCGTACTTCTTCCACTTGCCTATCGAGCTCCTATACATCTTCTGGCGCACCTGCCACAACACAGCAACGAACTTTCACTACCAGTGCTTTCATCGGACAAAGCTTGACAAAAGGATGAGGACGATGCTGCATCTGAGCTGACAATTGTCAGCATCACGGACAATCGTCAGCATCTCATACATGTCCAGTGCAATTGCATGCAGTGCCAGATCTCTGATCAGGTTGGGCAGACTTGGTGCAAATATATAGATCAGGAAGAACTCGGCTAGTTTCTCCTGAGTTTCTGAGTTGGGAACATTTGAAACAATTTATCTTGAGGACTGATTAGAAGTCAAAATTCCCAAGAGACAAGAGCATGCCAGGATGCAGTTGCCAATGCCATTGGAATATTATATATATTCAGATGCAAGGAGTGGGTGCGGGCGTGCCTGGCTGACACTGGCGGTGTGGACGTCTCGCTGTGTGGTGTGGAAGCTCAGCACAGCGTCGTCCCAGGGGAGGCCGCAGTGCTGCAGCATGCGCCGGCTCCAGTCCTCCTGCTGCCCCACCAGTGCCTCGTAGGGCACCCGCAGCACGCGCCCCGGCAGCAGCCCATCCCAGTGCTCCATTATGTCGTGGTGGTTCTTTATCGCCGTCGCAATCTCTGCGCACAGTCAATAGTACACCGTGACCGATTAGGATTATCCTCTGCCTCGCCTTAACAGCTCAAGCGCTGCGCATGTTTATCTGCCTGCATACATTCAACCAGCTGCCACTTTGCAGCATCATGCATTTACATGTGTGCTCGATCTGGTCACCCAAGGTGACAATGTAAATGATGATCAGCTCAGAGTGGAGATGGGAAGTGTTGGAAACAAAAGCGTACCGTCGAGTTGGGATGCCCAAGGCAAACCGCGGCCCTCAAAGGGCTGTGCGAAGCAGGATAGAGCGACATCGAGCGGGTGGCGCACGGCGTGGATGAGGCACGCGCCCGGCAGCGCCATCTGGATGTACGCCAGGTTGTACGCATTGCGCAGCATCTTGTCCACGATGTGGGTCGCGTTCTGGCCCTGCGCATAGCAAGATCGATGAGCTGACTGGTACACAAACCTTTGGTTTCTGCAGAGTTCAAAGACCGGAGGGAGTATTACATGCCATAAGCACACATGCGCGGAATCATGTGGCCCTTGCATGCAGTAAACATGTCCTGAGAAAGATGGACCATTCAAAATTAACAGTTTGCGCCCTTTGAAGGTGCTATTAAGGGCATGGGGAGCGATACAAGGGAAGGGGCACCTCGGGGACGCGGGCCTGCATATTGGCCATGTAGAGGGCGCCAACGTCGGCCGGCGTCCGCACATTCTCCCGTGGCTGCCCCTTCATCACGTCAAACAGCACCGGCAGCAGAGGCGCAAACGCCGTGTCCTCTCCTGCCGCAGCACCCACCATCCAATTTGCATACCTCTGTAAAATTGATTGCGAAACTCAGGTACAGTTTGTAGCAGGAAAGTCTCAGACATGCAGGGGCCCGGCCCAATGCGTAAAAAATGCTAAGCCTAGGTGGATTGCATCACAAGACAGGAAGCCATGTTGCCCCTGCTGTAGCATTGAGCGAGCAGTGCTGACCTGCGCCGAAGACCTGAGGGTGGCTGGCCAAGATCTGCTCGATGAGCGTGCTGCCGGAGCGCGGCAGGCCCACCACAAAAATGGGGCCCGGCTGCTTCAGGCCCAGTTCCCCCGACAGCACATGCGCCACCGTTGGATCTGCCTTCACCGTAGGGAAGGCCTCCTGCAAACCCCTCACCATCCTGCCCTCCTCCTGTACCCATGAAGTCTATTCAGCGATTGAAACAAATGAAAAATTCTATTCAGCATTTGAACACAAATGGATCACAATTTGCTACAATTTTTATGACGGATCCTGCTGCCATTATCCAAATGATCTTAGAGACATGCAAGAACCTTCTTAGCAGCATGCATGAGAATTGTGATCGAGGAAGGTGTCTGATTGCTCGACATTGCTGACGAAACAAACAAAGTGGGGGCATGCTCACCGTCGAGTCGTAGTTGTAGGTATCGCGCTGGCGTCGATTGGCCTCCACCAGGTTGTCCCACGCCTTCTCGTACTTGCCCTGCACAGCAGTGCGGCATTTCAGAGCCCCGCTCTTTGCCCCTCGTGGCACACAAATAGTGCTGGAAGGGTACGCCCATTCAGCACCGCTGCAGTGATGAGCCAACAGCAACGGCCAGATCACTATTAAATTTCATGGATGCGCAGCAGCACGAACATGAAAGAGCAAGCGGGGTGCACAGGGCTGGGCACCTGCGACTGGTAGGCCTTGTAGAGCGCGAAGAAGAGCCAGGGCTGGTCCTCTGGCCGCATCTCCGCCAGCCAGGCCCACTCAGCCTGCAGGTCTGACGCACTCTTCTTCACCGCCTTGCCCCGCCGCCGCCGCTTGGCCGGCCCAGCCTCCAGCTCCTCTTCCTCCACCTCGTGACTGCCTCCATCTGCCACACCCAAGCAGCTGTTGTTTTTTCCTTCACACCCAACTTTGTGTCTGTTTTACAACTACACATTCTCATCAGTCTCAAGTCTCTAGTCAACCATGTTTAGTGGCTGCAGGCATGTGGCACCGCTGCAGTCCATACATTTCTGTAGCATGCTGTGCTTGCACTGCAAGCTTGTACAAGAAAAAGATGGCACGATGCATACTGCACGAAGGGACTGTTGGGTGTGGTCTAGGAGGCCAGCATGGTAAAAGATTTACCGGCACTGAGACGGAGGAAGCGCACGGCCTCCTCCATGGATTCGACCTGGGCGTCATCAAACTCCTTCAGCGAGGCCAGTGCCTTGGCGTAGCTGCCGGGCGCGACACCGTATGCCACATCAGCCGCCTCGGCATATGCCACCTGTGCCTCCTCCTCCCTCCCCAACATCCCCAAAATCTTCCCCCTGTTGAAGTACGCCCCTGTGCAACATACACTTACGTCTCTCCGAGAGGCCCCAGTCCCAAGCTTTCTGTGAGTGTCTTTGCCCCGTGCATGCATAAGACAGACTTCCCGATGGTGGTGGCAGACTCTGAGATACTCAGGAGTCTCAAGATTGCCGGCAGGTTTGTGATGTGCCCTTATTATTCTGGGTGGGCTTCAGAGTGTGCAATTAGGGGCGTTAATGATACGAGGGCGGACCTCCCACGACCTCCGAATTCTTCATGGAGCTGTCCAGCCCGGCTTGGATGGCCGATTCGGTGTATTTCAACGCCCTCTCCAAGCTGCCATGTGCACCCATCATGAGCGCCCCCAAGTTCCCCATGATGCCCGCCACCACCCTCTTGTCCGGCGCTGCCTCAACAGCCTTCCTGCCAGACAGCAGAGGAGGCAGCGTGACGCTAGCAGCCCTCGTGTCAATCTCTGGACAAGCTGAAATGTATCGGTGTTCGCCAGCCAACATTGAGGCAGAGGCCACAAATACGAATGACATGAATAAACAGCAGCAATAAGATCTTCAGACTGTAGCGAAGATGAGGGAAGACAGCGGCACCTGTAGGCTCTTTCAGCCTCTGGGATACGGGAGCCTCCATCAGGGTTGATGTAGTCCAAATGCTGCAGGAGTGTCCCGAGTTGGGCATTGTATAATGAATTATCGGGATCCTTTGCCAACGCCTCCCTCGTTTGTTCAACTTGCTGCCGCAATCGCTGCATGGTCTCCGCCTGTACATAGCACAACGAGGCATCTTGTACTGTTTGATCCAGAACAAATTGCACGTCCGATCATCTACTACAAGGAAAGGATGAATCATAGTCAACATATAAGAGCACAATTTGAATTTTCTAGTCTCGTCTTGTGATCCTCCTTGCCTGATTGATTTGCTGAGCTACCGCCAGCATTGATCCAGAAAGTGCAAGACATAGGGCAGCCCAAACGAAAGGCCTGTACTCCCTTCCTATCATTTCAGGAATCCTTGATTGCCTTCAACTGAGCTATTCAGCTGTAGCATTTGCAGAACAGCACGCTAAAAGGTAGATCATTAAAGATTGAGGAGGGTGTGATTGATGGGCCACAGCAGTGCATTGTCAATATCTGTCTTCACCTCATATATTCACGTACTGTACAGATGGAAGTCAAGACCTTCCCAACAATCCAGGAAATTGCCTTGAAGGCACGGAGGAAGAACCTTTGGGATGTTCAGGGCAGGCTGGGCAGGTCTTGGGGCAAATTTGGGCAGGCAGAAGGGCCGTGCCAATAGATGACGTTGACATAAGCAGACCAGTCACTCGCAATGGAATATGAAAAACATTCACAAGAATGGGAACCAAATTGGAACAATAGCCGTCGCAGTTCTGATCAGTTGAGAACCATATGGTCAGCCGGCGCCGGCGCTGTCATGATAGATCAATGATCTAACATTAATGAAGGCCATGAGAGCATGCTGTGCAATTTAAACCTTTGCTCATGCTAGTGTCAATACAGCAGTCTTACAAAAGCATGCGCATGCACATGCCAGATCCCAAGTACCATCTGCAACCAGCAAATCGATAAGTGCTTGTCAGACTATACGACCACATTGTAAGATCGAACTGTGCAATCAGCGCCGCCAGACACGAGCTTGCCGCCCGCCCATGACACACACAGGACCTTATCTGTGTGGCCCTGTAGAGTGTGCAGGGGCACAGCCGTGCGCAGGTCCCACAGCTTCACCGACTTGTCATAGGATGCTGTCGCAACATGGTGCTCGGAGGTTGGGTGCCACGCCACAGCAGAGATCCAGTCTGTATGCGAAGAATACAGCTTCTGGTTCTGCAAGCACAGCAGAAACACTTGTCAATCAGGTCAACTGACAACCTGCAATACTGACGGCACAGAATGGTATATGTGACGTGGCAGTGAAGTTGGAGTGTTGGTGCTTAATAACACCACATGGATGGCCAATTAATTTGCGCACCGTTTCCTGGCCAATAGGCATCCGTGGATCCCAGACATGCAGGGCACGTTCTGCCCCGCCAAACGCGACAAGTTCAGAGCCCTGCAGAGCTGCTGCCACGCAGTACACCGCCTTGCTGCCGTTGAACGTGTCCACATTCACCGCCGTCTCAGCATCCCACCGCCTCACCTGTTGTGCACACCACACCAATCCTTGAACGCTCTCTCCATTGCGCTTCCCAGTATCTCAGGTACAGCCTCCAAGCTGCAGATACTGTATATGACAGATGAATGGCCAGTCAGACAGAGGTTGCACTGCCGAGATCTCCACACATGTCACAATAGGCCCAGAGGCAGGCGCACCGAGTGGTCCCAGCTGCCACTGACGATGGTGTCTGTGGACGGCCAGGCCACGGATGACGCGCACTGCGAGTGGCCGCTCAGCTCCTGCCGGCACCGCTGCTCCAGGGCCGCGGACGGCGCCGCCTCCCCCGCATCCCCCTTGCGCCGTTTCGCTCCGGCCGTGCGCGCGGCCTCTGGCTCCGCAGCCGCTGCATCCCTTGCGGCTTGCGCCACAGATGCACCTGGCATGCCCCATTCTTCTCAATTCTGTGGACATCCTGTGCATTTCACATGATGCCAGAACATAGAGATTGCGGGTGTACGCAAGGCTGTCTTAATTGCAGCTTGAGAGCGATGCTCACCTGTAGACCAGACACGCAAAGAGGAGTCCCAGCTGCTGCTGACGAAGAGCGAGCCCTCCGGGCTGGGGGCCACTGAAGCCACAGCATCTGTGTGATCCCTGGAGCACAAGCAGCCAGGCACTTAGCCTCTTTTATTCCTCAAGGGATAAAGATTTTTCATTCGTCAGGAAGCCCCTTGTATTCTGCCATTCATGAGGAGCATATGTCACCTGTACACAGCCAAGGTGGTTGCAGCCTCAGTGGTGCTGGCTGTATCATCCAAGGCAGACACATGTACTAGCTGCACCGTGTGATCCTGGCCTGCTGTCAGCACAAGAGGGCCCTGCTGCTCTGGTAGCACCGCAACAGCCTTGATGGGGCCGCTATGCAGCCTTGTGCTGCTGGTTTCCTCAGCATCTGCACAAGTACACATCTCATAATCAGTCCAATGCGACAGGCATGTGGAGAGCCTGCAAATCTCAATAGTGCCACTCGAAAGGACTTCACAATTTGGTATATTTGAGGGTTTTTGATCACCTTTCCAAGAGCGCAGAACTCCATCATAGCAGCCGCTGAGTATGTTGTCTCCTCGGGTAGCTACCCCGCTGACCCTGTATTGGACCATGCATGTAAGGACATGCGGCCTAGTGGCATACAGCAGAGTGCATGTCGAATTACGTTCACGTGAACAGCGCACCAGTCGTCATGTGGGTGTTGCTGCTTTGGTGTTGGTGGCTCCACAGCGAAGACATACTCTATATCCAACACAGTTTCCTGGACCGCATCGCAAACCAGTTATATGCAGTTCTACATGTGTGCATCATACTCAACTTGACTGAATGATTGCGATTACTGTCACCCCACCGCGGAGATAGTCTTGGCTAGCAAAAATTTCTTCAGAGACTGCCGCACGAGCTCCCCATTGATCAGGAAATCAAACGGCTTCACAGGATCTGTGCACCACACCAATATTCAGTCGTGCTCATCACTCTGGTCAGCTCGTTACCAAGGGCAGTAGCAGGTGTTTAGGCGCACCCATATCAAGGAGATGGTTGACCATCTTTGAAAGCCCAAGACGAGTTATGCTCGATGGCACAGCCTGCAAAAAAAGAGCTGTCAGGAGTGCCCGAAATCTCATTATTGCCGACATCAGCAGTCAAGATGGGTCCTCAGCAGTAAGTGTGTGCATACCACGGACATTCCAGGAACACGAAATTCTTGGGGCAGCTTAGTGATGAATCTGCAGGTAATTTGGGTGTCATCTTCAACTCCATTTGCAGCCATCGCAGAACAGGCCGCTTCGAGAAACCGGTGGCTGCTGCAAAAATGCGAATTTTATACTGGCATTCTTCAAGGTAATGGCAACAAGATCCGATCAATCATGTACCTAGTCAAAGCTTTCCACCTATTCCAAAGAGCTAAAGTAATCTTCGGACCTCAATTATTGATGTCGGAAATTTGCAGGACTTCTTAGCCAAGTTTGGCTTCCGTTTCGGAATCAGGCTGTTTCTCAATGCAAATTTCATTATGCAGGCCGAATCATGGGAAATGTACCCATAGAAAGTTGTCTGCATTGTTACAAATGATCTACAGGCAATTGACTGACATCCAAAGGACTCTACCTCACGACGCGTGTCTCACTACAGACACTTTACTTGCCCGGCAGGTCCAACGCAGACTATAGTCATTGGATTATTGAGCAGATCAGGGCATGGTCGAAACAGAAAGTCTCGTAGCATTGAGGGACAGGCAGCTTTCGGTGCTAAAGAAGCTCTCTTTACTCAAGGATCAAGCTCCTCAGGATCAAGCTCCTGATCAGGTAGGCAGCGGTCCTTTCCCTGCAACTTTCTCGGCAACTATAATATTGGTGTTAACAGATACTTTTGAATTGAACTTAATGGGTCATCCACAGGTCGTAAGAAATCATAAATGCACCTCAGACACCCAGGCGCTGCTGGCAAAAGAGCTACTTTCAAAGGGAGTGGTGCCCCACACATTCGTGCGTGTGCTGCATGATTACTACGAGTGCGCCACAAACACCTGCCTGAGATAATGCGCAGATTGATTTGCCTCCTATGTGCCGCCCTGGCTCCACCATAAGAACCTCTGACAGGCAAGTGTTGTGCTCAGTCGAGACCTGGAATGGAGGAGGGCGTATCTGAAGGCACAGAGCATTCACCACCTCTGTAAGAGCATTGTCATGGAGAACACAAAGATAGAAGCTGATATTAAAGGATGCCCCAAGTACTGCTGTGTAATTGTACAGGCAAGCAAGTTCTACTCCGAGTTCAAATGCCCTTCATGCTTACCCGACTGGGCAGGGTGCTTTTCTGCATGTTTCTTGACTCTGAATTGGCCTTGTTTGACTCTTCTGCGCGCAGTATGCAGCTCGCCTTCATGCAGAGAAGCTGAAGCGATGGATGCACAAGCAGCACAAAGAAGAGGGCGGAACCCTCGGCATAAAAAATATCAACATGCGGCTGGCCCCAGAGGATATCTCCAACAGGCTCACGGGTTTTGAGCACAATGCTGTCACCCCAATTGGCAGCGCATCACCTGACATGCCAATCGTGCTGTCACATAGGCGAGTCCTCATTCCTGCTGCTAATATTGTCCCTCCAGCTTGTCTGCAGGACGCACCTTGCCTTTTGGCAGGAAATGCGTGTAATACTAACAATAATTGGTAAGATTCGCAAAAGCTTTCGAACTTCAAAAATATGAAGCATACTGTACTTAGATCGTAGATGTCATGTTTCTTGGTGAAGCTTGCGAAAGTGATCATACCTCCTGATTGGCTGGCCTGGCTGATAGGTTTCTACGATGCATGCAGGATAGCTGAGCTGGATACGACAGATTCATTCATGTGGCTGGGAGCGGGGGAGACAGACTTGAAGGTCGGATTTCATGTGCAGAACTTCGTTGATGCTTACAAACCAGTGATAGTAGACTGCACATATGATACATGAGTACTTTACATAATTGCAAGGCAGGACCAATCTGCACTGAATAGTACTGCATTGCTGCCTGCAGCGAAGCCTCTCAATCCTCCTTGTCAGAACCTTCCTCCTCTTCCTCTTTGGCAAAGATGCGCTCCGGCTGCGTCTTCTCATACGCCTTTGTAAACTGATTGAACTGATCCTCCTTCCCAGCATGCCGCAAGATGCTCGCTCTGATGTCCTCGTCTGCAGGATTGCGCAGCATGCCCTGCAAGCATCCATGGCAGCCTGTCAGAACCTGTCAACCCCTTTTGAATGGAAGATTTATATTGAACAAGGGATGTAGCATGTGTTGCATTTATGCCGCAATGCAGCCCTTCTCCTTGCTCTGGCGCTCGCACCGTCTTGATGTCGGCATCTCTCTTTCCCTAAATCATGTAAATTCAAGGTAGGAAAGTTTGCCCGCGAGCTTCTGCAGGATAAGAGCGGCACAGACCAGATGTAACAAAAGTAGCAGGGGGGGGCGGACCTGATTCTTAAGGATATACTGGGTGAGCAGAGTGCCGCCGGTGACGCCGATCTTGCCGCCGGTGCCGACACCGAGGTCCGCCGCGGAGCCGCGCTCGGGCGCGCGGCTCTTGACGGGGTCCATGCGGTCCTTCTCGCGCTTGCGCTTGCCGCCCGGCTTGTCCTCCCGGAACAGCGGCAGCGCATGCGGCGTGTGGATGACCAACGGCGCCTGCACCACAGTCACCTCTCAGCAAATAAGATTCTGCACTTGCCTCCTTCTTCTGATGTTGCATGCTGCACAGTGCGTCCGCCAAACAGCTCGACTGCAGGACTCTTAGACACTGCATGCACAAGCAATTTGGTTCGTGGTAGAGAAGATTACATAGCATGCGCAAACGCACCTGGAAGTCGAAGGCATCCTTGGGGCGTGGCTTTCTGCCGGTGCACTGCAGCACGCCGCGTGTGCTCCATGTAGTGTCGTACAGTATCCGCACGTTCCCAGCCTTCTTGTCGCCTGCAGGCAAAGCCATCCCTGTCAAGCCTGAATGTTCCCTCGCAGAAGGACAAGTGACAGGCAACAGTGGCAAGCATGCCACAGAACGCAGCAGGCCCAATGAAGAGTGCAAGGCTAGATGCCTCAATTGGCTGCAGGGCACGATTAAACACGAAGTTGAGTTTTGCATTAACAGTGGCAGGCAGGCAGTACCCTCTTTCCACACCTTCAAGCCTCCCCTGTTTGCAAAAATTCCATGACAGAAGTAGCCAGACTGGCATGGAGAAGAGACAAAGGCGGTTACTCACCGACGCCCAGCATGATCTGGTTGAGCTTGGGGTGCCACTGCACGGCGACGACGGAGGAGGGCATGCCGATGCGGCGCACGAGCTGGCGGCTGGCGCGGTCGAAGAACAGCAGTGCGCCGCCCTGGCCGTCGCGGCCGGCGCTGGTGCCCGTCAGGATGAGGCGCTCGTCCGGGCTCAGCGCCACCTGCGTCGTCGCGTTGTCTGCCGGCAGGCCCTCCCACACGTGCACCGGCGCCTTGAACTTGCGCAGGTCCCACTCCTGCAGCCGCACACATGCACTGATAAATTATCCGTAGGCTTCATCACCGAGATGGGCATGCCGGATCTGGGCAAGGCGTGAGTGTCTGTGATGCGCATGCAGAGCTCATGCGCGTGTCCAGAACATCAGCAAGATGGCAGGGGTTCAACGCAGACATTTGGAAAGCCTTACATTGAGGCAGGTTCCTGCCAGACTGGCATGGCAGTTGAACGCAGTCCAAGGGGAGTGAAAAGAAGGAGGGCTTGAAAGTTGTAGCCACCATGAGGTCAGTTTGTTTTAAGAGGTATCATAGCCTTTCAAAACCCCCTGCCAAGCCAGGGTGATGGGGTGCATGATATTACATTCCTAAATTGGAGCATCCAGGAGTGAATGCAAGCACGGGAGCAGATACTGAACAGCCAAAGAGGGGTTCGCAAAGGGTGGGAGCGCGCACCTTGAGGGTGGCGTCGGCGCCGCGGGACAGCATGGTGTTGCTGTCGCGGAGGAAGGCCAGGGAGGTGATGTCAGATTCGGCCGCATGCGCGCCATGCACGTACTGGCCGCCGCCCGACACGTAGCGCCAGTCCTGCTTGCCCAGCATCTGCGGCTTGGGCGGCAGCACCTGGCCCACCGCCGCCGACGACCCAAACTTTCCTGCACCCACACGCCCCCTTTGCTTGTATTTGGACCCTTCATACACCACAGACCTGCAAGAATTGGTACCACTCTTTACTATTGTGCAATGCCCTCTTGGGCTGTCCGCAGCTATCATTGTTATCAACTATGAGGATGACGAGGCTGACCAAGTTGCCTTTGAACAGTAGCATTGAAGGTGAGCTTCTTGCAGGGACCCACCCTTCACGTCCCAGAGCTGAATGGTGCCGTTGGCAAGTCCGGCGGCGATGATGTGGCCGTTGGAGTTGTAACGCGCCACGGTGACAGCCACGCGCCCCGGCTTCTTCAGCGTGGGCTTGATCACTGTCTTCTGCACCACATTCCAGGTGTCCCACACCCTCACGCTGCCGTCCTCGCTGGACGTCAAGGCTGTGTACCTGCAAAACAGTAAGAGCAGGATCAAGAAGACCATCAATGGGACTGTGAAGAAGTGTGTCCCTGACTGAGGATGCATAAAAGAATAACTGCAGGCTAGCTTATGTAGTCATCCCTTGAATCTTTCATGTTCATGCACAGTGATCAATTCAGCCCATGCAAGCTTCAGAGAACAGACACTACGAGCTGCACCAAGCATGGTGATGAGGACAAACCTGTCAGTAGGGTGCCACTGGCCGTAGGTGCAGGGTGATACGTGGCCCTTGGTGTTGCGCTGGTCCCGGATGTACATGTCCCCCTGAAGACTCTCCCCACGCAATGAGCAGTCCCTGTCGAACACTTTGATCTTCGCCGAGCCCGTCACCGCCAGAAAGGCGTCACCTACAGTAGCCGCACAAGCACTTCTCATAATTCTTCATCATTGGTCATCATCAGCATTCAAGGATTCTCCACCCCTCGTGGTCCAGCGACGGTTATGGCAGGCATCATACCTGCATGCAACCAGAGTATAGCAAGCAGCTACTTTTTTGCTATGAGCAATGCCTTGGCAAGAGGCAAGCAGTACCTGAGGGGCTCCAAGACACGGCGTGCACAGGGTGGCCCTCAAAGGGCTCCACGCTGCGGAAGCTGCGCAGGTCCGACTTCATGCCGTTGAAGTCAAACAGCTTCACGGTGTAGTCCCTGGAGCCCGCCACCACCCTGGACCCGCTGTGGTCTATGTCCAAGGACGCCACCAGCTTCCCTTGGCCTGCAGCCAACCATGAGTGTTCCAATTTGAAATCCCCCTTGAACTGTCTCAATCACGTTCTGTTCCTGCAGCCTTGAGATACCTGTCCCCCATGCAAGGGCATGGGAGCCAAAGTCCCACTATCTGCTGATCTACGGCTAGTTGTGCATCAAAGCATACTGATAAGCACCTTCGAGCGCCACTTCTGATGTGACAGGCAGCCGATAGGGGTCCTCCTGCTCGTCTGGCTCTCCAGGGCCCCTGCCATCCCAAGCATCTCCCTCCTCCCCATCGCTGTCAGCTGGGGGCACTGCTGGTCCCGCCATTCCCTCCGTGTCACCTTCCTGTGCATGCATGTAACAAGGGCTTACCAGATCTGCGGAGAGGTCAATAGTACTGAGTAACAACGCTGCAGTAACATATGAGCATGCAAGCTGCAGATGCAGTTTTGAAACACTGAGACCTATACCTGTCCAGGAAGCACTTCATCAACAGTCATCGTGCGCGCTGTTGCGGGAGTGGCTTCAGCAAGGCGAGGTCCAACATCCTCGGCAGGATCCTCTTCCTCGTCTTCCTGCTGCTGAGGAGCCAGCTTTTGCCGAAGAGCACTCTGCAGTATAAATATGGTCAGAGAGAGTAGCTCTTTACGCATGAGTATTGAGCTTGGTGTGAGAACAGCACAGTAGACAGTGGAGCAAGTATCTCACTAGGCTTGGCATCCCAGTTCGGGCTTGTCTCTGTGCACGCAGTTGTGCCAACTCATCGTCCTCGTCACTGGACATTTCTTACGTATGCTGGTAAAGCACAAAATAATTATCAAATAAAGATGTGATCTGAGAGTGTGAAGTAAACTGTCCGACGTAGTATGATGCTTCACAACTGAATCCTCCTCTGATGGTCTTGAAGATTGCAGATATAAATTTTTGGTAGTAATATAATGCTTGAAACATGAAAATTTCCTAGAGCTCGACAATCTGGAGGGAACGCGTTGAGCAGATGATGTTGACATGTCATCCATCTGAAACAGGACACGTCACGCCAATCCATGAGAGCCGCTGCTTTCAGCGCAACAAGAATCTCACCGAAAGCGGCTGCAGTCTCTGAAACTATTATGTGAAGTCGACTGGAGGTTTTGGCGAAGGCGACGATAGATATAGTACTTTTGATACTCAATTGCAGTCTTCTTAAAAATTATTCCCATTATGCTGAAGTTTTCTGGGGGTGTCCATAGAGTCGGACTGCCGGTATGTTGCGCTTTTCCTTATTTCTGCAAAGGTATACACTGTTAAAAAGCCGATCATGATGTGAGGGGCTAAGCGTACAATTTCAGCACGTTCCCCCATGGGGCTGACTTTCAGAGCCCACATCGGCAAGGCCTCCGCATCTAGGATGCAAATGCAAGCAATTGCAGACAAAGCCAGAATGCATCGCGGCCTGCTCACACTGTCCGCCGTTGGAGCAGCAACTTTGCTGTCACAGCCAGCTTGGAAGACAGCACAGTACATCAGGAGACAGCAGAAGAAGCTCAACCGATATACTGGAAAAAGGTGAGCAGTATGTGATTTTGTGTGTGCGTGTCCCAAACTGAGAAGATCCAAGGTGGATGTCATACCTGCCATGCATGTCCCTTAGCTCAAGGCGCTGAGTGAATGAGTGCATGAAGCTAGCAAGCTCAACGTGGCACCTCTCATGTCTTGAAGTCTTGGCATTGGCATGGTTTGTACAGGTTTCTGAACCCGTTGGCAGCAAACGCCATCTGTGGGGCGGTGGGAGAGATCGCGCAGATCATTGCCATGTACCCAGTGGACACTTTGAAAGTGCAGTGCCAGGCTCAGGGCAGCTGCGTGCGGGGCGTGCTGTCCGGCCTGCGAGCGCGGCACTTGGGCCCCTTGCAAACACTGCGCTCCATGTATGCTGGCTGCGGTTCTGCGGCCACATGCTCCGCCTTCATCGGTGCTGCATACCTTGTGACTTTTTATCATGCAAAGGGCACGCTGACCAGGTACAGCTTCTGACCATCCTTTCGATACTGGCGGGTACAGTGACAATGTGGATTGCACACTCCTTGTAATGGGATTCTTTGATAGTATGGAGTGGCCCTTCTCACAACATGTCCGGTTTCACAGGAGAGCGGAAAAGAGGGCGGCGAGCAGGAGCAGGGGGGAGGATGTCAGCAGCAGGCTTTTGCCATGCATACAGAGTCCCACGGGCATGGCCTTGGCTGCCGCCTGTGTCTCGAGCATGGTGGGGAGCATTTTCGAAGCGCCAATGGAAATGTTCAAGCACAGAACACAGGTGAGCCCCTCTTGCACGTATATCGCATGTCCTTTTGAGCTCACGTTTTGCACCAGGCTATGCTTCTTTACACTTCTCTGGGGTACTTCTAAATAAAAAAACTGCTGTGTCACAGGCGGGCCTCATACAGGGGCGGATGCTGAACAACATGTCTGCAGCGCTGAGAAAGAACGGCATTGGGGCTCTGTACAGCGGCTATCTGGCATTCATCCTCAAGTCACTGCCGTACGACGTGGCAGAGCTTGTCACCTACTCAGAGCTCAGCAGACTGCAGGGGCCGCTGCAGAGGATACCCCAGGGCTGCAGGGACGTCCTCTCAGGTCAGCCCCTCCATGCTGATTATGTTCTTTTGCAACACCTTCCTTTCTATAGGCAATCCTCAGCTTGCCAGGCTGCACAAGCTCCTACTAGACCTTGTATAGATCGAGGATGCTTCATGCCGACCACCCTTAAGATGACGTTCCCTCGCACTTTGTATCTTATCTGAAAGCACAACATGTGCACTACAGGCAAGTTCAATGGGCAGGAAGCTTCGTGCTGACATGGCAAGGGGGGCTGTCTGCAGGGGCGTGCGCGGGGGCGGCAGCGGTGGTTGCGTCGATGCCGGCGGACTGCGTGAAGATGCGCATAGAGCTGTCGGGGGTGACGCCGCGCGCGGGCCTGCTGCCCAGCCTGGCGCTGTTCCTGGGCACTGCGCGCGCGATGGTGCGCCAGGGCGGCCCCGGCGCGCTCTTTGTCGGTATGGCCCCACGCCTGGCCGACAAGGTGCCCGGCACCATCGTCTACTGGTGCGAGCCGGCCTCAGCCAACAACATCGGTCCCCAAGGATGAGTCAAGTGAAGGTCAAATGTCAGGTCAAGTGACCTTAAGGGTCACCTTCTACTTTACTGGAATGCATTGATTGCTGAAAGGTTTATGCCAGTGTGTTTTCTAGGCTGTTTTTCAGAGCCTTAAAGGTCCCCAAACGATCGACACGGTTGGACTTCCTTTGTTTTTGTCATGCTTGCGAAGTGCGTGGTGATGAAATCGTGATTTGGCTGCCAGGCTGGCGGTGGAGGGGTGCCGGCGAGCGCTGGCGCCATACATGCATTTGGACAGCGAAGTGGAAATGGATACTCTGGATGAGATTTCAGAGAGTGGCACACTGCAGATTGCCTGCTGATCATTCATCGCTCAAGGCACTATGGAGGAGCTGTTGCCATGGGTCTTGAGCAGTGCATTATCTAGTCGGACAGCAGTAGATAGATAGTTAGGATCTGCCATTTCTGTAGTAAATAAACGTGTCGAAGTAGCATTTGCACATTAGACAGGTTCCCTGACCTGGTCTCGCGCTAGTCAGTTTGCCTGGTCGAACAATTTTGGGTCAGTTGGCTTTGCAAGTTCGTTAGAATCAGCATTTGGACTCAGTGCCATAGCACAATTTCACTGGGAGAATCCTGGCAGGATCTTGCTCTAACAAATTCCTGCATTATTACTGCTGTGCAGCAAGCAGTGATTACTGTAGATTCTTGCAGTGCATGTACGTGCTGAGCAGCAAATAAATATATCTCACGGGTGGACCCAATTGGGCACCCTTGACCGAGTATCTGTAGAGTACGCGTATGTTTGATGCATGAGCTGCTGGTAAATCTCCAGCATGGTCGCTGATCAGCTCCTGATTACTCTGAACTATAGCTCGAGATCACTGTGAGAAAATGTGCACAGGATATCTGGGTTGGTGGATCAGTTGGTCCAGACCAACTTATTGCACCGTCCTCTATAGACTGTTCTCTAGCTAGGAGCTGATTGGTGTTATATCTAAGGTGATCATCTGATGAGCGATCAAACTATGATATTTGTAACAACTTCGAAAATTTGGATATCTCTTTCATTAATGTTACATTAATATTAATGTTAAGAGCACTTTTCTGCTTGCAGTTTCAACCTGGCATTTTCAAACTCCTTCCGCAAGTCCTGCTTCTCTTCTTCATTCAGGAATGTGTGATCTATAGCTGCCTCTGAGATCTGCCACAGCTGCAGGCGGCTGAACTGAAAAGCCTGAGCTGCTATGGCAAACTCCTTGGAGAGTGATGTGCTGAAGACTCCACTATCGTCTGTACAGAGTATGACGGGATGACCTGACAGATTAGCACAGAAGAATCACCTCATGGTCCCGTAATACGACAAGGATATGTCATCAAGCTATGTCAAAGGCTATGTGATGCATAAGCGCCTAAGATCACAGCAGAATGTGTGACCCTGCAGGAGCTGAAAGAATGCTCACCAGCGCTGTAGAAGGGATGAAAGTGGTGCTCTGGATAGGATGCCACACTCTCTGTGATAATGTTACTGGAGAGGCACAGCTCTACAGGAATGCCTGTGCTGTAGTGCAGCGCCTCTAGACGCTCATCCAAGCAGCACATGTGCCCCAATCTGTCCGGCCTGAAGTGCAGCATTGCCTCTGTTTCTGCTGGGTTGTACACCTGACAATCAGTCGATCAGATTTCAGTTCACTGAAGTCTGCTATGCAATGATGCTACTGAAGTGCCCCTGTGCAGAAATGCCTCAAGTCCCCTCTTTGTGAGCAAGTGGACGTGTGCGCCTTACCTCAGCGGCATGCAGTGTAATCTTCAAGCCCTGTCTCCTAGCCTCCTGCAGTGCAGGCTCCCAAGTGCTCCACTGGCCCAAAGTGGGATTCCCTGAGAGATCAATGCCAACAACACCCCGGGACTGCAGCTCTGCAGCCAGCTGCACCGTCTCCAAGGCAGCCGCTGCGTCTTCTCTTCTGTCAATGCTCAGCAGCAGCCGCACAGCAATGCTGCGGCCCTTGGAAGCCCTTTGCCTCCCTGAAGCAGCGCAGCCAGCCATAAAATCCAAGTGTTGAGCAGCAAAGAGTTGATATGTTATTCCACCTGGTGCGACCTACTGAACTAGGTAATTGATCACATACCTTGGGCCTCCTGCATGCCTTTTAACACCGCCTCTGTATAGGACCTTTTCGTCATCCCATGCTCACTGCGCGTCTGTGATCATAGCTCATTAGTACGCAGCTCTTTGCTAAGTAGCTCTTTGGCATTCCCTGACACTTAACTTGAAGTGTGACTTCTGATATGCTAACCTGGCGATTAGCACACACCTTTGGGGTTGTGCGAAGCTCCAAGTAGCGCACATTATCTGCAGCAAAGTCCTCAACAACCTCCGAGGCGATGCCTGTGATGGTTTCGTGATCTGTTGTAATCTGGTGGATGACATCAAAGAGCTTAAAGCATTCTGACAGTGTCCTGTCCCCTGTAAATTGGATCAAACGGTGATCATACTAGCTCTTGGCTCCTTTGACCTTGGTATCGTGTAAGCAGGAGGCAGGAGAGGAAGTGGCATTTTCTCGACACCCGCACTTACCCTTCTCAATCAATTTTGTTAAGCTTGGATCGAGTTGCCGTTTGATTGCCAGCTTCCTGGGCACCAGGTCAACGCACAAGTATTTAGATCCCTTCTGTACCGTTGAAGGAGCAGCAGATTTTCGTGTCAACAACGTGGACACACCTGATTGTTGCATCACGAAGAGATCCATTTAGATGAGCATGAAGCTCAATCTTGGGTAATGCTTGACAAAATTTCAGTTCTTCTTCGCAGTAGTGCTGCATGGAAAAATTGGGTTATCACACAGCCTAACAGCTCGACCTCACCAACTATGAATTTTGTTGGTCGCAATCATGTCTGCAGACCACGGAAATCTGCAAGTCATCTAGGCATGCATCTTGTCCTATATACTATTTTCTTGCGATTTTTGAACGATCGTTAGAGGATGCTTGTACACAAAACACGATCGACAGATAATAAGAACGGATGAGTCTCTTGGAATCAGGCCTTTCTTGTGAGGGGGAAGCCAGATGGATGGAGTTCCAAAGGTTAGTCATGGCGCCCACACGTGAGTTTCCACTCTCATTCTGGTGCCCAGTCGCACCAAGATTATTGATATCAATAATTTCGGAAAGCGAACAAGTCCATAATGTTTGTCTTATAGAACAGGGCGCAGATGCTGAAGATGGTGACCTTAAAGTCACGGAATTAACCAAGGGCTGTCTCATCACAAGAAGATGCAGGCGTCAAGTTCGCTTTTGAGCTTTTTGGCAATATTCTTCCTTGTTGTCGGATTATCTGACAGCCAGATTCTCATACAGAAGGCTGACAGAGAGGTGAGATCACACCTCTATCCCCTGATCCCTTGTGCTCCTGCTGATGCCATCAGGAACGCCGCAAATGATCTTATGGCATGTTTGCGCAGTTCAACGCAGCCAAGAATTTCGTAATAGAAAGGACCACTTTGGATCTAAAGAATTCCGGATCGAAAGCAGTATCGGAAGTGGTGGTGTGCCACCCTTCTGATCTCACATCCAGCCGTGCATTCTTTGAGGTAAGCAGCTGGGATCTATTCCACTTAAGTTAATTTTACAAAAATATTCTACACATGGAAGAATATGAGGGGAGTGGAATGCATGCACAGGTTGTCCAGGGCACCACTGAGGATGCGCCAGAACTGGAGGTAGGGACTGCCACTCTTCCAAGCATAAACACGACAATCTCCCTCCACACAGCTTCTCATTGGAAATTAGGAAGGACCTTCTTATACAGAAGTTTGCTTTGGGACAGGTGAAAGACACGACTGTAGCTGGCGCACCGGCAAATGTCACTTGTGAGGCAGTGACACTTGTAACACCGATGGCTCCTGGCAAGACAACCACACTGGAGACATACAGCGTCTTGTTGAGCCAGTTGACTCCAAAGCCAAAGGAGATTGGGCAGGCAGATGTTCAAAGAGTCCTGTTCAGTGCCAACCGCCACATTGTCTCACCGTACAAGATTGCCACAGCAAACACCCAGGCATGTCTCCATCCACGTGCCCCTTGCTATCATGGGAATCCTCTGGATCTTCATTACTATCACACGATTTGTTGTCTCAAGCTAGCGCGGGTGGTCTGAGATTACCACAGATCTCCCCTGCGGCTGAACAATGTTGAAGGCAGAAAATGCTCAAATTCGCTGCCTGCATGCAGGTCAAGCTGCCCAGCAAGGACACCGAATCGTACACCGGAGCAGGGCCGGTGTCGAAATCTGGAGCGACCGTCACATATGGCCCAGACAGTGATGTGCAGCCCTTCAGTGGCGGGGCGCTGTCGGTCCACTTTGAGAACAACGCCCCCTTCGCGGAGGCGATGTCGCTCGTGAGGGAGATTGAGGTGTCGCACTGGGGCAATGTGTATGTAGAGGAGTACTACAACATCAAGCACACCGGTGCTGTGTTGAAGGTGCGCACCTTGCACGGCTGCCATATTTGCCTCTCGTTATGTGTGAACTTGGGTCTGGCGAGTCCATCGAGGGGTGGAATAGTGGCTGCCTTTACCTGCAGCTTGTGGGAATCTGGATCTGGCGAGTCCATCAAGGGGTAGCATATGTGGCTGCATCTTGACTGCAGACGCACCCTGCCTTTGGCAAGAACAGCGTCTAGTAACATGTGTGAACAGCCGTGCCCACTCTTTTCAAGTTGCAAATGAAAAGCTGGAACCCAGAGCAGGCCGTGGCATCAAAGGAGTGCTGGGTACCGTGCTGACAAACAACTTGCATGCGCAGGGAGAGTGGTCGCGTCTCAAGTACATGCAGGACGCGAGGCGGAACGGCGCTTCCTCCATCAAGGAGTTCACCGCTGTGCTGCCGCGCTCGGCGCACTCCCTGTACTTCAGGGACGAGATCGGCAATGTCTCCACGTCGTCCGTCAAGCGCCAGCGTGAGAAGTTGGAAGTCCGTCTCCAGCCTCGCTTTGTGCTGTTTGGCGGCTGGCAGGTGCGGCCCTCTTCCTCCGCCCTATTCAGAGTTTCCGACGTCCAGAATGTTCCCTCGCTCCCAAATAGAGCACAGTGTACGGCATGCTCGTGGGATTTAGTGCTGATGCAATCACAGAGGCCTGAGCCCTTGCGGGTGGATGTCATGCACAGGTGCAATTTGTGTTTGGGTACAGTCTGAAGCTGCAGACGGTGGTCAGCAGCATAAAGGGCGGCCTCCGGAAACTGTCCATCCCATTCTCCACACCGATCCTAAATCTCCCCATCAAGGATCTCACTGTGAAGGTTTGCCTCTCTCCTGCCTGCCAAATAGCTTTTCCAATTCAAGAAGCCATCAGATTGGCTTTGACATATTCGACGAGCGTGCCATTCCTCGTAATGTTTGCTCACATGGTGTAAATCTGTGCATGATGTCTGGCGCTGTGGTGCAGGTGGTTCTCCCAGAGGGGTCTTCTCACTTGGAGGCGGAATTCCCCTTTGCAGTGGAGCAGTCCATGGAGAAGAAGTACTCCTACCTGGACACACACGGCCGCCCCGTGCTGGTGCTCACAAAGCAGAACGTGGTGCCAGACCACAACATGCCCCTGGAGGTCACCTACAATTTCACCGGCCTGGCCATGCTGCAGGAGCCTCTGCTGCTCGTGGGCACATTCTTCGCCTTCTTCCTTGCACTCATCGTGTACGCGCGCTTTGACTTCCGGCTCTCTCCCACAAAGAGCGTCTGAGAAGTCTCTGAGACGTGCGCTGCATAATGCAATGGCGCAGCGCGTGACTGTCAGTGCACGGAGAAGTCTGCAGGGCTCTTGTGTGATGAAAGGGATAGCTGGCCTGCCGCTTGTCCAGTTGTGTGTCTGGGTTTTGCTGAAATTGTAATAGGATACTGAATGATATAGATTACGTAATTTATCACACATATTTAAATTCCACAACTTCTGACATGCAACTGCACGGTGACATCACAACAAATGAAACAGTACTGTCAGCCACCACAACACAGTACTGCAATGTAGAGAGTTCAGGCAAGTACATGGAGAAGTATCAAGCAATTCTGCAATGATTAACACAGCTCTTCACGTTCAGTCAACATTCATTCATTCAACCTCATTTTGTTCTTGATATTGCAGGCTCCCAACAATGAAACCCAGTGTTCCCAAAAAAAAAACGGCGTTAGTGCAATCAGAGGCCAAGCCCAACAGTGCGCCCGTCCGCCCTCCTGAGCCCAGCCATGAACTGTGCCTCCACATTATGTAAAAGCTTGTCCTGCCGCTCTCCTGCAGGTCACCACATGAATTACATCAATAGAGATGACAGACCCCGTTTAACGAGAGAACATGTTTCATTGAAGGAAGCTGGCATCACAATGGGAAGGAGTAGCATGAGGAGGCAAGCACACACTTGTGAGGGCTTCTCGCTCTGTTGGTGAAGCTGGTTGAGCCTGTGCCATTGCTGCAGTGGGCACTGTCGGCACCCTTTTCACACCCTGCAGCGTGTATGCAAGAAACGCAATCAGCCCCTAAATAAAACAGTGGAGAATTGACTCATCGTGCCTATCAAAGGTCACGTAGCAGCAGAGAAAGCAAGCGTTACATACCATGAGCTTGATAAACTTCTCCTTGTCGCCCTCATTTGAAAACTCAGCGGTGTCCCATCGGTTGGCACCAAAAGCCTCAGTCACCTGCAGCCAACAGCAATCAGGATGGGTGAATTGGCCAACAGGAGCACGGCTACATGCATGCGTGGAAGCCTCAAAGGAGCCCACAAGAAGATCTTGCTGCATTGATGTGGCACTCACCGGAACTGTCTGGACCTCCTCAGCCTTCTTTCCCCAGAGCAGCTTCTTCTTCTGCTCCGCGTTCAGCATCCCAGTCGGCAGCGGGACGCCCCCAGGGCCCATCATCCCCATCACTGCAAGACAACCACGCCTCATTTCAGCGCACCGGAGCAGAGATACTTGACGTTCAAGAGTCAGGGGGCGAGCATCTCTCTGAAGCACTGTGGACACCAAACTCGAGCAGTTACAGCAGAGCTAGTACAAATTCAATCCACAAAGCCCGCTGAATGCTTCTAAGCAATGACGGGAGTCCAGAGAAGAAGCACACCAATCTGAGCGGGAGTCTGCTGCAGCCCGGCTGCAGCTGTCCCTGCAGGCGCATCATTGAATGCGGTCTTTCGCTTCTGCCGCCGCTCCTCGGCCGCGCGGCGCTCGGCGTCGCCCTCCGACTCGGCACTCCTCCTCTTGCGCTGTGCCTCTGGCGATCTGGACCGCCGTCCGCTGCGCCTGTGGCCGTGCCTGCAGCCAGCAGCATTGAGCACTTCCACGATTTCATTCAAGCATTACTTTCACATTCACGCAAGTGTAGTATGCTTAGTCCGCCCAGCACCATGTGATGCCGACCAGAATGGGGCCGCGAGGATATGACCTGCCCATCCAAATCTGAGATTTGAAACGGAGGCTTGGGAGCTCAAAACAGTAGCTTTGTCGGGAGGACTCTTCCCAACACGTTTGTTGGATTGCTAATCATGCAAATGTCTCCATCACCGCAAAAGGAAATAGACCCAGATGTGTTTTTACTCGTGACTCAAGGTCATGTGCGGACCATCTCTAGTTCTGACTTAACAATTCTAGTGCTGCTGTTCTGGCTGGGTAGCGGGAGCGCAGCAGCGGCTGTGACTTTTGTGGCAAGACAACCTTCCAAGACACAGCATGCAGTGTTTCAGAGCATGCTACTCACCTGTCTGGCTCGTCTGATCGCCTGTAGCCGCTGGCGCCACGATGGTCTCTGCTGTTCCCTTGGGCATCAAACCTTCTGCCGCTGTCCCTTTCACGGCCGGGCGGAGAGTTGCGGTGTGAGAATCCATCCCTGCCGCGCCCACCGCCCCTGTGGTAATCCCTGTGACCCGGCGCCCTGTAGTCTCCCCTGGGAGCTTCTCTCTTAGAGGGCAGATACTCTCTGGGCCTATCTGCATGGCCCCTGCTCGTCTCACGCTGCCTATGCGCCGCTGCCATTTCTTGCTCATCCCTGTGACCACGATGGGTTTTCTGCGGTGGGGAGTCCTGCCGGGGTCGATCCCCCGTGTGCCTCTCGCGCGGCCCTGTTGGATGCCAGATAAGCACTCACAAAGCCCATCAGGCTACAGATTTGTGACACAGTAAATTTTCTGGGGTACCTCCAAGATGCAGTGGTAGGATCAGCCTGCAAGGTGCGCTATGTCTGGATATGTGCCGACTCACCAGCTTCGAGGCTGCTATTGCGGCGCTGCTGGTAGGACTCGAGGGGAGTGCCAGCTTTCTTTGCGCCATGCTCAGCAGCCTCAAGTATAAGGGTGTACTCATTCAGGCAGCGTCCGATGGTGATGACACTTTTGCCAGGAACCACTGGTGCCATGGCAGACTTCTCCAGCCGCTCTCCATCCACAAAGGTCCCTGTCCAGCAATTGTTAGGTGAGTCACTCTTATTGCAACAATGTGGTCTGCATGGCGGCCCCAGCTGGCTGGCTCCCCCAGCTGGCTGGCTCTGTGAGTCAAATGCGGCATTTCATTCATCCTGATGCCCAAATTGCTGATGACCTGGGGCGGCTGCCTCAGGCCCGTTCTGCTCCAACTTGCTCGCATAATGTGCATCAGCGCGCTCCCACAGCCGCTTCAAAAGTGCTTTTCATTGTGCCTGTTTATGACAGTGCTGTTTCAGGGACTTGGTTCTACCGCTCTAGCCTGGCCCACTCTAGCAAGATGCTTGACAATGGACGCAGAACCAAAAGGAAATTTCAGGAACAACTGAAGTCTGATTTCCTATCCAAAGGGGCGCAGCCAGCTTGTGGGAAGCAGGGACCGTACCGTGAGAAGAGTCCAGATCCTGGATCTGGAATCGATCCCCATCGAACCCCAGGCATGCATGCACTCGTGATGCGGACTTGTGCGCCACCTCACAGTCACACACCTGCTGCACAACCCATCCTGAGTCTTGCACCCAGTCTGGCAATCAGGAAGACGCGCAAGAAGCAACATAGCTGCACAAAAAACATGAGAGAATCCCTTCCCACCTGACCGTTTCGCCCGAATAGAAGACCTCCCTTTTCGTCAAACGCTACTCTGTTGATGGTCTCATCCGGGAATCTAGCCTCCACCAAACAACCCCTAGGTATGGGAGTTTGGACCCAACTCGGCATATGGTCTGCCATTTTCAACTCCTCCACCATTCACAATCACTCGGTCCAGTTGGCTGAATTGAAACAGGTTCAATTAGCCTGCTGATGGGGCACAAGGGAGTTGCAATGATGGGGCATGCCATGCATCCGATGCCATGCTTGATGGGCAGTCTTGTGAGATTTCCTTGAGAAGTTGTTTTTTCTTGAAGAATTCTGATTAAGTAATGTTTTGTAGACATCGGGGCTTTCTCCTTGTTCTCTGTAGAGGGCAGCTGTGCTAGTACTGTTTGTCAGAAAGAGATGCATGACTCTGATACTTAGAAAATTTGCGCACTGCTCGTGACTTGATGAAATTGTTTTAGTGACTTATATTTACCATCACCAGATCCCGCATTCACAGCGCCAGTCAGCATAGCCTTGAGATGCACCGGACGGCAGGTTTCCTTGTAAAGCGGCACCATTCGCTGCAGTTTCTGTGCAGGATCTGCAAAGACAATAAAGCTACCACATGCCAGAAGGAAGCATTGAGCATCGCATTCAGAAGCAGGCCATTCTCTGAGGCTGCAGAGGCGAGCACTGGCAGCAGCTGGGTGCCCCAGTGGTTGAGAAACAAGTTGCCAGGTCTGCATTGGCCCCTTTTGGCTCTTGTCTTGCAATTCATCATCAGCAGCAGCAGATTGCCATGCTTGCATCGGAGGTGTGTTGCTCAGGAATTGTGGTTTGATCCATCAGAGGCATGCTGCAGGAGTCGTGGGAGGCACCAAGGACACTGATGAGCTTGAGAAGCTCGATCTTGACGGTAATCGCTCATCTGATTCCAGCTTTCTCTTCATATCATGCTTGGCTGCAGTACCCAAACGACTTTGACCCATGCGTGGCTACGCATGCACAGTGTACGCCAAATCTCTTGCACGGGCGAGAAAGCTTGGGGCATTGACTGGCTATGTCCATGGGACCAGTGCTATCAAGGATCCTCAGGTGCAGGGCGGTCTAAGGCTGCAAGAAGACATCATTGGGTGAGCGGACTGCGCATCACGCTCTACACTGAGATGCTTTTCTCTGCATAAAGTCTGTCAATGTCCTTACCGTGAACAGCTTGTGTGTAACACAGAGCCATGACGCCAGAGGAGAGGCAGGACTTGGCTTTGTTTGGGCCAGCTGAACGCCAGAGAACTGCTGAACAAGTGGGGTGCACTGTAGGGCAGGTGAGGTGCATACTGGCTCACCTCCCTCTGTGCAAAACACATACTGCTGCTGGGATGTGATGCAATGCCTTTGTATGGTCGTGCAGGTGGATGACTGCATAGCAAAGTACAGGTGGATGCAGCACATGACTGCCAGGATGGCGCAGTTGAAAAAGGAAGGAAAGCCGCTTCCAACCTCGATTGATGAGGTGGAGCAGAAGCTTGGTGCGCCTGCTGACCCCTACTTCAGTGTGACATAGCGGGCGCCTATGGTCCAACACCTTTCCAATTTGCCCTTCTGACACCCTGCGGTCAAGCCACCCTGTGCATCGTGCAGGTACTTGGCAGAGTTTCAAGGCAGAGCAAAGCAACGACAGTGAATTCGAGAGAGCAGCCCCCACCGGTATGCGATGCATTGTTCAATCTGTCAACTTTTAGTGATTTTGCACCCAATCCAAGCATCCTTATGCTTTGACTCTTCCCAGGACTTGCCCTTTTGTGATGCGCTGTGAGTGCAGGCACAATCATGGTCCCAGCGGATGCTAAAGAACCAAAGACAAAGCAGGACTGCCCACTGGCCAGCTCATATGTCAGCCGCAACACAAAGTGTCCTCTGACAAATCGACGATACAAGGGATGCTGTGGCAAGAGTTGACAGCAATGGGGTGTTGCCTCAGTGAGCAGGATTGCAGACTCTTGAAACTATAATAATCTGAAACTTTGGTGAGTTGCCTTGACAATGTGTAGCAGGCCTGTGTGCATGCACGCTTTGGGATTCAAATTGACTCAAATTGACTCCTAGGTCACTCAAATGGCTGGACGTGTGTCACAACAGCTGTCTACTCTATAGAAGGGACTTTTCAAAATACCATTAATGCCATTGCCATGCCAGCTCCAGCCTGCACACTCGTCTGCATCCTATCCCGAACTTTTGTATACCATTGCTGCAGTGAGAGCTCCATCCTGCAGGCCCCAAGGTGGGCCTGGCATCACTCTGCAAGTTGCAACTGCCCAGCAGGCTGCAAGCTGTGCTTTGCCATCAGAAATATCCTGTGATCGTGGCAGTAAGGGCCAATGGCAATTTAGCTACTCAATGATTTAGCTACTCAATGTGAAATCCCTGTTATAAGGAAAAATAGGCGATCAATCTGCCTTCTAGAAATTTTCACCTTGGACAAGGTTTTGATGCAGGCGGGACCGAGCCAGCGGGTATCCTGCAAAAGTCCCTTCACATGCATCAATTCCGTCAAGATGAATACAGTCTTACACACAAACAAGACTGCCCCCAATCATCATTCAGTGGTGAACATGGGTGACGATCTCTCCTTTGAAGAGGAGCTTTTGCTCCAGGTTGCAGGTCGAAGCAGACCGAGTGCCAAATCGCAAGGCAAGAAGAGGAACAGGAGGGCTGTGAGCATCTCAGAGGACGACGGTGAAGAGTTTAACAGCGACAGTAACGATGAAAGTGAGGACAAACCGAGCCAAGAGAAGGGAAGGCGTTCCTCTGGAGTGCAGAACAAGAAGAGCAGAAGTGCACCACAGGAGGAGGAGCAGGTAGAGGCCCACAATTTCATTATTATAGCATTACAACTGAATTCAGTCCATCAGAGCAGATATTGAGGACATCCACTTTAAAGCAATTTTTAGAAACCAATCTGTCTGATCTGTGGTGTGTGATGCGGCTTTAGAACATGTAGTCTGTTGATGCACTTAAAAATTGTGTCTTCAAGGGTTAACATAAGAATCGATGATCGCATGCGGCCTTTCTGCAGGTCTCTGATGGAGGCGAGTTCGACGATGGCTATGGCTCTGACCTCATGGGAGATGAGGAAGACAGGGCCCACCTGATGGGTATGAACGAGCTGCAGCGTGAGATGATCCTGGCTGAGAGAGCAGAGAAGCGTGACCTGGAGCGAGAGCGCCGTGAGCGCCTGCGCAATGCCAAGCTTGTCAGGCAGAACCAGCAAGCATCGCAGCAGGTGAATCTCCAGCTGTATATAGCAAGTGCCGCGTGGCTTCTTTGTAATGGATCATCTGTGTTTCCTACTTCTTGAAGCTGGACTGAGCTCATTCCCTGCTGCAAAGCAGACCCTGCAGCCCCGGGCATCCACCCGCGCCAAACAACAGGCAGGCAGCGCCAAGAAGAGCGCCATGGCAGAGCTTGTGGCCGCCAAGGCGGCGCGGGCAGAGCGCACCACCGCCCTCGACAGGTGCTGTCCTAGTCCATGCTGCCTGATAATTCCTCACCCAACCTCTTTTTTATGATTATTTTTACTGTAGTAGCGGGGGTGTCAGCAGCCTAGGCACAGTTGGACATGGGGTGATGCATGCATTTCAGGGAGAGGAGGCGGCGCGGGAGGGACTCCTCATACAGCGAGGAGGAGGAGGCGCGGCTGAGCGACAGCGAGGCTGACAGGTCAGCGCGCAGCAGCCCCGACCGCAGCAGCCCCGACCGCGGCGCACGCTCTGACGATGACGACCGCCGCCGCCGCTACAGCCGCAGCGAGTCCGACTCCGACGAGGATGCCGATGCGCGCTCCCAGGAGGTCAGGCCTACACCTCCTTGTTTAAAATTTGGCACTTAAACATACACCTTTACATGATTGTTGCACCAGTAAAATTGAGACACCCCTGCCTCTTTTAAGAGGAACTCTGTCCATGAAAAGGTATAAGTGCAAATGGCACAGTGCTATACGGCAATCTGCTCAAGGCCCACTCCCTAATGGGCTGCTCACAAGCAGGGCAATTGCGATGCTTTTGGCGGCTGGGCTGCAAGCTTCTTGCAGGAACAGAGCTCAGCGAGTGGGCAACTGGTGACGTGCAGGCTGATGAGGCGGAGGAGGCGTCGATGGAGGAGGCGCTGAGGATGCAGGTGCGGCGCTCGCTGCTAGAGAAGTGGCTCAACGAGCCCTTCCTGGAGAAGACCGTGGTGGGCTGCCTGGTGCGCGTGTCCATGCGAGGGGCCTACATCCTGGCAGAGGTCATCGGTGTCGTGGAGCGCGAAGCTGGCACCTACAAGTGAGCGCCCTCAATCACCGAAGCACATGCCAGATGAAGGCCTGTGAACTTCCATCAAGGATTTGAGCTGTCACCCTTCTTTCATAGAACGCTATGGGAGATCTAGACTGCACACATGCTCAGGCTTGCTCCTTGTGTGGCCAACAGGGATCCTCAGTTCGCCTTCAAGAGCCCCTACAAGACCCCCGAGGGCAAGCTGACCAACAAGTGGCTGCTGATGCAGCACGGCACCTCCCAAAGGTGTGCTGGATTTCTCTCATAGATCTAAACGTGCAGCTTGTGCCTTGTAGTGATTGATGGCAGTGTGTCAGCGCATGCTTTGCTATTTGCGGCACTCACGAAAGGGGAATTTTTGGCTGAAGGTACATGCCCATTGCGCTGGTGTCCAACAAGAAGTTCACAGAGGATGAATGGCGCAAGTGGCACACGCAGTGCGAGAAGGATAACCGCCCCCAGCTTAGCACCGGTGATGTGCAGTCTGCCGTTGCGCGCTTCAAGCAGGCGCTCACGTGAGACTCCCAGCCTGTGATTTCCATGAAGCCACATGCATCACATCTTTAACTTTGACCAGGGAATTCAATTGTGTTTGCTTGAAATTAGTGGCTTCTGTGTGGTTTCTTGATAAAGTTGCAGCATCGGAAGAAGTTTGCTGACTTTGCTTTCGGCATGGTTCAGCTACACCTACACTGCGGAGGACGTGCAGAGGATGATAGAGGAAAAGCGCGCCAGGGGAACTTTTGGGCGCAACTCTGCTGTGGAGAAGGCGCGCCTCGAGCGCCTGCGCGACGCCGCTATGGACCAGGAAGATCTAGAAGAAGCCCAGAGGTGATACTCCGGTTCTGATGGCTTGTTATTGACCCCGTTCATGTCCCATCACCCTCTCACAAGCATCCCATCACGTTTTGATCACATTTTTGTCAGCGCACAATGCAGCGCATGACAATCATGTGTGTGTAGAGTTCAGACAATTATTTTCTGAAGCAATACAGCAGACGTGTGACAATTTATGTTGTTTTCTGTCAGGCTTTCTGATCAGATTGCCGAGCTGGAGGCGGCTGCGGCGGAGCGTGCGGCTGAAAGGCGCAATGTTGGCATGGCGAGCGTGAATCGCAGGAACACAAACCGCAATTTTGAAAACGCGTTCAAAAATGTGGGCGCGCGGCCAGAGGGGGCGCGGCTGGCCGACGACGGCACCGACCCCTTCTCGCGGCGCAAGACCCGCCCCATGAACTACTGGAGCACCAAGCGCAAACAGGCCACCACCAACGGTGCGAATTGCGCTTGTGGGCTCTTGCCTTTTCATTCGCGGTCGGATGCACATGCAGCAGTCTGGGGTGGATTTTTGTGGCTGCTCTTCTTGATTTTCTGGGCCTGGAGTGTCTTCCTTTCTGCTGCGGGTGTCTTGCTAGCAAGGGAGCTGCTCCTGCTCAGGAAACCACCAGAAGTCCTTTGAAATTATCTCAGTCTGCAGCATGATGATGTTGACTGTACAGCTGGCTGAAGAAGTGAGGTCAGGCAAAGGGAAAGGTCATCATGGATTTGAATGCCCCTGCAGGAGAGGTGGACGGCCTGTCAGTGGCGACATCTTCCCATGGCGCTGATGGTGAGGACGGCGAGCCTGAGACACCGGCAGCTCGCGCCACAGAGAATGAGCAGGTGCGTTGATGTCCAAGGCGAACGCAGGAACTACCTGCCTTACTAGCTTGGACACTCTCAGGTCCCCTGATCTGCAAAATAGTGTCGTGCTGCTTTGTTGACATCAGGTGCTGTGAATGCAAAAATATAGGAATGTATTCTTGCTCTGTATTCGCATTTCTGAAGGCTAAGACTTGCCAGATAAAGTACTGAGGATCTGCATCCTTAGTTTGCATCAAGTGCGTTGAAGGGGTGGTTGTTGGTGAGTGACATGGTCATGGTGTGATGCAGGGTGATTTGGATGTGAACATTGACCTGTCAGTGCTGAAGTTGGCCAGCCATCGGAAGTCCATGGCCAGCCAGTTGCTGGGACCCAATTGGCAGATATCCTCCTGCGCGCACTCCAAGCAACCTCCAGACCTTGCTGCGCGCAAAATGCTCACACTGGCGGACTACAAACGGAGACAGGGCATAATCTAGGAAGTCATTTCTTCTATACCTAAACATCTGATCCTGTCGCTCAGGCGCACAAAATCACTTTTTTAAATGGGGCGCTTGGCTGCAAGTATATGTGCAGAGAGTTTCGTACGTCTCAGCGGCATTGCGTGCACTATCTCACGATTTGATGCTGAGATGGGGTGAAGCTGCTACATTACAGTGGTAGTGGTCATGGGACAGACTGCCATTGAGTGCTGCTGGTGCTCTGTGCATGCTACTTTTCTGTGGCACATGCAGTAAGGAGCTGGCTCTGCATGCGGTTTTCTCAGTCTTGTCCGTCTTACGATCAAGATCTTGCGCAGAGTTAATGCAAATTTGTAAATTGCGATGCCAGTCCTGAAGCCTGCCAGATCATCCCACGTGTTTGCACACACCCCACCTCCCCTCAGCTTCCCCGTCATGGCGCGTCTCAAGGAGTCATAGAATTGAAGCATGCCCTTTCAATTCTCTACACACTGAGGCAAGCATGAGTGCAGATCTTTGGCACGGCTGAAAGGCGTTGCGAGCATTCAAATTTCCTATAGCAGTTCTATGTGGACGATGAAGGAGGACATTGTCCCTGTTGCTCAAGCGGACTCTTCTGAGAAACCCCTCGCCGAAGACCTCTCTGCCGCTTGGTCATACGAGCCACTACATCCAGATCAGCTGCGCTGGTATTGGAACAAGCAGCCATTCTCCTTGAAAGGTCCGCTCAGTGCACAGAATATTTCAGTGGCGCACAAATGGGTGGCATCGTCCACCGATCTCGATCTTGTTGCTTTTCCTAAAACAAATGACAAGAGTTTGATTGCCTAGTACCTTTCTTCTCGCTGTATTATATGACCGTCTAGGGGTTACCTTGCATGGCATGGCAATGCAGCCTTCCTATCGCTCTAGGCATCACTGGCGACTGATCTGCATATATCAGATGACCATTTTTTTGTAACAGTATTGGCTCAGGAAGCACTTCTATGCCGTGCAGCTGTGTACCAGACAGATGTCCAGCACAGGGCACACCTGCAGCGCTTTGGGGATGCCGACAACCTCACTCTGGAAAAGACCTACAGGTAATCATCCGTGCAGATGGCAACGCCATCTTCAACCCATGACCTGCTAGCTGGTGCTCCAGGATGCTTGGGGATTTACAGCCACTGACAGAGTTGACCATTTGTTTGGCCACAGGGAACGACTGGATCAGCTGGAGAGGGCATGGTGGGAGGAGGAGGCAGAGCTCAGCACAGGGCTGGCAGAGCATGGGCAGGGCGGCAGCTCCTCAGACACAAATGCCAAGGAAGAGTGCGGGTCCAGCAACTGGCAGGTATGCCTGGGCGCTCTATCCTGCGCGATACACTTTCATGTACACAGTCCATGCTCCTGACAGTCCTAAGGCCCCTTGCAAAATCCACGACTTCGCATTTCTGGGCACATTGTATTCAGTACTTAATGCACTGTGCAGTTGTGGCAGTAAGTGATTGGGGGTTGGGCATGCAGGCATTTGTGGCTGGGGAGGGGCAGGGGGAGGCGGTGGGGGAACTGGTGCGCGGGGGGCTCTATGAGGTGGACATGATGCGGCGGCGCATGCGTTGCGTGTACTGGCCCGAGCATGCACACCGCGTGCACCGAGGCACCTGGTTCATGGAGAAGGGCACTGATTGGGTCCCCCTCAAGGTGAATCCTGCCTGTGCATGCCGGACTACCTCTGTCCCTGCATGGCCTGCTCATGCGTGAGGCATTCGCTGCAGGCATGCAGGGCACTGCCTAGAACAAGTCTACATCCCTTCAGTAGCGAATTGTGATGTGCTGGGAAGGATTTGTCTTGATTGACTGGGTGCTGGTCATGCATTCATCATGGTTTGAGAGATTGAGTAAATGCTTGCTGAGGAATGGCAATTGCATCAGGAGACGGTGGCGGATGAGTTGGAAGAGGGGTACCGAGGGGAGATATGGAATCCTGCCAGGGGCCATGTGCAGCAGCAGAAGCAGGGGATTGAGGCTGCGCGCCTGGAGCTGCGCTCCCTTATCAACGAGACAAAGGTGTATTCTTGTAAAGTGTCTCTGCACATTACATGATATGTCCCCATAGTTGAGAGGATCACAACGTTGCTTCTGTGAATGTAGCAAATCGGCAATACCCGGCATTCTGTCCTGAGAGTCAGCCATGCCTGCTTGCAGGGCATGTATGCGCTCTTTGTGAGCAGCCAGGAGATGTACCTGTGCAGGGACAACTACTCGGCATGGATATCAAGGTACCCCTCTCTTCAAGAGACAACAGCTGTCACGAGCTGTGCTGCCCGGATCTGAGATCAAGGCTTGCCCAGCATCTGCCTGAATGCCTGAACTGCGGCCAGATAATTGTGTGTCATTCCTGAGTGACAGCACCTGTCAAATTTTAGCTTGTACTTTGATGTTTCAGGAGTTGGAGCAGCAATCCGGCCATCGGTGTGCGGCTGCGCCGCGGCTACGAGGCTCCAGCTGCTGGGGCGGTGGAGGTCGACGTCAAGGCCGAGGAGGCCGACAATTTTGCGGCGCGTGTGCCCGTCAACCGGCTGGTCTTTGTCGTGCACGGCATCGGCCAGGTCGGCCACACTGGGCCCCATCTGCTCTGCATTCCCTTATTCTTGATGCATGAGTACCAACTCTCTGCATGGACCAGCTCCCACTGGAGGGCATTCGGCGCATGCAGCCATCCAATTGAGGCTCTTGCCACACCAAGAGCAAATGGATGGGGAAGCAAATGACAAATGTCGTTTGCAAATGTCTTGCAATGCACAGGCTGGCTGCAGGGTGAGGTGCATCTAACTTTTTGTGGGCCCTGGCGCGCTTCATGCATGCCACCAAACCTGTGCGTGAGCCTTGCCTTTGGTTTGGCAGCGTGGTGGCCCTCACTGAAGTGCTGGGACACTTTGCATGCAGAACCTGAGCGGCAGCAACATAGGGGAGGATGCGAGCAACGTGCGCAACAATCTGCGCGCGCTGGCGCTCACGGATGTGGACGAGAAGGAACGCGAGGCCGGCCGCACTGAGGTCCTGCCCGTGCAGTGGCGCAAGCACCTCAACCTCGACGTGCGCCCCTCCCCTTTCTTTAGCCATCCTCCACCGCGCTCCACTCCTTGAATAAGACTAGGGACCATGCTTATGGCTTGGTGCACATTGTCTTGCACGATGGTCCTCTGCCGAAGAATACATTCGTAGTGCAAGCAATGCTGAGCGCAAAGGACACGATGGTGGAATACTGATGGAGAGCGGTACCCTGCATTTTGCCCATTGCCCACCCTCAAACTCATAGTACAGTACCTCTGCATTGCCCGCAAATTTCCAGGGGGTAAGCTGTGAGCTGGAAGAGCTTACTTTGCAAATTGTCTTGCAAGTGTTGTGTGTTTCAGAAGCTTGGATTGTTGTCCAGATCGACGTGCTGGCGGATGCGCTGATGCCGCCGGGGGTGCGCAGCCTGCGGAGCATGCTGCACGCGACTGCAGTTGAGGTGCTGCTGTACCTGACGCCGCTGCACTGCCACGACATGCTGCAGTCCCTCGTCACCGCCATGAACGCCCAATTTGCAAAATTCATGCTGCGCCACCCCGACTTCCAGGCACGCACCCCTTGACTCCTGTTGAATTGAATATAGCGGCATTCCTCTTTAATTTTGCGGCAGATCCACTTACTGAAACCCTGCTGGCAGACAGGGCGCCACCAGCTGCATGCAATCCTTCACCCTGCCTGCTGTAGTCTGCTGTGAGCATGCCAGCTGGAGGCATATCTCTCTGAAGCTCTTCAGGGGAATCCCGAGAGAAATTTTTATGCGAGGATTGCTGATCGAGGAGGATGTGCTGCAAAAGTTGGTCATTTCTCACATGCATTGAACCTAGATGCATGCCATGAGGACAATTGCTAAGTAAGAGGGAGCATCGTCATGAAGGGGCATGACGAGTGATGAATGGTGCAGGGGAGTGTGTCTGTAATGGCGCACTCGCTGGGCAGCGTGCTCTCGTACGACGTGCTGTGCAACCAGCCGCAGCTACACGCCGCCCTACACCTCCACCAGCCGCCATCCCAGTCACCCGAGGCCATCCAGCAGGCCAAACGAGCCCGCCTATCCCCCATTGACACCCAGGTACCTTACTTCATTTGCAACCTGCGCGTCTCACTCCCCTTGTGCTTACATCCTTGTGTGAACTTCATCCCCTGGCTGTCAAGCCTGCAGCAGGGAGAATGCATACCCATTCTTGAGTGTCCACAACACCTTTAGCTGTCAAGCCTGCACCAAGGGGTTATCTGGGGTGGTCTCCTATCCCGTCTAGAATCAATGCCTGGATGTCAATGCAGGGCTTAGAATTTGGCGACAGGCCGGCAGGGAGCAGCCCCACGTCTGGCATGGGCAGCTCTGGAAATAGGGGACCCCTCAGCGGCAGCATTGACGCTGACCTCACTGACCTCTCCTGCATGCTCACCCCCATCGGCCAAGCCAGGTCGCCCACAGACTCCTCCAGGGAAGAGGTGCGCAGCAGCACCCTCACCTGCCTTCTCGGTCCCTTGCACAGCGGGCAGTCATTCTATGTCATCCTATCTAGCCTTCACAATGCTGCAGGTCTCTAAAGTCGGTTGTTGCTCTGCCTTGAAAGGCTGCAACCTGTGTGCATGTGGGTGTGCAGGAGAGGCGGCTGCGGGCAGAGAATGCGCGGCTAAGGAGGGAGCTTGCCCTGGCGCATGCGCATGCAGAGCGCGCTGCCATGGGGGCCGCTGCCGGCACCAGCGGCCAGCCGGTGCCTGCCAGGGGCGCCTCACCCACAGGTGACCATCCCATGCATGCAGCCCCAGAGTCTTAGAGATCATTTTTCAAATTTCTGCAGTGAACTGTGAGGGGAGCACATCAAAGGCGCTGCTACTAACGACTGGGGGGGTTCCGCATGTGCAGGAAGTGACCAGTATGCAACGGCGGCAGCCGCGCAGGAGGCTGCGCACCTTGCCCCTGCAGTGCAGATCCCCTCCCTCGACTTCAGCGTAGATCAGTTCTTCTGCATAGGTCCGCTTTGACTCAAGACCTCTTTTTCACCGAGCATGTCAATGCAGCGATTAGAACAATCATGCCCCTCCAGGTCTCATCGTGTTACAGCAAGTGATGTCAGAGCTACCTGGCTTAAGAAGAAAAGACTGTATGTCCTGTTTACTCATGCAGCACTTTTGGTAAAGATGTTGAGGCTTGGAGCTCCCCATGCAGGATCTCCGCTGGGCCTGTTTCTGGCGCTGAGAAAGGTGGACCCTGGCAAGGGGCGGGGCCTGGGCACGCGCACAGCCGCCGCGCTGATGCCGGGAGCGCCGGCGCAGCAGGGCCACGGCGACGGGCTGCCGGCCGTGCATCGCATGTACAACCTGTACCACCCCTTTGACCCTGTTGGCTACAGGTCCGGGCTTTATCCATCTCTTTTCTTCTCTGTACTGCACCATCGAAATCAGAAGAAAGACAAGCCTGTCGCATTTGATGTCCCTCGCCTTCTTGCTCAAGTTTTCCAGAGTGCGGGAATGAGCACTCTGTCGCTCGTTGAAGAGCAGCTGATCTTGACGCTGATAGCAAAGGAATGCCGAGAAAACGGCAGTGGCGGGCGGCATGGAAAATGTACACAGAGTTGGTTGATCAGGACAGGTGGCCTGATATTGAAAGGTGATGCGCGTGCTCAGGCTGGAGCCGCTAGTGATACCCGGCGCTGAGAAGCGGCGGCCGGTGTTTGCGGCGTACGCCAAGGGCGGCCGGCGGCTGCACGTGGGCCTGCAGGAGTTTGGCGAGGATGTGAGCGCAGCCATGAGCGCCGGCGCGGCCAAGGCATCCTCCGCACTCTTCTCCGGCATCTCTTCCCTCAAGCTTGGCGCCTCCTTTGTTGCCAACGCCGTTACCATCAAACGTGTCGACCCACGAGAAACCGAGGGTGCGCTAAACCCCGCCATCGTAGTGACTTCATATTGCACAACTAGCTTTGGAATTCAGCATGCATTCTGCATGAAAAATAGCCGCTGCGTTCGTTGCTGCGCTTGCAGGATCAGCGCTGCTGGAAGAAGGCAAATATTATTACACATGTAATAGCCACTATGCTGGCAGGGTCCAGGCTGAAAGGTAAGGTTGTGTCTGCTGGCACAGGCTCTGCACAGGCTCAAGGACCCAACGCCTATTTGCTCTCTGTCCAGTTGCATCCTCAATTACACACGGAATGTGCGCAGGATGAGCACTGTGCCTGTAAAAGCCGGGATGCAGCATGACACATAGCAGAGATACCGCAGTGACTAAAAGAGAGAATGAATTTCAGCAGGCTCAGTGACATAAAGAGTCTTTGCCATGAAATGCAAAGGGACAGAAGCTTTCCTCTTGCGTGGGGCGGCAGGGCTGAAGGAGGAGGAGGAGAGCAACGAGCAGGACGCGGCGGACAACGAGGCGCTGCAGAACACATCGCACGGCCTCAAGGACACCGCCATCTGGCGCCTCACCGACGGGCCCGGAGCGCCGCCCGACGTGGCTGCTCGCACCCCCGTCGCCAACCGCACCGCAGCCGGCCGCCTGGATTTCGTGCTTCAGGTGCTTGAGCAGCTTGCTTTTGATCCTGTTTAGCAGGCCATGTAAATTGACAAGCAGAATTGCATTCTTATGATCTCTCCTGTCTTGAGAGAGAAGAGGGGTTTGATGTCAGGGAACTCGATCTCGGTGCCCATGCAATAGATGAACAAGCATCCCCTTGGCATGTGGCGCCGCCAATAATTCGCTGCAGCTGTCCTGATCGCTTGGTGCCTCAATTGGCTTGCACATGCGCGGATTACGCTTTGTCCTGTTGGCCTGAGGCTTCTTGAGTGCCTCCGCGGTTTCAGTGGAGGCTGATGATAGCGCGTACTAATCCACAGAGCTAGAGAGCGGGCGTTGCTAGAGAGGGCAAAATAAGATCGGCGCTTAGAAGGTGCTCAGAAGGGCGATTGCGTGTGTCACAGACGGGCCCCACGGAGAACCCGTGGCTGAGCGCCATCAGCAGCCACTTTTCATACTGGACATCCGCGGACACGGCATTGTTTGTGCTGCGCGCTCTTCATGGTCTCGACGTGCGCCAGGGGATCTCCAAGGAGGTCGCCGCCAGCGCAATATCTCCCCTGGGATCTCCTACTGCTGCGGCCGCACAGCCCGCCTGAACCTGATGCCGGCTAGTGAGGAGCAGAGGATTTTGTAAATGTCACGTGATCTCCCTTGGTGTACAATTTGTGCTTCTAAATGTAGAGTTTGGTGACGGAGTGTGGCACACTGTTCGTGACAACACTGCTTTCCTATAGGCATGCAATACAAGAAGTTTTAAAAAATAATATACTCTCATTTATAATTTTGTTAGTCTCCAAGAGAGGCCCCAAAGAATTATCAGCTTAATATGCTGAGGGCTTGTACAGCGGCGCAAAGCTGGTCTAAATTGGCATAGATAATGCAGGAAAGCAGGAAGTTCGAGTCACATCGTGCTCTACAATTTTAGTCAGATCTGTTTGGGCTCACTGGGTACTGCTCGGGTTGATCCTCTTTACAAGATGTATTCTAGATGTGCACAACTGCACGTCACTTGTAGCTCTGCACCTCTTGCGTCTCTTATTGTCTAAGAGTTATCAGGATATCCTGGTCAGAATTGTAATTATAGAGAGCTCCAAATGAAGTCAAGCACTGCCATCAGCTCAAACACTCCCCTCAACCGGTTAAATAGGATTGACATGTTGCAAGTGTCAAATTGTTGGAGCTGTCAGCGCACTCAGAATGATTGGCAGGAGACCTTCTCTGGCCAACGTAACTATCTCAGTGCATGCCAGCACTCAACAAATAGGACGCACTTTTGCAGCTGTCTAGTAAGCACCACATTAACCAAATCAAATCCCCCTCCTTGTTTGAATATGAAGTGCAGACGTACAGCTGAAGAGATCTGTCTAGACGCCTGTAAGGGAAACAGAAAATTGCTGCTCTTACTAAGCCCAAGGAATACTGAATCTGGTACTGTACAGTTGTGGCAACTTGTTTGTGCTTGCGACTGCTGGGTGCTCCAGATCATGCATGCAACGGAGGATTATCGCCATGCCATGTGAGGCTCTGAATAGCCTTTGTCCAGCATCTCAAACTCGAATCTGAAGCCCATGTTGGGGCTCTGGTCCCCGTACGGCTGCCACATGACGTAATTGGTGCCCCAGATATTGTTGGCCAGGTTGAAGGACATTCCCTGTGTCATGTCCGACGGCGTCAGAGGATTGGGGAACGGGTTCGGCACCCCAGGGCTCACCAGAGCACAGTCCAGCGTCCTGCACAAAAACAATTTCAGCTGAGGAACCAAGCCATGAGGGAAAGCATATCTGAAGACGGAGCAAGTGCTGATGAAGGGAGAGAGGGCTGCCTTGCAGGTGTAAGACAGTGGACCAACAAAATACGCCTCCTGGCCCAGGAGCAGTAATGATCACATTGCACACAATTTATTGAATATCATTGAGCCCACGCCTGCCGTAGTGCTTTCTTTGGGAGGTCACGTTGTGCAGACCCAGCGTGCCGCATCGTGACTGCCTTGTACAAGTATGACTCAAACAAGGACTGTGGGCCAAGGCAAAGCCCACAGTCTTTGCTACACACACCTTCAATCCACACAAGTGTGGTTTGAAGGTGTGGGTTGCAAGTGTTGGGCGTACCTGATCCTGAGCTGCTCCCAGCTCTTCTTGTGGCCCAGCCCTCGCACGAGCACGCCGTCATCATCCACCCCGTGCATGGAGTGGCTGCCATTGCGCACGATGTCTGTGGGAGACACTAGGCTGCCTAGCTTTGACATGCCCCACGTGTCCGGGTCGGCCACCTGGGGATCTGGTGTGAACCTCACCCACAGCGCCTGCACATGAGATACACTCTCTCTGAAGATCAGAAGCAATTTTAGTGTCCTGAGATCTGGTGAAAGTGCTTCTGGAATGCAAAGGATGAGAGAACAAGCATTGCACCAAAACTTTACATAAGAGCCTCAGCAGCAGGAGTTCATTCTGAAGAGTGTGTTGCTCCTTAGAAGGCAGGAATATAAGAGTGTTATTGGGATGTCTGTGGAGCTCCAAACGCAGGACAGGGAGCCAAAGAAAAACTTGCTGGCAGCAGCTGCTCACCTCTGGCAGGCGCGTGGCGGTCTTGTTGACCCACAGCACGTTGTAGAAGAGGCGGTCATCGGCCGAGGGAGACTTGAACCACTGCCAGATCTGTGCTGGGGCTCCCACTCGCGTCTGCAAGTCTTCGGGGAGCGTGCTCACAGAGAGCACCTCAAAACTGCCCTCATTGTCCTGCATGCGCAGATGAGTTTGCACATTATAAAACGGGCTGAGATAATTACCACAAGGTCAATTTCCGCAAGATGGTGGTGGGTTTTATCCTTTCCAGAATACCCATGCAAACAGAGCACCAAACAACAAGACCTCAATGAAACTTGGTTCTGACAGAATAAGAATGCAACTCTTATTGTGCTGCTGGCCTCAAGAAGAGGCGAGAGCAACACCTGCTTGCTCCACGTCTGCTGCACAGTGGCGTAGGTGTTGGAGCGGTTGGTTTCAGCATGGGTGTCAAGGTCCTGCTTGCCAAAGTCCTTTCGGAACCACCAGTCGTCGCTGCGTGACACATACTGGTATTGGTCCCAGATGACCTTGTAGTCCTCCTCAGTGTATGTGCTGTACATGAAGCGCCCCAGGGGAGTCTTGCTGCTCGCCCACTGCGCGCCCTGCCGCCCGTTGTTCCACTTGCGCGACAGGCCAGACAGGCCACCTGAGTGCACACAATAGCACCAGTGTATAAAGTGCCCTGTTGCGCTTGATGTGGACCTTTTGCAAGATACACCAGGTGTTTGCAATTGCTCTGTCGCGCTGCATTTGTCCAGTACACCTCACCTGACTGCGCAGAATGGCACCATTATTATCCAGAACACTTGATGTAGACCTTTGCAAGATACATAAGGTCTGAGCAATTGCTTTCTCAAGCTGCATGCTTGCCAGCGATTTTTATGGACAGGCATCCTGGGAACAGTGGCTCACGACAAGGGACTAAACAAATATTGCCCAAATATTGCCAAATTCAACACTGCTTTCTAAATGCTATGCAATGTTAAATACCGTAGTTCAGACTAGGAGTGTTACCTGACACAGGGTCAATGGTGATTGTCCAGGCATGGGACGAGAATGTCAGGTTGTCAGCCTTCCCAAGGAGAGTAAAATCCCCAAGATCGGGAACAACCTCCAACTCTGCCAGTTCCTCTATGGCGCCATCCGATTTGAACCGCTGCACCAGAACACAGTAATATTGTCAGATTCCTCTTCTTTCCATGACAGTCCGTGGTAATGCAATTCACTGCGCTGTGGTCATGGAAGGTGCACAGGACGCACCGCACTGACAGGCCCCGAGCTGGCTTCTTTCAGTGCCTCCAGTGCCCATCTGTTGTAGGAGGCTTGCCGCGTCCAGGCGTTTGTCATGTAGATGTAATTCTGCTGCCCTTGCACAGCTGCAAACGCATCATTGCTCCAGTTGGTGTAGTCGTTGAGGTAAACCTTCACATCTGGGCCCCAAGTGTGCTCTGGGACCTACAGGAGCAAACAGCACCTCAAAACGTTATCACTCAATGAAGTGACAAACAAATTATCCAAGGCAATGGCAGGCCATGTTGCACAATAGACACCTGCAGTCTCTTCCCACACAGCACAGCAGAAGGAACAGATACTAGACGCAGCCACTTGTGAGCAGGTAGGAAGAAAGCATGAATTCCTTGTACCATTATTTTGAAATTTGAATTGCAGGCAGGAACAAAAACAAAAGTTTACCTTGATGAGCATGCGGGTGAAGTTGCGCATGGGGTACTCATCCGCCCGGCTGAGCATGGTTCTCCGCATGCGCATGAGTGCGCGGAATTCTGCCACCTTGTGTGCATCGCTCTGTACCCCTGCACACGCACATGTCCTCAGATTCTCTCAATACTCATGAGGTTCATGAGGTTCATGAAATTGTATCAGCACCCATCTTTTGGCTCTAAATTGAAGAGTGCGAGTGAGGCCTATCGCATGTTTGCGGTCGCAGGAACCTGCTGCGCTGGTCAAATAATGTTGCTAGGAAACAAGCTGGTGAGTGTGAGTGACAGTCCTGGTTTGTGCGTGCGCATTGGTTTCTGCATGCTTAGTAAGACCTTACCATAGATCCAGGTGTCGCCGATCTCCTTGGTCACCACTGGGAGGTCCAGGGAGTCCTTCTTGGCAAGCAGCTCCGTGGTGAATGCATCAAAGGTGGAGGAAAACACATTGGCGCCCGGGAAGTAACCCCTCACCAGGTTAAAGATCTCAAGGACCTGCATGCACAATCAAAACACTTGATTTTTGAAGAAACTATCTGCATCAGCATGACAGATGTCCCAAGCATGCTCTGGGTCAGAGCGCATGCGCTGTTTCTGTGGTCAGATCTCTTCATGCACGTGCGTGTGACACGGTTAAATGGGTAGAAATGTGGGCACCCATCACCAGAAAAGCTGTCCTATCCACGATGGCAGTCTTGAGGAGGAAATCAGCAACACATCAGCTATCAAGTGCATGACTTTCCCATGCAAAGTTGTTGCAGTCACCTTGGTTGAGTTTTGCGGGCCTGAGTTGTCACCCAGATTCCACGCAGCACACAGGACGTGGTTGAGGCCCTCCACAGTGACACAACCTTCCATGGGGTCCTTGCCCTTATCAACAGGTGACCCCGAATAACCACCTGAACAACACACAAGCATTCAGTTGTTCAAGATTCTAAACCACAGCTCCCCTACTGCTGTTTCTCTGCTTCGGCATTGATTCAGCAGAGAATAAGCCGTAGCACAGAGAGCATGAAGTATGTAATCGCTGCGTTTTGGTGATCACCTGGGTGCCACATGGCAATCAGCTCAGTCCCAGACTGTATGTCCCGCCACAGGAAGGGAGTGTTGTATGGAACATCTGGGGGAGCCGACCCCCCATTGACCCCCAGAGTCACTGCCTTCACCCCAGAGTCCACCAGCACAGGCACCGCCGCCCGAGTGAAGCCGGGAATATCCCTCTGCAGCACTAAATTAGTTTCACCAATGCTGTAACTGTGAAGGCATCGAAAGCGAGGCATGCAGGTCCAGGAAATAAGGTAATTGAGCAATTGGGTGAAGGGGGATTGTAATTTACCTGGCTCATTGTGATTTTTGGAGGCAGGCCGAAGGCTGCATCAAGCTCGTGAGTGAGCTGGATACTGGCTTGCAGCATGGACCTGTCCATGAACTCCAGCTCTGCATTGTGGGGCATGGCGTGCCACCAAATGTCCCCATTCTGCACCGCCTCTATAAATGCCTGCATGCACAACAGTTCGAGTTTCAGCAAGGCCCACCAGAATCCTGTGCCACAATCCCATCAGGGACGCCAGCATATTGGCATGTTTGCTAAGAATGCAGATGTTTCCAATCAGACAAGTTGGCATGTCTGCTAAGAATGCGGGTGTTTTGTATCAGACAAGTGGTGCATTCCGCACCTCTACCGCCGGTCTGCTAGGGCACCTGATGCCCATATTGGGAGGGCAGTCCAGAAACAAGGACACCAGGTATGACTGCACAGATCACACATGGAAATCAATACTTTGTCAGAATGATATGATGAGCAGACATGTCCATGCACAGTGCACAAGGGAGGTCTGCACGCTGGAGTAAGCTCTTACATGAGTCATGTATTTCATGCGCTCTGTTCCGCCCAACTGGCGGAGCTCATTGGCGCATTTTATCTGCACAACATACAAAATGCACTCAGCAAAAGCACTGGCTGTCAGTGGTCATCTAGTGTGGTTGTCAGAGAGTGGGCACACTAGCCCACAATCATGGGCACTTGCAAAACATGTTTGTGCAGCAGAACGAATTAGTACCGCAGCTGGGTAGTGTTCTTCAAAGTTGAAGTTGATGATGTCGTTGTCCGTGCCACCCTTGCCGTCTTTATCGAATCCAATGTCCTGTTACACAAGAAACCTCATGTTTCTTGAAAGTAAAGTGCAGTTCTCTCATATCCCCAATGTTCCATTTTAGAGACGTAATAGGGCTGTGTTATCCGATTATTGCCTTATTGCACACCCTGTGCGACCAGACTTTGCAGCCTAGTAAAGTATATATCACGATGGCTCGGCAGGGCATGTCTCGGTACGGTCAGGAGGTACATCACACTGAACGAGTAAAAAAATTCAAGATTTTCTTACCAAATGGTTCGAGAACACGATGTGGACGTTCAGCGGTTCATTAGCCTCAACTCTAGCAAGGCCGTCTGAGTCATCTTTGGGGCGGAAGTCCGTCACGGCTATAGCATAGCCAAGAGAGAGAATCAGAAGGCACAAAATTGCATTCATTATTCAGTCTTCTCAAGTCAACTTGCTCTACCCTGTCTTTAAACACTAGGACCGTGCACGACGTCTGCATTCAGCCTGTCAATGCCTTCTGCACCAACGATTCAGCTACCCTGGAAATTGAAGGAAAATCAAACATAGCTCTTCTAGTACACAATGATTTGATTTGTTCCTGCACACAAGAAGAATTGACGCACTTCGTCTGGAGCTAATTTGCATGACAAATCTTCCGAACCCTGCCATGTCAGCACAGGCCAATCCATGGATCCCCTTCCTTTGGATGAAAGAGTTTCTGTGATTGCTAGCACTGCTTGAACACGTCTTGAAAGCTTGAAAGGACCAGTCCATCCTTTCGTAGTCAGTTACAATAGCGTGACGGGACGAGAGCAGCAACTAAAGTACCCTGACAGAAGTTTACTGTTCAGTTGCCGGCCAAAACTAGCCTTGGACATCACCATCTATCACTTGAGATATCGGTAACACAATATATGAATCTACATGAAGATAAAGCAATGTTCGTATAACGGAGAGCGGTACCGCACGACCTCAGCAATACAGCTCAAACTAACCATGCGAAAGCTTGCACCTAGGTTGCTTCTTGTCGCTGCTCTGCTGTATGGGGCAGCAGCATCCAATCAATGCAACAGAGCCCTATTCAATGAAGGATGCGGTGTGTACATTTCAGACTTTTCATTGTGTCACTCTTGCTTGTATATACCAAGATTCACGGCGGCGAGTTGTTACTGTTGTTGTATACAGGTCCCAAAGACGTCTCAAAGGAGCAATGTCATGCTTTGAACTGCTGCTACAGCACTATAAAACCAAATGATACCTCCAGCCTGCCAGGGCCGAACTGCTTCTATCCGATCAATGCTGAGATCAGCTCTTACGCTGCCACAAAGCTTTCGAGAGGGATCGATGCTGTAGGTACGTGGTTTCAGGGGCCTCTCGTTGTCTTCACATGTGCCAGCACAAGCTAATTTGACCTTGAAACCCCCCGTACTGTAAGGGTCACTGGATCAAGCTGGCCAAGGTTCGGAATTCTTGTGCTGCCGTGCGCAGAGCTCGCAGCCCGTACTGCTGCTCAGAAGTACACAAAGAGTCAATGCAAATGGGGCTTGCCGGTGCTTGCGCCGGGCAACAGGTCGGGGGATGGATGGGGCCTGGGCTGGGACAATCTCCTGGAAGTAGAGATCATTGATGTGGAGACTGCAGACTCCATGGAGGTGGCCTACATGCATCTCTGTTACACTTTATTGACTCCGTTGACATCCTGCAAACTGATGGGCGAATTAAATAGAAAGTCTGGATAGGGAAAAATGGTTTATGTTGTGTATGGCCCACGGTTGCTTGAGTCTTGCTCGGATCCGGCGAGTCCAACAAGAGGAACATTTTGTGGCAGGCTGTACCTGCAGCTTGCCTGCAGACACACCTTGCAACCGACAGGAGAAGCGTGTAGTAAAAATTTCCGGGGTGTAGAAGAGTAAAGCGTGGTGAAGAAAATGGGTCACCGCAGGATGTCTCACAGAGTGGATGTGCAGGGGTATGACATAGTATTCTATGGGGACTCCATATCGGAGAATTGGAGGGGGACGTCCGGAGGGTTGCACTGGAAGCTCTGGGACGGCAGGCTGGATACAAACTTCGTTGCCTCTGACATGCGCGCTGTTTTTCTGGCGTTCTTCGGATACAAGTACCGGGCGGGCATCATGGCCATTGCTGGTGAATTCCGAAAACTGCAAGTGTTTGTTTGCAGTTCTTTGTCAACTGGATGCATCAGTTGGCTTAGCTGTCATGTCAATGGGTATGGCAAGATGCTTGTCAGAGCACCAATCCCTCTGTGTTGTCAAAGACCGACATGAATGAGAGATTACATTTGTATTGCAGGTGACCAGATTCATTTGTATTGCAGGTGACCAGATTGGGCATCTGTGGTGGAGGATGCTGAATGGCCAGCTTCCTCGCAAGCCTCCCAAGGTGGCAGTGGTGCTCATCGGCACAAATGACCTCTACGCTGTATCAGAGTGCACACAGGAGAGCGAGATTGAGCTGATGGCATCTGTCAAGGACATCAGATCAAGGTGCACCCCTTTCCATTTGCAACCGCCTCACAGCACCAATCCTCAAAATGTTTTTGTCTCACGTTGATGTACCCTGCAATCCTGGAAGATCATGCAAGGGGGCATAGGGCGCTTGCATGTTCCAAACACAGACTTGTTTGGCTTGAGCGTCAGCTGAAGGCGAGGCACCTTGGAATGCAGGTTTGAGGCGATGCTGAGTGACATGAGGAAAGCAATGCCGGGCACCCAGATCATAGTGCAAGGGCTTCTCCCACGTGGCGCAGACTTTGCTGCCAATAAATTCACCTATCCCAACAACTTCACTTCAGCAGTGGCGTACCTCAACGCCGAGTACCAGGTATGCACAGGTTCTCGCCAGGCATGAGTCAGAAGTAGTGCAGGGTGAGAACAAATGCTGTGTCACATCTTGTGCTGCACCGCACGGTAATTGCTGGTCTGCTGTGTGTCTGCCTGGATTAATTGAACCATCTTGCCTGTGGCAGAAAGCGACCATGGCAGATCCAAGCCTTCACTACATCTATTGCGGCGGAGGATTTCTTACATCCACCGGAGACGGCATCGATCCAGTAAGTTTCTGAGAACACTCTTCATGCACACATGAAGCTTCCTAGCGCGCTGCCCACCTTGCATGGTAGCCTAGATGGTGCATGCCTTCGCTCTGGCAAGCCCTGAAGTGTATCAAACAAGATGCCTTGCCGCATGACAGTCTTCCCGCGGTGCAGCTGAGAGTAGCGTTCAAAGGATTGAGTCATGAATTTGATCTCTGTGTATACTGAGGCAAGCTTCTGTCACTTGCGCAGACGGTGATGCCAGATGGCCTGCATCCAAACGCAGACGGACTGAAGCTCATCGCAAAATGCCTGAAGCCCTTGATCGAGAAGCTCATTCCCTCCAACTCTACGCAGCCGAGTGCCAGTGACATGGCTACCCTTGCCTACCTGATCAAGGGCGCAGGTATGCTCTGGGATGATTCTGCCATTTCTGACACTTGAACGGAGGAGTCACTTTCTTGAAAGTGGGCCAGCTGGATATGGCCATATATGGAGTCAGAACTTGCATGCCAGGCTGCTATCCAGAAAGCAGGGCATGGTGGTGGCATGATCAGGTGTGTTGCACATGTCGCGAGCCTTAGATTGGGAGCCGAACCTTGGGGTGGGCATGTTCAGGTGCAACGGATTCAAAGTTGACCATGGACCTTGGAGCTGATACGCCTGGCTACGTCACCGCAGCGGCCCAAGCTTCTTTGCAACAGCGCCAGGCAACGCCGTGATCACTGACCGACTGGAGCAGATCAACTCATTTGCAATACACCATGAAAGATTCAGGATACAGAAGCATAACAAGACAATTTCATCACATCTGGAAGAGGCAGAATCCAGCAATTGCACTGAATAAGTGCGTGTATTTATTTTGAGCTGGCGAGCCACGAGCCAGGCTTGCGTTTGACTTGGAGCTCATCCAGTCGCTTTCCAGCTGTCTTCCTATTTATTTTGGGCTGGAAGCATGCGCAAGTCCTCCCATGCGAATTGCCAACAGACTGTCAGCAGTCAGGTCTTGGACGTTTCAATAGGTATAAGTTGCAGGTCTGCTCTAGAGCACAGAGAATACGCTTAAAAAGGGCCAACATTCCCGTGAGTACTCAATGATTTGATTTAGATTTTTGTCTTTAGATTCTGCAACCGTTTGCGGATTTCATTTTCTCCTTTGTGCGGCCATTCATATCATATTTGTCCTTGCATGGCGCCAGCTGCATTCATGCACTCGTTTGAGGCCATGAAGCGTGAGATGTACATGTGAGAGCAGCGCGTGGACAAGGCAATTAAGATTACATGAATCTGTTAGGTGCACTTAATCACGTTTAAGGCAGGCTGACTAGGGTAGTGAGGCAATTGCTCCTAGAAATGTACATTCCCTAGTGTATTAAAGCTTTGCCGTCGTGTGAAATGTATAGCAAATCTGCATCAGCTATGCTGCTGACTGATCAGATAGAGGGAGCCATGATGGAAGGGCATGCTGTACTTGAGCCACAATGAGAAGAGGCCATTGCATCCACCATCTGAGCTTTAGGAGTTTGAATGGTGAAGGGAAGCAAGATAGATAGAACGCAACATGTGGGTCCCACGTGGGATTTTTTTCGCATATCCCTTTCCATATACGTCTTCAATTTCCGCGTGATGTTATGGCAAGAGCAGTGCCCCATTTGGTCGACAGAAAATAAGGAATGCTTGTATCTGTCCGGGCTCTTCCTTTGCATCAGTGCAAGAGCAAAATGCAGGCCACGCTATTCTGCTCTGGGTCCACTGCCAAGCCCTGCGCCATGCTAAATCGACCCCAGGGTAAGTAACTGCCCAAGTTTGCTTTCAAAATCTTCTGTGGTACTTGTGAAGGTGTTTGAATGTTGTATGGCGTCCTATCTTAGGAGGTCCACTAAAAAATGCCGTTCAGATCGCCCCCGCAAACTCGGCCGATCCTCGAAGACTGAGGGCTAATTGCTGTCTCTCTGTCCACAGATCTCCCTAGCATGAGGCATGACCTTCCCTTCATTACAAGACGAAACGCACTTGGAGCTCGTCTGTCATCGAGAATCCAAACAGGTGCCCATCCCCTAATCTGCATTGTGTCCCAACATTGTGTTGATGTGAACAGAAGGTATTCTTCGTCCCCGGTAGACAAGACAATTCGATGCCTACGAATGGTTCTTAATGTTTGCAAGGAGCAAAAGACACAAAGCCAAGTCCAAACTGATATTCTTGCCTGTGACAGGGAGAATGCAGCTGTCAGTTCGTGCAGCAAGCGCTGTTGTAGAGGCAAAGCCGAAGACGGACTTGATATTGATTCCCGGTGGTAAGGGAAAGGCAACGCACATGAAGAAGGGCGACCTGTTGAAGGTCATCAACACCCATGGCAAGCAGGTGAGTAGTGCTTGACCAAAATGGGGACGCTTTCAATGCAATTTGAGTTCCAATGCATGATATTTTTTCAAAACGGGTCACTAGCTTGCTGTGCACTCAGGTGGTGGACTTTTGGGCTTTCAGCACATCGGAATGGGGCAAGGAAATCATGTCTATGCACCACACCCGCAACGCCCTGCAGAAGATGACACCCCAGGTGCGCCTGCCCTCCTCACCACATGTCACCCATTCAATTGTTAAGTGCAAAGGCATGTTGAGCACCCCATCTCTCTCACTCTTTGTGCAGCACATGTAATGCCAGCAATGAGTAACACATCCAGTTGTCAGATTTGTAAGCTGGCATGCTGACTGGCGCAGGCTGGTGACACTCTGTACACTGCGTCCATGAAACCCATCATGACAATGCTGGAGGACTCCGGCCCCGGCGTCCACGACACCACAGCCGCCGCCTGCAGCTACGGCCTCTACGTGCTGCAGATCGGAGAGGTGCCGCCCCTTTCCATCGTCTTTTCTACTGATCTCTTTGCTACTGAGACCTAGCACAGCCACACCAGCAAGCCCCATTGCATGCATGCACAGACCTCATGCAGTCGACCAGCCCATGACACCAGGGCAGCTCTTGCCAATGTCACAAGATAATAATCGCGGTGGCCAATTTCATTCAGAATTCTGCCCGAAATCAGTGAGCCTAAACAGAATGCAAGACATACAAGGCACTGCGAGCGCCAAGAAGAGCGGGGCTGCTGCGCAGTTCAACATGTGCTGGTTGCATGTACGCGCAGGAAAGGTGCTCCTCGCGGAGTCAAAGTTGCAGTGATGCGACTTTGAACGGGTGTTCTGTGTGCATGTGCGCGCAGGAGGCTGCGAAGGAGCACGACAGCTGCACCAACAACCTGTACAACGCGCTGGCCGAGCTGGACCTAGCTCTGGCCGAGGACCCGCGCTACGGCTACTACACTCCGGCGCCCTTCAATCTGTGGATGAACGTGACCGACACGCCTGACGAGTCTGGCTACTGCTGGGTCATGCCCCCTCAGGATCAGAAGGCCGGCGACTACACCGTCTTCCGCGCCGAACAGGACTGCGTCGCCGCGTTTTCAGCCTGCCCCTGGGACATCGGTGCGCCCCACTCCCGTCTCATGCTCTAGGCAAAGAATGGCTGTGCTGAGCTGCAAGCGATGTGCAAACCTTGGGTGTTGATGACAAGCAGACTCTCTGAGACTTACCAGGACTCACAGGGGGTAAGGAGTCATTAGAATCAACCCATGATGTGGTACGCATTATTACAAAACCGGCCAGACTTGGAGTGGTGGATATACGGGGGGCGGTGGCGGATAATGGCAACATTGCTGTCACTTCCCAGAAGCAGAGAGGAGAGGTGATGTGTGTGTTTTGTTGTGGTGTGCAGGTGACATGAATGGTCCGGGCGGCGAGCCGCAGGACTGCCACTTCCAAGTGTTCTCCGCCTAGTGCCCAGCTGCGCAGCTGCGAGGGAGGAACCCCCATGAAAAAGCTCACAGAGGATCCTCATAAGAATGAGTTTTGCTCCATAATTGATGACATATTACGGGTCAGGGATGCTGCAGTACAGGAGAGGGCCATGATTGACTTGCAGCCATTTTGGCAAAACGATTGACAAAAACTCGCAGTGACAAGCCAGCTGCCAGATTGAGGTTAGCGTGTTGATCCTGTGCAAACATCTAGAGCCACCATGCGGCATGTATCGAATGTGAAGTTTGTGTCAGAAGAAAGCTTGAAGCTCAGGGTCTTGGTGAGAGCCAGTGCTGGCTAGAGGGTGCGCGATCAGGCAGGCAGCCGCTGTGCGGCACCGGCAAATACATTCTTAAAGTGGCAGCAATAGTGTTTCGCAGTACATGTTGAACACTTGTCGTAGGAGCAAAGCGTTTGCATTTGCTCCCCCCTGTGATCAAGATCAGCATGGAATTCAAGAGTGCAATAGTGTAAGGTTGATAGCTTCATTGCCGCTCACACGACAACTGGACAAAGAGAAATGCCGACGTGTAAATTACGCAGGGTGCAAGTCGGCTTGTTTTGAGATTGTGGTCTTCCACTTCACTGGCTTGTTGACACGCATGCATGCACGGGACCCCCCAACCTTGGACAGGTTGTTGGCTGACTATTCCAAGCACACACCAGTCGGGATCCTGCAGATCTCATCACCAATCGTCTCTTGGTGCTGGCATCAACATTTTGTAAATGTACAGGTAATTTGTGGGTTAGGGCGGATCGTGTGACACCGATGTCAACTTGATTCTCTTCTAAGACAGTTCGGACGAGTCCGACAATGCTGGCACCTCGCTGCAGTGCAGTGTTGGTCTGCTCGCTAGCAGCTACAATCCTTGTGTCCGCCAATTTGGTGTTTGCTTCTAATGTCAAGGGAATTACCGAGCACCATGGCTTCGGATGGATCACAGCAGGTGCGCACCTTATCGGCAAGAAAGATGCTTATTTATGCTGATACAAGTCTATCTTGTTCTGTCTACTTTCAAGCTGCAGCTGTACATGTTCAAAAACACCTTCAGACCGAAGTACCCCCTGAAGGTCTAGATCACTCCCTGACCACTGACGCCACAGCGTGCAAGTTTCAGTCGTGTATAGGAAATTTGGTACACATTTAAGTTGAATTTTTGGCCCATGGCACAGGTGAGGACTACAGCCACCTGTTGGAAGGTGCCTGGGGAGAGGCAGGCGGAAATGTATGGTCCACAGGAGTGGGTCGCAGGCTGGCTCAGCTGCCAAGCTCAGGGCTGCCTCCAATCCCCGGCCGCTTCTCATCGGATGCTGCGGCGTCTGCCTCTGCCTATGCTGCCGCAGGAGCAGCCGCCTCCGCCGACCTTGTTGCCTCGTCTGTAGGTGCTTGCGCTACCAGAAACTCCCTTCAAGCAATGCATTCGCATTCTGTGGTTGAGAAAATCATCATGACGTCCATCCACAGTCTGCAGCAGTGAAGAAAAAATTGCAGCCATGTCCTCAAATCGTCGTGCATGCGCAGGTTCCTCCTGCCTGACCGCTGTGGGCAACGCCACTGCATACACGGCCCTGGCGGCCGCATCGGCAGCAGCCGCAGCCGTCGCAAGCGGGGATTGCGGCATCGCAGCCGCCACAGCTGCCACTGCATCTGCCAGCGCCGGTGCAGCCGCCAATGTGCGTCACTCTGCGCCTGCGACATTTCACAACCTCTGCTGCACTCTCAATCCAGCATACACATGCTTCTGAACAATCTCTGTGGCTGCGCCCCACCTGCAAGAAGTGTAGCTGGGGATATCAGCAGGACATGCCATGACCGTCCTGGAAGGTCCTGCTGCTACGATACAATAGATTGGGTGGTCATTTAATGCATGCGATGTCCATTTTGTTGGTGTCGCGAGGCCCAAGTGGTTGCAGGCCATGCTGGGACCTGACTGGGGAAATCAGAGTCAGTCAGTGACCAGCCCTAGATTGGCTGGAAGCGATGCAATGTGTTCAAGGGAAATTTCAACTTGGAAAGGGGTTCCACTTTCTAATCAACTGGACCCTAAGGTGCCAGCTTGACCTGCTAAACACGAAAGCAATTGGTAGGAAAGGCAGGATGCAAATCCCACATTTCCCCTTGATGTGACAGAATGGCTGCATGCATGCAGGCTTTCGCTGGTGACGGAGCGGCAGCGCGCGCATCCGCGCAGGCGGCAGCGGCCAACGCCGGGGAGGCCAGCCGGCTGGGTTCGTCCGGCGGCGGCAAATGCCCCTCTGGCGGCGCCGCAGCCGCGTACGCTGCCACGACCGCCGCATTTGTGAGCGCGGCCGCCGGCAACGCTGTGGCCTCCGCTTGCGCCGGCCCCAGTGCGGTCCACCTGTGTTTCACGTACAACAGCTCATCCTTTTTGTTAGGGGCTAGTGTGCCATAGCATAATCTCAGGAGCTGCTGAGCACTGCAAGAAGAGATTGTGTTCTGGAACCTGTGTCACAATTCTGGCGTGGTGATGTTTCATCTTTCTGTGATTCATTTGACCGATTTTCAGAGCATGTTAGCCTGCTGCACAGACAGTGGTTTCATGGGCGATTGCAGCACCAGTCTTTGGTTTGCTTCCAGCATTTTTTTGTCAATGCTGCCCTGCCTCCAACAAGGAACCCATTTGGAGAGGTCTTACGATGCAGGTGGAGCGGCCGGGAGGTCGCAGGCCCTGTCAGCGTTGATCGGCGCCGGCCTGGCCGCCTCCAATGCGAGCGCCGAGGCCGCGGCGGGCGGCGCCTCTGCCAGCGCATCGGCGAGCGCGGCTTCGGCCGCCAATGCTGCCTTCTCTGTCGCGGTGAGGGCTGCGTCCACCCGCTTCAGACATGCATCTGCACTGTTTATGAAGGAGCAACGAATGCAGCGGGGTGTCTGCAGAATTTCTGGAGGTGAGGTGTGCCAGAAGAAGCAAGAATTGCTTTCTCGAGAAAGATGATGCACGCACCCATGCATGCAAGATGACGAGAAGGAGACAAAGAGGTGTGCCAAAATTATCTTGTGGCAGTGAATTTGAAGGATGTTTGGTGTGTGTTTTGATCAGAGCGCGGTGGCACTTGGAGACTGCAACACAGCTGCCAGGGCCGCCGCGTCTGCATCAGTCGCTGCAACACAGGCATGCACACATTTTCTCTTAATACTATTATTGTTGTTATAATTGTCACACACTCTTCCTGCCAAGAGGCAAGGTGCGTCCTGCAGACAAGCTGCAGTGAAACGCTGCCACAATCCTACCACTTGTTGGACTCGCCAGATGCAAGCAAGACCCAATCAACCGTGGGCACGGTGCTCAGTACTTATGCCGCCGAGTCCATCTTCTCTTATCATGTCATATTCCACAGAGAATCCATCAGCCTCTTGACGCCTCCGCTGCCGTGCTCTGTGCTAACAACACCCACTGAATCTCCTTGTTTGGATTGCGCTACAAAGGCCTGGTGAGGGTTGCTCATGATGCGAACAGGCAGCGGCAGCCGCCAGTGCAGGGGCGACCATCACAGCAATCCCGGGACCCCCCGCACCCCCCGCCGCGCCGGTGCCCCCCGCCCCAGTCGGCCTCACGCTGCCCAGCGTTGTACCTGTCACCACGCCAACACCCACCGTGCCCACAGGTCGCCTTATTTGATCTTGATATCAACTGACATTGATATCTTCCGCTGTGTCGCGTGCTGATCGTCAAAATTAGTAGTCTGAGAACATCAATTCTCCCAAGTTGCTTCAAGTAGGGTGCAAAGATCCTTCAGATCCTCCGACAAGTTTTGAGGACAGTTGGGGCCTGTCGGGGGGATTTCTCGTTCTCAGAGTGCCTTGCACCTGCAAATTGATCCTACTTCAGGAGGTTCAAGAGTGTGCATAAATGAAAGTGTTGGTTTGGGCCTATTACCTTCTAATATCCTTCAAGCCAGCCAGGGAACTTTTTGATGCAGCCATCCTGGTGCCGCCTGTTCCCGCGGAGGCGCAGGCGACTGCTTCGGCGCTGACGTCCGGCAACGCGCAGGCGGCCGCGACCGCAATCGCCTCAGCCACCAGCCAGCCCGCCGCCCAAGCGCAGGCCACTGCCATTGCGCAAGCCTACGCACAAGGTGACGCAACATGCATATACATCCCAGGCTGAGTAGATTTCCCAGTGCCTGGCTTGCCCGAAAGCCTGCCAGCTGGAGATTTTTGCATGCGCCATAGTCCAGGGAAATCAGAGTCCATGCATTGACATGCTATGCAAGTGGCCTGCATGCGAGTTCGTGGCGGTAAGCTCCGTCCGAGCCTCTGTCTTGTGCCAGATGGTGATGACAAAGGCTGGTCAAGGGCTTCGCAATGAAGATTCCCATTACAACGAAGCACATCGCATGGCTTGAATTTCCTTACGTGTGTTTTGCAGCCGGTGCACCGGACGTCAGGAGTCCCACAGCCGCAACGCTGGCCACAGCTGTGGCCACGGCCGCGCAGCAGAACCCCACCGCAGCCGCCCAAGTCCTCGCCTCCGCCGCCAGCCGTGCGCACCCCATTACTTCTACTTTTGTTTGTCTACCTGCGCCTGCTTAGGCTCAGGATGGCAATCTTCCTCCCCGAGTCTGGCTCCCACTCAACGTGCGCGCATAAAGGAGATATCGCGTTCGTCGTGGCAAGTGGTCCTGGCATAAAGATTGGCAAAATCCACTTCTCCTCCGAAGGAATCCTCCTTGACGCAGAGGATAGTATCAGAGGCCAAGCCAGGAAGGACAGATGATGTCATTCTATTACCAGTTGAAGTGACTGCGATGTGTGCTCAAGATAAGTTCCAGTGTGCAGTGAGCTGATGGGGTGTTCGCGGTTGTGGATCGGTGCAGAGGGTGGGGCGGCGCAGCAGGCCATCGGAGTAGCAACAGCCCGCGCGCTGGCTGAGGGCGGCCCCCCGGCACAGGCGGTGGCGCGCGCATTCGCAATCGCCATTGCCATCTACGGCTGCCCCGGCGTCAAACCCATCATCTCCAGTGAGGCCCCCCTTTCACTGAATGCCTTCCAGTTGAGTGTCATGCTGCCACTGCAGTGAGTAAGCAACCGTTGGAATTACAGCACCTCATGAAGCATGCTAATCATGTCTATATGGCGCTGCTGTACCTTCCATTGCTTGATCATCCTGTCTTTGGCATGCTGTGTTGTAACCCCCCACCCGTAAATAAACCCTGCTCGCATCCAATTGGAACACATGCTGGCACCAGATCTAGGGCATTTCTCTTGTTGCGCAGTTGCAATAGCAGAAGCTGTGGCGATCGGAGGCGGCACGGCTGTGGCGCAGGCGACAGCGTCCGTACCGGCAGTGCAGCAGTGCGCAGTGGGCGACTCAGCTTCGGCCACAGCTGCCGCGCGCGCACAGGCCCCCTCTCTGGGGGGACCCTCCTCCCAGGCATGTTCACCTTTCTCTCCTGCTTAGCCTTTCACGATCCCGGCACCAATTTGAGCCAGGGATGTAGGAAGGAATTCAGGGGCTATTCTGCCATAGGAAGGGCCACACTGGGTTGAGAGTGCCAATCCACACTTCTCCTGCTTGACGTTGATTCCATGTGCTGCGGTGCGGTGGGATTTATGGATGGAATTGTGAGCCTTTTGGGGGTTGATGTTATAATATTCATGAAGAAACATTGAGGTTCCCTCGCAGGGCGCCAACCCGCCGCTGGCCGCTCCGCCCATTGCAGCGCCGCCGGGCGCCCCGTCACCGCCGCCCCTCGCATTTATCCTCGGATCGCCACCACCGGTGCTGCCTGCTGCTGCTGCTCCCCCCCTGCCAGGTGACTCAGTGCGACTCAATATGTCCCTGATATTTTGCATTCGTCCCTTCTCATCATTGCTGAATGCATGCAGCTGGGAGCCCTGCAGAGTGTATCCCTGATGCTGTCCAAGTGCATCTCAAGAGCACTTCTTCTGCATGACATCCGCAAGAGCCAGCTGATTTCTCAGCTGAGCCTTGGGGTGTGTGTGGTGCAGCCGAGCTGCAGGCGACGGCGCAGGCGACTGCTTCGGCGCTGGCGTCCGGCAACACGCAGGCGGCGGCCACCGCGATAGCATCAGCCACCACCGTTCCGGCCGCCCAGGCGCAGGCGCAAGCACTCGCCATTGCATATGCCCAAGGTAGCATTCCTCTTCTACGACAAACATCCTGTGCCGTGCGCCGTTTTGTAATGGCCCGATGAGAGATGGAAGTTTGCTGCTGCGCTGTACTCTGCACCTTCAGGACATGAGAAGAAGGCACAGTTCAGTACTTCAGCAATGTAATGGGTGCAGTTCAGTCAGATCACTTTCAGGCATAAAACAAAGGCGCCAGCAACCTTGCAACCTGCTGTGAAGACACTTGCCAGTTGTACAAAGTACAGCTGAACAATCTTGTGTATTTGAAGGGCAACTCACGCATTCACATGTGCAGATCATCACAGTTGAAGTGCTCAGAAGCTTGTTTGTGTGCGGCTCTGCAGCGGGAGCGCCCAGTGCTAGCAGTCCCACAGCGGCTGCCATCGCGACTGCGCTGGCCAGCGCAGCGCAGAGCAACGTCAACGCGGCTGCACAAGTCATCGCGCAAGCATCCGCCCGTGCGTACCTCTTTGCCTTACTGCCTTTGCAAGTGCTTATCAGACTTCTGTCAAAACAGGCCCTCCGGCAACCTCTGAGCCCTGCAAGGCATATGCAACGTGATGTAAGAAGCCCCATATTTTAACACATTGTAGAAATGCTGGTAGCCTATAATTGCAGCTTGTCTGCAGATGCACCGTGCCTCAGGCAGAGATAATGACAATTGATCGCCCAAGCAGCAGTGGCTTGCGGCACTGAGTGATACTGCAGACGCACCTTGCCTCTGGCAGGAAAAGCATACAAATGTAATTAAATGTGAACAAGCCTGACCAGCGGTGGCTTGTTGCAGTGAGTGAGACGTCTCGTCAAGCGGTGGCGGTTGCTTCTGCGCGTGCTCTGGCGTCCGGCGGGCCGGCAGCTCTGGCGGTGGCTCGCGCGTATGCTGTTGCCATTGCAATCTACGGCTGCCCCGGCGTCAAACCCACCATTGCCAGTGCGTCTTAGCCCTTTCACCCGTCCTTGGCATGTCAACATGTTATCATTCCTTGTTTGCCCAAGTCAATTTCAGGTTCAAACAGTCCTGCAGGTAGGCTGACATGCAGCTTCACTTAATGTCTCAAGTCCTTTTGTCTTTGATCTGTGAGGAGCAGCAGCACAGCGCTCAGCATGTTCGGAAGCCTGTCAGATGTGGAAAAACCTGTCAGAGACGCCTAAGGCAGTCACCACAATGCTGTATGAGCTTGTACTTTGCGAGTGACGAATACAGCAAAGTGAAGGCGGCCTTTTCCTGATGGCACGCAGTTGCTATCGCGGAGGCTGTGGCGATTGGAGGCGGCACGGCGGTGGCAGAAGCAACTGCTTCGGTCCCGGCCGTGCAACAATGCGCCACCGGCGACCCGGCCGCCGCCACAGCCGCCGCGCGCGCACAGGCCCCCTCGCTGGGGGGACCCTCCTCCCAGGCCTGCTCACTGTTCCCTCCCAACATATTCTCTAAGACCCCAGCATGAACTTGCTTGTAGGCCTGTCTGTGCATCGCTTTTATTCCCATCTGAATTCCTTTTCATGTTGGCAGTTGAGACTGGCACCTTAGGATCATGTGGGTCACAAATTGAATCAGGGGTCCAGCCTAGGAAGCCCAGTTCTGAAGGGTGTCTTGGGTGTCTGGGTTTAAAGCGTTGCTTCAGATTTCATGTGAAGGATTCTGAGCGAGGATGGGGATTGAATATGTAAGAGTTGTGGGGGAAATTTGTTTTTTTCTCCCAGGGCGCCAACCCGCCACTGGCCGCTCCGCCGCTGGCCGCGCCGCCGGGGGCCCCTTCCCCGCCGCCCCTTGCATTCACCCTCGGATCGCCGCCGCCGCTCGGCGCTAAATCCCCGCCCCCCGGCGCTCTCGGACCGCCTCCCCCGCTCGGCATCAGCCTCGTCGGAGTGCCTCCCGCTCTCGCACCGCTGCCCAGCACTCTTGTTGGCGGCCTGTCGCCCCCGCCTGCCGGATTCGGCGTCGGCTCTCCGCCCCCCGTCGGACCAGGTGATGCTCCCTTTTGCGACACTGTACGGCACGGCTTAACAGGCATGTGCCATTTTGGTTTGTGGTCCAGCAAGACAAAGCTCCTGGTGTTATTGACACCCAGTATGCTTTCAGTACAAACAGTCAGTTGGCGACATGGGAAGCTTTGCCATGCTGAAGAACAGAGCAAGATGAGCAGCATGCGCTTCAGTAGCAGACTTTCTGTTCATGTGCGGAAGATAGGCAGCTTGTGCTTTGTTTTCATGTTGGAGTTATGATGCACAGGTGGGGTGATCGGTGCGCCACCGCCGCTGCCGCTGGCTGTGCTCGGCCCTGCGCCATCCATTGCTCCGGGCGGCGCCCAGCCTCCTCCAGTCACGGGCGCCGGAGCTTCGCCCCCGCCGATCGGATTTGCAGGGTCGCCACCTCCACTAGGTCAGCTATTCCTTCCGCCACAGGCTGCAGTAGATGTTGCGCAGTTCAAAAGGGCGTGCAGGGATATTGAATGCTTTTGATGCACATCCGCTGCCACCCTCCTGTCATGGCAAGCTGTCCTCGGAAGATTTATGGAATCAGCAGCAGCAGTGGAGTATTGCTCTTGATTTGCACAGCAAATCAGCTGCAATTGCAAGTGGAAGCTTTGAGAGGTGGTTGTGTCATGCATCAGAGATATGAATGCGAATCTGCAGGTGCCAAAGTGGGGGCACCACCGCCGCTGCCGCTGGCTGTGCTCGGACCTGCGCCATCCATTGCTCCTGGCGGCGCCCAGCCTCCTCCAGTCACGGGCGCCGGAGCTTCGCCCCCGCCGATTGGATTTGCAGGGTCGCCACCTCCGCTAGGTCAGCTATTCCTTCCGCCACAGGCTGCAGTAGATGTTGCGCAGTTCAAAAACATCTTCTGCAGGCGACTGCAGGGCGTGCAGGGATATTGTATGCTTTTGATGCACAGCCGCTGCCACTTCCTGTCATGGCAAGCTGTCCTCGAAAGATTTATATAATCAATAGCAGCAGTGGAGTATTGCTCTGAATTTGCACAGCAAATCAGCTGCAATTGCAAGTGGAAGCTTTGAGAGGTGGCTGTGTCATGCATCAGAGATATGAATACATGCGAATCTGCAGGTGCCAAAGTGGGGGCACCACCGCCGCTGCCGCTGGCTGTGCTCGGTCCTGCCCCATCTGGTACCCCACCGCCTGCCCTTGGCGGGTCACCGCCGCCTGCCGGGGCTATCGGGTCACCGCCCCCCATCGGTATGCACCTTTTGCGCCTAGACTCGTGGAAAAAAATTCTGGCAATGCTCAGTCCAGCATATGTGAGATCAACCTGCCCATTTCCTGTGCAAGGCCATTGCTGGCATGTACGTATCGCTAAGTGGCCCTCTGTTCGTGTGTGGTCTCAAAAAAGCATTCGCCAGATATGGATAGGACTGAGCAAATAAGGTGTGATGCACAAAGTTGATGACCATCATCCAGCAAACAGCTTTTCAGCTTACAGCTATTAGTGAGTATGTGTTGTTCCAGGAGCGCCACCTCCGCTTCCCACAGCTGTCACACCGAGCGCTGTCTCTGGCGCGTCGCCCCCACCGGCCCTGGGATCCCCCCCTCCTGCAGGAGCCGCCTCTCCACCGCCAGGTTTTGCGCCCCCACCAGCTGGTGTGGCCGTGGGTCCCCCAGCTGGGCCCCCAGCCGGCGGAGCCTCGCCACCGCCGGCAGGGGGTTCCCCACCGCCATTGGGTCCTCCTCCTGCTGGCACAGGCTGATTTGGCACAGTACAAGGAGAGATGAGATGAAGTACAAGGTCCACAATAAATCTACACTGCAAGATTCGTGGCACTGAGAGGTTTAATGTTGAATTCTTCTTGATCGCTGCATAAAGGGATTTGTTGAAGTCAGTTTTGATGAGTGAGAAAGATTGCATGCATGTGATACAGAGCTGCAGTGAGCCTCCTGGGAGGCTATTTTGTCGGTAGCGTAGGATGCAATTTTGAAGTGCTCCTGATTTACACATGCTGCCCTCTTGCCCAAATGCAGTTGTTGGTACCGCTTGTGTGCACTGCGGCTTGCCAGTTGGTTTGAATAATTTGCATCTTCTGCAGTGCATCGAGTATGAAGTAAAGTTGGCTGTCGTGAGTGGCAAAACCCTCTCCGGTTTGGGAGGGAAGGAAGCTGTAATGCAAATACAGGGTATGGTAGCTGCAGACAACCTCATGCAAATGCATATTTCGTAGCACCATGCCACCTAGGCTTGCAATCGCGCAGGTTGTGCCTCACATTATCGCTAGGAAGCAGCCATGAGCATGTGAACAGCCCTGGTACTCTTGAATTGAATTTTCAGATCTTGAAAGACATGTAGTGGCATACTCCTGCTTGAGCGTGGGGGCAGAAGATCCGAATCTTCTGAATTCAAATTATGACGCATGCTGGCGTATCCGTCCCCAAAAATTTGCAAGGTGATGAGTCGGCTCATCTCGGAGATGAAATCCCTCAGAATCTCGATCTGTCTTCACGGAAGAAATTGTCTCGATTGCTGAATGCTAGTGAATAATTCAGAACAAGGAAAGGGCCTCAACGGAAGCTGCGGAAGTTGTGAGATAATCCTGGTCCTTTCGGCAGCCTGTCCGATCAAATGATGGCGTGCAGATCACTTACCGTCTGCCTCCTTGGTTTCTGCTTGCTTTCATGGCAGTCTGTCAGCTGCCAGAATCAGACGGAACCTTCCCAGCTGGTATTGCTGCCTCTGCCAAACTGTTCAGGAAAGACCAAAGATTTGCTGGCTTGCAGAACAATCTCAACCTGAGCTAAGACAGAAAAGATCACTTTTGCCGATTTCCAGTCACTCTCTGGATGGACATATCCCTTTGTGCAGTGTCCTCCAGGTGTCTACTGTGCCTACACCAAATCCTGTGGTAAGAGCAGAGCAGGAGGCAGCCTCCCCACCACTGCCAGCTGCAGGACCGCTGGCCGGTATGCACTTCACAATTTTGAACCCTTTCTTTCTGTTGCTGCTGCTGATCAGCATGTAAAGTGGCTGAAGGTGATTTGGGCATGCATGCATGCATGCATGCATGCATGCATGCACTCACACCCACATGATGCGATGCATGCCGCAAATTGAGAACAGGTACGGCATTCTGGTGATTACAGGTGAGCTGCAAGCTTCAGCCGCGTCCACAGCGCAGGCGATCACCATTGGGGACACGCAGGCAGCAGCAAGCGCCCTGGCATCAGTGAAGACCCCTGAGGAGGCGCAGGCCGCGGCCACAGCCATTGCAAGCGCTTATGGTCTTGGTGCTGGCCCGCTGCTCTGCTTTGGCCTTTCCAGTAGCCCTGCTGAGTGCTTTTAATCCTTTCCCAAGTGCCTGCTTGCACAGACTAACTCATGAAAAGTAAGGAGATTTGCCAGTTCATGTGGGAAATCGACCCAGCTCGGTCTTATCTGAAAGTGAAGACTGTTCACATGAGGCCGTGCCTCCCTAGCTGGCTTAGCACACATATCTTTGACAGCCTTCAACTGCCTTGCTTGTGGTGGTCATGCTTTAAATTCTTTGGATGTTCGGTAGCATGTGATGGTGTGGTAGTTGTGCCTTGCAGCCAACTCTCCCAGCAGCGATACCAGCCCAATAGTGGAGACACTGGCATCCGTCCTGACCGGCGCGGCGCAGAGCAACGCGACTGCCACCGCTCTTGTCATAGCCGCTGCAGCAGCCAGTAAGACACCTTGCCAATTCTCTACACACTCTACTGTCTTGCCTTTCGGTGACCTACATCCACATGCTCCGTGTGAAGGCCCCTCTTTTGTGGCCGAGCCATCTGACCTCCTCAGGAGTCCTCCGGCAAGGCTGTGAAGGGCTCATTTTCTAATTTACTGATCAGTTACGTCCAGATGCCCCCTGTCAGTGTTATGGCGGAGCAACCTGATCATATCAGGCGAGGCTGTGAAATCCTGAAAGAAGGGTTGGAAATAGAGCTGGATGAGACATTTCCCAGCTCCTACAGATCTATGATCCAGGTGCGCGAATTTTCAGAATCTGATGAGATGTTTGCATATGAGCAGAGGGCGGAGCAGCGCAGCAGGCAGTGGGGCTGGCTTCTGCAAGAGCCTTCACAAAAGGGGGAGCTCCTGCGCAGGCACTGGCGCGCGCATTTGCCATTGCCATCGGCTTCTACGGCTGCCCGAATGTGCAGCCCATCATATATGGTAGGCCGCTGCATTTGGTCTTCCTTGTGCTGGTCTTGCAGGTATTGTCCCCAATGCTGCACCCACTTGTTGCACTTCATCAGCTGGGCCCATATCTTCTCCGCTGGCTTTGGGTGACGTTCCTCAAGTGCAGACTATCCAGACCTTGTGGCATCTAATGATGTGTGGTAATGAGCATGCAGGGTTTGTCTGAGATAGTTTGTAGTGAGTGCTGCAAAGTGAAGTGTTGAAGTGCACCAAAAGGTAAAGTAAAGCACTTTAAAGTGCAAGCTGCTTTGCAGTGGCTGCTTCTCATGGCGGCAGGACACTGGCGGATGCCGCCGCAGCTGTGCCGGCGGTGCAGGAGTGCGCTGTCGGCAACGCTGCCGATGCATCAGCGGTTGCGAGAGCACAGACGCTCATCCTGACGGCCAGCGGACCGCTGCCTGGTCCGACTGGTTTCAGGGCCCCCGGGCTCCCCTCACATCTGCCGCCACCTGTCAGCGGAGGTGAGAGTGTTGCACAATTTTACCCATTGCGTTTTGAGGTCTAGCTAGTCGGTGAAACTCTTTAAATCCTCTTCGGCCGCGTCTTTGGGGACACAAGCGGCATAGTAGTAGCCCTGTTGAGGCAAAAGATTCTGCTGTTGCTATTCATAGTCCTGTGTGCGTGATTCTGTATACTTCAAGAGTATTCGGCTTGTCACATCTGCCAGGGGGGCCTGGTGTCATCAGACAATTCATGATGTTTCAGGTGAGGTCATTGGTGCGCCTTCGCCGCTACCATTGGCAGTGCTCGGCCCTCCGCCGTCCATCACCCCAGTTGAAGCTCCACCGCCGGCTTTTACACCACCGCCGCTAGCAGCACCTCCAATTGAGGTACAGCCTGGGGGTCCCCCCACTCCACCACTGCCCTCCTCGCCTCCGCCAGCTGGTCCCCCAGAGTTACCCCCACCTGTGGCCACAGCTGGCCCAGCCTCGCCCTCGCCCCCACCGCCGCCGCCACCACCACCGCCGCCCCCGCCACCGCCGCCTGAGTCTGCATGAATAGATTGGCAGAGGATCACCTCCTAAGCAGCCACGGCAGCAGGGCATGTTGCTGACGGAAGCAACGTATGCAAGCTTGAGCATAGGAAACTCTCTTTTTATATGCTGCACATGAGTTTCTTCTTATGTGGGGTTTGGTGAAGGCTGTCTGTGGAGTAAGGCCTCAAGGAAAGTGCTGCAGGATGATTTCCAGGGCAAACTGTTGCATTTTGATTGTGTTTCCTTGGCGCCATGCGTTATATGGAGGTGGGCGCATGGGGAGTGCAGGGATTAGTAAGAGTAAGGGAAGACTGCTGCAGGTTCAGTGTGAGGCTGTGAAATGGGGTTTGTCATCCATATTATGTTGCATTAAATTTGGCTCAGTACGCAAGAACGACAGACTGCCTGTCTACCAGGATGCAAAAAGCTATGGTTGGCTTCATTTGCTGAACCTGTAATGATTCAGTGTTCCGTATCTTCGGTCCAAACCTGTATGTTGTGCGTGACAAATTCACGACAAGCTTCCTCAGTATCATGGCCATGCATCATGGCTGCATCGTGGACATCTGGTCATCATGATCATGCATGCAGGAGATGTGTAAGATGACGCATGCAGCCAGCTGGCTTGCCCGATCTCCAAGATGATTATGGTGGATCGAATAAAATGAAGACAACATTCTGTCCTCAAAGACTCTTGGGAAAATTTCCTGTTCCTTTTTCTCCTGGAAGTGCACCTGAGTTCATTAGAGAATAGGACGCGAGCTGCGAACTCCTGTTTCTGGGACAAGCTCGGTCCTTTCGGCAAGCGGGCGCTGCCATGGCGTCCTGCTCGCTCTTCGTGTGCTTGCTGGCCTTCTGCCTGCTTTCTCCCTCTTGCATGGGAGCCCGACTGCCGCCTGGACTGAACACCACCTTCCCAGGTAATGATCCGACCGACCATATATGGGCCTTCGGGACATGCAGTCTTGGCATCTTTTGCACAGGAGCTTGATCGAGGGGAACATCATCACCTCTGCAAATGTCGATCCAAGGCCATTTGCACCTTAAAATTGAAGTGCGTTGTCAAAATCCTATAGGGATAAAAGTCACAGTTACAGGCTGTCAATTGGACGTGCCACCCCCCACGCAGATGGCCTTGCAGTGTACTTGCCATGCATGGAGGAGACTAGCACATTGACACATTTCTGAGCCCTGCTAAAATGCAGCATGTCCACATGCACAGTACCCAGCGCATTTCATTGGAACGCAGTTGAAGTTGATCTGTTGGTGGAGCCATGGATGCCATCAGGGATGCACAGCCGCAAGCTGGCTCAGGGTGGCATCAACCTGCCCCCCTTCCCCAGTGTTGGACAGACAGGACCCCAGGCGGCAGGTATGCATGCCTGAGTAACCAGCTTGCCTGCATGCATGATAACACATGACGTGTCTTTGTTCAACTGCATCCATTGATGTAAACAGCTTGAGCACTACACATGGCAGATTGTACTCTTTGTGCATACAATGCTGACCCAAGCATGCCTTTCTGTTCCAGCCAATGCAGCAGTCTACAGCGCAGCTGCAGCAGCGTCATCCGCAGCAATTGTTGCCCAGTTGGTTGGTGAGACACTCACCTCTTCTTCAGCTCGTTGTGGTTCTCTGCGTCCTCATTGGCTTGACTGGGCATGTCTATGAAGTGCAATGGCACATGCTGCATGCTCCCAGATGAGCGTGTGGTTTGGCCGGGGTCTCAGGTCAGTGCAATGTCCTGGATGGAGTCGCTCTGGCCGCGGACACTGCAACAGCTGCAGGTGAGACCGACATGAAGCCACAGTGACTGTTTGAGATGCATGCTCGGAATGAGATGCAGCCAGCATTTGCAGTAAGCTGCTCCCCTTTCAGGAGCAAGTGTCGTGACTTGGCCGTCATCTGTTTCTCAGCTGGAGCAAGTGCGGCAGCAGTGGCAGCAGGGGCCTGTGGCACAGGCGCTTATGTGGCAGCTGCTGCATCAGCGACGGCTGCTGCAGCTTCCTATGTGCGCACTCCTCACACCATACCTAGTCTTACAGATTTCCAATAAACACCGACTTCAGAGGATATCTGAATTTCAGCAATTTGTCCTTTCCTCAATAGCAGCTGAACAGCTATCCTGACATCTGCATTGGGGATGGTCACTGGCAGAAGCAGCGCCATTGTCTATCCTGGAAGTCCAAATGTGACCTTCACGTTTGCAAACACAGGCTGCAATTGGCAATGGTGCGCTGGCTCAACAAGCAGCAAGCTCTGCAAATGCGTAAGCCTCTCACTAACGTCTTGCACTACAATGCTCTCTGGGCAATACTAATTTGCTTCAGCTGGCTTGCTTCATAATACCATCTGCCTTGTCCATGTGTCATGAGGGCCATGTCCACAGCTTGCAGGCTTTTATGGCTTCTGAATTTTCTAGCTGTAATCACCGAGCTTGGTGTGTTATAACAATAAGAATAATCACCAAGCTTTGGTTAACTTTTTGAGTCGCTGCCAATTCAGGAATGCGCAAGCTGCATCGATCCTGGCCAGCGTTGGCGGGGGCAGCTGCGGCCCCACGAGCTCGCGCTTCTACGTTGAGTCATCAGTCACCGCCATCACGGCAATCGCTGCTGCGTCGTCCGCCACCTCTGTTGCCCAAGCATGTGAGCATGTCCCTGCCCCTCATGCGCTCAAAAGTTGACAGCCCCGTGCTGGTATCTGTAGCACCTTTGTGTTTGTGCTGCCTTCCCGTATAAAGTTTACTCAGAGAGATATGCTCATGTTACATGAGTCATGTAGCCTCTAAGGACTAAAGCCTATGGCTCATAGTGGGTCAAACACGATGTGATGAAACATATTTTATGCATGCATGAACACGCAGTGAATGCAGGAAGCCATTGTGACTCGTATGGCCTGATCAACGCAGATCCAGAGTTAGAAAAGTTGAGGAGCTTGGCAGTTTGCATGCATGCAAGGAGGCAGAAGGCTGTCAAGATAATGCTTCTGGATCCATGACTGGGCGCAGGCGGTGCATCGGTGTCTGTGGCGGTGGCCGTCTCGGCGTCTTCGGCGGGGTCCCAGGCGACAGCGGCCGCATCAGCCGCCACCTCTGCCGGCTCCAGCACTGCAGCCGCCGCAGCCACCGCGGCCGGCAATGGCGCCTCCGCAGCCGCATCGGTCTGACTCCTTCATCCCTTGTTGGGGTTCCTTGAATGGAGAATATTCATAACAAGTGGCGCCCGCAGCAGCCGCGTGGCCAATCGGCTCGAATGAATTCTTGCTTTTTGCTTGCATTCCATGAGGTTGGCTGAATGTTGCTACATCATCATCATCGACCCCGGAGTCTAAGGGTAATATGATATTCCAGGGTGACAAGCAATTGCAAAGGCGAATCGACCTGAGGTGGATTGGCAAAAATCTGGCTGTGGAGCATTTCTATACGCTGCAGAAAAATGATCAGATTTATGCGGTGTGCAGGCAAGTGCGTCTTCGAACTGCGGCGGAGCTGTGTCAGCGTCTGTGTCCGTCTCTGTCGCTGTCGCTGTGGTGAGTCCATTGGAACATACTAATAAAGACTCATGCAGACTGCAGATCAGGGAAAAGCTGTGTCGGTGTCTCACAGTGACGGTGACTGGACGTTGTAATGTTTCTGTGCAGTCTGCCTCTACTGCGGTCAGCACCGGCAAGGCCACGGGCGGGCTGCCTGCTTCTGCGCCGCCAGTGTCTGCCGCCCCCGCTCCGCCTGTCCCAGGACTGCCCCCAGTGCCAGGCATGCACCAATGACGCCATCATGCCCTTGTGTTTGATGCATGTACACAGCGGTGCATGAGGTGCAAAGGCCTAGTCCGGGGGCCTAGGATACCCGATGTAGGCTACTGCCGTTTATAAGAGGTTCAGGCCTGTGTGAAACAGCCTCAACACTGCCCTCTTCCAAGGCAATGTCGGCCACCACACGCAAAAAGTTTGATAGATATCTTCAGACGCTACTTGCTGATTGTGTTGCACATGGGACTTCGCTGCTTCCTGCCAACTTGCAGCTCTGCCAAAGTGCTACAGCTCCAAGACGGGTGAATCTGCTGCACAGGGGGTGGTGGAGTTGCACCCGGCGGCGGGCCCATTGGCGGCTCGCCGCCCCCCGCAGGATTTGGGGGGTCCCCACCACCGGCTGGGGGTGCTGCCACTCCGCCAGCACCAGGGGGAGGCCTTGTGGCCGGGGGACCCCCACCAGGTGCACCTGCACGCCCCGGGGGGTCCCCGCCCCCGGCAGGAGCCGGGGGATCCCCCCCACCGGCGGGCGGCGGCGCCGTCAACCCGCCACCGCCAGGGGGAGGCCTCTTTGCAACGGGGGGGCCCCCACCGAGTGCATCCGGCGGCACACCCCCTCCCCCACCATCCGGCGGTGGTGCCGCCAGTCCCCCACCCGGTGCGCTGCGGCCTCTGGCTTGTGCTTCTTCCATGGAATTACTATGGTGATATCGCTTCGCTACAGAGAGATCAGCTCAGTTGGCAAGGTTGGCGTCACATTGTTTCACAAGGTACAGTACAGAGTAAAGGGCATGACTTAAGACTTAAGACTTCATGATCCAGTTCGAGGACGTGCAAATGGTGTTTTTTCAACTGAAGCACTGTCGTGTGCCTGTCTGCAGCCTTTGCCGCCGGCAATCCACCTCCTGGCGGCGCAGCCTTCCCCTGAGGATCTTTGTGACAATACAGCTGATAAGCACCTGCAGTTACTGTTTTGAGGAGCTGTGCAGCAAGTGAGAGTTGCAGCTGGCACTATGAAAATCTTTTGTCAAGTGTGTTGTATTGTGAAGCTCTGCAGCAGAAAGTCCTGTTGGTCAAAGCACTGGAAGGACAACAGCCAATGGTTGCCAACTTGGCTTGATGTTTTTGCAGGGAAGTGTACGTGAAGTACCAGCAAAGGGCGCACTTTGTTACAATGTTAGTAATGTTGGCTGCTGGTAATTGAGTCCAGACACTCTGGAACGTCCTTTCTGGGGGAGATCCAATGATCATCATGATGTTGGGAACTGCTCGACATGATAGAGACAGGAAAATATGGTCACTGCTGCGGGTGATAGGTTGTATATTTCTTGGTTTTGCGCCCTGAAGGTCGACAAAGTATGTTTGTGGCATCATTGGATTTGATCACTTTGCAGTTGGGTGTGATCCGGGCGTACAGAGGTCTCAATCGATTAAGCAGGCAGGCTGCATGGAACAAAATAAGCACATAGTGATACCAATACTGGACGAATGTAAATGTTGACATGGATACTGCACTCTATAGCTACTGAGTGTGTGATGCAGCAGAATCTGAAGGTTATTGTGTGTAGTCCAGGTTTCCAAGGACTATCCCTTGCATGGGTGCATTTGCGAGTTGACAAGGCTGCAAGCCTGTGCATATCGGCCCCGGGTTCCGGCTGCAGACGGACCTGTGTATGCCCTATGGCCCTCTGGGCTCTGGGTTCGCCACTCATACAGAATATTATTATTATTATTATCCCTTGCATGCATGCCCCATGCCCACAGCCTTCCACGTGGACAGGCTGACGGACATCCAGATCAGCATGAGTACTGGACTACTTCAACACGAGAAGAAGTCAGTTACGTTGTCGCTGGAGCACATCTAAAGATAGAGATGAACAATGTATGCTCTTTATAATCTAGCGTGAATCAATAACCATTGTCCGAAGCAGGGAAGCGACGCAAAGTGTTCCTCTATGGGGCTTGACGCGCCATCACTGAAACTAGTAGGACACGGACAATTCAAGCGTGTTAATCCAAACTCTGATCTCTTTAAGGTGAAGAAGGATTTTTCCCTGCAGATCTTGTGGCTTCTTTGCCCAGTTGCTGTTTTTTAACCGTCCTTGTCAGTCTGTGGCATGTGCCTTCGCATTTGTATGTTTCGATGCTTGCTCTGTATTGTATTGTGCTCTCCTCCTGAAGTTCAAGTGGCAATTTATTTCAATCTTAGATCTATGTCTTTTGCCCTGCAGGTGATCAAATTTCATCACATCGATTGGTGGTGTTCTGATGCTACCAGCACTCAGAGAAGGTGAGACTGGACGAATGCTCCCATATATGATGCACACTAGTACACTATACCTCTTTGGAGCACACCAATTCTCCCTGATACAGTCCGCAGGCAGTCTACTCTTCTCCTCAGGGAATTTGGTGCACCCAAGCAGGTTTGGCTGGGGCCTTGGGATGCAGCTTGTGGCAAAGTCGGACCTGTCCACAGGAAACTCAACCTTCGCCAGCTATGCATTGAAATCGAACGACCTGGTGCGAATTCGCATGCTTTCATTTCTCAAGCATGTGATTTGTGCCTCCTGTGCAAGCCTTTAAAGACCATGAACAGCTTTGATGCGTGCCATGACGCGCCACAGGTGTTCTCATTCACAGCTCCCTACTCTACGAAAGTGGAGAAGAGCAAGGAAAGCAAGTCGCCAATCCCATGGTACAAAGCAGACATGGCGCTCAACTTCATAGCAGCACACGGACTCGGCGTCAGATCAGTAGGTGTGCAGTCCCCCGCATCAGATCAATACCACCAGCACATTCCTTAACACAGCCAAAACAACACATTTGCTGTACTTCGGTGTATCGTGATGACATCATCCAACCCACTGCACAATGTGGCTCGTCCAGGGTAGGCGCTCAATGTAGAGGGGTGTGTGGCAGGGGTGTTGGTCGAGGATGCAGCAGAGGCACACCAGAAGGCGACGGCGCACGGAGCAGTGAGTGTGGTGGAGCCAGTGACGCTGAGGGATGAGGCGAGTGGGACAGAGCAGGTGGTCTCAGAGGTGAACCTGTACGGCGACGTGGTGCTGCGCTTTGTCAGCGGCTCGTATCAGGTGCGACCAGGCAGGAGTGCGCGAATTTATGCCTACCTCCCTGTGCTCCTCTGCAGGTAGCTTGCATCACTGAGACCTTCTGTGCTTCGCGCACTACTGGTAGCTTTGGATGTGTATGTCTACACAAGAAATGACAGCTTTCTGTTCTGTCCTGTCTCCTTTCTTCTGTCTCTTGAGGGACCACAGGAGCACTGCAGCGCTCGACACATCCTTGCAGCTCTCTGCATTGACCAGTGAGCAGCAGTTCCAGGAGCCAAAGTATGTGAGTGAAGCGCAAGCAACAAATCAGGTATTATTCATGCCTCTTGGCAGGAAATGCGTGTTGTAATAATAGTATAATTATTTTTCATGCAGGGTCCCTATCTGGCGGGCTATACGGCGGTGGAGTCTCCGCCGCTGAGTTACGGGATACAGCGGCTGGACCATGCGGTGGGCAACGTGCACGACCTGGAGAAGGCCGTCAATTACATCGCGCGCGCCACCGGCTTCCACGAATTTGCAGAGTTCACCGCCGAGGTGCATACTTTGTACCCTACCAACTGCTTTCTGGGCTGATCATGTCTCAGCTGGTTTTCCGCTGAACTTTTGCAAAACACTCAAAATCGTGTCCTTGTATGTGGACCACACCGACCATGAAAGCCTCATGAAGACCATTGCTGAGGTCCCTCCGCTTGAGAGCCGGGCAGCAATTGCAGGGCAGTTTGGTGAAGCGGTGCAGATTGAGAGCAGGGTGATTGACGGCGTTGTGTGACTGATGCAGGATGTTGGCACGGTGGACTCTGGCCTGAACAGCATGGTGCTGGCCTCCAACAACGAGCGCGTGCTGCTGCCAGTCAACGAGCCCACCTTTGGCACGCGGCGCAAGTCCCAGATCCAGGTAAACTAAGTAAGCACAATATTGGAAACCCTAATTTATCAGAAAAGGGGTAAATCCTGCTGCAGGCGAAACCACTTCTGCACGGCGCTCATACCCACGGCGTTCATGATTACCAGAGAATTTCAAAAGTCTCCCTTCCGCTCCTTGTAGGACCTTGGCTGACCTGCTTTGTGTAGGGAAAAGACCGCAGTCATCTATTCTCTGTGGCGCCTGGCTCTCTGTTGAATCCATTATTGCTGCAGTAAGCTATCAGCTGAAATGGCTGAAGTCAGTTGCGTGTACATTGCCTGCATGAAGACGTTCTTGGAGCAGAACGAGGGCCCTGGGCTGCAGCACCTGGCGCTGAAGACAGATGACATATTCAGTACCATGCGCGAGCTTCGCAAGCGTTCCAGCCAGGGCGGCTTTGATTTCATGCCGCGCGCATCGGATGCCTACTACAAGTGCGCCCGCAGCCCTTTTTTCCATTTCTCTCCTGAAACATCTGCAACGATTTACCATGCATGCTTGACAGACTGGATTGTGACAACCCACGTGCACTAAAAAGAGTTCCTGATGTGATGGACCCTTCGTGTGCATGCAGTATGTCACATTTCAGGAATGCTGAATCATTAATGTCCAGTGGAGGAACGCGCTTGTGTGACTGCCTGCAGGAACCTGCCAGCGAAGATTGGAGACGTGCTGACACCGGAGCAGTACAAGCAGGTTCAGGAGCTGGGCCTGCTGGTGGACAAGGATGACCAGGTCTGTTTCTTCCGCCTATGCAAGCACTTCCGCGTTGCCGCTTTTTCTGCCTAATCTTGTCAGGAGACACTTGCATTGACTGGGAACCCCTTCTGGGGTAGCATGTGGCAGGTGTGTTGTCCGCAGAGGATCATGGCATGACAAAGAATGGATCTGCTCAGCTGCAAATAATGCCCAATCATTTGATGGTGCTGAAAAGCACCCGTTTCAGGAGTCTCCAACAGTGTAGATCACGATGAATGAGGTATTTTTTGGTGACTGGTAATGGGGTCATATGACGCATGCAACAAAATGTTTCAGCTCTGACAGGTTTTCTGTGCGGCTGTGCGCAGGGCGTGCTGCTGCAGATATTCACGCAGCCGCTGTCGGATCGTCCGACGGTGTTCCTGGAGATAATCCAGCGCATCGGCTGCATGCACGAGCGCGCAGAGCCGGCCTCGGCCGTGCCGCCGGTCATGGAGCAGGCCGGCGGCTGCGGCGGGTTCGGCAAGGGCAACTTCTCGGAGCTCTTCAAGAGCATCGAGGACTACGAGCGCCTGCTGGACATAAATTGAGCGGCTGCAGTATCGTCAGAGTGCTTGAAGCTTGTTGAGGGAGTCATGCGTATGAGCGCTTGCTAAGCATCGATTGAGGAGCAGCACTTGTGTCAGGACTATAATGCTGCAGAACAAACAAACAACCCATTAGTGTTCCCTGCGCAGAAAGAAATCAGAGTACTTGAACCATGTTGAGGGAATTGAACCATACGCGCGCTTGCTGAAGATGAATTGAGCAGCAGCAGATGTGCCAGATTGCTTGGAGCGTGTCGAGGGATTGAGCCGTCAGAGTTTTCGGCACAGCAAACAGTGTTGTGTGTGGATGCATGGTGGAGTAACTTGCCCTTGATGGGGAGAATGTTAAGCTTGCAATTGCAGCAATGCAGGGCTTATATTTGGACTAGGCTTTGTTGTCATGCAGTGATAGGAGACTTGTAGAAGTTGAATAGACATGTACAATATCTTGAATCCTAGCATTGTTGAGGACATGCCATTCATGATGTTGCTCGATAACAGGAGTATGTTGTCGGACAAATTTCACCCCCACAGGAATAGGTGCAACTTTTGCGGCTGCACTCCATTCAAGAAACGAAACGATCCGGATCAAGAGTAAATTATCTCAAAGGCCTTTTGTTGCAGTGCAAGACTTGAATACTGGAGATTCTGTTACATGTGGCTATGAATGTAAATGATGATATCCTGATCACGAAAAAATCTTGAGAAAGATGGAATGCTCGAATCAGCTGGTCAATGGGTCACAGATCTTGCTTGCAGTTGCACTTGCTAACCTATCTATAGTCTTGAAAAAGTAAAATAGTCCTGCTTGACAAAAACACTTGGACCCCAAATATTTGCGGTCCTAAGAGACGCCCATGTCTCGAAACTTGAAACAAAATTTCACCTATTTGAACCAGCCGTGACCGAAGAATTAGTGTGAGCCAAGTACTAAGGTTCAGTGCAGCATTCTGCTCACAAGCACTTCAGCATGGCCATAGACTGACACGTGTACAGGACAGGCAGAGAACGGCACTTCCTCATGCGGGAGATTGTGACACATACAAACAAGTCCACAAGCTTTCTGACTGTCTGCTACAGCACAAGTTCTGCTGATTTCTATTGACGTCCACATATTATTCCAGTTGCTTGCCACACTCAGGCCACCACAGCTGCACCTGCACGCAAGCGCATTGTCACAAACACTCGCCAAGCATTGTTCAGGGACATCGCTAATCAGCATATTGCACAGCAGAGTGCCAATCGAAGAATCTGTCATGGAAGAGTCAGGACAGCTCACCTTTGCTTGGGGACCGAGCCAGGTGCCAGGCATGAGCAGAATCTTCGCCGCGCGCCTCTCCCGCATCCTCTGCTGCCTGCTTGTCGGAGGCTGTGCCCTGTGACTCAGATGCCTGTGCGGCAGTTAAAAACCCCCCTTCAGGCTTCTGGAAACGCCTCAGTAAGCTTCCTCGCATGCCCCACAGGCGCAGAATCAGCTCTGTCCTGCTGTGCTTGCACCAGCATCATCCGCCACCAAGAAGGCCATGCCTTATCTGGTCAGTGACAGCGCAGCGAAGCACACCTTGTCTGCGGAATGCTGCGAAAGTTGGGCTGGCGCGGAGGCACCCGCGCCGGACTGACTACCATGCGCAGCGTCTGCGGCCGGCGGCGTGGCGGGTGGCTGCCGCGCGACAATGGGCAGGGAGGTCCCGGAGGAGCTGTGGCGCATGGTGGTCACGGTGGTGGCTGCATGTGCAGGCGTCCGGTACCGCGCAGGCAGAGTGGTCACCATGGGCCGGTTGCTCTGGCGCTGCGGTGGCATCGTGGTGACCATCGGCCGCAGATTTGCGCGCTCCGGCAGCGGCGTCATCCCCAGGATCGGCGGCTGCGCGGCCGGGGCCGGCCCGGCTGGCTCGCGGCGCGGGCTGCCGGCTGCCTTGGCGCGCGCCGCGGTCGCCATGGCGCGCCACTCGTCGGCAAATGTTGTGATGGCCGCGTGGCGGGACTTGTCAATCTCGCTGATTGGCGCACCCGCGGCCACCGCCCTGGCTTGCGCTGCGAATGTGGCCGCGTCCTGCGGCGGCGCCCGGCGAGCCGCCGGCACGTCGCTCGCGGAAGTGTCGGGCTGGGCCCTGGCAGGACTGGGCCTCAACCGCGTCAGCCTCTCTGGGGTGGCCGCACGCAAGCCCGCCCACGAATCTGGCGTCTCCATGTGCGAGGCTCGGACATTGTCGTTGGCGCTCATGTTTGCTTCCTTGGCAGCGGCAGCCGCCCTGGCCGCTCCCGGCGCCGGCGGATCAGGCGGGTCCACACCGACTCGCTGTCTGAAATTGCGCACAGCCTCCCTCGAAATCGGCTCTGGCGCGTGCGCCTTCAGGCCCGCCCACGGGTCGCGCTTCTCGGCAGTGGCGGCCTGCTTTCTGTCTGGCATGCTCGTGGCCTGCTTGCCGGCCGCCATCTGCGCCGCATCCGGCGCTGGTGCCACCGGCGTCTCGCTGGCAGTCCTGTCTGGCTCGTCGCTGCGTGCAGCGGGCCTGGAAATGCGCTGCCGTGGGGCCTGTGTCAGACCCGCCCACGAATCCCGCTTCTCGGCGGGAGCCTGCTGTTTCTCTGGCTTGCTCGCGGCCTGCTTGCCGGTTGCTGCCTGCGCCGCATCCGGCGGCGGTACCGCCGGTGCCGCCGGCGTCTCAGTAGCAGTCCTGTCTGGCTTGTTGCTGTGGGGGGCAGGCCTGGAAATGCGCTGCAGCGGGGCCTGTGTCAGACCCACCCATGAATCGCGCTTCTCGGCGGTGGCGGCAAGCTGTCTCCCGGGCTTGCTCGTGACCGGCTCGCCAGCCATCTCCTTCGCCGCATCTGCCGATGTTGCCGCCAGCGTCTCGCTGATAGTCCTCTCTGACTCATCGCTGCAAGCAGCGGGCCTGGGGATGGGCTGCCGTGGGGCCTGCGTCGGACCCACCCACGCAACGGGCATCTCTGCAATCGAGGCCTGGAACCTGTCAGTGGCGCTTATGTTTGCATCCTTTGCTGCGGCTGCCGCCCTGATCGCTCCCGGTGCAGGCAGCGGCGGCCGTCGAGCTGCCTGCGGGGTAGTGGCTGGCTGAGCCTTGGACAGAGCGGGCTGCGGCGTCGATGCAGGCTGCGGCGTGGCCCGCGGCTGCTGCTGCACCCTGGGGCCGCTCAAGATGTTTGCGATGGCCCTGTCAGCCTTGCTTACCACTGACGCTGCAGCCGCCGCGCTGGGCTGCAAGCCTGAGCCGGCAGGAGCAGGCGCCGGCAGCGGCGCCCTCCGTGCCGGCGGCGCCTCACCGGGCGTCAGTCCTGGCCGGGCCACAGGCGGCGCCGGCCTCTGCGTGGATGCAGGCTGCGGCTGCGCCTCCCGCTGTCGCTTCCGCTGCGGTGCCGGCTGCTTCGTGAATGGTGGCTGATCGTACTTGGGGTCGTTGACGTCGATCGAGAAAGGGTCCCACTCCCGGCCTTCATCGCGAGCAGCTTTGAATTCCAGCCAGAGGATGCGATCCCTCCGCTTGCCACGCGCAAGGTGAGCGGCTTTCTCCTGCGGCGTCATCGTCGCCATGTTGGGCCTAAGCTGGCCTTGCGACCTGTGCAGCTGGTTAGGCGCCAGCCGCACAGTAGGCGGGTTTGCCGGAGCCGGATCGCCGGGGCTGCGGGCCGCCCTGCTCATCCCGGGGCGCTCGGCCGGCGCCGCCTGGTTGCCGCTTGCGCTGGCGCGCCGCGCCTGGGATAGGCCGGGCTCCAGGCAGGGAGGAGGTTTGAATGTCGGCTGGTGCGGCAGATTGGGCTCCACAGGGGCCCTCAGCGCAGCCCCAGAAGCTCCCATGACGACCAGCCAGGGGTTGCCAGCACGCTCGGGGGGGAAAGTCGGCGCAGGGGGGTCCACGACGCGGCGCGGGCGGCCGACCGGGCGGCGGCCGGCGCGCAGCTGCAACGCGTTGTGCTGGCGGCGCAGGCAGCGCTTGGGCGCGGAGTTGGTGCCGCACTTGCCCTTGCGCTGCTCCACGCACACCGCACACCGCCCTGCGCACACATCAAAGTACCCATTTCAGTATGACCAATTGCGCAACATGACACATCCAAGCAGAGCACCATGCCACAAGTCTGGCACCACGCTCAGCACATCTGCGGACTGACCGTCACAATGTAGCCAAGAGCCACAGCAAGCTGCCAGAACTCAGGCATTGCATAGCTTTCTGGATGCTTATCCTCAGGACTCAATTCCACTGGTATGGTGAGCCTGGTGGCATATAAACCAAGGAAGAAATGACACACAAGACACACAAGGCAGTGCGGGCGCCAACAAGGGAGGAAGGGCTGCCGCGTGGTGTGAACATGGTGCATCGCCAAAAGTAAAATCTCCCGGCCCAGGAGCACTAATGATCACATTGTGAGAGTGCGGCGGCCATCAGAGGGCGAGCATGGGCGGCCGACCGCACCCGGCCGGAACATGGAGCGGCCGACGGTGCCGCCAAAGCGCGAGAACTCGGCGCGGCTGACGTTGTCTGCGTCTGCCAGCAGCGTCTCGTAGCGCTCGCGCGCCGTCCCCGGCGGCCGCGGCATCGCGCGCCCGGACGGCCGCACATTCGGGGCTGCAAACGCATGGGTTTTTAGTTACTTTTTTACTTTTCAAGACCTCCTAAATCCTAACGCGAAATATAAATATCTGGAAATTCTATACATGCTGTAACAGGGTGCCACGTCTAGAGGTCATCTGGTTACTAATGCCCATATGCATACATAAAATTAAAACGCAATTCCTGTCAACACCGTTGGACTTCTTTCAGTACTAGAACAGCTTCAAGATACTTGAAGACAGAGGCAAGAGGGCTGCAATGCTTTACATTCAACGAGCGACCAGGCTTGAAGGCACTTGATTCCACAGCAAAGCAAAGAGCTGGAAACCGCTCACTATGAGAGCAGAGAGGCTACAGGGCACAATGTCCCAGAGAAAAGCGGCTCCGAGGCAACAAATATACCCCCCTCCCAATCTCTTAGAAGTCAGAGATTGATTCATTGAAACAGTGTGACATGGTCAGAACATGGTTGTGCAATCCAAGAGGGTGCGCTCTGGGAGTGAAGGACTGTACTCACGTTCAGTGATGTAGCCTTGGTATCTGCGGGCGATGACCCTCCGGCGCTTGGCTGCGCCGCCCGCCGCCTCTGCATACTGGTTGTCATCGTCATCGATTTCCTCCTCTTCCTCATCAGAGAACTCCTGCACAATGCCAACCCTATCAGTCCAGTCGATCATGTTACAGCTGGTACATCCACCCGAATTCTCAGTTTTGCCACACGCAAACCTGGAGCCTGCCAATGTTAAGCCTGTGTTAAAAAACCCTAAACCCCCTGCATTCTTCTGTGCAGGTGTGCAAGAGGCTCCAACAAGATATTTACAGAAAGCTCGCTCTTCGCTGATGAACTGAACGACTGCTTCAAGTTGACCTGTGATGTATTTCTCTCCAATCAAAGATGTGTTTGCATGTATACTGTCCGGCCTGGAGGCCAGCATCACACTTAATACAGAGCTCGAGGGTGCGCCCAAAGAGCACCACAACATCGGCTGCGCACCTCGTCATCCTCGGGGGAGGCTGCCACGGCGCGCTGCCGGCCTTGGGGCCCTTGGGATGCGCCGCGCTGCCGCGAGCCACCCTGGCCGCCGTTGCTCTGACCGCGGCCGCCCGCAGCCACGTCACCCCCGCCATCATCCCCCTGAAGGACAAACCACGCACACTCACCACAGCCATAATGCTGTCAGAAATACACAGGAGCAGTATGAATCCTTGAGCTGGTGCCCAAGTGCAGCTGCCTGGGTTCGCAGGAGTTTGCTCCATTCTTTTGCACGAATGAGCACCTGCCAGACCAGGATCGCAACTCTTGGGCAGCGCACAGGTTATGATTGTTGCAGATTTGGCAAAGCATTGGCGGAGCATTCAGTGAATTTGAGTCAAGGAGGAACTATGAGGTGGTGGGGCACTCACATCCAAGTGGGTTTCTTCGCTGGGGGCATCGCGGTCATTGCCATGGCCATGCCGGCCGCCGCCGCCGCCGCCGTCGTCGGTTTCGTCATCGTAGTGCTCGGGCTCTGGCACTGGGATAATGGGCTCGCTCTCCACCAGATGCACATGCAGCGGGCATGTCACCCGCCCATTGCCCTGCGCACACATCATCGGTATCCAAAGTGCACTTCACAAGCTGTTCCTGCCACGAGACAGGATGCAATCTTCAGACTAGCTGCAGGCAGAAGGCACCCCATAAACCTCCATGTTTACAGGCTCTAAGGACAGTTGACCCAGGCCTTTTGAAGAGAATGATGAACACACACCCATTTGAGTCAGCGGCATGCCCGACCTTGCTAGACAATGCCATCACAGTCTCTTGGACAAGATTAGGGCAACTTGATAAGACTGAGCAGGGGCCGTACGTCAAGGCGGGAGCCATTGTAGCGGGCGCAAGGGAGGTGAAAGGAGGTGCGGCAGGAGCGGATGTGGCAGCCCAGAGTGGCGCCGCGGTGGCCGCAGAAGCGGCACTTGATCATGCGCCCCCGCCTCACCGCCAGGCCCACCTGTTCCAGCTTGCCCTCAGATGACTCGTACACCTGCGCGCCAGCAGCAATCTTTCACATCATTCTCTCCTTACTCTCATCCTGACAGTGGCGCTCAGGACGCCTCAGAACCTTGCCAAAGCTGTCACGCCATGGGATGGAAGCACCGGCATTATACTTGCAGACGTTCTTGCATTGGATAAGTTGCCTTTAAATTCTCTCCATCATATCTGCCCTCCATAACAGCTAGTCAACAACGTTGGGAAGGTTATTCAGACGCATCTTCAGAGCATGGCAATGCACCGCAAACATCACCAGTTCTGCAGACCACCAGAACAGTCACAGATTCCGTAAGATGCGACCCCGTAAGCCAGGGACGAGGAGGTGGAGAGGGCACCTCGGGGGACCAGACGGCGCACTGGGAGTGCACCCAGGCGTTGGCGATGGCGGACACCTTGACAAGCAGCAGGGGGCCGAGGCCACGGTTGGTAGCAGCGTCCGGGGTGAGGCCGAGGCCGCGCTGCAGACTCACCTCCCCAAACTCATTCGCCTCCTGCTCCTTGTGGCACAACGCGCACCTGCACCCAATCCAGAGCCATTCACACAAGTATAATCCCCGACTCCAACACTTTCTGCAGGTAAGACATCTGCATCGGGCCACGGCACCTTCTGCTTGAACTGCCTTGGCATGCCCCAAGTTGCTCCTGTGTAGCCAATAGGCAAAAGCTGCAGAGTTGCAGCATCAGCCTCTTTAAAGGTAGCCAAAACCTGGCTACTCTGCAGTGGGAAGCAATCTTAATCTTGATTGCAGTGGGAAGCAATCAAGATTAAGAGAGAAAAGAACAGAAATATACCTGGTGCCGGGTGGCGCTCCAGACCGCGCCAGGCGCAGGTACTCGGCGGCGGCTGCGGCGCGGCGTGCGGGGTTGCCCTTCACCTTCTCCTCCTTCTTGTCCCCCTCTGCCGGCGTCACCACCTCCCTGCAACGCATCAAATCCAATCGAGCGTCAGCAATCCGCAATGCTGTCTCAATCCTCTGCACAATGACACAGGCCAGACAGCTGAAGCAGACTGCAGGCAAAGATATTATTCTGCTGTCAAATGGTTTGCATGTGAGATTCTGTGAACAAGAGATTGCTTTGGCAGTGTGCAGGGCAGCATACGCCTGCGACACATGCAATCAGGTGGTCATGTTGTGACTGCTCACAACAAAGACTCCTATTGCACAGGTCGCAGGCAAAGGCTGGTGACAGGTGGCAAGGAGGTGCGAAGAGCAAGCCACTTACGTGTGGCTCTGCACTTCGCCACCATCCTCCTCGGCAGGGTGTGCGGCAACAGAGGCCGGCCCGGCTGGCGCTCGGGCGGCCGCCTCCGCAGCGGCGACGCCTTCGATCTCTGTCTCCGGGGCCGTGATATTGCTGGGAGCAGTGGATGCTCCCAGGCCCTGCGCCTCGTCTTCGGCCCACAGGCCCCCCGGGTGTGACTCGTCCACTTCCATCAGCGCGCCCGGCAGCGCCGGAGCCGACAGATCCGCCTGATTTGCGTCGCGGTGATCCCTGCAAAACGATGGGACGCCGCCTCAGAGCCCTGCTTTGCAGCAATCTTGGCAGCCACATTGCCTAATAGACAAAGGCATCTTCAGTGCTTTCTACATGCAAGAGTGTGAGGTTTGGAAAGGGTGGAGGATGCAGGCATAATTAGATGAGTGCTGCAGACAACATAGCCAGAACTTGGTGAGGGAGTTGCAAGGGCAAATTTCTGCAGGTCAACTGACCTGGCTTCCAGCATGAGGGTGCCCGCAAACTGGTAATCCTGGTAGTTGACAAGGATGAACAGCAGTTGGGGCTCCAACAGCTGCCAGCTCAGCACCTCTGGGCCAGCCTCCGTCCTGCAGCCCAGCACGCACCCCTTACACCCAACACTGGCCCATATGTAAGGCTACGGTGAAGCAAAGCATCCTCCACGGAACAGGAAGAAGATTAAGTCAACATTTGCCAGATCCGCCCAGGCCTGTCTTACAGGACCTGACACGACATTCTTCCCATTCATCCAGGACGCTTGTGTGCAGACACCAGGAAACCTTTCAGGCACAACATATCAAAAGGCTGAGGATGCATCCCTGTCCCTACCATTTAACACGGTCTCACAACAAGAGCCACCATATCGCTTGCACAGCCTTATCAAACAAGTGAGAAAACTTGCAAAGGTGCTTGCCTGGGGCTGGGGCTGGCTTCAGCGGCGGAGCCGGCCGGGCGCCAGGTGGCGCCGGCATCGCGCTGAGTCGTGCGCACGCGTTTGGGCACCGGCAGAGAGTCATCGGCTGCCGCGTAGGCTGCGTTGTGATAGCCGCCGCCGTAAAAGTCAGCGGCGGCCACGTTGCGCTTGCGGCGGTGGGGAGCTGCACCGTTGTTGGCTCCGCTCGTGTCGCTGCCGTACTGCTGGCTCTCCAGCTCGCTTGACTCCACGCCCTGCAGGTAGTGATCATCTACTCAGTAATGACCGGAATAATGGAAAATGCCTTGTATGTTTTGCACTCTCTGCTGATTTGACTAGATCCAAGTCCTCTTGATACAGCAGCTCATGCCCCGTCTGGGCAACTACAAAGGCAGCTGGCAATCTTACCAGAATCAATCCCTTGCTAGGCAAATGCTGGGCACGATTGCACATAGATGTCAAGCGGAGCACGCAATACCAACGCGGTGAAGAGATCAAGGCTGCAAATGATCAGCAACCAGTAATAACTAGGACCAAGCCTGGTGCAATTCAGGGCGCGCACGTTGTAGCGGAGGGGTGAGAAGGGGCGCTGTTGGGGGCGGTTCAGGCGGTTGGGGTCGGCCAGGTGCGGGTCCACTGTGTTGGCCAGCCACACCGGCCTCTTGCGCGCACGCTGCCCCCGCTGCAGCAGCACCGTCTTGCCTACGCATACACAGCCCCCTTACACACATCAGCCCACAAATCTAGGTCAATATCGTCTGCACACAGATCAGATTATCTGTGTTCAGACAAGGGTCGCCTTCAGGAAGTGGTCGAAGGAGGAGCTTGACATGCTCCTTTGCAGACTCGGAAGGTTGGAATTTTAGGGCGCAGAGATCTAACAAGAAATGAGAAGCATTCTCGCATTAGGCACATTGCAGATCTTTGTCAGCGTGCTGTGGCTCAAACACGCTCAGCGCGCCAGCTGGCTATGCAACGTGCAGGGAGTCCTCAGCGAAAATAGGCTGTGACCCAAAACAGACACAGCATGCTTGCACTGATCCAACATGTGCCTGGAGCGTCAGGGCACAGGGCACAGCAGGGCAGAGGAAGCGAAAATAATAGCCGAATGTCACACACCGTTGACGTTGACGATGGAGTCGTTGTCGGTGCGCGCGTCGGGCGGCAGCGCGTTGGCGGCGTCGACCTCGGCGCCGGCCGCTATGGCGCGCATCTCCTCGGGCGTGGGGCCGCGCGTGCCGGAGCGCGGGTCGTCCTCTTCGCTGCCGGTCGGCCGCGGCCGCGGGGGGCCCTGCGGCACCACCGCCTGGTACTGTGGGCCCTCCCGGATTGCCGGCTTGCGGTTTTGCTGCGCGCACAGGCTCAACCCCTCAGCGGCACGCCATCCCAAACACACTGTCTGTCTATCACTGCGCTTCCTTGAGCCCACTCTCGAAAGAAGACTACATGCTGTTAATGATGGCGATATGTGCTCTTGTCACTTGCACAGCCATCTCACAAGTGCTGCTTAGACACATCATGAAAATATCATCAACTTTTATTCTCTCATAGATACTCAACAGCACACTCCTGTCAGAGGAAGCAGCAAAATTTTTAGGCAGGTTCGGAGTGGACTGGCAGGGAGACATTGCCGCGCACCCTGTTGTAGGCTGGGGAGGGCTTGAGCCACTTGTCCCTGGACAGGTTGAGGACAGCGTCCACCGCGCCCAGCTCCGGGGGCGTTTCCACCTGCCCATTATCTCCGTCTGCACCCCCAGCCCATATGGTGACAGGAGTACGTCCGGCACTTGTGTGAACTTGCTGACAATAAGGGGGACCCATGCGAAAGGGTCCTTCGCGCATGGCAGCCTTTGAGCGACCCAGCATGTGGAGCTCTGGGCCACAGAGCAAGGTGTTGCTGGAGTACATTTTATGGCCCACGTGAAATCAACACCCATTTCATATAAAAAGCCCTTTCATCCTTCTAGTGCAACAGACCAGCTCTGGGACATGCTGCACCATCCCTCAGCTATACAACCCAACTTTCCACCTTCATGAGCCGCTGAAAGGCTGCCTTGCACTGGATCTTGCTCACGCACACCACATATCTTTGACGAAAGGCAGGTAGCAAAACCGATTATCAGCAAAGGAGTGCACACCTCCGTATCCGGGCTCAGGGGTGAGGCCCTCGGGGGTGATAGAGCGGCTCCTGTTGCTGCCACGCCCGCGCCCGCGGCCCCGGCCGCGGCGTCCGCCCCCACGCGGCCGGCCCCGGGGCCGGCTCTCTTTCTGCAGCGGCCGCGCCGTCGCCGCCTTGGCTTCCCTCTGCGCTCCCACCAGCGCGGCCGCCGCCGCTGCCGCCGCATCACCGTCGTCATCCTGAGCATCCCCATATCTATCCTCTGCCTCTGCCAGAGCCTGATGGATCGGATCCGTAACGGAGTCCGCCAGATACCCTGGCCCGCCGCCCTGCCCGGGGTCATTGTCGGGCTCGGGCGTGCTCTCGCCGTCCTCCGGCTCTGGCGGCCCCGGCACCGGCTGCTGCAGCGGCTGAATGGACCCCGTGTTGGCGGCGGCTGCCGCCACGGCCGACGCCGCTGCCTGGATGAAGCGCCCGCTGCCGCTCCTGGAAGATCACAATCATATCTTTATCACCCAAGTGGACACCTCCAACCAGCTGCGAGACATTGACCATCGCGGGTGCGCCACAAGCTCCACTGATCCCAGGTATTTGCGCAAGATGAGCTCGTTAAAGCACAAAGTGGACACTTGGAAAAGGAATCACCTGCCAGACTTCTCCAGCACGCCCAGCTGGTCCAGGTAGGCGCCCAGAGTGCAGCTCTTGGCCTCTGGCTTGTCCACGCGCAGCGTGTACTTCCACTTCTTGGACGCCGCCATGCCTGCGCGCGCAAGTGTTCCTTCCTTTACATATGAGATCCAGCCCTCCCACAAAACTTCCACCCTTTAGCCACCATCCCTGCACATCTACCACTGCCCCACAGATGTCATGCATCACATGGCAGGACTCGGGAAGCGACTCAGAATGAAACACAGCCCTCACCGGAGTGGCGCTCAAACTCTGTGGGGGTCATCTCGTGGTAGGGGACGGCTGAGCGCTGGGCGCGCTGCGCGCACAGCTTGCAGTGGCAGATGCAGGACTGGTGCTCCAGCAGGAAGCGGCCGCGGTTGCCGTTGCAGATGATGGGCACATGCACCAGACCGCTAGCGCTTGACTGCGCCGCCACTGCCGCCGCCGCCTCCGCCATCGGCGGGCTCACCGGCGTCCTGCTGACCCATCCCCTCTGAATGTCCCCAGCCTCCCTGATCACACCATTTGCCAGCTCTGTCAGTCATGACCCGCGCTGCATCTTATTTGTACCTGTTTTTGCGCAATGCAAAACAACTCGGTGGCGAACAACTCATGGGAAATGCAGCAGGCGACGCAGGGTCATGTGCGAATACGGTGCATGGTCAGGCGGCATCAAGAGCAGGTGCGCACAGATTGAGAGGGCCGCCAGGCGGTGAGGCCCCTGGGCGTGCACTGGCGTCCGGAGCATAAGTGCCAGTGTAGCCGGCTGGGGGCACCCCCCAAGCCCTGGGGGGCGCCGGGGGGCCGCCGCGGCCTCTGCCCGGCGCCGATGCGCCGCGCAGCGGCAGGGTCGGGAGCGTCACCGGCCACATGCGCGGTGCAGGCGGCTCCGGCTGCCTCTGCGGGAGCGTCCCGCTCGCGGCCCTGTCTATCTGTCCCCTTCCTGCCCCCGGTCCCCCTGAGCAGCCACCATCCACTCTTGTTCTCAGCCCGGCATCACCAACGACAACACCATATGCTCCCTTCATTCCTTCCTTCCTTCCTTCCTACATCCAATCAGATGCACTCCATGGGACCATGCAGGACAGGTGGAGTAAAGGCATGCATGAGCACCTGATCGCTTGCCGACATTCCAGCGAGGGAGCTCGTCGTCATCGGACGAGAGCTCCTCCCCCTGCTCGCGCAGGCCTAGCTTGGTTGCATTCAGCAGCGCCGCAGTGGCCTCTGTGGGCCAACGAGCAGGCCCCCTGCCATCAGTCCCAGAATAGGTCCTGGCAGGCGCTTCCCCGTAAGCCGCTCGCTGCATTCCTGCCGAGGAGCCTCCCCGATGTGGCAGCATGCTGCTGCCTCTGCCATGAGTCTTCGGCTGGCCCTGGAATGGTGTGTTGTCTGTGTTTCTGCTCATCTGCTCTTTGTGTCAAAGTTCGCCCAGCGACTTTGTCAAGTCTGCTCTGCAGATGTTGGAGCTCCTTGGACCTGCATGAACATTCATTTATAAAAATTGTGAGCGAGGCTACAAGGCAGCATCCAATCCTTGCTGATAAACTTGTTGGATGTTTTGCCGCTGTCTTCCGAAATATCTGTATGCGAGGAGTCGAGCAGCTCAAAATCACCTCCAACTGATGATTTCGGGTCAGACAGAGACACAGATAAACATGCTGTGGTTGATTCGTATATACGATGCCTGCTGAAAAACAGACACAGAAACTTTTGTGAATATCAGACCGAATTTACTCGCTCGCACTTTCTTCGCACAAACAAACGCTTCTGCAAAATCGTTTAGACTCATCCTCTAGGACGCGGGAGCATGAGACCTCATCTTCATGCAGCGCTCTGATGCGCAACTCACAGCTGACCACAACACACCAAGTTGACACCAGAACCTAACAGACACAGCCCCTACGAATCGTACAGCCGATGAGAATAAATCCTTCGACCAAGGTGGACAGGGGGCCCCTCGGCAGACATGCCTCAATTTCCCAGCCCAGCTTAGAACAGCCCTTGTCGACCGCAGCGAAGCCTCACTGCTTCAAGAAGCTTCGCCACTTGCCCGCCAAGAACGCTTCTCGATAGGTCTTGAAAGGGCTCAAAACGACGACTGCGGGATACGACAGCACCTCTGTTTTGTTCTGTTCTGTTTCGTTTCTACTCCGGACTACGCGGTACTTCAGCATCAGCCCGGAACACCGAGAAGGGCCTCTCCGTGGGGACAACATATCGAGCGCAGAGCGACCATTGAATCTCCTCAATGAACTCAACTCGAGGAATTAAAATACAGGGAAGAAAGCCGACGCTGCCAAGAGCCCTCCGGCCGTAGCCTGGCTGCTGCCTCCTGAGAGTCATGGGGTTGGACACTACGCATGGCCGCCACACCACAGAACAGCCTGGTTGTTGCACATGCAAGGCTTGGTTGCCACACAGCGAGCGACATCCGGTAGGAAGAAATAATAAGGAAGAGCACCTGCGTTCGCGGTTGACTCTCCACCGGAAGGGCCAACCCCACGCAAGACTTCGTAATACCCACTACACCATCTGCAAGGTCATCCCTTGTCCTTTCGCATCTCCGGCGTTGTCGTGAGCTCCAGACGGAGGGTGGATTTCTATGTGTGAAGCCCTCACTGAGAATGAGCCATGAGTCCGATCGAGGTCGCTCCGGATCCGTCTACAGCGGTGTTCCATGGCTTTCTTAGCTCCGCTTCTGAGGTCGCCTCTGGAAATCCCATCGTTTGACGGCCGCAACGCTGATGTAAACCTGACATTTGGAAAAATATAATTTTCAGTATCGGTCATGTATCGTCTAACACGAGGACTGCTGAGCAAAGCGCAGTTACAGAATGTATTCATCGACGTTGTTGATGTACACCACAGGGGCCTCGCCGTCGCGTCCTCCCAGATGGCAGCAATCAAATCTCTTCGTGAAAGAACAAACGCGCCCATTTCTGACGTCAAATCCGCGCTTATGGAGGCTGAGTGGGACTTAGGTGAGCTTATGCTGTTGGAGACGATCCCAAGCCCTGGATATGTACAATTAATTCCGATGACATTGCAAAACCTGATCGTACTTCTACGCTTGAGTCTGGCCCAGAATATCGCCATTTCAGCGCTCCCACCTGATAGCTTGAGATTACCCCATCAAGTTGATTATATTCTTCTCGCAACTCGCAACTCCTTTTGTTTGCTATCAGAGGGAGCATATAAAGCTCTCAGGAAGAAAGGGGTCGCAGCTGCTAGCAAAAAGGTGAGACAGTCCCTGCTCACCAAATTTGCCCTTTACTAAGTGGCATTTGAGCAACATCACTCTCTCAACAACCTAACGCGTTAAATTACAACATGCCTGTGACAGGCCTCAAGACATGCGGCTGAAGGGCTCATTGCCATCGCGCATGAGTCAGGAAGTGCAGCCTTAGTTGAGGTGCGGCTATGCTGTTGCAATGCCGCTTGTTATGGTGCCATCAACACATCAACATTGTTAAGTTGCTTGTGATGGCCATGTGAGCATACGTGTGATATTGTTCTGAATCGTGAAACCTGTACAGGTGAATAGCGAGACAGACTTTGCTACAAAGACAGAGCAATTCAGGAACATGGTGTCCACGGTTGCTTCAGCTGCCCTGACGGCTGAGGCTTCAGGTAAGGATGCGGATTGATGCTACCCGCACATTGACAACAGACTGGGTTGACAGCAGGCCCTCAATTGTGTGCCCTGGAGTGCGGCCTTAGCTGAATTTTACCATGTCCTTGCAGATAGTGGCAGGATTGACAGCAGGACTCTGGGTGCCAGTTCAGCCAGCGGAGTCAGGTATGGGTGCTCTTGCGAATACAGCAAGCTTTGGACGGCTTTAGGGGACCATTTCCATGAGTCCATTGTGCTAATCTGGGAAGGTGGTTCTGTGTTTGCAGCGTGAGCGATGCCATCTCAGAGTGTGCTGGGAGTGTCCGGGAGAACATCCAGCTTCGACGAGCACACAGGTACCAAACGGCTCATCAAACTGTACATTGCAGCAATGCCTCATGCACTCCTGCTTAGGTGTGAATGCTTGTCCTCTCCTGCAAGTGTGTCGGCCACTGAGTGCATGTTCTTGCAGGCTGACATGCCCATCTGGCGTGATTGCCTCCTACCTGCATGCCAGCCCCTCGCCTGGGCTTGGCAAGATGGGAGCGCTGGTGGCACTGATAGACAAGCAAGGGAAGCTTGAAGGTGCAGCGGCAGACAAGGCACATGTGCGCTGCTCTTTGCCAACTGATTGAGACCCTGTTGAGCAGCTGCCTGTGATGCTTTGTCATGCATTGCATGGCTCAAGAATGAAAAGAAAGGCACTTTTCTGTGCAGGAGGTCGGCTCAAAGATAGCCATGCACATTGTGGCGGCGCGGCCACTGAGCCTTGACAGGCACAGCCTGCCTCCAGAAGCACTTGAAGGTGAACCTTTGCTTTGATAGCGAATGCTGTTGGCAGAGATTATACCCAAATGGTCGCATAATATAAAGCATGCCTCCAAACAACCCTTTGACATGAGAGAGTGTTTCTGAGAAGCATGCATGGGTGGACATGTGCAGCTGAGAAGGCTCTGCTCACGGAGCAAGCTCGAAAGAGCGGCAAGCCAGCAAACATTGTAGAGAGGATGGTGGCTGGCCGGATGCACAAGGTGAGCCGCGCTTGAAGTACTGTTTGAATCTCAGTGATGCTGCTCAATTTTTTGCCAAGCGGCAGGTGCTCTTGCCAATTGCATGAGCAGTGACCCACCCCGATTAGAGCAGTGTCAAAGCACTATTGTGTGCTGATCTGAAGTGCACACGGGGAAGAGCAGTCACAGAGGATAATAGCATGCTGCTACTGTTTGTGATCTGAACACCGCTGTGTGCATGCAGTTCTATGAGGACAGCTGCCTGCTGGATCAGAAGTATGTCTTGGATGAGACGCGGAAGATTGGCCAGGTGGTGTCTGACACCGGCAAGGCCATAGGGGCAGATCTGCACATTCAGGAGTTTGTTCGCTTCCAGTGTGGCGAGGGGCTGGAAAAGGAGCAGAACAACTTCGCAGATGATGTGTCACAGGCGCTGCAACAGACTGCCTGATCCAGAATGGCCTGGCTAGGGAATTGAGCGGCCTGCCTCATGATTCTTGAGTCATGCAAGTGTTGACTCAAACATTGCCTTAGTCAAATTTCCACAATTATGACGTTTGCCCGTAATGGGTAGGCCTAGATTGCCCGCCAGCATATTCCGTGTGACTCAGACAATTCCCTTGCATGTCCAAGGAAGAATGGCATCGAGGGCACACAAATGGCAGTGCAGTCCGTGTTATTGTTCTCACTCACGATCAGCCGCCGGCGCTCGACGACATCTACGCTTGTCTGTTGCTCAACTCGTCACAGGGCCACAAGAGCCCTTGCGCCGCACCCATTTCCTCGACTGACGGCTACGCGAAGGTATGCTGGCATATCATGCGCAGATAACTCTGGCTTCCACCATTATAGCATGCTTTAGCGATTATGTGGAAAGAGGAGATGATCTTGTATTGCGTTGCAAGCTGCGCCGAAACGCGCTGATTGAATTAACGATGACCCGGCCCGTCTGTGCACCTGGCACTTTAAGCCTGATGAATGTTGCATATGAGATGCGTATGTTATCCCGGAATATGCCGTTGTTGCTATTGTTAAGTTGTAGGAAGGATAGAGGCTGAAAAACCCCACCAGATCGATCCGAACACCTGTTCGGTGAGTGGCATAAAGGCACTGCCTCGCTTATTGGCCCGTGTCAATAGGCGTCAACGATGGTCATAATTGGTGGTACAAGGAACGACCTTTTGAGATCAACGTCAAGTGAAGTCTTAATTCTTTTTCTGGATTCCATGGCAGATCCGGCATGGTGTCGTGCCCGCGAATCACCTCCTGGCTCGTGCTGTTCTTGGCATGCGATTTCCTGTATAAGGGACATTGCGCTGTTCATCTGTCCACGACAGTGGAGGTGCGCATCTGTTTCGTTGCCCAAAGTTGTGAAACCTACCTGCCGTTGCATAGCCGGTGCCGTGCCACTAAATGCGTGACGATCGGATATGGAGTGCAAGATCAATATTTCTAATATATATTTTCGTAGAAGTAGCTGTCATGATAAATTGTGCCGCCAAGCTTGCAGAGGCCAGTTACTGCTCCATGGGACGCAACCCTGAGGCCCAACACAACCTTTCTCAGCCTGACTGATGGCTTGGCAGCAGAAAACAACACGCTTAATGAGCCATCTCAGGTGACGATCCTTCCTTTCTTCTGATTTCTCTCGCATCACCAGAGCTTGTATATTAAAAAGAGTGCTGGTGATCCGCACATGGTTTGATCTTCCCAACTTTGAGCAGATCCACTTGAGCATCGCCGGAAGGAATGCGGTGAGTGTCAACTGGGCAAGCCAGAAAGCAAAGGTGAGCCATCAAATGATGCCCACAAGCACACCTCTGCATGCATGTGCCTGGGCTCTACGCATGTCATGTCATTGCACCACTGCTGACTAATTATAATGTTTGCTCCCATGCACGCACCCAGGTTGGGAAGGGTGATCTGGAGCCCAATGACCCCTGGGCCACACCCTCCATTGTCATTTACGGCACCAACCCTGCCACCCTGAACCAGAACGCCACAGGCTCTGCTCAGGTGGGTCTGTGCAGGTCCCAGCACTACTCACTTCCTCAGAAACGAGACTCCTTTCACCTTGATTTTGCAGCGGTTGTTCAAAGCTCACACGCCTAGGGTGCTGTGTGCAGGTGTACAGCCAGATCTACAATTCCAGCTATGCATTCTGGGGTGGCAACACAACCCTCAACTACACCTCTCCGGTGCGCTGTGCTGTGAGCTGTGGCAAAGGTGGCATGCATCATGACATACTCTGTTTGCTGTCTTTTAGTAAGGGCATTGATCTGAGTGGGCTCCAGTGAACATTTCTTGAGGCAGCAACACTGGGGTCTGCTGCATGATCAGGTGCTGCACACAGTCATCCTTTCAAATCTGCGGCCTGGCACAAGGTGATGACATGCCCATCTTTCAGAAGGCTTTGTGTCTCTGGCAATACTTGATTAGAGTCTGGGATCTGGCCCTTACTTGATCACATGGGAATTGCTCGCCCAGGTACTACTATCGTGTGGGAGATGGGACTACTTTCAGCGCCCCTCTGTCTTTCAGGAGCCTGAACGATGCAGGTCTGCCGCCTCCCCCGTATTATTATTATTATTATTATTATTATTATTATTATTATTATTATTATTATTATTATTATTATTATTATTATTATTATTATTATTATTATTATTATTATTATTATTATTATTATTATTATTATTATTATTATTATTATTATTATTATTATTATTATTATTACACGCTTTTCCTGCCGAAGGCAAGGTGCGTCTGCAGACAAGCTGCATGTGGCATTATCATTGTTACACGCTTTTCCTGCCAAAGGGCAAGACACGTCCTGCTGACAAGCTGCAGCCTGACCACTGAGTTGAAAAGGCTGCCACAATCATTTCTATTGTTGGACTCGCCAGATCCAAGCAATTACCTGAATGCCATCCATGATGCCCTTTGAGGGCAGCAGCACGAGCAACACAACAGTGCGCCGTGAATGCCACATATTCCAAGCATGAAGGCTAAAACCATCTGTGTTTGCATGCAGGCCCTGACTACCCGCAGCGCCTGCTCCTCGTTGCAGGTAGGCCTCTGCTTTTGGTTCCCCACCCCAAAGCCCGTTCTCTCCTGCAAACGCAGGACATCAGTCGGGGAAAGGGCAATGCAGACTTTGACAACCCAGAAGCTTTCTCTCTGAAATTCACATTCCTGGGCGCTGGGAAGGAGTTCTGGTTTGCCCAGAATGACTCTGTGTGCAAGCCAAGTGTGCTTGGCACACTTGGCTTGCAGGGGATTTGTCTTGTGCCAAGCACAGAAGACAAATCCCCAGGACTGCCCAGAGGCACAAGGTAGACTGGTCTGCCCCACCATGAACAGGTCGCTTTGCCAAGAGACTGTTTTTTTTAAAGCTGGGGCTGTGGTGTGGAGATTGGGGCCTGAGCGCTAACAGCTCGACCACGCTGGACCACATTGTGCAGTCAGCCCTCAACTCCACCTCTCCCCCGCTCGTCATCTATGCTGCCGACTACAGCTATGCCGGTGCGCGCCGTCTCCGACGGCATGCCCTCTGTACCCTTCAATAAGTGTCTTACCTAGTAGGGGAGCTGTGTGGGTCCCTTGAAGCGTGCTGATTTGGCTGTGATCACTACTTCGCTCCTACTGATCACCGTGGTAACGGTCAACTTGAGTACCCCATGGAACTGCCTAGTCCCACGGAGGGTCAGCAATTCATGGCAATCGTCACTTGCAGCTAGTTGCAGACTGCACGCTGGCCAATAGCACATGCACCTTGCCACCCGGCTTAACATGCGCGCCATGCCTGACTGGAAAGTTCCGGTTATTCTCATCATTATTGTGATGCTCTTGGTATGCAGACACGTGGTACCCGAACGGGACGGTGTCGAGCCCCAGCACGGCGGTGGAGGGCAGCCCAAACGCAGGCACCTACCAGCCAGTGTGGGATGCATGGCAGCGCTTCATCCAACCCCTCGTCGGCCAGGCACGTCCTCTTTCCTCCTATTTTACATGTTCTTATTAGCAACATCATTGGCAAAGATGGCCATAGCCATAGAGGGCTGCAGACACACAAAGTGACACTTCACTGCATGCAGCACTGCCAACCCACCTGAGCTCATTACTGTTAGACTGCTGTCTGCGCCTGCATGGCACTGCCTGATCGACAGGAGCCAACAGCATGCGTGCCTCCTGTTCAGCATGTTTGCCAAGGGTGCTCACAAGGTCCTTCGGACATTCTCTTGTGGTGATTGTTTTGTGAGAGTTCGTTCTCATGCCCACATGTGATGACCAGTATGGCTGCTGGCAGGTCCCTTTCATCGGCAGCACAGGGAACCATGAAGAGGAGCAGGAAGCTGATGGCAGCATCTTCAAATCCGCCCAAGCACGCTGGCCGGTGAATCAAACTCCCTCACTAACACCCCTCTATTCTCTTGCACATGCCCTGACCTGCACCATACAAGCGCACCTACCAAATACTCACACCGTCTCTCTGCTTCCAGTGTCGATTGAATGAACTTGTACTGGCTGAGGGGTAGTGTGCCTGAGCGCAGACACCCCATCTGGCCAGCCAGTCTCCCTCGTACTTCTTCTACTCGGTCAATGCAGGCCCCACGCACAACATCATCCTCTCCAACTACGTCGACTACACCGAAGACAGGTGCTCCCTACACATTGAGTTCCCCTGCACCACTCACCACTCGAGACACCAGAAGCATAAGATGGAAATGTTGCTTCCTGCAAACCGCCCTCGTTCTCCTGTTGCTTCTGGGGAGCAGAGCAATGGGGAGGAGGTCTGTTGCTGACTGGCGGTTGCTGTTTTGCAGTCCCCAGAGGAACTGGCTGGCAGAAGACCTGATGCGAGTGGACCGCAGCGCCACTCCCTGGGTCACTGTCACCTTCCACAACCCCTGGTGAGACCCCTACCACAGCCAGGGGTATTGAAGGGAATTTTATTCAACAATTCCTGCTATGGTCTGCCAGGGGCCCCTGAGTACAGTCCCTTGGCAGTGCGTCATCCTGCATTGGTCCTCACAGCAGGAGCCCTTACGACTTTGAAAGGTGATGGGCTCTGTTTGTGTTGGGCTCTATAGTGGCAGAGTCAGTCTGAGAAGGGCGATCGTTTGGATTGAATCCAAGTTTGAAGAGGGTGAGCAGATATGTGCGTGGCTGTGGGCGCAGGTACACGACGGACTCCTCCTACAAGGAGTTTGAGCAGATGCGCATCAGCCTCGAGCCGCTCACATATCAGTATGGGGTGGATGTCTTCTTCTATGGTGAGACAAAGGCTCTGCCGTTCACATTTGAAACCCCATTCACAACCCCTGGCTGGGGAATCTATCTCACCTGAACTGGCCTGGTACCGTTTTTAGGTAGAATCCCCCGCCATTGCAGCACACTTTCTTTAGTAAGGTACTACTCAGGACGTGAGCAGACAGCAGGAAATTGCAGAATGGAGGCTGCCAGGATCACAGCAAGTGTGCACGCATGCATGCAGGTCACGTGCATGCGTATGAGCGCACAACGCCGGTCTACAATTACACCGTGAATCCCTGCGGCGCGGTGCACATCACTGTCGGCGATGGCGGCAACTCCGAGGGAGTCTCCTTCCTGGCAGAAGACCTGCACACACAGCGTGAGTCAACATCGTGAGCAGATTTGCAAATTTGGACCTAGCACCCTTCTCCTGCCGGATCCAAAGGACTCTAAATCATCAGTTGATTTAGAAATATCCCTGCCAATCTACATTTTATGCCGATTGTTTAAGAGGATAGCATAGAGCCAAGCAGCATGCACCAACAAAGCTGTGCTTAATCCCTGCCAAGAGCAGAATAATCTTGTGCTTGAGAGAGTGCATTTGAACCATTCTCTTAAATCTTGAATTCATGACGCAGAGTTTGAGGATCTTAACGGCGGCTGCCCGAATGTGAACGCTTCGCAGCCGAGGCCGTCCTACCTGGTGCCCCTCAACCCCAACAAAGACTCCTGGACGTGGTACCGCCGCGTGCTCACCTTCACCTTCAACGTGAGCATTCTCTGCCCTGATAACCCATTTTTTAGACCCCGACCAACCCTCGATGTGACACCTATACCTTCGTCTTGAATGCCACCTGTGTGATTCACTGTCTGCTCATGCCATCTGTCTGTGAATGCCCGGATGTGGTTCTTGTCCGGATGCACGCACCCACACACCTGCTGCACGAACTCAGCCGGCATTGGCAAATTGACTTATGTCTGTTTGGAGTATCGCATGCATGCACTTCTGAATGTTGGGTTGTTCTCAACATTCTGGCTGACTATCTGGCTGGATGACTCTGCGCAGGCGGATGGCAACTCGACGGGTGTCGGCAACCCGCCCGGCTACTGCTACAAGGCGCAGCCGGAGTGGTCGCAGTACCGCGAGTCCAGCTTTGGCCACGGCACCTTCGACGTCCTCAACTCCTCGCACGCCCTCTGGTCATGTGAGCTCCCTTGCAATCTGAAGTTAACTCTGATCTCTACTTCAATTCTCCGGCAGATGCGGCATATTCCCTGCAACACTGCACTGCTCCATTGCCACTCCTTGTACAGGCGGGTGATGCAGCCTGCGTTAGCTGATCAGGGCGAATTGGATGTGGATCTCTCGGCTTCGTTTCTGCTGTGAGGATTCATGCATGCATCTGCTGCACCTGGGTCATACAACCAGGCAATATCTGCTGTGAACTGTGCAAAGCTTGGGGCCAAAGTGCTAACTGCATGCCCGTGGAGGCGAGCATGGGAGGTGGCATGGGATTTTACCGGCATTGAGGCTGTGTTTGCACGCAGGGCATGCAAACCAGGACGGCGTGGCGGTGGCCAGGGACCAGCTGTACATCATCCGGGACACCACAGCCTGCCCCAGTCGCCTCGGATTAAAGGCAGCTGCCCCGCCGCCGGCGCAGGCCCCCATCGCGGCTATGCCGTCCCAGGGCTCAGCCGGCTAAGGGCCGCACCTTCCTTGAAGGATCAAGAAGACTGCGCTGCATCGAGACGCACTTCTTATTAAGGCTTTGGACATGCAGAGTGGTTGTGTCAGCAGGGGAAGTGAGGTATGGACACAGCATGGTGCTGCGTTCGCGGCGGTATTCGTCTTCTCCCAATGGAGGGTGCATTTATGTATAGATATTTCTTAAATTTGTATAGATGATCAGCTGACCGTTTTTGGCAGGATATTCTATCAGGCAGAATGCATTTTCATAGACAGACAATGCCAGTATGATAGGCAGATAGACCCTTGAGCAGCTGCAAGGGCTTACAGCAAAGCTGTTTTATCATGTATAGAGGTGCAGCATGTGCAGAATTATAAGTGAACAGTTCAGCGCTACGTGCTGTACATGCATGGCAGCAAGCTCAATTGTGCGAACATCTAGGAACTTGGCAAACTCTGAGGAGTCTGAATGTTCAGGACTGAATATAGGAACCGCCATATTCGGCAACAATTTTGCAGCACAATTGTGCAACAAGGAGCGGCATGAGTTCAGACATTAGAGAGAGAGAAACATTACATCATGCCAGCCAACAAGGCTGATTAGATGTTCACTGTATCTAGATCAGTGTCTACGCGTCCTAATGAGAGTCTGATAAATTGAGCCACCTGTACAAGAGAGAGAGAGAGAGAGATTACACTTGTTCCAGCCACATAGGGCTGATTAAGCGTCCCACATATCTCAAACCATCAGTAGCACACACGTCATGAATACTCGAAAATATGCATCCCAGCACGCAGACAAGTATCAACTGCCAAAAAGGACTGCAAGGCTGCTTGTGGATGTATGTCGGTCCAAATCAGCGACAAGTCAAGGGCAGGACATGGACGCAAATCACAGGCCAAACAGAGTGTGCGTGCTGCGGGTGGGTCCAGCCATTTGCTGTCATTGTAAAGACTGCCCAGATCCTTGCAATAACAGCGCTTCTCGGTGAAACAAGCAAGGGGGGTACCCAATGCCCCACTATGCTCGCCGCCACCTGTATTGCTAAGCTACTACACAGCAGCATGTAGACCCGTACCGAACCAGCAATGCAAGATCACCAAACAGATCCTAAGACCTGCACTTGCACTGTGGATCAAGTACCCCCACAAGGAGCACAGCTGAGTGGTTTGCAAAGGCACACCTGGACTGGCAGGTATTCAAGGAGCTGCAATCAGGTGAAAACTGCAGGAGGTTAGACTGAGATCTCCTCAAAAGCCCCAATACAGCTTGTACGCGCTTTGTCCTAGGTTTGGACCAGGACCCTGAACATCCTGCCTGGGTTTGGCAGGGCACACACAAGAACGCAACACCGCAAAATCTGCTTGTTCTGTAAAAGGTCTCATGGCCATTTCTATTATTGCGGTCGATTCTTCGCGTCAGACAATGATGCAAACAGCCGTCGCATCCTTCTTTTACTGGTAATGGCGGCTGGCAGCTGTTGCCTCTTCCGCCCCAACCAAAGCTTGGCCGTCCTAGATATTTTTACTACTGCGTCATTAAGATCAGTTTATTGTATGCTTCCCAGCCGCTATCGCCTGGCCTCTGTCTGCTCCTCTTTTGTATACCCACATTGTTGCTGTCAGGGCCGCCTCTGTTGAAGCGTCGCTTTGTGCCCGGCGATTATTTCGTCTAATTACATCCTTTTCGTTGAAACCTCTGTGATGTTGCCTGGCTGCTGAAGCCCGACCCAGTTGATCAGTGGTTTATGGTGATGCCGTTAACTGTAAAGGGCCGCCTCTATCGAAGCACCTTGCCCAGCCATTATATATGTTGCCATGATTGTCGAGGAGCCGGATCCCGAAGGACCCAGGCCCCACCAGCCTGGGTGAAGCGGCTTTTCATCATCTTGCCACATGAACTGACGCATAGTGGTAATACAGGGCCTAAACAGGCTGTCATACCTAGCACGCAGATCATGAAGCGCAGGACATTCAAAGACAATATGCCGTTCATCACCAATGGCCTGAGTGTTGCACAAGTGACAGAAACGTTCCGAGCGAGGTACTCGATTCCCCCAACGACCCTGATCAACTGGAAGACCGTGACAACCAGTACGAAAGCGCAGGAAGAGTCTAAGCGTGGTGGCAGACACAGAGATCCTAAGACAATGGCGACGGGGATGAATAGCAGCAAACCAGTTCTCATAGGTACAAAGTCGAGCCCCTTGTGTTGCACAGGTCCTAGGACACAAGGCCAAATTCTCCCAGTGTGCATCTAATTGACCCTGTAACTGTTGTCTAACCTGGGCCAAAGAGATCTGATCCATAGTATTGCAAGCAATGTCTAGGGAATACCCAAGCTTTTGCAGGGCCTTGTGTAAACTCCAAGCCCAGTTCTTTGTATTGTGCACAATAGCATCCCTGCAATCGTCCAGTGCAATTTTCCTATGCAGGCTTGTAGGTGGCAGGCCAGCAAGATTGTTCCAGAATCGAATTGATCGAAGTAACCACAAATCTTGTAAGGGCTTTTCCTGCAACTCTCTAAAGAGTATTGCAGTGGGAACATCAGTCCTAATCCCACTGATCTGGCGCAGGATCTGGAGATGAACAGAGGCTAGTCTCTGACGTGCCTTCTGAGCAGCCCCAGAGAGACGTCTAAAACCCCAGACCTCGCACCCGTAGGACCCCGCAGGTGGGACACACACCTGATATAAGCGTAGTAGGAGGTGCACAGAGGATACACAGCGTAAATTCCTATACCGCTGTTGAAGAAGGGACCAGGCACCCCACATTGTGCGAGTAAGCTGTTCATATGCCATGTGCAGGCCTGTGTCAGATCCAAAGAGTACGCCAAGATACTTGAACTCATCAACCTGCTCCAGCTCACCAGCACTGCAGGTGAGCCGGCAAGGAATCCGGGCCCCATTCTGGAAAACAAGTACTTTGGTCTTCGGCACGCTGAGTTCCATCCCCACAGCCTGGCAGAATTTTTCAAGTGCATGCAATAAAGCCTGTAGCTGTGCCTGGGATGTAGCCAGGAGAATAAAGTCGTCTGCATAGCCTAATACTGGAACACGGGTACCATCAGAGCTGAGGGCTCCGGCCTCAGGGCAGGCATGGCGCAGAAAACGCTCCAGCCCATCTATGAACAGACCAAATAAGGTGGGGCTCAGAGGGCACCCTTGCTTTACACCAGTCTCAGATGCCCGCGTCTGACCATGCCAACTAGCAATGTTCATTGTCACCGAGCAGCCCTCATAGAGAGATTTGATAGCTTGAATCATCTGCACAGGCAGTCCAAGGCGCTGCAACACAAGCCAAAGGAGCGGCCGCTGCACCTTGTCATACGCAGCCTTCAAGTCTACGAAACAGGTGTAGAGGGGCTGCCCAGATCTGAAGTGCTTGTCCACAAAATGTTGCAGCGCAAAGAGCTGATGCACTGTGGATAAGTGCGGCCTAAAACCAGCTTGGCATTCTGCCCTAAGATTGCTGTGCTCTGTCCAGCGCAGAATGCGCCTATTTAGGATCGCTGCATACAGGCGTGTGATTGCCTCTGTGACTGCAATTGGGCGGTAATTGTCTGGCTCCAAAGTGTCTCCACGCTTGTGCACTGGGGTGACAAGGCTGCAATTCACCTCCTGTGGCAGGCAGCCTGCTTGGAATGCGGCGGTGAGGAGTTGGGCGAGAAGCGGTAGAAGAGGGTCCGGCGGCTGCGGCGCTCCTTCCGGCGGCGGCGGCCTCGCGTAGCGCAGAAGTTCGGACGGGAGGCCGCTGAGTCCAGGTGCGCGCCCATTGTGTAGATGTTGTAAGGCGTAGCGGACTTCGGCTGCGCTGATGGGCTGCGTGAGGCAGGCATCTGTTGAGAGAGGTTGCTGAGGGAAGGCGCTGTCCGGTAGGCGGCAATCTGATGGCAGCGGCATGTTGGCAAGACGTGTTAAGTAGGGGTCCCAGGCTGCTGGTTCCTGTAGCGGCGCTGGCAGGGCTGTGTTCTGGAATTTGAGCTGCTTCCAAAAGGCGCGGGGGTTGCTGCGCTGCTCCTGAAGGACGTGGTGTAGCTGCTGGACTTGATGTGCTCTCTTTTTTCTGCGCACCACACTGTGGTACTGTTTTTCTGCGGTCTTTGCTGCCTCGCTGCCTGGCTGTGTCCGAAATAGGTGGCGCACTTGACGTTTTAAGGCTTTGCATTCGGCGTCGTAGAAGGGCTGGTGATGCCATTAACCACCTCTTGGGCTATTCTGCTCTTTCTTGGAATCGTGGTTATCAGTGCTTGCAGTGCTGCTAAGAATTAGTACCTGTATAGCTTCAGTGGATTGCAAATCCGAATGTAAGCTCGCGTGCAACCTTGGAATTGTTAAGCTTTTCTACACACTACGGCGTAACAGCAACTGACACGTTCAAGAATCCAGCACCCCTCCTCTCAAAGGCATATAAGAAATTCAGCCTCCCCAAGTATTGAGTGATCGCTCATCTGTACAGATTTGAATGAAAGAGTAAAAGCTCACTCGCTCTGACTAGCTACTTCTGAGTTTGAGGCTGCAGTGTTGCCTCCTTCTCACTTGCTTTTCTTGTGGCTAGCCTTCTTGCCAACCCCGAGGAAGCACGCGATCACAGTGCAGAGGCCTGACAGGTTGTCCCTCAAGCTCAGCCCATAGAACATGGAGATGAGCCCACACACAAATGGGAAGGCTGCATCTCCAACCGGGTATTGCAGAAGTGGCGGTATGTCTGTGCGCATCAGCCATGGAAATCTGCAGCCACACATCTTCATTTTCAAATTTCAGCATACCTAGGAAGACCAATTGCAGGACTCACCAGAGAAGCTTGATATTCAGCGGGCTGAAAGCAGTTGGCTCCAAGTGAGCTTTGGCACACATCCACTGCACAAGATAGGATAAAAGCTTGGACTGACTTTCAGGGGGGTGGACGGGAGTATGATCCAAGTGATCGTGGCAAACATATACAGCTTTAAAATAAGGGCAGCGCACCTGTCCTCGCAGACAGCCTTGGGCACACAGAGGCCTCGCAGGCCCTCGATGCCAGCAAAGCGGTCAAACCCGCTCTCCTTTACACCGCCAAAGGGCAGCGACTGGCACATGTACGTCGTCGCAAAATCATTGATCGACGTCATGCCCGCCTGCAACCCAGCACAGCAATGCTCTCACCTCTCCCCTGCGCACCGTTGATCAGCAATAAATGTCATCATTGGTGACTTCAATGCATGATGATGTGAGTAGACTTGTTGATATGTTATGCAGTGCATCTCGTCAAGGATGGGGAAAGAAAAGGAACACAGAAGACATGCCCACCACCCCACCACAACAGGAGAACAAGACAAGGAACCCCGTTCAACCCTTGCCATCTGAAAGATTGTGGCAGGCAAGGATTGCCTTTAGATCAAACAGCTTGACGAACCATCGCCACATTCTGAGCAGAAACTCGCTGCCAAACAAAGTCTCACTGTGCGCAGCCTAGAGACACTTATCCAACTTGTTGGCATACGCACCTTGCCTCTGGCATGAAAAGCCATGTTAATGGCCTGAATCCTTGAGATGTGGCGTACATCACCAAGGTACCTAGCCATCTGGCTGTTGCTGCACTCACCCACCCACACAAAGACACATTACAAGAAGGGGCAACATCAGTTTGGCAGGGGATGAGTGCAAACCTGCAGGCGGCGGCCAATATCGTTGGCGCGGCGCTGGCTGCGGGAGAAGACGGCCGAGCCGAGGCCGAAGGGGCAGTCGTTCGCCAGGCGCACCGCCTCGTCATCATCACTAAACCGCACAATGACCATGACGGGGCCGAAGACCTCCTCGCGCCAGATGCGCATGGCCGGTGTGACGTTTACTAACACTGTGGGCGCATAGAACTGGCCGCCGCTCTCGTGCGCCACCAGGTGTCCCCCCACCAGCACCTTGTGCGCAGTTGCACCACCACCGTCAACAGACTGCACGGCCTTTAAACGTTGCTACAATGTCTGTCCTTGCTACTTGAAGTCCCTTGCATTCGGCCAATGCTTTCTCTGGGATGACATGCGGGGCCTGAACCCAAAGGCTTCCTTCTTCCTTGAGCTGTGATGAGGCCATGGCGTACTTTCTACAATCTTTTCAGCACTTACTCTGATTTCAAAAACATCTCAGCCATTCATATAGTCAAACTTATCAGCGCAGGGGTGTGAACAAGCACAGGGTAGGCGACAAGGTGGGGTGTGCACCTTGGCGCCGTCGGCGACGGCCTCCTCCACGAGGTGCGCGACTTTGTCGGCCAGGCCGGGCATGCACATGGCGCCGCAGTCCACAGGGACATCCCCCAGGGCCGGCCCCTGCCGCAGCCGCCGCGCGACTCCCACAGCCGCGTCAACAAAGCGATCAAACACCGGTGCCTGCACAAGGAAGCGCTCTGCGCCCGCGCAGTTCTGGCCGCAGCTCTGAAACGCCCCCCTCAGCGCTGTCGGCACCGCCTGCAATGCACCAGCGCCCATTGTTCAGCTCTCATTGCTTTTCTCCCTGCCTGTAACCTGGCATCTCTTCATTCGGGGTCCTGTAGCGCTGTCTTCGAAGTTTATAACCACGCTTCTGACCTCTCAATCCGCAATATCCCAGTTTCCCCAGCACACATTTCCTGGACGGAGGACAATCGACCCACGCACCTCTCTAATTACCTCATCGTCGCTCAACATGGTTGGCTGAAGCAGTACATATGCAGGTCCAAGGCCATGCAAAGCCACCCATGATATGATAACAAGCCGCAACTGAAGTGAGCAAAGGTGATTTGTGAGCAAGCTGCAAGGGTAGCTGCTCGCCTGTGAGAGGTCGGCGTCGTCGCACACGATGAAGGCGTCCTTGCCGCCCAGCTCCAGCACGACGGGCGTGAGGGTGTGCGCGGCTGCCGACAGCACCGCGCGGCCGACCCCGGTGCTGCCCACAAAGATGACCTTGTCCACGCCGCCTGTCACCAGCGCGTTCCCTGCCTCCGCGTACCCCGTCACTATCTGCACCAGATCCACCGGCGCGCCTGCAGCCCAATGGAGCAATATGTGTCACCGGTGCCACAAAGACAAATCCGTTACAATCCATCCCATGGCTTCCATTACCTGCAGAACACTCACACAATGCTGCAGCAAGCATGGGTTTGTATTCTCTACCATCTCTGTAAGGAGTAGCATCTTTCGTTACATCCACTGTCCAACGGGGCCTGCAGAGTAATTGACTCTAGAGTAACGATGAGGTCGGCGCCTGTCGTTTATGAGCAGAGCTACATCTGGTCATACCTACAGCCTGAAGGGCGGCAGAGATGATGCGGCCATAGTACTGTGAGGACCAGGACGCGTGTTCAGACACCTGCGAATCCAACATGGCATCATTCTTGCGCACTTTGACCAGGGGTGATGGGCGTCTGATGTCATGAGCAAGGAAAGCTTGAGGATCCCCACCTTTATGACGAGGCCGTTCCCAGCAAAGAGGGCGGCCGTCAAGGGGTTGAAGACGTTGTGGAAGGGGTAGTTCCAGGGCACAATCGCCCCCACCACTCCCACAGGATGGTACTCCACCCTGGCAGCCTTGTAGAACATCTGGAGAAACATGACCCACATTGGCAACCCAGATATGTATCTATATACATGACATGTATGCAGAAGTACTTTGGTTGGCCTCCGATTGGCATGCAATGAGTGTGCTACATGCTGGGGGAGGAGTCACACCATGGCTCCAGAAGAGCGGTGCTCGGGCCGCAGATGCTTCTCCCCTTCTTTGATCAGCCATGCAATCTTCTCGCAGGTGACCATCACTTCGCCAAAGGCAGCGTCCACCAGGGGCTTGCCTGAATCAATGGAGGCAACCCTGCCCAATGCAAAACACATGCATGTCATCATGTTGAGGTGTTTCTCAAAAATGGACAAGACCGGGCTGCTTGCAACATCCTGACTTCTCAAATTACCTGCAAATCTCTTCTTGATTTTGAAGGATGTATTTTAGCAATGTTTTCAAGAAGAGCTTGCGTTTCTGGAAAGTGGCTCCCTTCCAAATCTGCATGCACAGAAGAATTGTTTATTCTGCAGCTTCAAAACAGGAATAAAAAATGACAGTGGCTTGGCGAAGCCGTACCTCTGCCGCTGCTTTTGCTTTTCTGATCTTTTCCTTGACCTGCATGGTGACATAAGAAACCAGATCATTTGATGTGACAACTGCACATGGGCATGGCAATATGAAGGTGACTCCAATAATGCTTGTGCGCTACCTGATCTGCACTATCGGCTGGCATCGTGCCCAAGTATGTCATCAACCCAGGATCATAGCAAGGGATTGTACCCATGGTGGCTTTGTGCTTGGCCGGATCAAACTTCTCCTTTGTGATCTGACCTGCTGACATTAAGCAAGATATGTCGGAGAATTCAAATCGTTGAGATTGAAGATTTTGTCCCTTTACATGGTTTCAGTCATTGCTTAGATTTCACAGAGCCTTGCTTTTACCTTCTGCTTGAGAGACTGAAATGGACGGGACGGTCTCTCGTCGCAGAATGAGCACCAGGAGGACAGAAGAAAGTACAGCAGCCGCAGCTGCCGCGATGTGCAGCTGATTTTCTTCCATCTGTGCCTCTAGATTGTTGAAAGACTGGATTCTAAGGCTCTTTCACAGCTGACTTCAAAGAATTTGCAGACCCTAAAACATAATCCCATACCCAAGCTTTGGTTCCAGGGAGAAGAGATATCAGGAGCGCCTCAAAATAGACTCACCTCAGCTGGCACCTGCATTTACACGCACTGGCCTGCAGGCACCTTTCTAGGACCTCTATTCATTGCCCTAGCATTCTCAAGGAGGTTGCAGTCCGTTCCTGTTCTCCGCGTGATTGAAGTATTCCGCCTGAAGGAGTTCCGCCAGATGCAGGAAAATCCGGCAGGTAGATCGAGTAATGTATCGGTCGGTGCATTCGATAGTGTTAATGTCAACACTCCTGATAGCCAAGAAGTCATTGAAACGCAAGTGTTCTCGCATGCAAGCCCAATGACCCCCGGAGGTCAGCAGGCCAATCCTGTGAGCAGCACAGGTGTCAAGAAGAAGAGGGGTCGACCCAGAACAGGTCAGGAAGATGCCTAAAATCGATGAAATATTACTGTTTTTGCTTGTTGAAAGGATTTCAGGTCGACGCTTGGAAGTTGACTGTATTGACTTGCAGAATTGTGTTCTGAGGTGTTTTGATGCAGGTGCGGGGACTCAAGACCTCAAGCACTCCAAAAATGTCATCATTCAACTGGTACATCTTACTTTTTATCCTTCCAACACAATCTGCATTGTATCTTGATGCAGACTCTTGGTGATGACAAGTCTCTCAGCAATTACCCCTGTGAAAGCCTCTGCCCTCTTTCCCAGTGTAAGTAACTCAAAATATTCGCTCGTTGCTGTCTGTGCACAGGAGATTCAGGCAGGAGGCGATGAGTATCCCAGGATTACATTTCAAGCACAGAGGCAGCGCAGGCGAAAAAGCAGCAACCCAAAGAAAGCAACATGATTCTGCCAGACTAGGCTTCAATGGTATCCCAGGACAGTGGAAAGCCAGACTATAAGTTCCTGGAAGCTTTCCCGGAGCATGCCTTGAACAAGGGCCTTACTCCAAAGTGCAGAAATAGCAGCGCAGACTCTAGGCCACAGGCAGAAAGTTACCAATGCATAGAAGTCTCTCCCCTGTTGTAGTAGACCAATGTACAGCTTAACATGGGGTGCTTTTCAGGTTCCACCAGTGGCCAGTCCAGACCTCATGTACGATATCTTCAGTACCTTATCCTGTTTTGAGGCTGCTCACCATTGAGTTATTGCTGAGTGAAGGGTAGCAGAAACCTTTGGACAGCCTGGCAGCGATTCAATATCACAAAGATTCCATGCTGATGCTTGATCCAAATATTCTGGTGCCAGCAGCATGTCAGTCTAAATTTGGATTGGTGATGCTCCTGCAGTGTGAACCCTCGATAAGCGCACTACAAAGTGCTTTTAGGTGCCAGCGTGCTAAGCAAGGCATGGGATTGAATGACTGCTAACATTGGAATGAATATCTCTTGCCAGACGCTGCACATTGAGTTATATGCTAAGCATGATCAACTCCACTAGGCTTAATGTCCTTTCATGACTACCCATTTCTAATGTTCGCAACTACATAGAGGCAATTGTTTCCGAGTAACAATTCACCATCAAAGAATATAGGGCTACAGACTACCCACAAAATATCTGTTGTAAAGCTGTGGCATCATCCTTGTTCAGAGATCCCTGGCACAAACTGGCAAGCTATATCTTGTACAGACCTGCACATATGCATGGTTTCTTTCAATGCATGCAGAATTGATTGTCAGAACTGTCACAACGGTTGTGCTCGGATATCAGTGCTATCCCTTGCATAGTCCAAACTTTTGTTCTCTACTGTACATGATACAAGAAATTTCTAAAGGCGCTTCAAAGAATTCTATCATCTACTCCATGTAGTATTCCTGCATACTTCAGACGCAATTCCAGTCACTGCAGTAGTACGGTACTACTGATTAGACAGTCATGTACTAGCCGCAATAGCAACAGTGTTGTTGCTATCCTGCTCCTTCAACTTGGCAGACAGCAAGCCATCCACCCAAGCCTGCTCTGCTGCAGATATTCCTCTGACATCAGCGCCGCCTGCCGCCCTGTCAAACAGCGCTGGCAGCCGAGCCTGTTCCCGGAAGTCTGACGGCCGCCAGCTGTCCAGCTTCTGCAGCGTGTAACCTGTGCCATCTTCCTTCGGCAGCAGCGGCAGCCACACATACGTTGCATTCTCCACCTGCGCACCAGCCAAACAACCTCAGGATTTACATGTCCTTCAGGTGTTGTTCAGCTCTCCTGGTGACTACGGGTCCCCCAGATCCGTGATCTTCTAGTCCCGTAGTGACACTCACACAGCCACATATCCGCGGAATCTGGCTGGCAGTTGGGAGCGCTTGATGCTACACTCTGTTCTCAAAGTGCATGCACAGCTGTCCTCCTAAAATAGATCTACCATTCGTCCAGCACCTGGCTAGCCATCACTGATGAGACAGTGCAGTCACCTCAAGGGGTCCCTGTGGCCTGAAGGTGCCATGAAGATTCAAGGCACTTTGAGGCCATCTTCTGGGCATCATCAGGAAGAACAGATTGGGCAATCCCATCTAGACAAGGTATTCTCAGGAATTTTCAATGCCTGCATTGTTATTATTACTACAGGCTTTTCCTGCCAAAAGGCAAGGTACGTCCTGCAGACAAGCTGCAGTTTTGCCTTTGCCTCTTATGCCTTTCAATGCCTGCATAATGCCTTTATACTCGGGAAAATTCAATGAGACCAGTGGGTCCAGCGCACCGAGCCGGGCCCAAGGAAGTTCCAGCGGTCCCCCATGTAGATATACAAGACAGTGCCGTCCGCGAACTCCAGCGGGAACACAAAGCTGGACTGCGAGTTGTACGTTGTGTTGGCGCCCTCGCCCCGAGCCGGCGTCGCCAAATTGCGCCAGGCAACGCCGCGCAGTGAATTGGCAGCCGCGTGGAATAGCATGGGCGGGTTTGGGTTCCAGTAGGTCAGGTGGGAGGCCATCATGTAGTAGCCCTGCCCACTGGGCTTGAATATTGAGGGGCCCTCTCCCTGCACACAGGCAACCCCTCAGAACTCGACCGGAAACTTGACATGCTCATTCTTTCAAGAAAGTTCACAAAAAGTAGCATTGAAATGGTGAAAACAATGCGTTCGCAGCGTGAGCACCATGCTGATTAGAGGATGAGCCACCCTTTGGCTAGGGACGTTTTCCATGCACCGACTACAATGCTGAAAAAGAAAACAGCACGCAAATGAAAAAGCAGCATGCAGACTAGCGCTGGAATGTTTGTGTCCTGTGGGTCTCTGAGCGGGGTGCATGCATGCATGCATGCGCGCACCCTGGGAGCGACAGAGACGAGGCCGGTGGTGTCGGTGTAATTGGGGGTCAGCTGCGAGATGCCCAGGAAGTCATTGTTGATGCTCCTGACCAAGAACGCCGTCCCGTCATCCTCTTGGAAAACTCCCATGTCATAGCTATTCATGCCGTCCGGCTTGAATGCGCGCACCCATGTGTAGGGGCCTGTGATCTCCTTGGCAACCGCCACTCCCACGGATGGGTAGCGGAACCTGGGCGTGTCGGCGTGAAACAACAACACAAATTGGCTGTATGCTGCATTGTACAGGATCTGCGTGGTCCAAGCAGCCGCCTCAGTGTCTTCAGGTGCGATCAGCGAGGCTTGGCGTGTGCCACTACTAAGTCACCGCTCGATGTCACCGTGACAGGACCTTTTGAATTCAAAACTGTCTCAGAGTACAATTGATGTCATAGTTAGAAGCTTGTTACCTTGGGGCGTTCAATGCGGTATGGCGGGTTGACGGGCATGCCGCTCAATGGCTGAGAGCCATTGAAGATCAGGCCTTCCAAAGTCCAGTTTGCAAGATCAGTGCTGGAGTAGAGATTGACGCCCTCTGAGAGAAAATCGCCCAGCATGGGTCGCTTGTAGCTCTCTCCATACCAGTAAAACGTGCCATTTACCCTGATAACGCCTCCCCCATGCGCGTGAACCTGCGTTATTGCCAGGCCAAGCCAATGAGAAGTGCATAGTCAGCCTGGCGTGTGATTGCATCAAAGCTACTGTTTGCATAGCGACCTCAGCCACTGCTATCGTGATTGAATCATTTCATCTCCTGGGAGTGTACCGGTGTTCCATCGGAATCCACTGGAGAGGACCCAGGTACTATCAGGGCGTCCTCTGGTGAGGATGCTGGCGCAGCAGCTTGCAAGACAGTCGGAAGCAGAAAAAGCAACAACAGTGCAGGATCCAACCTTCTGTGTGGCATTTTCACCTGCGTAGCAGCACAGGTAATTACATGACAAAGTGTTCCATTATTGCTAGTGTTGACAGTCACGGTGTCAGTCACGCACTAGTCTCGAATGCACGGCCCCATCCACTGCAAATACAGTACACACGTGTTCCCAGACAATTGGTACCAGATTGTTTCAGACACCGGCCGCAGCTGGATCCAGCGTGCGGTTGCGAGCACGAAAAGCAAATCGTCAGATTGCGTTCGGACACAACCCAGCTACGCTTATGGGCATTACACCACAAACAATACATGAATGAACGGTATGCTGGGGTCTAAGAATCTGTTGGTAGCTCACCTTCAAGTTGAAAAGCATGGTTTCATCATCGGGAAACTGTCTTTGCCCGCAAAACCGCAGTCTTGTCTCCCGCTCGATCTTCTAGTTCGCTGGCTTGGATCAATAGAAAATTATCCTTAGGGATGTCATACGTTTTTCAAGGAAGACGTCGATGTTCGCACTTCTCTCACCACAACGGTAGTGCCCGTGCCCAATTTAACCGAACGGTGGGTGGTTGCTTCAAGTCTGACGTCATCACTTCACAGTCAACAGCTGACTCAGATGATGTTGACATCAACCAGACAGCACTGGGATGCTCAAAAAATTCTTACACTGTCTAGATGCTCGCAATGTGGCATGCAGTATTGGAATAACTTCAACGTGGAAATTTCGTTTTGTTTAAGTGTGGTGTAGACCTTCCCTCCCAGTGGGCGCGCTGCAGCCGAACGTACTCTTAAATTCAAGCTTCAACTTGAAAATCTGCGCAACTTTTGCCCGGCTCAGCCTCCGAGGCAAAATGTCTTTCGGCCTGCTGCTCAGTCTAAATTCTGTCACAGGGAAGCTTCTCCTGCAGCCTGGTGGGCCCCTGGTGTTGCTTAAAATTTTATTCTCACACTAAGCATACAATGCTTTGGCACATTATGCAAGCACTGCGAGGCACATACATGCCAAACATCATCTCAGAAGAAGTACTGTGAGAGGCTCTGTAGAACGCTGTCCCCCTGCAAAACCTCTGCTGATGAAATGTCATGGTTCAAATGCCTCTAACAAGCTCAAGGTACAGTTGAGCAGCTGACAAGGGGAATACGAGACACCAACGGGCGACTGAGTCAGGCGAACCATGCAGCCTGTCTCACTGTTATTCTGCATCACTGAAAGACCTGCACCAGCAGGCACTGTTGCAGCCTCACCCATTCACAGACAGCATTTTTTGCAAAGATCAAGCAATGTTCTGGTGCGACTCTGTCATTCGCCCTCAGTTGTCAGAAGGGCGAAGTCCTCCTCTTGCCCTTGCCAAGCAGGAGATCCTTGGCTTCATTGACCTTCTCTGCCAGGTAGCTGCTGCCCCCCAAGTCAGGGTGGTTTGCCTTCATGATCCGCAGGTGAGCCTCCCTAACCCGGTCCTCGCCTGCACTCTCCCTGGTCCCCAAAATCTGGGCAGCCTCTCGCTTGTTCATCTCTTGCAGGAATCCTCCCTGCACGTTCAGCTGTGGCTGATCAGAAAGTCCTGCATCGTTCAAGCGATCGTGAAGAACACAAGGCTGGAGCAGAGCAGTACGCACCTTGTAAAACTGCCTCATACGTGGAGGAGCATTTCTGAATTTCGTAAATATTTCGATCGCCGCTTTGCCTGCATATGCTGCAGCACCGACTGCTATACCTGCAATGACAGGTGTGGCCTGCGAGGCAGCGCTCAAAAATTGAGGTCGTTCACACTACCAGCTGCAGTCATCTTTAAACTTGCAATCGCTCGCTGCGTGTACAATCCAGTACACCACCACTGCATCAGCAGTACTGTTGGTGAGGTAGAGATATACCATGCAGGATCGCGTGTCAACAGCCCAGGCCAACAAGCTACAGTGAGATCAGCGCCAGGTTAGTCTGTCGATTCGATTTCACCCTCTCTCACTGAAGTGGACACGTCGTTTGAGAACCTCTCCAAGCAAATTTCTAGAATGAACGGCTCAAGCTACGTCTGGGACAAGGGAACTGTTCAGCAACCTGCTAGCTCTTGAGCAGTTTCGTGAAGTTTCGTATTACTCACCGACAACGTAACCCAAAGGTTTGTGCGTTGCTGGAGCCAGAGCAAGAAGAGGAAGCAGGCAAACAACCAAGATATTCAGCGAGCGTATTCAGCAGGATATTCTTCATTGATCATATCAATGGCTGGCTGCATTTCCAATGTGTGAAGTAAATAAGAATCTGAAGTGATCGTGCTGATCTGGGTGTATTATGATTACATCATTGCTATGATTACTCTGACACATGCAGCATGAAGCTTCCTGAGCAGCATGTCTCCCGCAAAGTGGAAGAAGGTACAAATAGTATATTTGTTCCTAGCACTCTGTCATCAACAGTGTTCGATGGACAGGGTGTCACACGTACTACTAGCAGTTAATTCCATTTGACAATAGCTAATTGACTCACAACAACTTTTCATCCCAAAGATTGTTCTGCACGCAGCTTTGCTCTACCGCCTCAAGCAGAAAGCCCTGGAGGAGTGCAAGGAGAGGGCGCAGGCATATGCTGACTGCTGCAGCGGGCGCGTATTCTCAGCAGTGTGGAGCTGCAGGGAAGAGTTCAAGGACCTAAACGTCTGCCTCAGCCAACAGTGAGTCCTGAACTCGGCAGACGCAAAATGCCTCACGGCGCTCTGTGCATGGAAGCACCATATTGCCTGCATGATGCTGTGTCACCTGGTGTTTCCCTTGCTGACATTTCGTGTTGGTGTGGCAGCACAACTCCGCAGGTTCTCAATGAGCTCAAGCGGCGGTGGATGGAAGCTGGGCAGCCTGAGACACCCAAGTGGGACGCACTCTTAAAGAACTTGTAACATTCGGAGAAATTTGGGTGTCAGGTTGTGGTCCCCAGGAAGGAGGAGCGCGAGCTCCATGTCTCCCTTCGTTGCTCGACTGCTGTATATTTTCCTGACGCAATGGGCGCTGTCACTTCTGGCATCATGAGGGCCACCTAAAAACGAGAGTGGGCCTTAAGAAAATTCTATACAGTAGAAGGGCAAGTCTGAGGCCCTACAGTGCCGTGCAGAATTGGCATTGGGTATTGCGCTGGACTGCAGTACTCGGACATGAATTCTTTTGCTGGGCCGTCCATGTCTGCAAGGCCTGGCTGGGGTCTTCCTGACAAACAGTGTTGCTGATGACGCCGAATGGGAATTGCAGGTCTATAAATGATAGTAATTTGGCCAGTAGCCCTAGGCAAGCATTAAACAGCTGTGGAAACTGCTGTGTTGGACAATGAACCCTTCCAGATCAGTCATGACTTGGAAAAGGTTGGAAGTCTGCAGCCACTTACTGAGCAGCATGCATGCGCGGCCATTTGGGGTGGCCCGTGTCCAACACGGGGAGTCCCTGTCAGGTCATGTTTATCTGCCTGGGCCGGGCTTTGGACAAGCAGTCCTGACGAGGCATATATATAGCATGGCAAATTTAAATGGCCGGTACACTATAAGATGCGTTTCAGCAAGTACTAGCACTAGAGGTATTAATACTGGGTGAGGAGTCTTTGGAAATAGAAATTTGACTCGGCCCAGGGCCAGCCCGCCGGTGGCCCAGGGCCGGCATCGCGATGACCGGGCCGCCACTCAGGCTAACCCGTACGGCGGCGCCGCTGCATGCATGTAGCTGCAGCTGCCGTGAAGGTGCCCAGTAGAGACCACAGCTTAATTCTAGCATGGGCATGTAACGGTACTGTACACTAGGAAAAGGACGGAAGGCGACGTTGTGCTTTCCACGCTCTTCTAAGGGCGAAAGTTTCGGTGGGGTTTGAGGAGTTGCTGCGCTACGGGGGAAGTATTCAAGGGATAAAAGGACTCGATCACCACGATTTTCGCCAAAAAGCGATCTGGTCGCAATCGGCCATTTATCCATCGATGTCCTTTTGGCCCAATTTTCTTCGCATTCAAATCTTCTTGAGATCTTTCCCTTCAGCGCCTGTTGTTACAGCCAGGTCTGTGAGTCTGGCCCTGTCCACAGGTGGTTTGCGGGACCGAGGGTGCGCAGATGTAAGAGCCAGGAAGCGAGAACCAAGTCTCTTCTGGCCATATGGGGGCAGCGGCAGACGGTGGCGCCTGCACTGTATCGTCACGAGCGCACCTTCTGACTAGTGAGAAGGCGGCCTGCGGTGGCAAGCAGCCTCCAAGCGAGAACAAACGTCACGTACTGGTTGTCGACGACCTTTTCCTGAACCGCATCGTCCTCGGGAAGCTCCTCGCGAGCTTTGGATTCGTCGTCACTTACTCTAGCGATGGTCAGGAGGCGGTGGAGACGTTCCAGAAGAGGAAAGAGAGCAACGAGGACGGCTTTTTTTGCGTACTGATGGTGAGCCCTACTTTTGCCCGTCAGCAGGAATCCACTTGTGCCCCTTTGTGTTCTGAATATTGAGAGGAGAGTTGCTAGCAACGGAAAGGGGCTGGTCACGCTCGACCCGGGCGGGTGCATTGGAATCCAGCGTATCCCAGCGTATCTGCGCCAGTTCGCAGCGAAGTTCGCTGGGAATGGTGATTGGATCCTTCATCTATGGCCATATAACCCCTTCTCTCCGCATCCAGACGCAAGGCCGCAAGCGGTGGGTCGTAGGACAGCTTTGGCCTAGCTACAAGATCCACTCACGCACGGTCTTCACGTTTGACCGTACTGCAGGACGTGAACATGCCCACGATGGACGGGCTGGTCGCCACCAAACACATCCGCACCATCGAAGCAGCGTCCACCTCGCAGAGCAGCTCGAGCATGGGGCCCACTGACAGCTGCTCCTCTGTAAGCTCAGCAGAAGCTGCGAGCTGCCAGCCCACGCGGCGCGTGCCCATCGTGGGCGTCTCTGCCTGCAGCAGCGCAGACCAGATGAAGAGCAAGGCGTTAGACGGCTTGGAGCTCAACCCTGCCACAGGTGGGGCCTGTTCTTACCCCAACCCCCTCCCTGCTGTGGAGATTCCACACAGGTGCTCGGCAAAGTTAATAAATCCAGAGGAGGAGAGATGCAAATCTCAAGGCAGACGGAGCGCCAGAGGTAACAGGAAGGGCTACCTCGCAAGTGAACATCATGCACCAATAGTACAATGATCCCCCGGCCCAGGAGCACCGACTTGCAAAGGGGCTGGGCGATCTGCATGCATCACAGATTAATCAGCTTTCCACGCACATACTGAGAATTGGGGGCACCCGCCTGTCTGCCTTCCAGTGAATCTACTGCGTTCCAAGTTTAAGAGGGGTTTTGCGGCTGTGGCGCAGAGCGGCCGTGGGCGGCAGTGGGCATGGACCTGTTCATGGAGAAGCCGGTGAACCGCGACAAGCTGCGCGCTATGCTGGCCCTTCTGGAGAGCGACGCTTGGCAGCGCGACAGCAACAGCGCCGCCGACAGCGCTCAGCAGCAGCAGCAGCTGCCCCCGGGCATGAGCTTTGGCGGCAGCCGGCGCTGCAACTCAGTCAGCTCCTTCTCAGGAGGCCTCGACATCAAGGTGCTGCGCTGCTCTTCTGCATGGCCTGTTGCGAGCCCTAACTGCTGAGGATGGAGTGTCAAGCAACATCGTTCGGTGCTCTCAATGCTACAGATGCAGGAAGCTGCAATGCCTTTAGCTGACTTTGTTCGTTGTCTTCTGGGTCTGTGCTTGTCGGGTAGGGCGCGAAAGCCTCAGTCACGCCCCGTGCACAGAAGCGGGATGGGAGCCTGCAAACTGATGATGGCTTGGTGGAAGGCTGACAGGTCTTGTTTGGGGTGTCTCAGGTGAGCAGCCGGCCGGGAGGCGAGCAGGTGACAAAGAGGAGCCTTGGGGCCTGCATGCAGCATGCAGCCGAGGAGCAGTCTGCCAAGCGTGGGAGAGTCACTAGCGGTAGCGGGGCAGTGGAGGCGCTTGCTGCAGCTGCATGTGTAGAGGAGGATCCAGCAGTCCCTGCGGCAGGCGCCTCATAGAATCTGCCCCCCCCCCACATCCCCAGCATTTGTTCCGCACCCCGCAGGGAAGGGGCAGGCCTCGCGGCTTTGTGAGGCGACTTGTCGACGGTGCTAGACCGTGGATTGCACCCCTGTGGGTGCGGCCAATTATTTGAAATACCCAATTATATTCGTTTACAAATCAAGTACCCTTGCAATCGCAGAGAGTGCGCTTGATGCCTGCTAACCAAAACTTGCAGCAGTGGCCTACGCCATTAGGCAGAAAAGCGTTTGCTTCCCGTTCTGTGCTGTCAGCTTGGCCCGAGTTACCTTTGGGCTTGAAATTCTTTGTGTATTGTGCGGACGAGCATGATGTGTGTAGTGAGACCAGTACATCAAGCATGAAAGAAACATGCGGGGCAACTGTGCCAGTAAGCCCGCGTGCCTGTGTGCACCTGCATTCAAATTGTTCAGACTATTGTTTTGGGACTGGAGGCTTCCTCCGATAAGGCTTCAGTGATGATCGTCTTGATGCAGGCTGCATGAACATGTGGGTGTTGTCAGCAGTAAGCGGTCTTGAGGTTGAGGTTTTGAGGTGGCCCTGATGGCGAGTAGTTGATCTGCAAGGCCAAGGCCATTGAGTGCCACATGTATTCCATGCTTGAGGATCTTGTGTCAATGGACATGTGGAGTACAATATTGTTGGGTACGCCTAAGAGCCGCTCAGTTGCTGGCAACACATGGCTCACCACGGTGTTCTAGTGTGCGTTTGCTAAATATATTGACGGTGGCTGCCTACTTAGCTGGTGGAATGCGTGGTTGCCCCTCTATATTGAAGATGTTGAGTTGCTATTGCGACCAGTATTGTATCACCTGTGTAGGTTATTGTCAGGAATGTAACCGATGGATGCCAGTGCTTGTCAGATGTTCACTTAAATCAGCCTCACAGAGTCATGTTTTCAACTGTCTTCCAGAATCAAGCACATGTGTGCGGCAGTTCATTAGGCCTGCTGTCTCCACAGCCGTTCTAGATCTTCTGCTAATCTTTGATCAAAGAGACTCCCGCTAAACTTAGCAATTCCTGTCAACAAGCGTCACGCAGAAGCTTGCAGATCCCACACTAAATTTCTGACTTCTGAAAAAGATACAGGGCATGACATGCCCATGCTGTGGCGCGCCCTTACAGCAGCCAAGACTCGGACCCACTCTCCCCGCCTTGTGCCTTGTCTGATCTACATGTTATCACATCGAACCTGAGAGCTCCCCATCAGGCACGGCTCAGCCAGCCTGGCGCCGGCCTTTCTGCGCGGTGCCCATGGCCTGGACTGTCTTGCCCTTGCCCAGTCCTGGCGCCCCCATCGCCTCCAGCTGGTCCAATGCAAACTCTGCCAGCTCCTGCGTCTGCACCATGCATCCGCCCCTCCAATATTAACCCAGCAGGCAATGCTGATCACTCATACAGCCAAAGTCCATACAATCGATCAATACTGCTCCAGGGCCGCATTGTATCTTGATACTTAAACGCATTGCATGTACACCGCGAGGCTGCCCTACTTGGCTCTTGGCCTTGCGAGTCTTGCACTCTGTCTTGGTGCAGTGTAAGTAGACACTGAAGAACAGAGCGGCTGGCCAAGGGACAGGGGCTCACTGCAGCGGAGGTCTTTGAGGAGAGGCTGAATGCGCGGTCCTCTGGCTTGAATGCCCGCGCCCTTTTCCTCAGGGCATCCTTGGACGAGAGGAATCCGTCAAAGCCCTGTAATTTGGCACCCATCACGCTCAGAGTGCCCTGTCGACGACCCCAAGGCTCTCAAACCAAGCCCTGCTCATTGCACAGCTAGCACACTGCCACACCTTCAGGACAGTGCCGCACTGGGTGTATTCCGCCGAGAGATACTCTGTCTCCATCGAGTAGACCTGCATTTATATGGGAAGTTTGAGTAAGGCACCAGGTCTCTCGACACCGAGAATTGTTCCTTTAGATTGAGACAACAGCCCACCATCTTTTCAGTCTTCAAGAGGTCGGCCTCCAGCTGTTCACTTCGTGCTGCCAGCTGGGCAGCTGCATTAGACATCCTTCCAAGAAATCGCTCAAGCTTGCCCAGTCATGTCCTTTGACTCAACCCTTCCAGGGGACAATCAAATAAAAGATCAGGCCAGCAACAAGGGAGTTGTCGATGAATAATACTTTTATTGTTATAGTAGCAACTGAGCTATGTCATCGCTGTACCAATTTCTTTGTAAAGGTCACGCCGATACTTTTGACTTACCGACCAGCCTTGCGCTCTCGGGATTAGCAGTGTCTAGGGAATCAAGCACAAAAGTCTGAACAGATTGGATCCTTGGATATTCATGCAATGAGAGAACAAGATGTAAGTGCAGGACGGAAGGCTTGCCAGGAACACCGGCTGAGACCAAGCATGCAACTGGCCGACGTGGATTCCAGCTCCCTCATTGCCTCGATCGTTCTCGTGACCATAACAAATGCTTTAAGCGTTAAAGCAGGATTAAGAATTGCCCTCGTGTACGCAACTTATGAATGCGATGTCCTCAGCAATGTGCAGGCACTCTGCTCTTCTAGAGAGGCGATCTCCTCAGACTGTTTCCTGCAGGTAGGCTTTGTCATTCTCAGTTCGTGCAATCGTCAGTTGATTACTATGCAGAGTGTCTATTATAGCTTTCATGTGTCTTCTTGTCCATTATTTAGCTTTGGCAAATGATGAATGCTGTACAGTGGTCAGCATGGCTTGAGGGCACATACACTCCGATGGCTACCCACAGAGAGGTAAACACCTGATCATCTTGTTTTCAATTGATATATGTTCAAAGGCTGCTTTGGACTATTTTGTGGGGAAGGCAGCTGCTCGACCACACATTGTACCAGAAGCCGATATTTGTACCTCACGTTGCGCTTTGCCTGGCCTTACTAGGATCGGACGCTCAACCTCCCATAGACGCACTATTGTGCGTGCTGAGAAGCTGGATGCAGGGACAGAAGCAGAAGATATCACCAAAAAGGTGTGGCAGCCTCTGTTGTACCAGAATATCCTGCAGTTAAGCCAACACAGCAATGAAGGGCTAGCGTGGATGGCAATACAATGATGAACGCAAAGCAGCATGGCTGACTCTGGCAGTGCTACCTGCAGCCCAACCCCAAGGAGACGACAGAGAAGTATGGCCTGGAGGCCGGCCTGTGGCAGGTGTTCACAAACAAGGACCCGGAAACAGGCAAGAGCAAAGGGCAGCAGGCCAAGGACCTGCTCAAGCGATATGGCAGCGCCTACCTCATCACCTCCATCTCCTTTGCCATTGTCTCCTTCGCAGCCTGCTATGCCCTGGTCAGCGCAGGTGGGCTCCCTTTTGCTGACAGACCTCAACAGCTCCCTTGCAAAGTCAGCGCTCTCTGCGTGATAATATTCTTTGCCACTCAGGAAATAGGGACGCTCAGAGTCCCCAGAAATCAGTGCACTCAGGAAATCTAGCAGTGATTGTTTGAGTGATGTTGAGGACCTGGGTACTTAGCAGCTATGAGCTCACTGGAACGTTGTAAAGCGGGGGGCGGTGCTTGCATGCAGGCGTGGATGTGGGCGCGCTGCTTGCCAGGATCGGGATCAATGTGAATGCTACGAATGAAAAGGTGGGCACAGTGGCCCTGGCCTATGCAGCCCACAAGGCGCTGTCTCCTGTGCGCTTCCCACCCACAGTCGCATTGACACCCGTGGTGGCACGGCTGCTTGGGAGGGACAAGGATGGCAGCAATCCCAGCGCCAGCAATGGAACTGGGCAGTAAAGAAATGCAGCATGCAGTGTTGGAGAGTTGAGCTGACAGTAGCAGTGGCAGCAAAAACAGAAAGTGCAGTGCGTGGGCTATCATGCCTATTACCCCATTGCGATGAGAGGAGATTTAAGCAAATCAGCATAGCTTGTATGAGCTTTTCATTCTGCAGTCATGTGTGTGTGGGAACCCTCCTGCAATCATTTCACGTGCACATCGACAAAGACAGCAACGCTGCAGGAAAACCTTTCAGTACGCCCAATGCTACAGAGCCCGAAGCTGCGGTGGTCCAGTGGGCTGTAGCCTGCCCAAATCCAAATCGAAATGTAGAATTTCGGTTTGGGGATTCAGAGCGAAAACAAGCTTAAAGATCGATGAAGAACTTGGGAGTGGATTAAAGTTGATGTAAGGTCCATGTGCGTACCACTCTAGTTGTCTTTTGACCCATGCATATGTATTCCATGCATGTATTCCGTGTGAAGAAAGCAGTATTTAATTTCTTGAACTACCTGTAATAGACTGTCATTCATCAACTGTCCGGAGATCATTTACAACTTGTGTGGCTATGTAAGATCCTGTTAGAGTCCAGCAGCCTTGAAAATGCGCGGCAACACTGAGAGATATATCTAGCTATATAGCTTGTTGACCACCTTGTGCACAGAAGCTCAATCCACCAACAAATTTGTGGCATAAGGTCGAAAATGTACAAAACAATACTTCTGGAACTTGCTGACATGATCCTTGTTCAGTCATGTCAGGGTCGCAATCACTTCTCATGACATACTTCTGTACAAACGTCAACAAGCACTGCAAAGCATGCTGCGCTTCGAGCGCACAGCCTGCATGCTGCGCAGCTTAGATCACGAGCGCTCTGGGCAGCCACCTGTCATCCGGCGCTGGCTATAAATAGAGCTTTGCTAGATTAAAAGGAATCTGAACGCCCAACTTGCCGATGTACCCCGGCCTTCCCTTTCAGCCTGTCAGCCAGGCCTCCACGCGGTTGGCCGCGCGCCGCGCAAAGCTCCCGCCCGCGGCAGTCGTCATGCTCGGCGCCGCAGCCCGGCTGGCCGCCGTGCTCGACAGCGCGAAGATTGACGGCCGGGTAAACGCTTCGATGCCGGCCGGCGGCTGCGTTGGCGTCCGCTTGGCGGCCGCGCCGGTCGGCCCCGAGGGGGTGGTTGCGGCGGCACCGCCGCCCTGCACGCGCGCGCCGCCAGTCGTCTCGGCGGCAGCGGCCGGCGCCGGTGCGGTGCCTGTGTTGTACACGACCGGGACGCGCGCGCGGTCCCGGAAATCGGCCGGCCGCCACTCGTTCTCAAACTGCAGCTCGTAGCCGGCCCCATCGGTGCGCGGCAGCAGCGGCAGCCACACGTAGGTGGCATTCTCCACCTGCAGGGGGCGCACAAAGATCTGACTCAAGCTTGTGCTTTGAAAAACTATGGGTAGCTATTACTGCGCAGTAATAGTCCAGCTTGGCAGCCGCACCGTGCAGTCAGAGCCTGATGAAAACAAAGTCCAGGGCTGATGGAATATGAGCAGTGATCCACGCTTCAGCCCGGCTGCCGGGAGGCAAAGGGGGGGGTTCTGCAGAAGAGGCGCGCCTTGCCAGGGCCGTAAAAGTTCCATCGGTCACCCATGTAGATGTACAGGATGGTGCCGTCTGCGAACTCCAGCGGGAAGACAAAGCTGGACTGTGAGTTGTAGGTGATGTTGGCGCCCTCGCCCCTGGCGGGCTCTGGCAGCTCGGTCCAGGTGGCGTTGTGCAACGAGGGGGCTGACGCATGAAACAGCTGGGGGGGGTTGGGCGCCCAGCCAGTCAAGTGGGAGCCCATCATAAAGTAGCTGCCGGACACCGGCCTGAACACCGCGGGGCCCTCCGCCTGCGCCAAGGCAAATTCACCAAGAATCAGTGCTTCATGCCCTTTCTAAACTCGAACATCTTGAGAGTATTCCCCCTTCTAAGGAGGAATGTACTCCTCTTGCTATGCAACTCCATCAAGGATCATCCACTCAAGCCCCTCACCAATGCTCTAATCTACTGCCTTGCTCATACTAGTAGTAGGTCAAACCGTCCCCCTGTCACAAAGGAGGCAGTTGTGATCGTGGACCCACAAGACCCACAAGGTACCTTTCAAGTGCTGTGATACATGGACAGGCAGAATCTGCTCCGAACACCACGTGATATGTGTCAGGCATGTTGATAAGTGTGACAACGGAGGTAGTCCTTTATCCTGCTGTATGGCGGCTGCAGCCTTTAGTGTCTGCCATGCGTATAACATAAGCCACGCAGTGGTGGTCAGAAGAGGGATACTGTAATAGTCCAAGTAAAACCCGAAATAAATAATTGTTTTTGGCCAAAAACGGTGGATAAATGAGACACTATCTCCCAAAATATAAAACCTATAATATTTTTGAGACCAAATTCGGAGAGCTCTCGACAAGCCCAATCCAATGAAGCATGACCCTGGTGTATTTGAAGTCAGGAAGACTATTTGCTTAGAAATATTTCCTGCACCGCCGAGGGTGTGGGTTCTAAATGACCACTTCAGGTAACGGGTTTGTCACAGCAGCGGCGGCCGCACCTGGGGGGCGGTGGAGGAGATGCCGAGGGTGTCTGTGTAGTCGGGGCTTAGCTGCGAGATGCCCACATACTTGTTCTCTACGCTCCGCACCAGGAATGCTGTCCCGTCATCCTCTTGGAACACGCCCATGTCATAGCTGGCTTTGCCGTCCGGCTGGAAACAGCGCACCCACTCATAGGGGCCCGTGATCTCCTTGGCCACCGCCACTCCCACGGACGGGTAGCCGAACTTAGGCGTGTCCGAGTGGAACAGCAGCACGTAGTTGTTGTACGCCTCGTTGTACAGGATCTGCACATCATTAGGAAGTGCAGTCAGCCCCGCTGCCGCTGCATGAAGGCCAGGGGTGAAGTTGGGCCTTTGAAGAAGTGGGCTGGTTCTGGGCAATGGGTGATTGAAGGTCACTGTGGCCTGCAGCAAGGCGGATGTATTGCGCATGACTGTTGGCAAAGGGAGCTGGCATGGCAACGCGTCACTGTGCAGCTTGCACAGTGCAAGGTGGGAGGCAGTGTGTGCATGCAAGGAGCTGAGCAGCACCTTGGGGCGCTCTATTCTGAAGGGGGCGCTGCCCATGTCGGCGGGCAGGTCCACCATCTGCTGTGTGCCATTGAAGACCAGGCCCACATAGTGCCACGTGGCCATGTCTGTGCTGGAGTACAAATTGACGCCCTCTGACAGAAAATCACCAAGAAGGGGCCTCTTATAGCTCTCCCCAAACCAGTAGAAGGTGTCTTTCACCTTTAGCACGCCTCCGCCATGGGCATGCACCTGATCCAGGGTGAACAGACTATCCGCCATGAGTGTCAATGGGTAGACCTGGGTGCAGAGAATGACATAAATGTCATGGGAGTGACGGCTTGGATGAGGGGAGGTCTCACTGAGTTGCCATCTGCGTCAAGGGGTAGAGTGCCTGGCACTATAAGAGCTTCCTCTGGCAAGGCTGCAGCTGCCAGGGTTACAAGAAGCAGAGCTCCACAAAGTATTGTTGTCCATAGCTGTGGTGCTCCTACGGCTCTGATCAGCTTTCCCATAGTAACACCTGCATCAGGCATCTGCTTCATCTTCTGCGTTGCTGCTTGATAAAGAGGAGGCCTCAATATGGTGTGCATTCATGAATTTAAGTGTGATCAAAGCTATACAGTACTCGCACACCAGCATCGACTGGCACATCCCCTAGTTCGTCACGACACCGATGTGCTGCTCAGACGCCATGGTTCCAGACGTCACACTAGATTCCCAATATTCACAGTTTGGTTTCAACCCCTTCTCTAAACCCCAACATCGTGTCCCCTGAAAGTCATATCCGACGCTCCTACCTTGACCAGATGTCTAGCAGGACAATGCCCGTCGCGCTTAGGAGGCCGCGCGATTGCCTTGTGTCAAGTCCAATTGAATAAAATGCAGTTTAGTGCAGTACAATAGCTGATTGCCAGTGCAACGAGCTCACATTCGGTCTTGACAGAAGAGGTCTGCGATGTGATGGACCACCGACTTTGTTAGCCTGAAGATATTATGTCAAGTTAGGATCAAATTGTAGAAGAAGAAAGAAGCGAGTATTTTAGAGCACTTCAGATTATTGTCCTTGAAATTGGTGGTAAGGATGTCCCAGCAAAGGAGAGCTTGGCTATTTGAAGTGTCCTGTGCAGCCTACTTTGGCACTGTATCACCTGACAAATAGCCTTGCATGTAAGGATGCATCCCCTCAACTTACAAGAATTACCAGCGGTTGGAACAATTGTGATATAGCTCTGCTTTGATATGAGCATACGAATTTCTCTATTATAGCACGGCCGCAGCATTAGGATCAGATCATGATGATCACCAATGTATGATCATCAATGATCATGATGCCCAGCATCCATGGATAATTCACGCATGTGCTTGCGTCCAGCAATTTCCTACACACTGGCACTCAGTCATCCCCAAGCTGGCTATGAAGGACCAGAGTATCCTCGCAATATATTGTACACGTCCTCCTGAATTAATTCGAAGCAAGAAACCTGCAGAGCAAGAGACAAAAGAGCAGGGAGCATGCATGGGTGAAAATATGCCTCTCTAGCTTATCCCAGCACGAAGTCAACGCATTATACAGCACTGCTGGTGAGAAGCAGAGCGCCGCTCTCAAACGGGCCCCGGGGAGTTGGCTGCTGGGGAGGGCCCGTTACGGTCGATGGCCAGGCGGCGAGTGTTGTAGGAGGAGCAGTGCGGGCACTTCAGCCCCAGGATGTGGAATGGCACGTGACCGGCCTGCCATGGCAGCACAGCATACGGTCAGACGTTCCACACGCGCATGACAGCTGTGCAGCAAACATAAAGTCTCATCTGCGCATCAGCCCGACGGGAACGTCCAGCACTTGCACATTACCCTAAGCCAGCTGCCTGTAGTTTCAAAGACTTCTCAGTAAGAGATGCATCGACAGCAGCAGGGGAGGCAGACCAGGTTGCAGTTGTTGCACAGAATAACTTAGCAAGGCGATTGCTTGCCCATCTACAGGACACATTGCAACCAAGGGGAGTGTAAAGAAGGGCCTTGTTGACACTCCCCTTGCTGCACCATATCATATTGATCTTTGTGTCTTAAAGTGGAGCAAAGTTCATCCGATAAGGAACCGCAATCACTCTAGTGGTCCCTGATAAGATCCTGGTGCGCACCTGGTTGCAGTCGTTGCAGAGGATGTGGGCAACCCAGTTGGCGTAGTCGGTGGGCATGGGGGTGTCGGCAACTTCCTGGTCAATGCGGCGCCAGATGGGCGCCAGGTCAGCGTAGGTCTTCATGCAGATGGGGCACAGCAGCTGCCGGTTCTTCTCCATGTCCTTGAGGCACTCGGAATGGATGGTGTGCCCGCACGGCAGCACCGCCGTCGGCCGCACGCTGTCAAACAGGTACTCGAAGCACACCGGGCAGTTCTGCCGCATGCTGTTCTCCACACACACGTGGTTCCCCTGCGCACAATTTCTGCGCTAAATTTGGTTGCCTAAGTTGTCTGCAGGTATTTCAATGTCATGGTAAGCACTGACTCTGAGATCAGGCGGTGGATCAGACCTGGTTGGCTAAAAGCGGTAGAAAATGATAGTCAATAGCACGTCCGCCCAAGATGTCTCACCAATGAGCCGCTGCATTCTTCATGAATACTCCAGCACCCCAAACTGACAATGGCCTTTACAACGAGTTTTCAAGTCTGTCAAGGAGAAATGCAATTTGGTGTATCAGGAGCTGTACAGCAGGGAGGATTCATGGAATGGCAGTGTGAAGCCCCTCTGGAGGACTGCATTCCTCTCAAACTTATGACAGGGTAAAGAGTCAAGGAAGAGTCCAGGAAGGGCAGGACGGCACCTGCAGGGAGTTGGCGTAGCAGCAGCCGCAGGTGTTGCAGTGGAAGAAGTTGGAGGCGCCGCCAACACGGCAGATGCCGCAGGCCTCGCAGTGGAACTGCTGCTTGTGCAGGTCGTCATCAAAGAAGCAGCACTTGAGGCAGGAGTAGGCGCCGAACTCGCAGCCGCACCCGGCGCACAGTGACGCCACTGGCTGCCGCAGGTCGCACAGCGCGCACACCAGGCTGCGCACCGTCGTCCTGTCCAGCTCGTGGCGCTTGCTTGGATCCTGCACACAACGCACCCACTCTTAGTGCGTCATATTTGCCATGAGCAGCCTTGAAGATAGCCCATGACAAGGCCCTGAAGCTAAAATGCCTTGCAGATGGCCATCAGCCAAACGGCCTGGGCAGATCATTGCTGCATGCTAATTACAACCTGCCTGGGACCGGGCTCTCTACATCATTTCTCATACTGGGTCCAGGATACTGGTTGTTGGCGGTCTTGATAAAAAAGGGAGGTTGTAAGGAGCGTGCGAGGGTGGGTGGCGCCTCACCCACTCGTTGGTGGTTTTAGCCTCGTTGTGGCAGTGGCGGCACCAGAAGACCTCGCCGCAGCAGGGGGCGACCATTTGGCAGCGCCGCCGGTAGTGCTTGCAGCCATGATCCCCCAGGCCCATGTTGCGCTGCTTGCGCTCTGATGCCTCCACCAGAGCCTGCTGCTCCTCAGGGCTCTGCTGCCCTGAGCTGCCCTGCTGGTTCGCCTCTCCTGAGGCTGCGGCCGCTGCCGCCTCCCCGCAGCAGGACGGGTCAGGGGATGTGTCTGGCATGGCTGCTGAGCTTGGGGGCCCACAGCTGGCCTCTCCCTGCTGAATGCAAAGGGGCAACCCCTCGTCACGGCTCTATTCTCTATACCCGGGTCAGCACACTTATTGAGGCTTCGGGGAAGCAGTGTGCAAGAGCAGGATCTGCCTGTAGCAGCTCACATCACTAGTGAGTTCCAGTAATAGCAGGGTTTGTGCCATGACCACACTGACGTGGCAGGCGATCGGCACATCAGATGCAGTGAGAAAACAAGCAATGGATATGTGATCATCGTCCAGCATCGCATTAGATCAATCACTGCAAGTATATGAGGGATGTCAGGAGGACTGAAAAATTTTCGCTGACCGATCTCAACCGTAGCTGAAGGTGTTGGACAGCCTTGAGGATTGATCATTGACAACATCTGACGTCTGAGGCAGCAATGTATTATCCTGACCGGACAGAAGTGACCTCGGAAGCGACAAACCTCTTGGACCGCGGTTATAGTTCCTGCCTCAGATTGTGCCGCACTGGCATTTGTCATGCTCGTTTTTCGTCTAATATTGCTTAAATTTTATTGCGTTTTTGGGATGTCATCTCCTTGCGCTATACATCTCTGCGTTTTAAACTTTCATCACCCTGGATAAGATGCACTGACGCGTAAGCCAAACAGGCCAAGGGTTACTCCTCGTTGCAAGTTCCCAGTCTGAACAAAATCACTCGATTGTGTGCGACGAGCTCTAGAGATCTCATCGATTTCCATGTGCATCAAGGGCAGGTGCAAGCACGTGCGCCATGTGCAAATAAATTTGGGCATGATTTCAAGTTTTGCGTGTAACTCTGCCGAACAAAGGTGGTAACAATAGATATAAACCTGTCGACATGTGTAGCGAGTCTTAAGGTGCCAACCATAGTTCTTTGTGAAAAGGGTTGTACCGATGGGTGACGGTGTATTGGAAGCTGCGCGCTGGATCCTGGAGGATGTCGCTGAACAGAGCGACGAGAATTCAGATCAGGCCAGCATGGCATGGCTGAAAAATGCGCCGTTGAAAGCACTGTCTCCTTCCAGGTTTGGGACATGCCTTGTGCAGGTAGCCAATATGTGTCATGATCTTTATCTAAATGTTTCATCAGATGCTGCTTCCCTTCCTGAAATTCAAAAAATTGCTGCATGCAGCTTGCAGCTCTGCCTGGGAGCTTTAACGAGGCTTGCAGTAGTGCAGCTTGGCACCGCCAGTGGGCCCTCCAGCAGTAGACCCATACTCCAGCATGCAGTAGCTCCTCCAGATCACATTACAGCTCTTTGCTGGGCCTGCTTTGGCGAACCTCAAACGGCCAGGTGATGATTGAGTCATTCACACCTGTCCTACAAGTAGAACACCAGGTATGCCTGCTGTAATAGCAACAAGAGTCTCAATCAAGGCAGGAAAGATGCTTGTGCGCAGGTGCAAAGAAAGTTACATCCTCGTAGGGACCGCGACAGGGCACCTGCAAGTGCACTCAGACTCTGGTGTTCTTCTGCACCGGCAGCGCTTGCACACATCTGCTGTCACATCCCTGCGCATGCGAGTTGCAGGCATGCATGTCAGCGCTGATGATGCCGCAGAGGACGTCACTGTCTGCTTTGAGGACGCAGCTGCATGTTTCTCTTCCATAGAGGTCAGCTGTGGATCCACATGGGAGTTCAAGAGAACCCTCAGTGACCTTGGACTTCCCTCCTACATCTCCACTTTCTGCATGGTTCGAGCTGACAACATCCCTGTCCTTTTCGAATGGCTTATGCCTGCAGTACACTGATCAGGTCTTTTTGTGCATGCAGCTGCGCAGCCTTGTATATATTCGCAAGGAAGTGGGCCCCTCAAATCGATGGCCAACACTGAGTTTCAACAAATGGGACACCTCACGATCAGCTGGTGCGATCAAAGGATGGAGCTGCAAACTGGTTGAACAGTATTGGCATGCGGTAATGTGTCGTTGCAGAGTACACGGATTGTCATCAGCAGCTGACACTTTGGCTTGTCTGCTGTCAGGTCCTCGAAGTGATGCGCTCTGCCTCGGCTCCAAGTTTCCTGGCCTGTACTCAGTCATGACGAGCAGGGACACCAACCCTTCCCTTCTGCTGCTGACAGTGGGCAGGTGCAGTCCCCATCATGCATGAATTCTGAATTGACACATTGGTCCCTTGCCTTTAAACTATGCCAGAGCACCTCCCTGTCCTTTCAATGTTCTTTTTCTCATCAATCCCATGCTAGATGGAGATAAGGCGTAGTACTTTGCAGGCTGCCCCCCATCGCATCCTTCGAGGTTAAGGAGCATGCCGCACAGGGGACTCTGGCGCTGTTCTCTGACATGGCAAGCACTGCAGTGTCTGGCATGGCTGGCCTGGCGAAAGCTGCCATTGTTGGCAGGGACGATGGGTATCGAGCAGGTGCAAATTATCCTCATGTGCTCAATTTGTGCACTTCCATTCACCTGTTAGTATTGCTTGCTGTTGTACGACACTCCTCATATTGTTCATATTGCAGGAAGGCCTACCTTGAGCTGTGCTCATGAGTGAGCTGAAAGCTGCATGACTGACCACGGCATTTTTGTGAGCGCTCAGGCCTGCGCAAGTGGCTGAGGGGTAGAGGGGAGTCTCACAGTTCTGAAGCCCCTAGTTCTCCTATGACACCCACAGATGATGTCCCCCAGGCAGCAGAGCCCGCCACACTCTGGCGCTCATTCAAGGATGATGCACGCCACATCACATCCCTCACCCCTGCACCAAGGTACTTGCTTTTCTTGATCAGCAATTTTAAAAGCTCTTGATGCCCTCAAGTCTAGTTGTGTTCATGAAAATCGCTCCCTTCATGGTGCAGCGCAGGCTGCCAAACTGACAGAGATTGGCAAAGATCAAAGACTGGCATGTTGCATGTGCTAAAAACCAGATAGAAAGCGCTGACCACATCTGTTGTGCAGGGGCTCGTTTGCAGCGGTCACAGACAACCTGGGCAGAGTGCTGCTCATTGACACAGCCACAGCAGCCATTCTGCAAGTCTTCAAGGGCTACAGAGATGCGCAGTGTGCATGGTTGTGCCTGCAACTGCCAGCAAGGCCAGTGGATGCGCATGCCAGTGCTGCCACTGCCAGCACTGCATGCCAGCAATCAGTCACTGCTGACACCAGCAATGCGCAGCCGCTGCACGAGGCACACTTGAATGACCATCATGAGGGCCCAGCCAGAACAGATGGAAGGCAACCTGCGGGTATGGGAGCAGCCAGCAGTGCATCGGTGAACAGAGCATCAGAGAGGCGTGCTGCAGGGCCACCAGGCAGCAGTGACAGGGGAGCAAGCGAGCAGCTGCTTCTGGCCGTGCATGCTCCCAAACGCGGCGCAGTGGAAGTCTGGGAGATGACGCATGCCACCAGAGTGTGTAGCATCAAAATAGGCCCGGACTGCTGCATGCTCTCAACTGCCCCCGTGTTTGGCCGAGGGCAGCAGCAGCATCACAGGGAACACGTGCATGTGGAGCGCTCCAACCAGTGCTGGATGCTGGACTGCCAGAAGGGCCACCTGTGGAGCCTTGAGGAAGCAGTGATCGCTGTTTCCAATTGTAACCCATAGAGACTCTAACATCAGCATGCAGACATGAATCGTACTCTGATGAGTGTAAGCTTCGTCTGCTCTGAGTTATGATGTACAAGAGATGTGTGTATTTCCAGCTATGAATATTGATGTTGCTGGCTAGATCTGGAAACAGACAACATATTCTGAAACGTCACGAATGCACAGTATGAACGCATGCTTAAACAATTCGAATTGAATGCGAACGGCACCGGCAACAGTTGTGCAGAATGAGGTGTGTAGTGTAGATGGAAAGTTGCAGAAAGTTGCAGTCATTATTACTTCTTGAAGTCCTTTGGATCAATGGAAGGAAGGAAGGAAGGAAGATTACATCACTCCAGCCGCCTAGGGCTGATTGGATGAACTGGCAGCATCCAAATAATCAAAACAATCCATCACAAAATGTGCAACACCAACAATGTCCAACTGCCACATGAATTGCTGCATCGTCACAATGGCTGCACCAAACAGCCCAGGATATCTGTCCCGAACAGATTGCAAGGCAGGGCACTCAAACACAAGGTGGCGCTCATCCCCAATAACCTGCTGGGCACAACGCATGCACAAACGCTGGGGCCGGGGAATCCTTGCCCAGCGGCCCGAGACATTGGGCAGACTATGACAACCCATCCTGAACTTCAACAGTATACGCAAGCAACGGGCACTCAAAGGCTGCTGTAAGAGCTGGCAAGGGTGGCGCACACAAGCTGGCCTAGCAAACCATCTGTGATATGTACACAAGGTGGCATTGCTGGACGGGCAGGTCCTAGGGCAAATGTCAATGTCATCCCAAACCTGCAGTGCTTGCGCATCTAGCAGCTGCATCACAGCATCAACTTCCACAGGAACAAGGGTGTCAAACCGAATAACAAACTCATACCCAATCCGGCGCAAGCCCCGCATGAAGGCCCAAGCCCAATTCTTAACAGTACGGGTTATGGCATCCCAACAATCATCAAGGGCCACTTGCCTGTGAAAATTATTTGCAGGCAAGGCAGCCAAATTGTTCCAGAACTTGATAATGCGCCGCCACCACACACAATCAAGGGTCTGCTGATTCAACTCCTTAAGCAAGATGGCACCATGCACAGAGGTGGGGACGCCAGCAATGTCTCTCAGAATTTTCAGGTGAGAGGAGGCCAAGGCAGCCCGGCCCCGCCGGCTGTCGCCACCAGGAAGGCTGCGCAGGCCCCACACCTCACAACCGTAGGAGGCAGTCGGCGGCACACATGCATCATATAGGCGCAACAACAGGCCAGCTGACATGCTGCAATGCAACTTCCCATATTGCTGCCTGAGCTGTGCCCACGCACCCCACATGTTCCTGTGAAGCTTGCCAAAGGTGAGATTAATGCCTTGGGCACCATCAAAAAGGGCACCCAGGTACTCAAACTGCTGAACCCAATGTAAAGGCGCACCACCACAAAGCCATTGAAAAGGTCCTGGCAAACTTGAAGAGAAAACCACAATCTTTGTTTTGTCAACACTGATGACCATTCCCGTTTGTTCACAAAACTCAGCAGCTGCATCAATCAAGCGTTGCAAATGAGCAGGTGTGGTGGCGAGCAAAGCAAAGTCATCGGCATAGCCTAGATCTGGTACACAACTGCCAGGACGCAACTGCGGGCCAACCCCAGGGCACCTCTGCAGCAAGTGCCTGTGCAGGCCATCTGCAAACAAGCCAAACAGCGTTGGGCTAAGGGGGCAACCCTGCTTCAATCCTGTCTCAGAGGGCAAACTAGGACCCTTCCTGCTCCCAATCTTAATGGCAACCGTAGAATTGGCATACAAAGACTGAATGGCAGAGAGCAGGCGGCCATCAATGCCCAGGCGACGCAGACTCTCCCAGAGCAACACCCGATTCACTCTGTCATAAGCACCCTTCAGATCAAGAAAGCAACAATACAAGGGCTGCTTAGCATGGTTTTGCCGGTCGATAAAATGCTGCAAGGTGAATAGCTGGTGGGCCGTAGACAGTTTTGGCCTAAAGCCAGCCTGTGTGGCTGCACGCAATCCAGCCCCCTCTGTGTACTTCAGAATACGAGAATTCAATATGCCAGCATACAAGCGCATGATGGGCTCAGTAACGGCAATGGGTCTATAATTGAGCATGTCAAGCTTGCTGCCTTTCTTGTGCACAGGGGTGATCAGGCTACCATTCACAGAGGGTGGCACTTGCCCAGCCACAAATGCAGAGTTCAGCACAGCCACCAAAGCAGGCGCCAGGACATTTTCCGGAGGAGGCATGCCTGGCGCCCGCTCATCTTTTGCATACCGAAACAGCTCAGCTGGTAAACCTTGCACTCCGGTGGCACGACCATTGTGTAAACTTTTGAGCCCAGCAAGCACCTCCCCAAGAGAGATGGGTGCATTGAGAGCATCAACATGGGCAACAGGAGCACTGGGCTGGACAGGGAAAGACAAGTGGGGCAGCTCAGCAATGAGTGGCAACTGCAAGTTTGCAACCCGCTTGAGATAGCCAGCCCACAATTGCACTGGCTTGAGCTGCTCAGGTATATCAGACTGCTGAGACTTGAGCCGCTTCCAGAAGGCTCGGGGGTCACTGTGCAAATCATCAAGCAGGCGGCGCAGTTGTGCGAGCCGGTGAGCGCGCCGTTTGTGGCGGACGGTGTTGTGGTAGGCACGCTCCAGCGCGCGCACTTCGGCTGGATCGCCCCCGCACCGCGCGCGGGCGCGGACGTCCCGTTTAAGCTGGCGGCACTCCGAATCGAAGAAGGGCGCGTCGGCACGCGCCTTGCGCTGATGGCGCCCGGTGCGGGCCGGCATGCTGTTCGCGGCTGCGGCCTCCCGGATCCCCGCCTCCAGGGTCTGAAAGGCTGCATCAAGTTCCCCAGCCACAGCATGGCCTGTGCAGGCGTCAAGACTTGCACTGGCAACATTGCGCAAAGCAGCAGCATACGCATTCCTAGCACTGGGCTGCCATTTCACTCGTGACAATGGCGCCCCAATACATGGTAAGGGAACACTGGCAGCCACATTCACTTGCAACGTCATCTCAATAGGATGATGATCAGAGTCTTTTCTACCAGTATTCACAACAAGATGAGAAATCAAGGGGAGCGCATCAGCGGAAACGAGAACATGATCAGGTCTAGTTGCCTGAGTATGGGTTCTGGCCTTAAAGGTAGGCACTGCTTCAAGGTCTCCTAGCACTCTGCCAGAGCATATGAGCATGTCAGTTTCCTTGCAAAAATCTAACAGGCGCAGCCCATGAGCATTGACACCTTCATCAGTGCAGCCTCGAGTATTGCTGTCATCAGCGTCGGGCAAATTTGACACACGAGCATTGAAGTCTCCTGCCAGGATCACATTGCCCTGAGCACGAGCGGCAACAACTTCTGCACATAAGCCCGTAAATCGACTGGTCAGGTCCACAGTCTGCAATTGCCGGGAACCCGCTGGAGGCACATAGCTGGAGCCAATCAGCAGCGGTGTAGAGTCCCCCTCAAACTGCACTTTCACCCATAAGGCACTGTCAGTGTCTGACACCCAGTCTTGTGCGTGGTAATCACGGTGCTTCCGAACCGCAACAACAATGCCTTCACCCGCCTTGCCCTCTTCACTAGCAGCCGTGAAAGTCACAGAGTGGTGAGGCAAGATCGAGTCATCCCAGGTCAAGCAACGGGCCTCAGTCAGAAGTACAATATCGAACTGGTCAAGATAGGCTGCCGTGTCCCACAAGGATATTTTGCTAGCATGTAAGCCATTGACATTCCAGGACAATATACGCAGCGATAGGCGGCTGGAGACTTCCTAGCGGCGCACTGCTTCGGCGTAGGAGTCGGCGCGGCCGGGGGAGGAAGGCGCGGCCTGAGAGGGCCCGGCAGTGGCAGCACCCGGGGCGGCAGCGGCGCCCGGCGCGGCAGCCGGGGGAGGCCCAGGCACAGGCATGTGCTCACGCACGCGGTCGCCCTCCCGGACGAAGAGGCGCTCCTCGCGCCAGAAGGGCTGCTTGCCGGCTGTCTTCAGGGCGACATAGTGTGGGCGCATGCTGACGCGGATGCGCTGCTGCTGCGGGGTGAGGTCGGGATCCAGGAAAATCTGGCGCTGGCGCAGGGCTTTGCTGTGCTTGAGGGCAGCGTGCTTGGCTGCCACGCCGCTGAAGCTGATGAGCACGGGGCGCGGCTTGGTGAGCGTGGCGCTGGGGGCACCGAGGCGGCGAGCTTCGCTGACAACAGCAGGGGGGCCGCTGTTGCTGTCAAACAGCGCTGCCACGCGGGCTGAGACATTCTCTGTGTTGTCCTCTGCCAGACCATGGCAGATCAGGTTGGCACTCCTGGCTTGGCGGGCCTGAGACTCCACCACAGACTCCAGATGGTGCACTTTGTTCACCACTGCTTCATCGTTGGAGGCGGCTCTGGTCTGCGTGTCCTTGGCCAGCTCAGCGCGCAGGAGAGGCAGCAGCTCTGCCTTCAGCTCAGCCACCACCTCATCCTTCAGCTCGGTTTTCAGCTCTGCCTTGAGCTCTGCCTTCAGCTGAGGGAAGAGGGCCCCAAATTTCTCGTCCAGCTTACTGTCAAGCTTGCTTTCCAGGCCGTGGATCATAGACTCGACCTTTGCAAGAAGGAGATCGTGGAGGGGCGGCTCCATCTCCTCATCTGACTGCCCTGGGCTGCCCTGCGCTGGGCGCTTCGACTGACTTCTGGTTCCCTGACTCATCGCAGCAAGATCGCAGATCAAGAAAGCTAGAAGGAAGAAGGGAAGGGCCAAAATCCCTGAATGGTAGGGTGTTTATGTCAATAATGATAGGGTTCCACATTCTTCAAAACGATGACAGCTGCTCTTTTTCACAGATTGCACATGATAAATTGTTGAGCTGAAAGGCCGCCGAATTCTTAGACTCTCTTTTCCTTGATCTGGATCTAATTACTTTTTAAGAAACATGCGTCGCAGTCAAGCCCCATCCAATACGTCTGCACCGCGCAGTGGCACCACAGTAGAGATAGGGGAGAAGTCAATCGCCACTCAAGCACCGGTAATGAAGAGAAGATGCCTTGCGATCCCCTCAGTGAGCAAGAATGTACCGATTGGAGGAGCATCACAAGCTTTGAAACAGTCCAAGGAGAACCATGTCAGTTGGCCAGCAGTGGCTGAATCAGTCTCAGTGCAGTACTTCACTGTCCTGTACACAAAAAAGGTGCCAAACAAGGTATTTTCACGCGCTCTGTTGAGTACAATATTGCATGGATAACATAGCTGCAAGACCCTGCATGTCAGATCCTGGACACGTTGATGCCTGAAATTTAAGAAGGTGTTGCAGAAACGGAAAAACAAGTCTTTTGCTGATGGGATTCTCGAAGTGAAGGAAGGCAGCAGCTGCACGCTGTACGATGAGGTATGCTCTGAATCTCTTTTGGCAGGGTCAAATGCTGCTTGTGCAATTCAGATGTCAGCACATCCTCACAATAGTGTGATTCTTGCAGGAAGGGAAGGTAATTGCTAAGGGGGACGTCAAGGGCTGCAAGGATATGCCTGAAGGGGCAGAAATTCCTCTAGGTACAATGCTTCTCCATGTCATGCATGTCCCGCTGAGTCCAGTGGATCTGATGGATGACATCAATGCAGCGGCTGATGACTCGCAGGAAATTGGGATCTGGAAGTTGACCAGCAGATTGACGCAGAGCATTTCAGGTGTCCATTGCTTGCTTGCCATAACAGGAATCTGATCACATGCATTCTCTATGTCGCATCATATGATGCATGTCGTTCAACCTCCACTGATGAATGTGTAATTTGCCGCTGCTGCATGCGTCCCTACAATGATTCCCGACACTTACATGCAGGTCTGGTCAATGCTTCCTGAAGGGCAGCGTTCCAGAAGCAGGAGTCCTGCAGCCACCAGCAGCAAATGCATCAGTCGCATTCCAAGCGCCAGGGAGGCAGGGCAGCCGGCATGTGCCAGCATGCATGCCCAGCACTTCGCAGAAGGTGGCTTCTTTCCTGCATGACCCCCATGCACTGGATGCCCTCGTCCTCAACATGCAGCAGTGGCAAGGAGGCAAGGTGACTCACACCTCTTTCTCCCTCTTGACCTTCTGCAGCAGCGTGACATATGCCTGCTTTATTTGCGGTGCCATGTGTGCGCAGCATGCTGAATAAGAGATTACACATGCATGGGGCAGGTGCAGGGGTTGGCAAGGTGACTCACACCCCCTTTCTGCCTCTGACCTTCTCCAGCAGCATGATAGTGTCCTGCTTTTCTGCATTGCTATTTGTGTGCAACATGCCGACTAAGATATCACACATGCAGGTGCAGGGGGTGGCTCCCGTGGTGGTGGACCCTTACCTGGGCAGGCACCTGCGGCCGCACCAGCGTGAGGGCCTGCAGTTTCTGTATGAGTGTGTCATGGGCCTGCGCGAGTCCGGCCGCTTTGGAGCCGTCCTGGCAGATGACATGGGCCTGGGGTCAGTATTTTCCTTCTGTGGCAGAATTGAGCCATGGGACATGATGACTCAGAGAGAGATGCTCACGATTTACATGGCATGTTCATGTGTCTTGATTCTCATGGAGACATGTGGTGGTGCAGGAAGACCCTGCAGGTGATCAGTCTCATCTGGACACTGCTGCGGCAAGGACCTTCTGGGAAACCGGCTGTGAAGCGAGTCATTGTAGTGACACCATGCTCCCTCACGCAGGTAGGAGTGTGACTCTCATATCTGTTTGCATGCATGCACCTTTTAGGTAGCAAGAATGGTGCAAGACTCAGCTGGTGCATCTCCATGCGCAGAACTGGGCAGACGAGATCAAAAAGTGGCTGGGCAACGAGCGTATTAAAGCCCTCGTGCTGCAAGCAGGACCGGAAGCAAAGGGGCAGGTACGTTGTTTCGGCTTGCACATGTCCCCTTCAATACCCGCCTTCAATACCAATCACATTTCTCCATGCATGACTGCATAGCTTAACAAGACCTGTGGAGCCTTTGATGCCTGCAATGTACTAGCATCTCATTGTACAATATGAGCGGCACTCCCAAATGCAGAGGCAAGGCACAGATGCAGGGCGGTTGCATCCACATCTTTGGAGCTATCATGCATGATGTCAGGCCGACCGTTACAAGCCATGCATGCTGGCAGGTGCTGGACTTCAAGGCGGGCAATGTGTGGAAAGTGATGGTGGCATCCTATGAGACTCTGCGCAAGCACACGGATGCGCTGGCGGGCTGTGTGGACCTTCTGGTGTGCGATGAAGGCCATAGGCTGAAGGCGGCGGCCGGCAGCAAGACCATCTCGGCTCTGCTGGCCCTGCGCTGCCCCCGCCGCATTCTCGTCACTGGCACGCCCCTGCAGAACAACCTGGACGAGTTCTTTGGTGAGCCCCCATCCCTTCATGGCAGCTACATGTTTTCTGAGGACCCAATGCGCATCCTTTGCCGCACCAATCCTGTCAGGAAGTAGTGACTTGATCAGTATTAGTCACACTGAGATATCACATGAGGCATGGCCCAAGCAATGCACTACACATTACAACTTCGTCAGGCATCCTGCTGCAGCATCCTTTAAGGAATGACAGAACCAAGCTGAGCTCGTCAGACATGTCACAGTTGTAGACCTGCATGCAAAGATCCACATCTGACATCTACTCAGATCCAGAAGGGGCTGCCCTGATGTAGCCAGAGCTTTAAGCCTTGTCATGTTCCAAATTGTCTTAATTTTGTGACCTAAGTCATGGACGAAGGGCCGACATGACGCAAAAATGATGCATGTGTGTGCAGCGCTGATCAACTTCGTCAACCCGGACCTGCTGGGCTCGATGGGCACCTTCCGGCGCATCTTTGGGGACCCGATCTCACGCTCGCGCGACCGCGACTCCACACCGGAGGAGGTGGCGCTCGGGCATCAGCGCTCGGCAGAGCTGAGCCGCCGTGTGGACGCCTTCATGCTGCGCCGCACCAAGGAGATCAACGCGGCGTACCTCCCGCCTCTGCACTCCTTCGTCGTCTTCTGCCCGCCCTCCCCGCTGCAGGTGTGCTGGCGCGTGCATTCCCATCACTTTCATCAGCATGTCATCTTCATGCCTTCAGTAAGGATCTAGGCAGCATGCATGACGTTGTTGCATGCTACATTCAGGAGGGGATTATATCTCTTGAAGCATGGCAATACGAATGGTGATGGAGGAAGCTTGCTCCACAGAAGATTGACCCCACATGTTCTACACCTGATGTTTCCTGTACCTTCCGTTTACTCATTGCTTGGGCTAAAAACGCCAGTATGTCTCTTCAGGTGGCGCTGTACAAGCAGCTGGTGCGCTCCAACATGGTGACATCCCTGCTGACATCAGCGGGCGGCTGCAGCGAAGGCAGCGCGCTGTCATGCATCATGGCCATGCGTAAGCTGTGCAACCACCCGGACATGCTCTTCGTCGGGGACGACATGGAGGCCGCCGGTCTTGAGGCGGACCTGCACCCCCTGTACCCCGCTGGATACCAGCTCGGCCAGCCACAGCACTCTGGTGAGCCCACCCTTCATCCACTCCTTGTGCATGGGCTGATCTGCAACACAATATCCAGCACTGACATCCAAGTAAAGCAGAAGAGCGGTGCTTGGCTTTGTGCGCATCATTAGGGGTATGTTTGCTCCTTCTGAGTGCTCAACTGGTATGGAAGGTAGGCCTGTTTCGAGGGCCTTCAAGTATGGCTTTGCAATTGTCCTGTTGCAGGGAAGATGCAGGTCTTGGAAGGGCTGCTGGCACATGTCCTGGGAGGCAAGGCAGGTGAGCGGGTGGTGGTGGTTTCCAACAGCACCAAGACGCTGGACCGGGTGTCGGCAGTGTGCGACAGCCGCCGCTGGACGACTGTGCGCATCTGCGGAGACGTCAATGCCGCCAAACGCCAGGACATCGTCACCGCCTTCAACCGCCACAACGTTGGCCAGGTCCCCGTTCTAACCTCTGCACAGTTGACTACACTGACAATCGCAGCCTTGTTTGCATGTTTGCTTTTCAGCTTGTGCAGGCACTCATGGTTGGTTTTAGAGCAGATCCCCTTTGTGCTGCCTGTGTCCTAGGCAGGGTATCACGTGTTTATGTTTCACTAGGACATCTTTATTGTCCTGCAGGGTCTCAAGAGCGTTTGTACATGCTCTGCACTTGCAGATTTATTTGATAAATATTTTAGAGGTGGCATGTCGCTTATGGGGATCATGGGTTGGTCATGTGATAATGTAATCTGCTTACTGAAGGCCCGAGGATCACATCATGTCAGCGGTGTCATGCAGGTGCTGCTGCTTTCGGCAAAGGCCGGGGGCGCGGGCCTCAACCTGATCGGCGCCAATCGCCTTGTCCTCTTTGACACAGACTGGAACCCCGCCACAGACCTGCAGGTGATCTACATGCCTGCACAGTTTTCGCAGAACATGTGAGGGAATTTTCTGGTGTATCTTCATCGACCTTGATCTCTGCTCTCTCGTCTTCTTGCTCTGTGGTTGAAGGTATCTAAGATGTATCAGTGACTGTGGGGCAGGCAATGGCGCGCATCTGGAGGGACGGCCAGACAAAGCCCTGCACCATCTACCGGCTGCTCACGACAGGCGCCATCGATGAGAAGATGTACCAGAGGCAGCTCATGAAGGTGCTGCATTCTGCCCCACTACGCTGTTTTGATTCATTTCATGCCACTTCAATGTGGACGTGCATTCTTTTAAAAAACTGGGCATCCTCTGGTGCGTGTGGCTTTTGAATCAGCACTAGTCCAAGAACTCAGTGGAGGCTATTTAGAGTGTTTCTCCTATGGTCTCTCCTTGCAGCACTGATTTATGGTATTGAGTAATATACAGGGTGAGCTGGCGGATGCGATGGAGCAGGCCAGCAAGCAGAAGGGGCCTTCGTTCACGCGTGAGGAGCTGAGGGCACTGTTCTCCCTCAACACATCGACTTCCTGTGAGACCGCTGTCATCATGCGCAACTCTGCCAGCGCCCAGGACTGGCTGGTGCGGCGCTATGTGCTGATCATCTGCTGTCAAGGCCCCCGCCCTTGCATCATAAAGAGAAAGAGATATGCACACATCAAAGCAGTGCTAGGGAAAAAAGAGCGCCATGCATGGATTGCAACTTGTGCACCTGCATGGCAGCCCTTCCCCTTATTTTGATGCTCGGTCTGCCATCAAGAATTTCTGTGTCTCTTTACTTAACTTTGGGAGAAGAGCGCCGTGCATGCAAGTGTCCTGTGTGAGGAAGAAGCACCTTAGCCCATTTGTGCTTGGAGGTCACAATATCTTCAAGTCACGGTGCTGATCTGTTTTGTGCCGGGCAGGATGTGAAGGACAGTCTGGATGATGAGCCTCTGAAGGCATGTGTGGCAAGCGGAAACATCAGCTATGTGAGGAAGATCGCCAACGAGCAGGACTTTCTGAAGGACATAGAGCAGCCGCGCGAAGCTACGCCTCCAGCTTCTGATGATGCAGCAGGCGGCAGCTGTCAAAGCTCAGAGGATGGTGTAGCTCTGGACAGGGACACAGCAGACACAGCAGAGCCTCAGCCGGTCAATGGTGCCTTCCATGATGATGTGGATTGCTTGGAACTAGAATTGTGAGTGGCATCATGATGGTCAGAGGCAGCCTTGCCAGGAGTCATCAGCACAGTCTCGAGAAGGTCGCACAATCGAGGATAGGAAAGTGGCTCTTCCATCGCCTCAGAGAGATCACAATCGTGATCATGATTATCGCAAGCATATGTGGATCAATATTGAATTTGATTGTAATAGCACAGAAAGAATGTCTTATTGCAGTTACTATTTAGTAAATTGCTTGCGTTGTTGCTGTCAGCCTTGTCTTTGCATGCGGTCATCTTTAGAGCTTGCAGGGTGCAGGTTGCATCCCATCTCCAGTGTGATTTTGCAGTGCAGAATTTGCACCTCAAAGAGAAGGAAAGGAAGTTTCACATCAACTCCAGTCCCCTTGACCGGGAAGGAAGGAAGAGAATCACACCCCGACAAGGAAGAGACGAACAAGAATCGAAAGGAAGTCACGTTTCAGGAAGCTGCCCCCGAAGCGATGCGAATGGCCTTGATATCGACCACTCATTTGTGTCCAACGTTGCAACTTGTGACAACGACAAGCGCAAAAATACTTCATTTGCGATTTGCATTGTAAGTTCTGCATCACTACAGCACACTGAAATGCTGAGCAACATGCAAACGTTCAGGCTGCCGAGCCCAGCAGTCTGCCGTCCATCACGAACACAGGTCACCGTGCGTGCAAGCACAGCTACTGCAGCTCCAATCAACCCGAACATTCAAAAAGATAACGAAAAGGTGGTCGACACGGTACTTACCTCTTCAGTGGGCAAGCAGGTAAGGCGCACCCTGTCCGGCATCGCCTCTGAAAACGACTGACGTAATCAACGTAATGATTTCTTGATTGTGTCACCTCAAGTTTTGCGTTTCTAAATCTCATCGAATGTCAAACTTCGCTCACAGGTGGCGTACTGTCGCTGCTGGAGGAGTGGGACGGTGAGCGCTGGCACTATATGCTGTTGCTCAAAAACTCTTTTCTATCTAAATATTCCTTGAGATTGATTCAGAAATTAAAACTAATATGTTCTTCTGACGGATCTCCTGAGTAGTTGTCATTGCTGGGACAGTTTCCCAAGTGCAACGGAGCCCATGTGGCCTTCAACAAGGAGACAGGGGACAACGTGGGACCGCTCCTGATCAAGAAGGACGATTGATGAAGTCACAGATGGGTGTGATGCAGCCTGAAAATTTTCTATCAAATCCGTCAGGCAAAAGCAACTGTGCTGCTCGAGGAGAACCGAACATTCTGGACTGAGGGGAGATTTGTAGAGCAGAGAGAGGCCCATTGGCAGAACACGGTTCTCAAAAGCCATCATTTGGCTACAGGCAAATATGCTCAGTATCTATCCTGCGCAAAATGCGCCCAGTGTCACATTGGACAGGAAGGTTTTTTTTTTGCCGGTGCTATGGCCTACGGGCCTGCCCATTAAGGCTTGAGGAAACAGCATTGGTAGCATCAAGCTGTCTGTACACTGCATAGACTCAAGCATGAGGTATTCCCCTCCTGTTATTGGGTCATGGGCGCACTTTTCAAGCGTGTTGTCAAGTTGAAAAGCTGATTGCAATAGTTTATGATGAACATCGATATCGCAAGGCAGTGTCACAGATTATCTGTGGCAGATTCAAGAATGAAGATTGCGTGGACACTGTTACTTCCAGACTGCTTGTATCTCAGGTTGTGACTCATTACACAGAAGTCGATATATTGGAGTATAGTATGGTCAATGCTCCTACTCTCACACAGGGCGCTCTAATGATGTCTTCAACTGGCATGCACACAGACAACTCTCTCTCTCTCTCTCTCTCTCTCTATCTCCTATGCCCTGCTAAATCCCTGCGAAGTCTCTGCCTCCAAAGTTCTTCTACTGCAAAAACCACCACATCAGCCTGTCTTGACGGCTGTGGGGATGCCGTAGCACACCGGCGCAGCCCCGATCAAGTGCGGCAGGCGGCACACGCTGCGGCTGACTGCAACGCTGCCGCTGATACACATGCTGCCAGCTTTGCCATCCTCATTTGGCGCAGATGCTGACTCAGCATCGGCAGGCAGCCACTTCTCAAGCAGCGCCATGGCAAAGCGGTCTATGTCGCGATCCGTCACGTCCCACAGGTTTGCCACGGCTGTAGGGCATCCTGCACATGCGAAAGATATTCCCCCTCCACGTCTGCATCTATGCTAATCAACCTTTACATGCACAAGCCATGACGCTTGTTTGTGAGGTGTTCCTCAGGCTGCTGGTCCCACAAGGCAGAGCAACAAATGGCAGAGCTGCCAAACGCTGCTCTGCCCTGGCAGTCATAGCAAGACCTGTAAGAGATGAAAGAAGAATCTAAAGAACATCAAAGTATTCATGGCAGCCTTGACCTGCAGCTTGTCTGCAGACACACCTTGCCTTTTGGAAAGAATCAACCAAGGTAGTAAAATTTCTAGGGCAAAGAATTTGTGGGAAAGGCAGGTGGCGGGGGGGCACCAGCGAGCAGGTAGGCGAGGACTGGGCCGGAGGGGTCGTAGGCGCCGGCGCGGCAGAGGCGGCCGGAGGAGCACCCCATGAGCAGCGACGCGGAGCAGCGCGGCAGCCGACGCAGAACGTGCGGCGGCAGGTGCTGCTGGCCGCCGCCGTGGCCGCAGAACACAAACAGCTGGCGCTGAGTCAGCGCGGTCGCCAGCTCAGCGCCCGGCAGCCCCGGCGCTCCCACGCTGCCCTGTCCAGCGAAATGCAACCTCGCCTTGTCAACTTTAAATCCACTTTTGAAATTGCAAATCGCAGTTTGCTTGAGCAGTAGAGGCCATGATAACATATCCGTACTGGGCATGTCTTGTGCCGACAGAGACATGACAGAGAAAGTTTTGATGTATGGTTGCCTGCTAGGGCAGACCTGCCAGCCGTGCTGCTGCTGGAAGAGTTGCTGGAAGGTGGACTGCGTGGAGGCCAGGTCTCCAGAGGGGTTCAGCATGAACACAGTGTCGTGCACATCCACACTGCTCAGCGGCCCGCAGCTGGCTGGCTGCCCTGCAGACTGCGCCTCGGAATAGGCCTGCTCTGAGGCCCCTGAGCTGTCGGCAGATGGGCTGCAGCCACGAGCAGCGATTGCGCATGCGCACGCCAATGAAGGGGCCCTGTACATCCTGTAACATCCCATACACAGCGCTATAAATCCTCCCACCAACCAGAACCAGAAAGGGCCTGAAACATGCAGATTTTCTCCATGAGCTTTACAAAGTACATTGCTTCCCACTTGCAGACGAAATCTCTGCATTTTATTGCTATCAATGGGGGCATGTGGAGGAGGCACCTGTGCCTCTGCAGCGCAGGCAGGCTCTCCCAGGGCAGGCTCTGCAGCTCCTCATCCAGGATGAGCAGCACAGGGCCGCGCTCGGCCCCTTTGCTGCCCCCCGCAGACTCCTTGCCAGGCCCCACCAGGCCGCCACTGCCCAGCGCCAGCGCTCGCATGCGCGCCCCCAGGTCCCCCACCTCCCCCTCCAGCTCGCCCAAATCAGGTGCCCGGTGGATCACGAACGGCGCTGCGCTCCTGCGGGTGGTCCCCTTCCCTGCGGAGGCCTCTGCCTCATCCCCCGCCTCTGCTGCACTGCCGGCGTCCATCCCCAAGGAGGCCTGCCTCCTGGTGCTCTTTCCCGCGGTGGCAGCGCCGGCCTTCTTCCTGGCGGCTGTCCGCGGCTGCACCGCAGGCGTCTCCGGCACCGGGGCGGGTTGCGCGCTCGCAGCAAAGCTCACGCGGCTTCTGCCGCGCGTGCGCTTCCCGGCGTCCGGCGGCGCCTCATACTGCACGTTGCCGGGCGGCCGAGGCCGCAGCGGCGGCACGGCTGTCGGCGGCAGCCGGCTCGCCGCGGCTATGGGCGGTAACTGCGCTCCTTGCGCGCTCGCGGCCGGCGTCTGCATCGCGGCGAAGCGGCTGCCCTGCCGCGCGGTTCTCGGTTGCGCGGGCGTTGCAACGGCTGCGTTCTCATCTCCGCCAGCCCGTGAAATTTTCACAGCAGCGGGTGTCTTTGCTGGCGGAGGGTCATGGCTGCCGGTGTCCCTCGAGCGGCTGAGCCTTAGGCCGCGCGTGCTCGTGCCTGCCGGCTTTGCCGCCTCTGGCGCATCCTCGTCAGAGTCTGTCTCCTCCACTGCATCGCTGTCGCTTGCCGAGGCTACTTCCTTTGCACTTGCCCTCGTGGCTTTCGGCAACGCCGGGGGCCGGGCTGCCGCGGCGCGGCCGCTCTTTCGCGGGGCCGCCCGGAGGGTGCACCAGGCCTCGTCCTGCGCCACTGCCCACAGAGAACCTCTGTCACCATCCGCCTCTGCGACACAGCTCCTGGACACGCAGTCTGCCTCTTCTAGCTCTGCTGCCTTGGGTGCTGCCCTGCCTCGCCTGGCTTTCTGGGCGGGGGCCTGCTTCCTCCCCCTGCCGGGCGGGGCTGCCGCAGTGTTGCTGATGTCTGTCAGGGCTGAGCTCAGGCTGAGGCCGCCCATAACACTGCAAATGGAGTCGCCGTCACCAGGATTACCGGCTCTCAATGCCTCAGCCGCCCGCCTGTCCACAGCACATTCATCATCTTTACAGAATGTTGATGCACATGGTCTTCCCAGTGGACACGGCTGTTAATAGGAAGAAGGTCAGATTCACATCAAGCCAGCATTTTCAGACACCACTGATACGAAATATTCTCCCAGCGGACATGGCTGATGGAGAACAGGAGCACACCTGATCCCTCTGGCCATCTCCGATGCGGCGGTCTCAGGCTCACAGCAGCCCAGCAGGCGGCACAGCTGCTGCGCAGCCGCCAGCAGCTGGTCTGAGTCCAGGGCGTCCTGTGCCTGGAAAATGGCTGTGAAAACTTGTCGCAGCGCCGGTGGCCAGCTGCTACCGGGCCCTGAGGCTTGCAGGCTGGGCGCCAGTCGCTCAGCCTCCACGAGCACCGCTGCAGCGAGTGGCTGCGGCTGTGGCTGTCCCAGCAGCATGCACCTGCGCAATGACAGACTCATTCATAGGCGAAAACGCCAGTTACATTGGAAGCCTTGCACACTTTAAGTTGGGCCCTTCACATCACAGCAGCTTTCCCAGATATGCCTCATATAATAAAGATTCTGGACAACTGATAGGAGGCATCTTTGGCACGATGACTTCTTTTATCACCAAAGATAAGCTCGTGCATAAGATGACATGCTATGGCGTTCCAACTAGACAGGTAGAGAGGAAACCAAGTGCTCACATCCAGGGGCCCAGGCAGGCTTGCAGGTGCAGCAGGAGCCGCTTCAGGCGCTCATCCAATGCCAGGCGGGCGCGCCACCAGGCGGCCTTCTGCGCCTTCGTGTCCCGATCCCCTTGCCCTTGCATGCTGGCCGCGCTGTCCTCCAGAATTGCCTCCAGCTCCTCTGCCGCGCTCACACCCTCCACCTGCTCGCACACACCTCTTCCGACTCTCCACAACTGTGCATCATGCTTGGATGCAGGTGATGATTTAATTGTCCATGTTCTGTCTCTCGATGAAGTGTTATCAGTGCACCTTTGCCATAGCCAGCCCTATCTTTCACCTGTTCCAGCTGTGCATGCTGCAATAGGATGCCCTGTCTACCCGCCTGCAAGAGAGATACTTGTACTATGGCTATGACATTCCTGATTCTACCTACCGCCATGATTCCATAGATTATGACACCTTGAGCATTGTCAGAACGGCAGGGCAATGGTCTGAAGTGCCAGGGAAGAAGGTGGCACCGGTTGCGTGGCTGGGAACTCCACGATGATGGGTATTGCGCCGATCTCGCAGCGGCTCAGCAGCCATCGCCCAGGGCGCGTTGGATGCACGCTGATCGAGGACACAGGAGTGCCTGCCAGGAGATGACCCAGGCATGCATCCATGTGCCGCCTGGCCTCCTCCTGTGCACAACAACAAGCATTCACGCCCGAACGCGCTGTTGCATATTGGTGCAGCATGGTCTGATGCCTTAAGAGATAATACTGTAATTCGCCTATATTTGTAACACGCATGCTACAGCGAGTGATACCACATCATTCTCTCTATTGGCATCCTGGCAACAGCACACAATACTTTTTACTACCTGTGTGCTAGGGATGCACACCTCCAAATATTGCAGCAGGCCAGCGGGGGACTGCCCAGACGCCACGTCAGCGAGCAGCCGCCGCAGCCGCGCGTCATCAAATGCGTCCGGCCGCAGCGCCGCGCGCACCCGGCCCATGGCGGCCAGGTGGGCGGCGTCAGGGGGCGTTCCACGCCTGCGCTGGCCGCTACGCAGCTTCGAGTCAGCTATAGCGGCGTGCTGGGCGCCGATAGACGCGCCAAAAGAGGCGTGCAGGAACAGCGCGGCTGCATGCAGCAGCTGCAGTCGGCCGCACGCCACAGACAGCAAGCCCGCCACCTTCCTGCAGTCGCATTGGAGACCATTCGGAAAAATAACATTGCATTCTTGGTCACCAGGCATCTGCCCTCTATCGTAAGCAGTTTTCACAATGCCCTGCTTGACAGTAAGGGTCTCTCCAATGAATATTGGAGTCCAGATGATATGCTGAAGTGGGGCAGGGGAGCACCTTGACAAGCCTGGGACGTGGCGGGAGAGCAGGTAGGCCTCCACCAGGAGCACGAGCTGCTGCAGGGCATCTGCATCGCAGCCAGGAGGCTCAGCTGCGGCTTGCGCCGGCTTGGCAGCCGCCGCAGCCGCACCCTTCCTTCCTCGGCCCCTCCTGCTCACCGACTCGACTGCTGCAGGGCGCAAGTCCTCTGCTGCACCCTGGCTGCCCCACACAGAGGCCTCCTGGGTATTCTCTGCCCGCTGCCTCTCCAGCAGCAACGCCTTCTGATAGCTGGCGGCGGCCGTCTGCAGGGGGAATGCCTCGCTGGGGTCCGGCCCATAGCTAGCACAGGCCTCACCAGCCGCATCGAGGTGGCTCCCCGCAGCAGCTAGATCCCCCAACACAGCCTGGCACGCCGCCTGCTGCACCCGCACCCCCGCCACGAGCGCAGTCAGCGGCCACCGGCACTCACAGAATCCCGCTGACTCACCCTCCTCGCCCCTGCCCTTGCCCTTCCCCCTGGTTCCCCTGCCCTGCCGTCCGCTGCATCTCTTCTGTACGCCGCTTTCTCTGCCTCCATCACCGCTGCATGCACCCTCGAGTGCCCGCAGCGCGTGCTCGGCAGCTGCATGGTAGTGCTCCAGCGCCTGTTCTGGCGCGCCCTGCCGCTGGGAGCCACCGCCCCTGACCCGCGCCAGCTCCGCTCGCATCAGCGCTGCAGCCTGGCTGGGTCCGCCTGTGTCCAGTGCCTCCACAGCGGCTGAGGCGCAATCCAGGTGGCTGTTGGCCTCCGGCCACTGGTGCTGTTTGGCGTGAACATGCGCGAGCCTTGCTGCAAAGGCCGCCAGTGTCGTGCTGGCCTCTGCTCCCTCGGACTGCAGGGATCACCACACGCCTTCATAACTTGGAAAAATATGTGCTGATGTGATGCCATAGGATGCAGTAACTGGCCTGGATTTGGTCCCCTTGTGAGAAGTGAACAGGCAATCACCTGGCTGCAAGAGCCAAGCAAATGAGATGCACCAAAGATTATAAGGCATGTAGCCCTCATCACAGATGCATAAAGTCTAGATGTTGCTGAAGATCAGCTCACCATGCACAAGCCTTCCTTGAAGGCATGCAGGGCGTCGTCAAAGGCCCCCATGCCCTCGTACAGGTCCCCGCACTGCAGCAGGCACCCCAGATACAGCCACAGCGCCTGCCACTGCCCTGCAAACGCCTGGCCGCTGCCATTGCCTGCACGGCAAATGCCATTTGCATTTGGCTCAAACTACCCATTTATTCTTTCTCATTGCAGTAGAGCTACTGACAGGTGATTGATATAATGCAGCTGTTGAAGCATCATCCTATCGAGCATAGGATACGGCAAGTAAAGCACCTGCCGTGGGAGCGTCCCCGGTCGGCATGGCAATGGCATTTGTCAAGCGGAGTGCCTCTGTGGCGTCGTGCACACCTCCCACCATGTCACCTGCAGAGTTGCCTGACAATGTTTGAACCCAGCATCACACCGTACAGAGCGTGCAATCTCCTATACAAGTCATAAGCCACACTCGACATAGCACTTCCAAGGCATTGAGCGTACCTTCTCTGTGGGCCTGGGCGGCAGCAAGTAGGTGCAGCAACCCCCGCTGCAAGCTCGCACCCGGGCCCTTGCTCAGCTTCGCAGCCGCATCAGCCGCGATCTGTCTCAGCTCCTCAGTGCTGGGTTGTGCCGTCCCATCCCCACCCTCGGCGATGCTCGCCAGCGAGAGCGGGTGACCGGACATGCTCTCACCAAAGCATGCCTGCAGCAGCGAGGGGCGCGCATGCGGGGCAAGTAGAAAGCCCATCGCACAGCCTGCCGGCGAGTTGGCCAGTGCCGAGAGCGCAGCGTCGCTGAGGCTGTCCTGGTGAGCTCTGGCGGCTGTGACAAGCGCACAGCTCAGCTGCTGCTGCTCCTTGGCGCTGCCCTGAAGCGCTGACATGTATCGCAGCTCCATCATCATCTGCAGCAGGTCGTCTGATGACACGCCCTCCGGCTCTGCACTGCATTCTTCTGCTGTAGCAACCGCACTGCTAAAACAGGCGGATAGCCTCTCCACAGCTCGGCCCCGGGCTTCCTTCGCCCTCGTCCATTCAGCCTTCTCGCCCACATGCGCGCTATCCGAGCATTCGACGTCGGCGGCCGATGAGCTGGCAGTGCTGCTGGACGTACGCCGCGCGGCGGCCGCCAAATGGAGCGCCAGCATGGCGTGGACTGCCGCGCTGTCCAACAGTGTTGCCTCATCGCCATGCGGCTGCAGCAGCTCATCGGCTTCTTCCAGGTCTGCTGCGACAGAGTCGGCAACATCGGCGTCCGATGAGCTCTGCGCGGCGCGGCAGAGGCGGCAGCGCGCGCAAAAGAGGAGCGCTGCTGCGTGCTGTGCTGGGTCCGAGCTTGGCGGGTGCATGGCTTTCACCAGAGCTGTCAGGCCCCGCTCCGCCTCCTGCCAGCACATGCCGGCACCTGCAGGCCCCTCTGCTTCCAGCTGCATCCACTCGCTCACCTCCTCCCTAACCACTGCTTCCAGCATGCCTGCCGGAAGGGCCAGTCCCTGTACACCTGAGACTTCCAGCCAGGCTGAGAGCAAAGCGGCAGTGGTGTCTGACGGCTTGCTGCGGTGGCGAGGCTGCTGTTGGGGCTCGCAGGGAGCCACCATGGAAGTCACCATGGAGGTCAGGCTGGGCAGCTGATCAGGTGCATGGTCACCGCTGAGCGCTGCAGAGCGGATGCTAACAGCTGCGTGCACCAGGGGCTGCAGCAGGGGGCCCGAGGCGAGGCCCAGCTCTGCCCACAGGTTGAGGCAGCCCGCCAGGATGTGCAGCCCCTTACGCGCATCACCCAGGTCTGCCATGCACCGAGCCAGTGCAGCGGCCCTCCTTGCTGCCACTCCCGCTCGCTCCTCTGACGCCTGCATAATACAGCAAATCAGTGAGCAACATGCTGTGTCATTGAGATGTGAACATGCTGCTTATGAACTCAGGCATTGTGTGGATCCGGTAATTACCTTGTCGCCTGACGCAGCTTTAGCTGCCAACACAGCAGCGACGGCAGCCTCAAGCGCCACACAGAAAGGCTCCTGGGCCTCTGAATGTCTGCCTGCAGCCGACAAGTCGTGTCCGACAGCGCTCATGGCAGATGACACCCACGTCAGCTCATCCTCCTTCAGCAGCAGCCCATCCCCACCGCGACCCTTGCTTTCATTCCTGTCCCTGCAATGAATGCCATTTCTCAGTGGTGATGATTTTCTATCTATCAGGTAGCAGTCCACCCCTTTTTCTAAACGCGCATGCTTCCCCAGAAAGGGATGATGCATGGCCATTAAGAGGCAGATGTTCACGAAGGCATGGACACATGGACCGATAGATCTTCATAGCATGACTCACATGTGCAGAAAGTGGCTGCAGGCTGGCCACATGATGCTGAAGCTCTGGATGCTGCACACATCGCCATTGCCAACGAGCGCGGCGCACTTGCTGCGCAGCTGAGCAGCGCAGACCAGCGCACACGCAGCAGAGTAGGCATGCATGGCCAGGAATGCATCGGCCTGCTGCCCAGAAGCAGCATCGGCTGCGGCTGCAGCTGTGAGAATGGGTCCAACTGCCTCAAGGCCTGCACATACAGTAACACACCTTCTTGTTATGAATGTCTCTTAGTAGACACACAACATGGGCAGGTTGGATTGCCCTTCTGGTGATATGGCAAATGTTGAGGCAAACCCCACTGCCCACCTGACGCCACAGTACACGCAAGCTCGCCATCTGCTGCTTGTGTGATACTCTGGAACATAGCGTCCTGGCTCACGGTCTTGCGAAGGAAGCTGACAGCGCGCACTGCTCCTGCGAGGAGGCGATGTGTGCCTTCCCTCACTTCTGACTGCAAGCTCTCGAGGGCCAGCACACCTCTCCTCAGTGTTGAGAGCTCAGTACCTGTGCAAGCCAGAGCCTAATCAACAAACCCCAAATCGGTACACATGCTTGTAGTTTCCAGTTGATTTTTGACAAAGTCCTCAACTTGTGCCTTGTGATATTGATATACCTGGGGAGCCGTCAGCGGACAGAATGTTCAGAGCACCAACATACAGCTCCAGCAATCCTCTAAGCGTCCCATCCTCTACCCTGGAGCACAGAAACACAGAGCTATGAGCACATGGGCAGGAGTGTCAAACTTGCTTTGTGGCATCATGTTCTGCAAATACCAACTCTTGAGATCACCATCGCAGGGCAGCCTCTATGAGGGAGGAGCATGCCTCTTTGACACTGCGTCCAGTCGATTGAGAAGCCTTGTTGCAGCAGGGGGGCTGACAGCTGACCGCGCTGAACTGTCAACGATTGCCAAGATCTGCCTCGCCCCCTCCTGACATGTGGTTCCATTGGCCAGTACTTCGAGGCTCCATTCTGTCAATCCCCAGCTGTCTTCCAGCAAGGAGGCAAGCTTCAAGACCACCTGTCACAAGTGACGATGCAAACCCTCGAGGAAAGTTGTCACTGCGTCAACCCACTGGCCTTGATATACACATTGGTCTACGTCAACCCGAGTCAATCACATCCGAGTCAGATGATGTGCTGAATGGAGTTTTAAACGGCTCACTTGGGAAACTTTTGGCAGCGTTGAAGACTTTATGCAGGCACCCACTGCCAACTTGCAGATCTCCTCAGCTTCCTTTTCCCATCTCTGGCCCAATTCAAGCTCTGGGTCGTCCTCCAAAGTGAGCAAGGCTACCTGCATGTATGCAAATGCATTGTTGCTTCATTTTGACAGGCTCAGTCACAGGTCTCAAGAAGGCGGCAGTCCAAGGGGCAGAGTCTTTGTGATCTCACCTTATAAAGGTAGCGAAAGAGTACACCTTGGTGTTTGGAGTGGTCTGAAGGAGGCAGCAGGCTGTCAAAACACCCATTCCTTCAGCTCGGGTCAGAGGTGTATTGACATGCTTGCATACACTAGAAGGAGTGAATGTAAAGCAGCAACGCATCTTCCAATTCTGGTTGCACACCTGATCCAAGGCTCGAGACCGTTGCAGAGCACAGCACAGTCCTGCAGCACGTCTAGGGCACTGCTGCTTTCATAGCAGTGAATGGTACAAAGGAAAAGATTGGACACAGTGCCCACGACCAGCGCCACGTTTTGTCTAGCTTCGTTGCATGCTGGTCGTGGAAGCACGGGGACGACGCGATCTCTAACAGTCCTGTGCTGCTGCAGCTTTGTGCTTGGCAGCAAGTCACTTGTTTGGACACCCCAAGACGAGCATATATTGGTATATAGTACCCAGGCCTGTTCTTTTGCAACGTTATACTGTTGCAGCGACACGAGCTTGCAGACATTTGTGTAAAGTTTGACCTCCAGCTCATTAGAATTGCCCTGACGCGACTTTTGCGTCGGACACCTCATCCTGGGCCCTTCTCATAATAACTCAGCCTCGAAGTGCTTCTGCATCCGAAACACTCCTATTTACAGCAACACTGGAACATGCAAACTCCCTCATCCTCCTGTCTGTTGTCGAACAGGTTTGAAGATTTGTAAGGAATTACTAATATGCACGTGCAAAGGCTTCTCGCTCACGTGCCCTCTTTGAAGAACGCAATTTGCGATTCGCAGAGGAGGCCAGAAGTCAATACGGACAATCAAAACACTGTCTTCGGAGAGGTCTTTGTGCTTGCTTTGCTCAGCGCTTGCTGCCAACGCTTGACTTCGGCCGGACGGAGTTCTCGAGAGACCTAGCAACGCGCTTGATTGACAGGTTTGCTCCCTCTTCCATATATCTTTGCTGTTCTAAAGCACATAAAATTGCATGCGTAATAGAGGGCATGTAAGAGCTTGTCTCCAAGACACGAGGGCCGCCGTCTGTTCTGGAACTTGCTGAAAAGGACCCCTTTTGTCCTGTTGCAGCACAAAGAAATGGGTCATTCCCCTATCGAAATCTTTCATAGCTCAAAGACTCAGGCTTCAGGGTTGATGTCACTTACCCTCAGTGTCCTGACGCTATGAGAAGGTGATCGCCGCACTATGCTTTTTGCAGGCGAGAGCTGTTCTGCATGCGTCGTGCTCTCTTTCGCATCGACGGGACTAATTCGGCTCTCCTTTCGCTTTGCAGCAGGTACTCTCGCAGCCAGAAGAGATGGGCAACCCTTTTATAATCTACAGCGATGAAGACACCAAGAGCGCTGCTTTGGAGGACTGCCGCTATACTAATCAGCAACGCGGGCCACAGCACCCTGCTAGGGGCTTACACAGAAATCCTTACAGGTGCTGCAATGCTCCTTCGAGGTGCATGCGTTGACCAAGTCTGCTCAAGACCCAAACCTGGGCTGATCTCAAGAGAACTCAGAGCAGATTTTTGACGATTGGATTGGTGGTCTCTGAGCAGGAACCTGAGTAACCTCGTTCGTGAGAGGGCACAGCAGGGTCCCTGGCTGCCGGTAGCTCAATTACCTGGACCGCCAGAACTGGCAAGTGCTTCTGATCTTGATCGCTCTGACGCGGACAGCATGCCCGAACTGGTCACTTCTCAAGGTATAGAGCATTCTCTACGTGCAGGCTCTTCAAAGCATAAATGTTGGTCCTGTGCGCTATTAGAGAGGCGGTCCACCCTTGCTTTGAAAGCTCCAGGCACCTTCTGCCTGATTTGCCTTGGTGTGACCCTTGCTGTTCTGGTAACAGAGTGGGATCACTACACCGGCATGTCTGACAGCGACGACGACGGCGGCCACATCATTGATGAGTACGGCTTAGAGGAGGCAACAGCGCTGCTGCCATCTCGAGACTGGCTCCTCGGCGTGGAGCGGCCCACGCCCTATGACGAGGTATTTCCCTTCTATCATTATTAGTATTGTCCTGCCAGAAGGCACGTCCTGCAGGCAGGCTGCAGTTTCCCCTTCTATACACCCCAAAATATAGGCCCCGGCTGGCGGGGGCCGGTACAAATACTGAGCACCGTGCCCACGGTGGATTGGGTGGTGCTTGGAGTTTAACAAGTGGTAGAGTTGTGGCAGCCTTTAATTGTGCCCGGCACCCATCTCTCAGCCGCACTAGCATAGCAAGGCTGACCAGCATGCAATGCCCCTTGTGGGCAGACCCTCAGGTGGTACTGAAGACTTCAGTCTTTAGAACCTTTAGTACTGCCTGAGACCCTGCGAGTTCTTGTTAGGGACGCGGTGTTCGCATGCGGGCAGAATGATAAGCGTGACCTGGAAAAGGAGTTTGGCATTGACTCTGGCAGTCTGGTTGGCGCGCGCAGATGCCGCATCTGGTGAGGGATGAGGAGATGACGTCGAGCGTGCTTGCCGAGTGGGCGTCCCAGAGGCGGCCGCGCACTCGCCCCGACCGCACAGACCGCCCTGCCAACCCCTCCGCTGACCAGCGCCGCGCCGCGGAGCCTTCCCCAGGTGCCGCTCACCTTGCAATGTGCTGCGGCGTCCTTGCAGCTCACACTTTTCTGACTTTTGTATGTCGTCATATTGCATCTCGGTCCCTCCAGAGGTGCGCGGCGCATCCTGACTGGGTGTGTGCTTCGGCGCAGCGCATTCTGAGGCGATGGCGCTGATACAGCAAGAGTGGGAGCGCGTGAGGCAGCGACCCGGATCGGGGGGAAGGACCAGCGTTGAAGAGGTGCAGAGGATTGCTCAGGAGGTGCTTGCGCAGGTGAGCCTCTGCTCCCGTCTCTTCAGTTGTCTGGCTCAGACAGTGCTGGCTCCCTTGAGAAGATCTTGCTGTCTGGCAGCTTGTGATCTGTCCTCAACAATCCAGTATGCCATGACGATGAAGACCCCTGAATGTGCCTGCTTCCTGCCGTTCTGGGCCTGGACAAAAGTAGCAGAGTTGCAGGCTGACGCTGTGGGTGTGGGGCTGCTGTGCACAGATGCAGGCGCGCGGCGTGCAGCTACCCGCAACGCTGCCCACCACGAGGCCCGCGACTGATACGCAAGACATGACGCCCGAAAGATTGAGAGAGCAGGTGGCGCGGCTGCGCGCGCAATGGCCACCGGCCGCAGCACCTGGCCGCGCCGCGGAAGCCGTAAGGCAGCCCCCGGGAACCGAGGAGAGCACCAGAACCGAGTTCAGGGCGAGACTTTTACACCAGCTGGTTGCGAGGCGCACTGCGGAGGACCAGGCCAGTGTGGAGGCTGGGGCGAGGATGGCACAGTGGGCGGTTGCTTCCGTGAGCATCTGCTCCTCTACACTGAATGGCTATTCTCTGAGCACCCTTGAATGCACCTGTGCTCTTAGTGGGGCTTGTTGCCCTTTTGGGTCTCGGCGCAAACCAGCAGAGCTGCAGGCTGACGCTGTGTGTGTGTGCTGCTGTACTCAGATGCACGAGAGGCCCCCCCGGACTCAGCATGGGCCAATCAGGGGAATTTCAGCAGCCATTGTGCGGACTGCACGGGCGCCCACGCAGGAGCCGCCATACAACCTTCCCAGCCGCAGTGTGACAGGTAACGCCATTCGACCCATTCCCCCAAGACGCCCTCGTGCATTCCTATTTCTGTGGAACTCTACCCCTGTCACACCCCATCCGAATTGTCGGCCCTTGCACTTCTCCTGTGGGCATCTGTAGGGCAGCCCTCTTGCCGGGAGCGGCACGGTACTTCAGGCCTGTGCCGGCAGGGTGCGAGTCCGTTGGTGGATTTGAAGTGCTGCGCGGTGAAACTGACGTGCTCAGGGGCTGTGGGGTTGTAGAATTGACGGCCGAACTGGAGGCAGTCGACAGAAGGCAGGCGGCAGCGCAGAGGGCAGGAGTGGTAACAGCGAATCCCAGCATGCTCGACAACCCGGTGCCGCACTCGCCGTGGGTCCGAGCGACACATGGGGTCCGCGTAGGGCCCCCCGAGGGTGCCTCTGACCCTCTCACCGACTACCTCATGGGCCGCCCGGAGCAAGCCCCACCGCGCGAGCGGGCGATCACCCACAGCCCCGCGTACGACAGGTTGCTGCCCCCTGTGGGCGCTCACAACATTCTGGACCAGTTGACGGGGATGGCGCGCGCGCGATTGGCGCAGCCGGCCCCGGGAGCACAGGACTAGATGCGCGCCGGCCCTGCCGCCGCTGCAGGTCGCGCCGCCGCCGCTGCAGCACGCGTGCATACATCGGGGATGTCCGCCGAGCGGGCGTTCCTCGTGCGCTCCGCGAACCGCGCTGCCGCCGATGCCGGGCTCAGGCCGCCGCCTTTTCCGCCGCTTGGGGCGCCGTTGCCGGGCAACAGGGTCGGCGGCACAGTCCGCACCAACCCCGCTGTGCTGCCCCACAACGAGTGCACATGAGGAGCTGATGTGTGGAATGGGAAGTGCAACACACGCCCTCGTGGTGTGAAGGATCCCATGCAAGCGAGCGGTGCATGCTGCGCTGCAACCAGTCACTGGTGGAGCTCCTGCAAGGGCCGTGCCTCCACACTGCAGCGTTGCACTGTGATGCGATCCTGTGTGCAAAGGCTCTCGTGATTTCTCGGGGATTGAATTTACCTGCCCTGCTACGGCTGGTTCAATGGGGGCTTTGTGTCACTTGGGCAGAAATAAATGAGCTTGTTTCACACTCGTTTGCCATTTCCAAAGGCGACTCCCTCTTGATCAGGGTGTGCTGGGCATGTAGCGGACATATCAGCGACGAAGTCGAGGAACTAGTTTGTAGCAAAACGAGATGTGGTCGGCGGTTGATCTTCAACAGTATGGGGTTGTTGAGTACTTTTGAGTTGATAGGCCTTGCCTTGCATGATCAATATCTCCACATACCATATGGTATGTATGATACTTGAGCGGAGTCTTAGCCGAAATATGTTCTCCATATCGGGTCTTTCCATGTGCTTGCAATGAGTTACTCTGCACTCATCTGGAAGGAGCTGCAGAGTTGGTTGTGAATTGCAATTTAGGAGGTCAGTTCAGACATCTACGAAGCCTACGATGATGTCCAAAGTGGGTATCAGTGTGATCGCAAGGTGTTGCCAAAGCACCCTCTTGTCGGGTGCACAAGTTTTGGAGATTTGCAGCTGTGGATACATGGCCTGCTGAGATGACTGCTCTGTCAAGAATGCCTTTGACGCTGATACCAAAAGGCAGGCAGACCGGATATCCTGCAGTACCTTTGTTTTCTCTGGAAATCCGTCTCAAGATGTAAAATTGTGACTTTTGAAGTATCAGTCCCCCACAATAGCAGGATGTTACACCCGCGAAGCAGCCCTTCCTCCCTGCCTTGGCGCTCGCTCTGTCTTGATGTCTACATTTTTTCCTTAGCAGGATGAATTTTTTAGGCTGCCAATGTTGATCATTGCTTATGCAACGCACATAAACATGCACTGAGGGCCATGTGTTGGTCGCCAGCTGCAGCACTTGCACATATGCGCAGATCTGCATGCTGCATGATGCAAATTTGACCTTCAAGGACATTCATAGTTTGTGATGTACAACATATGGGGCCATGCATTATGTCCACAATCTTTCAATATCTTACATTAAACCCTTGCTGAGTTCTCCAACAATTTCTGAAAAGAAACATGCCCAAAGAGTTGAATTCAAGTAATCCCCAATTGTTGCAACTCATTTCCGTACATGCAGGCAGCCTCCCACAGCCTCACATGGCTGCCAGCGTGGCTTTGCCACGCCAGCAGCCGTAAGCCTGTCGGGGTTGAATATCTCAAGGCAGCTACCCTGGTAATCGTGGAGAATCAGCTGGTACCAGATATTTCCAAATGGTCTTGCAAGAAAGCACCCCGGCATTTACCACATGATTGGCTTCAAATTGAGCCACTCAAACACAGCATCTCGGCTGACTAAGGCAAGCAATTGCACCAATGTGAGACTTTGCATCATGTCGACAAATTTTTGGCTAGCCTGAAAAGGACGCCTCATATGCACGAAAGCCGCCTGCAAAGATGTAAAAACCCCAATGGCTCTGCTCACTTTGCAGCGCGCATCTGGGGCAACAATTCTCGGCAAAATGCTCGGCTTGCTCCCTTGGGCAAGTTTATACAAAGTGCCTCCGCCTGCACAAGGCAGGCATTGGCCGACACTACCAAGCCCAGATATGGGCAACAGCTCTCAGGACAAGCTGTCCGCCCTCGTGGGCCCATTTGACCCAGCCATACATCCGGTTGACAAACCTCCACACGGCTCATTACCCCCAAGTGGCTGCCGCACACAAATTGTTCAAGTCAGGGCTCTGCTCGATGTTTTGCATTGGTATGCAGTCAGCAGAGACAGGCCCGGACGCAGCAAATCATTCACGCTTAAGACACACTTCACACAATGCTGGGCCCTGTTAGTCATGTGCCTCCCACACTGTACCCATGGGGGCGCTTCCCTCGAAAGAATTCAACACGCTTGTGCACCCTGGTTCGGTGTTCAACTTGTGTGCAATACATAGACGCAGAGGTTGAAAACCTCCGCGCGACAGCCCGCCCGAGGGCACAGCAAACCGAAAGGGATTTTGCCGCCGTCCTAAACTCCTTGCAAGAGGCGTTTGTGGCCGCCAAACTCATGTAAGCACACAGCCAAGCCGCCCTCTCTGAGAGGGGGGCGCGGAAAATATACGGCCGGTCCGGCGGCGCTAGTGGAAACCTCGAAATTCTGCTGCAGTACTTCCTCGGACCACGCGCTTACTTGTAAGTCGCTGCAAAGTCCCCAGCCAAACTGACAAACCATGATCAGAAGCACCCGCAGGCCAGGTCGCCTGGCAACACCCCGAACACAACCAACAACTTGCAATCCCTTGAAGGCAGCCCCCAGATCAACTTCCGGGCCGGTGTCTCGTTGTTGCAGATGCATCAGCTTCTGAGAATGGAGCTTCTGAAAATGGGTCCTCTGTCAGTGTGAGAGGAACCACTCTGCCGCAGGCCCTGATACAGACCATACAAGCACAAGGCAGCGACACAGCGCCGACACTTGTGAGAACATCAATGCGCTTGGGGTGCGAGGTCTGCTCTGCAACGTGTGAGAGGCAGGCTTCGCCCTTAAATAACATGCTCTCCTACCCGCCGTCCTGCGCGCTTCAATCTCCCGCGCATTGCGAAGCCGCTGGAGCATCTGCCAACACACTGGCGATGCTTGCCCAGGGCCGCTATGGGCAGGGACATGAGCGGCAGGATCATTTGTAGCTGAGGCACAGAATTTGCGGGAGGATATCGGCGTTTGCTACCCAGCTGCACCCCTGGCCTCTGTTGGTGGCCACATCGGGGGCCACACACAATCACTTCTCATCCAGCACCTCTGCCAGAGCCAGGAAATCATACCTGCATGCAGCAAGCAAAGGAGGGCCTCAGCAAAGGAGGGCTGAGCAGAGGCGCAACAGAAATTTTCGGGGATGTGGGACAAATTAGAAGCTTGGGCCCCTATGGCCCCTATGGGGTGTGAAAAAGCAACGTTTCTCTTATTTTCCAACAGGCTACGGGCGCCAGTCATAGAAGCATGAGATCAGCGACAAGTCGCTGAAAGACAGAAGCAGAGATCTCCTCACCTCTGCCTCGAGCGCTGCGCAAGCAGATTTTGGAAGCCCCAGTGGGGATGAATGCGGGGGGAGGGGGGGGCGGCCCACACATCAAGGTCAATGCAGAGGAGCAATGCCTTTAACAGCAAATGGGTGTCGAGGTGTGGCGGGAGGCGCACCATTGAGGGTATGACTCCACGAGCAGAGTGGCCATCTGCCAGGGTGTGAGCAGCTGCGTTGCCGTGCTGCCGTAGCTCAGAGTCTCCCAGTGCTCCTGGCACAGATTTATTTTCAGCATCTTCATCGCATCGTGCGCCTGCACACACATGCAGTCAAATCTCAGCCGCCTGCAGATGCCGGGCCCTTCTTGTCAGTCACTTATCCTGCATGCACTTCACGATGCAGGAGACATACACCATTGCACAAAGCCAGGTGCGTCTTTGCATCCCTGTTTTGACAGGGGCCTGAGGTACATTACCCGCAAAGAGATCAAGCTGGTGCCTTAGGGTCCAGTGAATTGAACACACCCTGCGCTTCATGATCTGCAGACACTGCTCTATTGCATGGCTTGATGATATGAGCATTGTTTGACCCCAATTCTTGCACGTGAGGTCATCCCTGCTTGTGGGCTCTGAATGGAGTGAAGGGATAAAACCACAGCATAAAATGCTGCTGCGAGAACACCACGCACCCTGAGGAACTCGTCAATGGCCTCCTGGGTGACATTGACGTGGTCGGAGGGGCGCTGCAGGCGCGCGTAGATGCCCTGGCGCTGAGTCAGCAGAGTGCTGCGCTGGTGCTGGAAGCGCGCAGTCACCGCCACCAGCTTCTCGCGCTGCTCCTCCGTCAGCCGCAGGCATGCCTGCGCAGACCGTGGACCGCCAGCTCAGCACACACACTCTGGCCCCTTCTTGTTGTTCGTTTTGGCGCTTCGGGACTTGCAGTCCCGAAGCGCCAAACCAGAGACCCACGCTTGGGGGCATAACAAAGCAGGCCTGCAGGTCTTCTCAAATGGGACGCAGCCAACAACGCTTGTTGCCACGCTACCCAGAGATCCTCTTAAGAGGGCCTGCAGAGGTCATCACAATGTCGAAACAGTCATTTACAGGTGTTCAGCAGTACAATGTGCAGGGCTCACCGCGATGCGACGGTGCTCATTGCGGGCGTCAGGGGTGCGCTCCTCAGCGTGGGCGCTCAGCTGCTGGTGCATCTGCCGCATAGCCACCGGGTTCAGTGCCCACGCACGCAGCAGCAGAGTGCTCTGCAGCAGTCACACGGACACCCTTCAATCACAATATGAACATGTCAGATCACTGCATAAAATTCAGATCTAGAAGAAGCAGTTTATGAAAGGCAATAGCTGAGGAAAAAGGAGGCATGAACGCACGATTTCGTTTGCGAGTTTGACAACCCTGACAGCCGCAGGAGTGAGCGGCTGGTGCGCGGCCTCCACCTGCAGGCAGCTCCTCAGCTCCTCCACATATTGCTGCACACAGCCCACACATCACTCAGCTCTCAACCTTGGAACAGCAAGCCAGCCGACGCTTGCTCCAGCGATCCTGCCCTGCCATGACAGGCCGTGAGCATATGAACGGCATGCACAATTTCGCAAACTCAGCAAGCAAGCACAGCTGATACCATGCACAATTGTTTATTATGCAGCAATCCTATGATGTTCTTAAAGAGGCAGGGGCACCTCGTAGATGCAGATGATGTCTCGCGGGGTGGTCTTCTTGAGGTCCTCGAGGGTGAGGGTGTGCTCGCCGTTGAAGGGCAGGCTCAGGCGGAGTTCATCGTGGAAGAACCTCACGCTGCCCTCCGCCAGGTCATCGCTCAGCCCGGGAGCCATCAGGGCTCCATGCGGCAGAGGGCTGGGCACATGCCCTGCCGGGCTGGAACTGGAAGCTCCAGTGTCGCTCAATTCCTGGGGCATGCAGCAATTATGGTCATGACTCCGCTCTGACTGTAATGCTGCCTCGGCTGAGATGCATGTGTTTGGGGTATTATCCTGCCACCGATTTCTAATGGCAACTCAATGGGTGGCAGGGAATGGTGGGCGCGCACCACAGAGCTGAAGCGACGCGCCAAGGAGTCGTCTGTTTCGCCACTGGTCGCCCTGCGCATCTCCAGAGTGTGTTCCAGAATGGTGGTGCGATCCTCGAGCCTGGCTTTCTCTGACAACAGCTCCCCCAGGCGCCCCTCCAGCTCCTCCACCTTGCCAGTGAGCTCTGTGAACTTGGTCTTCTGCCTCTCGCGAAATCTGCGTTGAGCCTGCGTAAAGGGACGCTGTCAGCAGTGGCTACTCACCTGGGTGGACAGATATACAGCTCGTAATGGCACTGATTGGCCATGCTCCAAGGGGATCCCACTTTTTCCGTGGGCTTACGGCACTACCTATTCCTTCAGAAAGCTTCAATATAGCATTTCAGCATTGTAGGCATGCGTATCGTACACCTACGAACTCTCACCCGTCTGTTCTTTTCCTGCATCTTGGAGCGGGGTTTCTCCTCGCCCTCCTGGCCTTCCTCAACGCTAGGGCCAAAGAGTGGGTCTTCCTGAAAGACTGCATGATACGGATCGATCTGAGGCAGCCCCGGCACGTTCAGCATGTCGAGATGGTTGGGGAACAGGTCGGCAAGCTGCCGCTCGGTTGCACTGTTGTCAAAAGGTGTGTACGGCTGGTACGCCAGCGGCGCACCAATACCCACAGATGGCAACACTGGGTCGAGGCCCAGATAGCCGGATCCCATGGGCCCCTCACTGGCCTGACCAGTCAGGCCAGGCACAGACGAGAGATTGAGCCCATGCAGCTGATGCCCAGGCAGAGTGCCCCTGCTGGTGTTGCGTGAACCAAGCCATTCGTTGAAAGCAGCCTGCTCGAAAGCAGGAATGGACTGGTGCCCACGACGGGGCTCCATCTCGTGGAACGCGTCTCCTTCGCAGGCCAGCCCGCGAGGAGCATGGCACGCACTCTCGCAAGTGACGTTCGTCGCCAATCTAGGCTGTACAATTCCTGGAACAGTACTTAAGGTCTCCATTTCCCAGGAATCTGGTACGTTTACGTGTTGGTCTCGAGAGAATATTCCCTGTCGATGTCATCAATTCTTTTTTGGCCCTCTCGTGCCAAAGTCACTTCTTCATGTGGGAGCGTTTCACGCGACCGAGCCATCGCTCCTCGCTGATTGGCTGATGGGGAGATCTCATGCAAGTCAATTGACTACTGGATGCATCTTTATCTGGTCCTGATCACCCCATGCAGTACTGCATCATACTACAATGCATGTAGATACATGCCCAGTGGGCAACAATAATATTGGGAACATTCGGGAGCACAGCCGATGGCATCCTTCCTTCCAAAGTCAAACCTTCATTGAGCACTGCAGTACTGGTGGTAATACACCAGTGACCTTCATGCATGACCGGTGCCACTGGTCAGTGATCGGCGCAGGCATGCTTTGGTTTCCAGCGGGCTATCGTTGAGATTCTCTGGAACCCAGTGCAGTGTGTTTTCGGCAGCTCAAGGGTTTCTTCACAAGGCTCTATTACCTGGGATCCTCCAGTCTAAAGAAAATCATAAATTGTAGAGCTTGCGTACTCTTGAATAGTCAGCTTGGACATGCTGAGCCTTTGAGAACGGTGCGCAACACACCAAAAGAACAGATTTTTAGCGCTTCGGACTTTTCAATGTGGTCATTCCCCAAATTGCCAAAGGTCATCTGTTGGATGAAGGTGTGCAAAAACATACACCAAAACTATGCACCATTTTTCAATTCCGCGGCTGTCACGCTCATCTTCGAACGAGCCTCGGCGCTCACTGTGTCTCGCTCGGCGCGAGGCACCGGCCGCCGGCAAGCAGCGGATCCACAATCTCCAAGCCCACGACGGGCACAAGGGCGCGGCCGGCGCCGCCGCACAGCCGTGTGAACGTCACCGCGGCGCCGCCGCCGGCGCTCGCGCAGGCGGCCAGGCCGTCATCAAGCGCGGCGACGCCGGTCACGTCGGCCAGGCCGAGGCGCGCCGCGCCGCAGAAGTCGGGCGGGAGATCCACCGCGACGCGCCAGGCGGCCGGCCCGGATGGCGCCAATGCCGTGCGCACGGAGGCGTTGTTGAAGAGGCCGCTGATGAGGAAGTCGGCCGGGGCGATGGGCTTGATCGGGCGCTGGGCGACGAGCAGGAACAGCGCCGTGGCCGAAGCAGTCACCGGGTGGCCGTCACGCAGCGCCATGTTTGTCGGATACAGCCGCGGCACCGGCCTGCACTCCCACAGTGTTACGGTTCCATATGACGTCTGGCTGATTCCATATTTATGTATGATGGCCATGTCTTATCTCTCTATTTTGGCTCTGTGCTGGATGTTGTGCCATCTCTGCGCATGGGCATCAACCCACGAACAAGAAAACAAACAGTGAGAAGCTCACCTCATCTGCACGGTCGTGCTGGCTTGGCCTGCATCAAATGCTCCCCCACAGGGACTCACGACTGTGCCGTTCAGCACCGACAGGGTGACTTGCGTCTCCCTTGCAGCGTAGCTGGCTGGGGTCACGTAGCCTGTGACCAAGACGCTTGCGCAGTCCACCCTGGTCACATGCTGCACTGCTTCTGTACACACGCAGGAAAAGAATTAGCATACAGCAAGAGGCGAGCTTGATACCTCACCTACTTGAAAACAGGGCAGGTATAATTGACATGCGGGATTTATAGGGATGAGCAGATACGCTTGATAACTAGGGAGGCGATTTGATGGTGCGTGTGACCCACCCAATATCTTCCCAGAGCGCGCTGCTGTCAAGGGGTCTTCACGACAGGGGCAGGTCTCTCCACTGCTGTCATCGTTGCTGCTGGCCACAAAGCTGGCCAGGTCTGCATCAGTGGCAGCCACGCTGTCTGGGAATGTCACCCTGGCCTGGAAGTAGACCAGGTCTGGTGTCACAGCCACCTCATCGCTGGGCGGGCATGTGTCTGCAATGACACCCACCAAGGTATTCTCAGCAAGGTCTTCTCAGGGCACCAACTTCTGATCATCAAGTCCTCAACAGACTGGCATTTGCTCCGGGGACTACCGTTCAGTCTCCAGAGCAATTCATACACCCAAATCATCAGCCAGGGCGCTACTTTGCTGCGCCCTCACGGTATAAAATGCTTTGCCCAAAATGGCTCCAACCTGGGAAAGAGTATGCAGTGGTGGGGCCGCATGCATTTGACCTCAGTTTTGGCGAGGCATGACTTTGACTTCTTCTTTTAAATAGCACATAATGCACTGCCCCACATAGGTGTCATCTGATGCCTTACGGTCCAACAAAATACACTTGAGAGGAAAGAGAGAGAGGCGCCACCCACCTGCATAGGTGAAGGTGATGTTGGGGCTGCTGCGCGGCAACTGGGCGTCACAGGGGCAGATCAAGTCGGAGGCCGGCGGCGGTGCAATCGCAGCCAGGAAGGGCGACTGTGGCTCCGCTGGCTTGTACTTGTGCTGCGCCGGGAAGGGCTGCTGTAGGACCGTGCTTTGCCGCTTAAACGCCTGCAATCCAGCAACTTTGGTCCCTTTGCTAAAACAGGTGCATGCACGTCCCTAGCTGACAGAAATTTTGAGGAGTGAAGTTACGTGCCAAGGAAAAGTGGCCAAAAGCAACGCTGTTCTCACCCAGAACATGAGGTAAGAGGTTCAGACCTTCCTTGCAGCAGGAGCCTCCACTTGCGGCACAGCAGGAGAGGTTGGTGACTCGCAGTGCAGATCACATGCTCCATCCTGAATGTGGCACACAGCATTCTCTCAATGCAGTGCTGATGCTCGTCATGACTTCACAGCATGCATCAGATCCATGCCACAGGCTAAAAATACACACGGCCTTGTCATCACCTGTGCTGCAGTCAGCAGCTGGGTTTCGTACAGGTTGCAGCCGCAGAGGGACATTTCAGTGTACTGCAGCTTGAGCTGCCTGCAAGTCCCAGCAGAGAAGGCCGCCAGTGCATCAGACAACCAGCTGCCCTCCACATGGGTAGAGCGGTTGCCAAATTGACAGGTCGCCACTCCCTGCGAATAGCAGCCACTGCTTCAATCCCGACAGCTTACAGTAACGCGCGAATTGCACAACACCCATGCGAACATGTGCCATGCGCTGATGTGCCTGATCCAGGCTTCAGCCTTTGATTAATTACACACACCCTCAGCAAGCAAGATGCAGGGCAGGACGTTTCTGTTCAGTGACCCACTGCAAGATGCCAGAACATTAGAAGGGCCAGGCGGGAAATGGCTACAATACCTGGGACCCATCCGGGCAGATGAGGGGCTTGAAGCCAGGTTGCTCTGGCGGCGGCGCAGTCTGCTGCTGCGCAAAGGTGAGCAGAGGGATCGGCGCGCCAATCAACGGCAGAGCCGCCTCCGGCGCCTGCGCCGGCGCGGGAGCGGCGGCGGCTGGGCACGGCTGCGGCCGATCGCAGACGCGGTGGCAGGAGCGGTTGGCCAGAGCGGATTCTGCTTCCGGGGACAGCAGCACTCCGCCGCAGAGGAGCGCCTCTGCGGACAGCTTTGTGCAGCGGGAGGGGTATTCGGCCAACAGAGCGGTGTAGGTTGCCTCGTCAAAGGCCAGGCTGCCGCACTGCCACGACCCGGCGGATCTGCCCGGGCACGGCGGCGGGCCGGGGGCCGGCGCAGGCGTGCGCGCTGCAAGACACACACATCACTCAGAGCTCTCACCATGTGGCTGCTTGTAGTGGGGCAAATATGTCATTGTGGTGGGGAAGTTGTCCTTGGGCCTCTGGTCATGTTAGCGAATGCAGTGCTGAAGCAGGCCAGAACTACCTGGATTCAGAATAGTACTGCATTGGTGGACATGTCAAGGACCGTCAAAGTCTCTTTCTTTTTTTATGACAGAAGAGGCTAGGGCAGGCTGGGACGAGGTAGACAGACCCATCCAAAGGGAGCTATGAGCGCACCATAGGGGGTGGGCAGCGGGGCGACGCCGGGCGCATAGACGGAGAGCGGTAGGGCGCACGGCTCCAGCGCGGCCGTGCCGCACAGCGGCTTGCACACTCCGGACACCAGCGCCTCGTAGGCGACAGCCTCCAAGACGACGTCGCCGCAGAGCACGTTCGTGACGCCCACCAACCCGCACAACCCCGCAGCCGCGGCCGGGGCCGCCGCGTCGTACGCGGGGGTATCAAACGTGTAGGGCTGCTTGTGGTGCGAGCAGCGCCAGCCACGCGGCTCGGCGCCCCCGGGGCACGTCTCCTGCGGCGGTGCCTCCGGCGCCGGGGCCGGTGCCGGCGGCAGCACCGGCGTGGCAACGCAGCCAAGCGAGGTGTCTGACTGCTGCTGCAAGCCTGCAATCATTTCAAAATGCTGTCTGCTTTGGCAGGATATCCTTTCTTCGGGGTTCGGAAACATTGTTGTGTGCCATGCCAGGCTTCAAATAAGCTTTGCACATTGCTCCAGCTCGTTGGACCTCATTCATCCCCCGTCATACCCTGAGCCGCCTGTGCTTCCACTACCTTTTCAAAGTATCAAACCTGAGCTGAGCTGAGCTGTCGAGCAGCAAAACTTAATAGTCTTGTAGCAGGAACACTGAGCACACCTGGTGGGCTGGCCTGTGCCAGACAGGACCCAGGTTGCGCGCTCGCGACGATCTGCGGCAGCTGCGATCGCAGCAGCGCGGCGGCTGAGGAGGCGGCTTGCAGCGTGGCGGCGCCCACGAGCACCTCAAATTGCAGCGCGCTGTCGCAGCAGCAAGCTCCCGACTCGCTGAGCTGGCGGTGGTTCCAGTGGTGGCTGCCTTTGGCCAAGTTGCGCCTGACGTGCCTGGCATGTCTGCCCGCCTCCTCTGCAACATTACAAGCACACATATCTATACACTCTTGTATATGCTCTGCTTGTCTCAGGCAACTGCTCTCTGCTTGTCTGCTCTCTGCTTGTATCAAGTGCTCTGCTATTTTACGACAATTGCGTGGGCACCATGCAAGTCAGCCCACTGGGAAGGGAGCTCTTCCTTGGTGACATGCATGCAGGCAGGGGGGATGAGAACGGTGTTTACTGGCACTGTTATCGCGTCTTGGTTCAATGCAGAAGTCTCGAGAGGGGTCCAGGGCTTTACCGGGGCCAGGTGCCTGGCTAATGAGGGAGTGCATGTGGCTGCGCAGCATGAGCAGGTGCCCAGTGGCAGGGCTCAGAGCCTCCCCGCTGATTTCGGTACTCTGCAGGCGCCTCCCTTTCACCTTCCAGCCGTCCTGGCCAATCGCCGACAGGACCTCCAGCTTCTCAGTGGCTGCCTCCATGTCGTCCAAAAAGGCATCCAGGCTCGCAAAGGCCGGCACCTTGGCGTACGTCGCGTTGTCCTGCACTCACAAGAATGATCACTGCTCCGGCCGCACCCTCCACAACATCTTATTCAAGCAGCAGCGCAGAAAGCTAAGATGAGCAATAGAGTTGCGGTGCAAGAGAGTTGCGGCAACAGGTGCAAATCACCTTGAGCCTCCCTCAGGTACTCATACAAGGGTGAGAAGTGAATGACAATGCCTATATTGACCATGAACATGCCTTCCATAAGCCATGAAAGCTGCCAGCAAGTATGATAGTAACGAGAGTGACAGGTATAGTTATCTTAGTGTGAAGAGGAGCTTAAAAGCACCTTGTGGCTGCCGAAGTGCAGGTGCGGCACGCCAGGCTCGATGCCGGCCAGCCGCCGGCGCCCCTCGGGCCCAACGTAAGCAGCGGCAAGCGCCATTGGTGCGGCATCGATCAGCGCCTGCAGATTGCTGACGGCCGCGCGCCACTGCTGCTGTGCAGTAGCCTGTTGCGCGTCGGCCGGCCCTACCGCCTGCGCGGCTGCGCCGAGGCGCGCTTCTATCCTCCCCGGCTGAGCCGCTCCTGCACCCGCGACATTTATTCCTTTCGTTCCTCCTTCTCCTCTTTTCCTTCCTCCTTTCCCTTTCTCCTTCTTTCACCTTCTCCATAGTGTCACTCGGCTGCCGTCTCGACTCCACGAGTAAATATATGCAGATGCGACAGGGCCGGCTTTGTTCTAGTCAATGGGAGATCTGAAAGACAACCAATGCCATGTGCGCATGCATGGGAAATAACAGGAGAGCCGCACCCAGCGGCTCACTAAGGCCGGAGATGAGCGGCCCATTGACGGTCCCATTCAGCGGTTTGGGGACTTCAATGGGGCCGCCAGTGGGAGCTCCCACGGCCGCCACTGCACCAGAGGCGAGTGGGGCTCCCGGAAAGGCCGCGGCTGCGAACTGAGCTTCTTGCAGCGGCTGCGGCAGTCCCTGGAAAACATCACCACCCACCGGCGGCGCTGCAGCGATGACCACTCCAATGCGCTCCACCACCTACAAAGTGTCAACCCTGGTTTGTAGAGTTGAACTTGACCTGGAACTGATTTCAAACTGCAATTGATTCTGCAGTGTGCTGACACAGGCAACCTGCAGACAAGGCCCACCATGTTCCTGTTTGTAGGGATGCACAGCCCTCGAAGCGGCATCGGCAGGGAACACTTGTCAAGCGAACAGGCTTTGACAGGAGCGATGCATGATATTCTTGCAGATGCAAAGCGCTAGACGTACCTAGATCCTAGATCTCTAAGAAATGGAAAGCGTGTAAGAATAAGGATGATGATCACAAAGACACTGCAAAGAAATGCAAAAAGGGTCAGAACCTGCTGTATGCGCTCTGCGAAGACATCTGCCGGGTCTGTGGATTGGCGCAGGCTACGGCCGGTGGCAATGAGGTCTGTGTTGAGCAGGGGCGCCTCTTGGAGCATCAATCTCTGCTGCACTGTCCACGCTAGGCTCTCCCTCATCAGCGCATTGTCCAACTCAGGCTGTGTGAGCCCAGAAGATGGCAGCGCCAACAAATTCCTCTGGTTATTGTTGACAGCTGGCGAGCTGGCAGGGGGCAGGCAGGGAACGCTGAGTGGCTGGCTGACCCTTGAAGGCTGCACATGGACATCTTCGGCTGGTGTGCCTGCCAGGCTTGAGGCAATGGCTATCTGCAGCTGGGCGGCGGTGACTGCTGAAGGAGACTGGTCGCAGATCTGGATCTGCATAGTGGCTGCGAAAGCAGAGCACTGGAAGGCACCTGCAACACAACAGCAGTGGTTGTGTTGGAATAAAGTAGTACCGGTATTGTTCTTGGTGGCAACGTGCCTTAATAATTTTAACAATTCGACCTTTAAAGAGGGGGGCAAACAGTGATGCGTACTTGGAGCGGGGGCTGGAACGAGTGCAGGACTTGGCGCAGTGGCGGAACAGTGCTCTGTCTGAGCGCTGCACTCGGATGTACAGGTCCCGTTGATCACCAACTGCTCGAGATCGTCTGGCACAAGGGAGTTTCCACACCGCCAGAGCCCCAACGTGCTCAACAATCGCAAGCACTGCCCTGTCTTTACTGCCGAGTAGAGGGTGTCGGATATTCTGTGCTGCAAGTCCGGGCTTGCTGAGCAAAGCCATGTTGGACTGGTGCAACCAGACTCACTCAATAATCTCCTTGAATCTGGTCGTGTTGTACTGTGCTCTCGACTCTGATCATCGTCCAAATCAAATGGCCCCTTTGATCCTGGTTCGGACGCAAGTGTTGGGCAACACGCAGCGACAACGATCGCTAAAGAGATTAACAATTTCAGCTTGTTTGGATGTCGCACATTGTGCACGCGATTACATTTGCGAACAAGTCCCATTGTGAGCGTCACAGAAACTTCTGACGGAAGTCATCGGCGTGGCAATCAATCACGCAACCTCCCATGATAGGATTGTCGGCAGCGTCGCGTCCTATGCGCATGGGGCAGCATAGCAGAATTGCTTTCAAAAAATGCTTTTCTGGGCTCCCTCTGCAATGCATGTTGGGGAAACGCTCGATGCTGGTCCCGTAACCGTGCGCGCAGATGGGCGCGGCCGAGAAGCGTAGCTTTCGTAGCTCTCAGGACATGCTAATGTTGCTCGCCGAATGTTGTCCTCGCAGAATTGCCTTTCAAGATCAAGGTGAATTAAAGTTGCAATGATGCAGGCTCCTGAGTCTGCCTATAGAAGGATCGCTTTCCTGGCAGCCCAATTCGTTGATGTACCATTGTGCATGCTGGCCAATGCCAGCAGCATTGGCCTGGAGATTCGACAAAGGATGGGCCCTCACTGGTGCGATCCTCTTGGCATATTTCTGCTCCGTGGGTGTTCCGCTGCGTATGAGCACCTGCCAGCAAGGAGAATGAGCTCGTGAGGTCTTCCAGCACATTTTCAAACAAAGTCTGGCTGATCAAAACAGTAAATACAGGTCTGTGGTCTGTGGTCAGGATCGGCTCTGCGCTGATGGCTTCTTCTCGAAAACAAAGGGGTTTCCACAATTTAAAAAATCCCTCGTGTGAGCATTTGATGGCTAGAATACGATTCTATGAGGATGCCTTTATGAGGAGCCACTGTACCTCCAAATCGATGCTGTCCATTGACATGAGTCCCAGCGTCAGTCCGCTCATCAGGCCAGCCAACAGGACCAGTCCTGGAGATTAAATTAGGAATTGTTTGTTTTGTAATGTAGCTTTGTCAGAACACGAGCACGGAAGCTCGTCCGAGGCGCGCCTTGAGCACATGCACTTGCAGCTTGAAATAAACAGGATCGAGCGAAACAGACTCCGACGCAATCAAACTTACCAATACATATTATAATATAGATCCATCTTATCTCCGGATTCTCTTCCTCTGTGCCCAGCCACAAATTCTTCAGATCGTCCAAGCTGGTTCCCTCAAACATCTTTGCTTTTAAGGACCTCCCATAATTCCTGAAAAGCCACTTGAGGCCTTCATACGGATTTATTGTCCGTGTCTTGTTTCCAAGCCCTGACAGAAGTGGGTAGATGCTGTTGAGCAGAGATGAGATGTAAATCTGAGGATGCCCAAAGAGCTGCCCAAGCCGGGTAGCTGCTGGGCAACTTCCACATCAAAGTTCTTCATGCATCCCAAGGATACGTCAACGGATAAGCTGCACAGAAAGCCAATAGACGACACAAAGGGCCTGGGCGTCTCCATGAGCAATTCAAGCAAACACGATCTCCAGCTGTCCTCGGCTGCTGGCGCCTCGCCCGTCTCTGCAACTGCCACCGGCGAATTGCCGGAGCTGCAAAGGCTAGGAGGAGCCGGTCCCACCCGCCGACATGCGGGGCCGACATGCCGCACTTTGTCCCCATGGCGTATGCGGGCCTTGCGCTCTGGCAGCAATGAGGCCATGGCCGGCCCGGTGGAGAGGCAAGCCCTCGTCCATGCATGCTACACGCCCGTTCATATTGATGACCATGCCGCCCATCTTGGCAATGGCATGTTGGCCAAATTCTGGACTTGGGCATATAGTCTCGTCTAGGAATATGGATGTGAACCCAGTACGAAATTTGCAGAAACTGATTCCATGCATTCGGCATGGATAGATATCTGATGCATCCAAGGTTAGTAGAACCTACATTAACTCTACACTATTTCACTGAACTATTCTTCTCCCCTTGATGCAACACCATGTATACAGCCAGGATCTAAACTTGGTGCTAGGGTGGCGAATACAATGCAGCGAGGCGAGGAAGGGAGAGCGGATACGATCGTAGGCCAATCCCCTCTCGAGTCGATAATCACTGGTTCGAGTCTCCGAGTACGTAGTTCTTTTTCACTTTACTCCCCCGGCTTCTTCCCACAGGCAGGATCTAGACATACTATCTAAGCTAGGCATTTCTCCTCGGGGGGATAACCCAGAGAGCATACCGGCAGGCTGTTTTGTTCCCAAGCAGGCGCCGCGCAAATGTGCACTTGGCGGCCCAACAAAATATAAACAGACTCGCAATCGCTGAGACATGGGCACGCGCACGATCTTAATTGTCCTCAGTAGCAATGACAATGATCTTATTTGCTGCGCTGTCTGCTAGCACAAAACAGGGCCGCTCTTGATGGGTTGGTGATCTTTGCTTGAAGCGGCAGGGAACTCTTCTGTCCACCGATTCACCCATGACCATCCACCCTCTCTGTTGCAACCACAAAAGCTGGTCCTAAACTCCTGAGCGCAGAGCTCAGCAGGGGTGAACTCCCCAAGCAGCCACGTGTCAAGCTGTGGCACGCCCTGCCATGCATGTCCGAGAGACAGAAGTCATAGCATGACTTTTAGAGTCATGGCGCACCACAGAAGTCATGGCATGACTTTAAAAGTCACGGCTCACATATACGAGCAGGCTACGCAGCACCAGGCATGCAGGGGTGACCCAGCCACCAACATTATCATGATGCTAGAGTATTCTGTGACACTCTCATCTCCATGTGGGCCTGTCAGGCTTATTGCATAGATGTGCCGCCTCGTGGCAGCCAGCATCCTTCTCATTTAAAGCCGTCTGAGGTGCAGGGCCTTCTGCCTGTCTCTTGCGTGCCTCCAGCTCGAGCTCCCAGTCCCGGGCTTCCCTGACCACTGTGTCCAGCAGCTTTCGCGCCACAACTCTGGCCGCACCGGTGCCCGCGCTGCTCAACATGGCTCGCAGCTCTGGAGACTCACCCTCTATGTCACCCTGTGGCGATACGCAAACAGCATTCTCCCCAACGAACTTCAACAAATGCTGCATACTTGACAGGCATTGCAAGCACTGACATGAAGGATTCCGCGCATGCTATATCTTATGCCTTGGGCACTCTGATGCTTGCGCTCAGGCTCTGGTACAGGGCCGGTTTTGGAAGGGTCCAGACTTCTAGAACACCACAAACACTTCCATAATTTGCAGAAAAGAATTCATTTCGGGAGGAGAAAGAAGGAATGAAGTGCAGTACCAGGCTTGCCAACGAGGTGGCACGCAGCACAGACACAGCGGTGTCAATGTGCGCCTCTATGGCAGCATGCCGGTGGCCAGCGCGCAGCTGCAGATCGATGTGAACCTCTCGGTGTGCCAGCCGCGCGAGCAGGGTGGAGAAGAGGTCTGTGACCTGGTAGACCGCCTCGTCGGATCCCACTCTGCGCGAGCGCAGGTGCAGCGCTACCGTGTGCTCTACCTCCAGCTGCGAACACATGCACAGCCTTGTTTTCTTTTTCTCTCCTTGTCTCTAATTTTGGAGGCACGTGCCAGGAAAACATGTAGGTTGTGTGCAATCTGACAATCTTGTTAGATGATATTTTAACTGAGGCACGGTGCGTCCGCAGACAAGCTGCAAGAAAAGGCTGCCACATATCCTAAACCCTTTGCGGAAGAAAGTGTGCTTTGAAATAAGAGGGTACAAAAAGCACCTTGCAGAGGCCGTGGCAGGTGCGGGCGGCTGCGGAAAGGAGGTTGCCCAGAGTGTGGGCAGCCTTGGGCAGGATGTCATCGTCCGGGTGCGGCCCGGCCGGGCAGGGGTCAAACATGCTGAGGTTGCGGGGGTGCCACAGCGGGTCTGGATTAGTCATCCCATACCCAGCCTGCAATGAAGACACGAATACAACTTTCAAACTGCCAGTTCAAGGCCTCTCTATTATAGACTCTCAGAAATCCAGAGATCACCGCACCAAATCACCGCAATGCCCTGCTTGAATGCACAGTAGCATTTGACCGCTAATTTTGTCCAGCAAGCTCGACCTGATGATCTCAGAAGGCTTCGAATTCACCAGCCTTCCCAGTCCATACAGGCAGGTCTTCGTACGTATTGACTTTGTGCCTGCTTGTATGGACCAGGGATCATTGATAAACTCACAGCTTTTGGAGATCGAGTCAAGCAAAGACTGTCAGCGGAGCTTGAAAGGAAGGCAAGAAGAAATTACGCACCTCCCACAGGCACTCTGTGATGAAGGCATCGCCGCCGGACGAGTACGCACCATGCACACAGCGGTGCATGTGGTCATATGACACGCTCCTCAGCAAGCCCACGCTGATGAGCGCTCCCGCTCCCCCGTGCATGGAATACGTGCGCGCAGGCACCCTGCACACATTGAAATTTTCCTTCGAAAATGACAAATGCGTTCATCATTATCTCTCTTGAGTGCCCCGTGTTAGGAGCTGAAAAGGCTCTCCTAGCAGAGCCCTGCTTGCAACTAAAAGGCTGCACAGAATCCAATGCTGCGCAGTCTTTACGGATTATTAAAGAGGCATAGACTGGAAAGCCGGGTAATAGTAACACGCATAAGTGCGCAGTCTTCGCAGCGTTCACTTGCATTTGGGGCTGTGCTGAAGACACAAATCATCAGAAGATCTCTGTTATGATGCCCTGAAGTTCTTTTTAATTAGCAGTAGGTTTGTGGCTCACCTGGGCACGCCACAGGCCTTGGGCGGCTTGTTGAGGACGCCTGAATTGTCAGCGCGGCACAGCTCTTCCACTCGGCATGGGCAGCCCGGCGGCAGAGAATAGGGCAGCCCAGAAGTGTCCTTTGAGTACCTACAACAATGGGAGACACTTTATATTATCATTACAAACTGTTCCTGCCAGAGGCAAGGTGTGTATGCAGACAAGCGGCATGTGAAGGCAGCCAACATCCTACCCCTTGTTAGACTCGCCAGATCTCAGCAAGACCCAATCAACCGTGGGCACGGTGCTCTGTACTTGGACCGCCCCCCGCCAGCCGGGGCCACTGTATAAATAGTATGCGTCAAAGTGAGGCTGATTACTTGGGCTGCAGTGTCTTGAGGGTCTGCCATAGTAATGATGTAATGATTTTGCAGGTGCTTAGGTATGGATTTGTCACGCTTACCCGCATGGTGTGCATTGGGGAGCGCCCTGGTGGGGGTGGTACGAGCCCTTGCCCATCTCTCTCGAGAACCACATGTTGTCTGCAACTCACCACATACAATAAATCATACCCTTGCCCCTCTCATAAGTTGCTGCTGACGCATGAAACCCATATGATTTTGCACATACAAAACATTCAGTGCTTCGAGAATGACAGCGGGAAAATCTCGCTGCCAGGAAAATTTGCCTCCATCCAAAGCTGTAAAATTCGAACAAACTTGTTTTTCAAGCAAATTTGTTAGGATGCCATTTCCGGAAGAGTGCTATATGGTGGTGCAAGGGCAGACCTGTGAGGAAGTAGGGCATGTTGGGATCCAAGTCTTTGACAACATTCATGGCGCCCTCCAAAAAGAAGACAGTGTCGTCATCGCCGTAGAAGAGCCACTTGAAGGTGTCGTTCAGATCCCTGTCTCCCACAACACCAACCTCATGACCCCTGGCAACGCAGGACATCCGCGCAAATACTTGGGTGATGCTCGCTAAAAGTGGGGCGCCAGAATATGGCCTGCCCAAAACCAATTTGAGCTGCAGAAAGAGAGGCTGGTTCAAATCATATTACAGATTGATGACCAACAAAAGGTTGCAAATGATCAAGCAAGCGCCCTATGTGCAAATATCCCTAATTGCCAGCTTTCATGACAACTCTATGCTGCTCCCAGCTGAGCACTCCGAGCACTGAGCAGTGAGCTAACTTGAGCTACAAGAGAAGGGGAAAACAGCCCAATGATAAGAATAATACATGGTATGGAATTTTTTTGAAGGTGTGCACACTTGTAGGCCAGGAAGGGGACGATGGCGGCCCGGGGGTCCCCAGCAAAGAAGGAGCGCAGGGGCTCAGCATCCGGGTAGTAGCCCCAATTCTCACCAAAGGTAACGGAGTCATTTGCCCGGGGCCCCTCATGGTTGGTCGCATAAAATGTCTGTGCTCCCTGCAATGAATAATCACTGCTGTCAAAACCCACTCACACCTTCAAGCAGGCACGATTGCATCTGCAGTGAAAAAAAAATGTCCCTTGCATGCCACCTATGGGTCATGCCATCGCTGCACTTGAACTGATGACAGGGATTTGGCACGAAAAAGAGCGCAAATGCACCTGTCTGGAAGGCCTGCCTGCAGCCAGAATTGGCTCCCGGGCCTTATGGGTGGCAATGGCAACCACAAAATCTTCAGCGCGCAGCGCTGGCTCTTCTTCCTCTCGCAAGAACTGGCGCCTGTTCTTCTGCTTCCTGGCTGGCAGCTGCTCCGGGTCCCCCCACCAGCTCCACCTCTTCTGCCCCTGGACCCCCCGGTTTGCATTGCTGCCATCTGCAGCTGCCGACCCTGATGCATTCACCATGCCAGGACAACCTCTCTTGATCAAAAGGTACATCACCGTATTCAGCATGCAATTACTTTAGAATGGATGTATCCTTTCATTGACTGGTGCCTTTATTGTCTCAGGACTGTGCAGCAAACCTGGCACTACGTTATGCTAGGCCTTGCGCGTTTGGAGATCTCAAGTACGCTCGTGTAGGAACGCCTGAGGTAGGAATCTCCTCATTTCAATTCCTGATTTTATTTTCAACAGACACACCGCACCACACTCTTCCCTGAAGATCATGACGAGATGCCTCTACAACTTGCCAAGCATGTGCAGTGTCCACGAATATATAAGCACTTTTGCCCCAACCCTACCACCTTCCTAGCGCTTAAATACAGGTGCTTTGTGACCTGCAGGCCTACGAGGTGCAGAGGGACAAGACCGCTCTGGACATTGCAGAGCGAACTCTGGGCAAGGTAGTTCTGGGCAAGGGATTGAACCGCTTCCAGCAAATCCCTGACCCACCAGCATTCGCGCGCCCAGCACTGGACGAGTCTGCACCTGCTATCAGCAAGCAGCCTGCTGGCCCCAAGCCTGCCAGGGCTATTCAGGCGCCCACCAGGGTGCCAAGGCTCACAAGCTCCCGCTTCTTCCAGCCTCGCCTCACCGCTGGCTGGGCTCCCAAGGTCCGCTGCAGCTTCTCAAATCTTGCACTTATTCTCAGTTTCCTGCCACATTTCAGCGCAAGTGCCATGAATAATAGAGGCCATGAGGTGAGCGCTGATGGTGCCATTGGTGCAGGTGGACGCCATTGAGACAGACAGCCACTACCAGCTGGAGGTTGCACTGCCAGGCATCCGCAAAGGTGCATCATACTATCATCTGGGAACAGAATTGCATCCCTATGTCGCCAGTCATCTTATAGCGTACTTGCGGGTGTCACCACAAGTGCAGACACAAGCCGAGAAAGGGCAGCTCAGAGAGGAAGGAGGGTAGCTTTCTGGGGGATGCTGATTTGGCTCTGCCTGTGCGCAGATGACCTGCGGGTGGAGCTGTGGGGCCCGTTTCTGACGGTGTCGGGCACGCGCAACGGCGCTGCCATGGGTGCGCGTCGGCCGCGCGGTCGCCTGACGGGGGCCGGCCTCGTACTGCGGCGCGAGCTGGACCACGGCTTCTTCTCCGCCACCTGGAAGCTTCCGGTCAGCTTCCTCCTGCCACCCTCAACCTGTATCCTCTCGTCATGCCCCACCTCCTTCTGCTGCAGCCCCGCTGCAGAGCACACAGGGCTCTCATGTTAGTATAGCGTGTTTACCTGCAGAGCACTTGATTTGGAGCATTGCCACATCTTCAGAAGAGCTGTGCAGGAGCTACCATTATTTCAGGTGGGTGGTGCGCAGTCTGACAGCTTGTGCGTGGGTGCAGGCCAACGGCGTGCTTGACAGCCTGTATGCTGAGTCAGTCGACGGCATTCTGCGCGTCACCATCCGCAAACGCAGCAAGTAGAGCTCCAGTTGCTCTGGAGGACTGCTGCAACCGATGTTTTCGGCCGATGGGAGTCCCAACATGGGACACATCAGGCGCGAAGGGGCAATAGTATGGACCAACTGCATTCAGAGAAGATGTTGTAAGTTGCAACTTGCAACAGGTGTAGAAAAGAATGTGCATTAGATCACGAGTTGAACCTATAGGTGACCCATGTATGCTTACAAATATCGGCACAAAAATGCGTTACTTTTCGTGCTTTTGTATCAACAGCCTTGTTTGAGTCACCACTCCAAACATACATGTATATCAAAGTCTTCTGCATGTTTGTTGTGCGGGGCTTCTCATGCGACTTTTCTCTGGATGCTAAAAGCACTGTCAGTGCTGTTGCTTTTGACATCTCTACACAATTGTTATTCTGTTTCCTGCCAAGCAGCAAATTGTAAGATGAGTCTTTGTTAGTGCACTCAATGGCGCAGACCAATCTGGACACATCCTGCCATGCACATCCAAATCTCATCAATAAGATCATATGTTATACACTGCGTCCTTGTCAATACTGGTGCAGCACTGTGTGGCGAGACTCACTGCCCAGGAGAAAATGGTCAACAAAAATTCTGTAATGTACACTTTTAAATTGTCGGCGCTGAGTTGCTTTGTCAGCCAGGCATGTCAATCTGCACACTGCCGGATGATTCCAGGCATGGGAACCAGTACAGCCGCTGGCCATCCGGGCCCTGGTCATCCGCCATGGCAATGCCCTCCTTCAGCAGGCTCCAGAGCGTCTCCACCACTCTGGCCTCCTCCCACTTGTAGGCCTGCAGCAAACCGTCCGCCACACGCTCACACACAACATCTGGGATCCCAAACCACTCGTCAAACCATCTTTGATCCAGCAAGACTTGTACAAGGCAATGAGTTAGTGAGGATCTTCTAAATTTTTCCTGTTGGTTTACAGATAATCTAAATCGGCTGCACTCGGGTGTGCAAGCAGTGCAAGCTTGTCCCCACGATTTATTGGAGAGGAATGAGCAGGCATAGGCAGGCGCTGTGTGAGCGGCGATGAGTCACCTCAGTGAGCTGGCGCTTGGTGATGTGGCCGCGCCCCTGCGCGAGCAGCAACGCCTGGTTCTTGTCGGTGTTGAGTTCGCCGGGCACCGAGCGCACCAGCCGCCGATCTCCCACCTTGACCACGCCAAAGCCACCGCCCAGCACCTGCAGCTTGTCGATGGCCCGCAGCACGTCGTCCTCTGTCACTGGGTCCGCCTTGGAGCCCCGCCGCCTCTGCAAGGGACAGGGCACTGCTCACTCCTGGTGCATACCTTGAGCGCTGCAATATGTGCCCTCATGACCACCAGAAGATGCTGTCATCACAATGATGTGGCCAACATGTTTTGTGCGACCTCACACTGGTGCCAATTATGGTCAGAGAGGATCCCTTGATGGCAACATACGCACGCTGGACATGCACAAATTCAATGTGCAGAAAGACGAGCTATCGGGAGCTGCTTGGACATGGGGATGTGCATGGTGGTTGGGACTTACTGCCACATATCGCATGAGGGACTGCATGTCCATGAGGCCACCGTTGAGTGATCTTGAGGCCAGGCAGGCCTCCACAATCTGCACGCCGAGCTCATAGTAGAAGTCTCCGAAGCCCAGTACTTGCGCCCAGACTCCCTTGTTGGAGGCGAGAGGGTCAACCCCAATGTTGGCGCACATGGCGTGAAACTGTGCCCTGAAGACAGGGTCTTTCCTGATGTCGTCCCTGCATGCAGTGGCAAGCCCTTTGTTTCGTTGCTGCTCAAGAGGTGTAGCTTTGGGTGATGCGGTGTGAGGCTCACCTATGCTTCAATGCAAACTCCTCCAGATGCTCCTTGAAGGATGCCATCTGTGCCCGCATCTGCTCCAATTTTGTTTCTGCAACATTCTTTCCTAGTTCCTTGTACTGATCCTGCATTAAATGCAACCCATGTGTGCTCGGCATCTGCTTTGTCAGTAACATCAGACTTGATCCCCAGACTTGAAGCGAAGTGTCCCGGACAAGACACATTGTATTAATAGTTTGCGAATGGTCTTCGTACCCTGGCCTGAACGGTACGCTGCAGGCCCTGGATCCCGGGCCTTCTTCTCATGTTGTACAGCTTGATGATGAAGCCTTGGTTGATCTACACCATGTTCGTGAGCACGTCAATATCCTCAAATTAACATCAAACATTCATCTATCTGCAAGTTGGCACATCCAATTGGTTCCAAAGCGTTGCCTTATATTCTCATTCCCGCAGAAATGCCATCTTTTGCAGGTCCTTCGTCTTCACACAGAGGCAATAGTAATGCTCCCAGATGTAAACAGATGAGTGACGACTGTTATTAAATGACTTGATACAAGTCAGTTACTGAAGGAGCGTGCAACCAGGCATTTGACGACGAATGAGCAGGGGACTCTAAACTAATGGGGAGGGAAATTTCAGTTTAAACTCGCGCGGATTCGGCCTGGCATGTAGGGTTGCAGGGAAAGATTGCATCTGACGGGGGTGGATGTGGCATCTGGAGTGCAGCCCTCAAGCTATCCGACAGCTCTGTGAGGCCCGCACTGCTTGCATCCAGCGTACCTTCGAACACAAAAAAAGACGGCAGCATGGCAGCCCAGACAGGAACTATGATGTCTTCGGGCTCCCTCTGCACGTCAGGCAGGCAGCAGAACGTCGTGCAGGCCCTGTTCGGAAGACCTGTTCAAGGCCAAGTAAGTCCTGCGAGCGCGCCTTGGATGCATTTGGTGCATGTTGTGAAATAGTAGTATTCTAAGTGTTGACATGTTGTTTAGTATAGCACGGACACCCCGACACGATTTTGGTTTGCAAGATACCTTGAGTTGCAATCCATGGCAACGAAAAGCTAACCCGGCAAGCACGACAATTACAATGATCTTGCATGCAGGCATCTCGATCACCTTTCAGAAGCGCCAGGGATGTGGTCGAGAAGCGGGCTTCAAGGGGTCTCAAAGTCCAGGTCAGTCAGCCAGTCCATTTGAAGGGTGTGCCCGAAGTATAGCCCCCTTCATATTGCCATCACAGCCTGTAATCGTGAAAAATATCTTTATATTGTAGAATCGTGACACGCATTTCCTAGCGCTGCCACTTCCCCAAGAGTACTCAACTGCTGCACAGGCTGTAGCGATTGTGGAGAAGGCAGCTGCATCAGCTCCCCCAAAGAGCCAATACGAGCTCTACACCTTGACGACATGGCTGTTGAAGGTGACCACTGGTCCATTATCCTGGATGCCACGTATCCTCTAGTATGCTCCAACCGTTGGGGAAAGGTGTTGTTACAAGCCCACACGACTCCAACATCATGGGAGTGCTGCGCACAGGAGGAGATGAACGGCACATTGGACGGAGAGCTGGCCACCGTGCTGAGTTCCATTGCCACCGCTTGCAAGCAGATCGCTTCCCTGGTCACCCGGGCAGGCATCTCAAACCTCACGGGCCTGGCTGGCGCTGCCAACATCCAGGTCAGCCATGCACCAATTCTCCCAGACAAACTCTATCACCCCTGCCCTGGCATGCCAGTACATCCATCAGTGACCACGTATGCACGTGTATGATGGCAAACTGAATCCCACAGTGTGCCATTGACAGCTATTCTGCTTGTGATCAGTTTACTGGCGTAGATGGCTGATGGGGGCGGTCTGTGTTGTTGTGCCCAGGGCGAGGACCAGAAGAAGCTGGACGTCATCAGTAACGAGGTGTTCTGCAATGCGCTGCGCGCGAGTGGCCGCACCGGCGTCATCGCCTCTGAGGAGGAGGACCTGCCCGTGTCTGTGGAGGAGACCTACTCTGGTAGGCGCCCTGGCTGCTGTTTTTCACTTGCCGTTAAAGCCTATATCAGCGGGAACCCATTCTACGCCATGAACCTGATCCTTCTGCCTCTCAAACCTTCTCAAGACTGCAAGCCCTGCATGATCTTGGTGCAAAGAGATGAGCCATTGGATCCTGGGGATGAATTTGTGTGCCAGGAAGCGGGGGAGGGGGCTGTCGATGGTACCCAGAGATTCTGTGCTGCACAGAACTTCCCCTACGTACCAGGTGCTGATCAGGTGCAAATTGCTGAGCAGATCTTTATCAGGATTTAGTGCATCGATGTGGTAGTGCGTGTGGGCAGGCAACTACGTGGTGGTGTTTGACCCGCTGGACGGCTCTTCCAACATCGACGCGGGCATCTCCACGGGCTCCATCTTTGGCATCTACGCGCCCAGCGAGGAGTGCTCCATCGGCGACATGGACAACCCGGAGAAGATGTTGGAGAACTGCATCCTCAATGTCTGCCAGCCTGGCTCCTCCCTCCTGGCCGCCGGCTACTGCCTCTACTCCTCCTCCACCGTCTTTGTGCTCACCGTCGGCACCGGCGTATACGGCTTCACCTACGACAGCATCGTGGGCGAGTTCGTGCTGTCCCACCCCAACATGAAGGTGCGGCCCTGTGGCCAGAGTGCGGTTTGGAGGGATTAGGCGCCTTGGCGCTGTGGCAGATAGCAGGGCACCTCTCGTGGATGTGAAGCATCGCTGCAGCTGCTGGGCCTTGAGCTGCCATGCATGTTGCAGCATTGGAGGGCAGACAAAGAAACACAGAGGACAAGCAATTATACGGGTCATTCCTGGACTTTGAATTGTATTTGAAGAGTTTACATGTGATGTCGACGCCTTGTTTCTGTGGTGATTGGAGATCCCGCAGCTCATCCACCAAGCTTCACGTTGGTTTGTCGGGTGCATTGAGGGTGGCCAGATGAGGGTCCTGCATGCGCATGGGGTTTCCTCTAGGAGCCACAGCTGCAGCTGATGTGGCGCTGTGTGGCTGTGGCGCGCAGGTGCCTGAGAGCGGCAAGATCTACGCGTTCAACGAGGGCAACTACTGCGCGTGGGACCAGGGCCTCAAGGACTACATCAACTCCCTCAAGGACGGCTCCAACTTCCATGGCCAGCCCTACTCAGCCAGGTGTGCTCCCCTTTCTCTCCGCACCCAAACAACCAGATCAGTGGAAAGACTTGCAGAAGCATGCGTTCTGCATGGCCTGGCTTTGCTTGAACCTCCCAATCCTGCCCATGCAGCTCTGCACACTGCACTGCGAAGAGCTCTTCATACTCCTCCCTTTGGAAGGGCATCATCTCCATGCTTTTAAGGATGCAATGTAGTTCTAAAAATGGCCACTGCTGGGCCAGAGAAGGGGCCCTGCTTCAGGATAATAGGGATGTGTACGTGTTCAGATCTGATCATACATCTGGAATGGCTTTTCACTGCAATTTTTCGTGCAAGCCATCATGGCTTTTTAAGGGTTCATGGCTGAGCAAAGAATCATGGCTTATTCAGGTACATTGGGTCGCTGGTGGGTGACTTCCACCGGACGCTGCTGTATGGAGGCATCTACGGGTACCCAGGGGACAGCAAGAACAAGACCGGCAAGCTGCGCCTGCTCTACGAGTGCGCGCCCATGTCCCTCATCATGGAGCAGGTGCGCGCCCCTTTCCATTTTCCCCGCCCTGATTCATATCCCTCTTCAACCCCGTCAGGGCTGCTCATTGAAATCCTCTCAGGTGGTACTTCACCATGTAATCCGCATTATTTTGTGCCCCTGGGTGGCCTGTTGCGTGCCTCGACCAGTCTTTGTACAGTGGGTTTAGGGGGTGATTTATGGCCATGGCGTGACATTACTCAAGAGAGGTACTGCAGCGGCTAGCAGTGGAGCAGCCAGTCCTGTGCTTTGGCAACAACGCTGAGTCCACATCTCTGGACCCTCCAAATCCAGTTGGAGAGAACCTTGGAAGTCCATTTCCAGTTTGATGGGAGCTGGACCGACCAGTTCCATATATGCCTCATGTCGTGCAGCATCCAATTGAGGACAAGGCCTCAAGGAAACAGGGGACGATCAAACTAAATTACAGATAATGGTATGCTGACATCAAATCAGAGGGAGCCCCAAAAGGAAGGAGGAAGGGCTGCCTCGCAGTGTAAATTGAAAGGATTCAAATTGTGGTACTGACTGGATTCCGTGATTGTGATTTTCGTCTGCAGCATTACTAAGAGATTTGGGCACATGTGCAGGCTGGCGGCAAGGGGTCAACGGGCGTTCAGCGTGTGCTGGAGGTGTGCCCAGAGGCTGTGCACCAGCGCGTGCCCCTCTTCATCGGCTCCCCCAAGGAGGTCGATTACCTCGAGAGCTTCTGCAAGTAGGCCTCAGCGGCCCCTTCTGAGCACTGCACGCGCTGAATATGTTGAGCACCGATCAGCCCCTTGGCGCCTCAGCATCATATAATCTTGCTGTGCGTCAGCCAGCAAGAATGAGGGATCGTGCCAGCGTGAAGGATGCTGCGCGGCATGTGCGTGCTGTGCCAGCTGCTCATGTGCCGGCCTCGTCAGGATTGCTAGTGTCAGCATTCAGGTTGAGAGCTTTCACTCCCCCTCGTGATAGCGGTGAGATAGCCTGGTGGCTGAGAGTCACTGACATTTTTTGCCGCACCTGGCGGGTAAGTTGTGTTTCCATGGACCAGCAAATTCCTGTGTTGACTGAGCCTCGGGATAAGTCTGGTGGGAGATAATCGTCTGGGAACGAGCTTTGTCCTAGCAAGCTGACCCTAATCAGAAATTATAAGCTTACGCCTGTTTCGAGAAGACTTTCGTGAGATTGCAGTTTAGAGTATCAAGAGAAGAGCACCTGAAATGACAGCAAGGAAACGTTTAAACATAGCTGCAGAATAGTACGGCCTGTAATGCAGATCATTATCAAAGAATGTTTGGCAGGGATTGAGACCTAGATAACATGCATGTGTATGAACAACAAGTTCCATGAATATTCCATTAATGATCAGCTCCGTGCATGCACAAAAATCAACAAATTTACATAAGGTTGGAGCCGCATGCTGTGCATCTTCATGACTCAACAAGTCTCATTGCTTGCCATACAAAACAGCTTAGACAGAAGGTCAACCGAGATTCACACTGCATTGATTTATTCAACGGGAAGCAAGAATGGCAGGGAAAAAAAGTATAGTATATATAATATGACGAATACGATTTGACCATATTGGATCATCTTGAGCATAAATACAAGCTATGCCAGAGCAGACAGACTTCTTGGAGCTCAAAACATGAGGAAGCACTGTAATGGAATGACGTCAAGTTGCAATCTTGCTTTCTTCGCTACCCTTGAAAAAGTTGCCCTAACCTTGCAAGCAAAAAGGGAGGTACATGTGGCAATCCATAAAGTTGTACTTACTTCACAATAACAGTAGCTTGTGTCTTGTTCAACTCAGCCTTTTACGTGGCTTAAGGAAGTGCAGTCACCTTGACAACACAAGAGAACCTTCATCAACAATCTCGGTCTCGGTCTAAAACTGGCGTTGCCGAAAATGTGCGAGTATATAGAACAGTTCTTGAACGGCCCCAGCCTTGTTCCAAATTGGACACCAGAGAGGCACAGGCCCCATCTGGCATAAAAAATTCCGCAGCATTTGTTTTTGCAGCAACAGTGTCACTGCATTAGAATGAAATGAGAAGACATTGAATAATTTACCTGTCATACACATCTTTTGGTCAAGCGCGGCTGAAGCAACGAATGCTCCCAACACAGCCCATGTCTGTCCCCTCCAGCAGAAGGGACTGTCAAAGCAACTGTTGATTCAGACTTTCCTGTCGGATCCAAGAAGCTTCCCCTGCTCAAGCGAGTGGCCATCATGCCATGCAGCACATCTTGGCCTGACATAATGCATCCTTGACAACAACGGTGATGGGCGGTGCTTGTCAACGCCCGTGCCACACCGGCAGAGGGCAATGACTCATCAGCGCATTGAAACAAGCCAAATCAAGCGGGCTGCATGGGAGGCTCGCTCTTAGCTCAAGCTCAGACATCTCCCTTGCTCAGCCATTATGTGCTCTTGCCCATGCGCATGTTGGGTACCCAACAGCATTTCCTCTTCTGCATTCGCTGCGCACAGCTGACACAAGCCTGATATGGCAGGAGGCTTAAGACTCCTTCAAGGAGTGATACTTTTTTCCTCCTCTTCTAGATGGAGCCTGCTGCGAAGAGGCTGATCATGTCAACAGGGAGCACGGCGGTGGTGCGGCCTGAGACAAAGCCGGACGCGGCGCGAGTTGCGTCCACCGGGCGGTGCTGCGCCACGTCACCCGAGTACTTGAGCTCGCAGAAGCCCTGCACGTGCACACTGTCGCTCTCAGCAAATAGTTAACAAAGGAACAGTGCAAAGTGCTGGGAAGACACCACTGCTTGGTAGCCAACCTCAGCATTATGCAAGAGAATGGCTCTGATCCAGTTTGAAAGGCACTTGATAATGGTGGCTGGGTGGGATCTTGAAGCGGGCGGGAGCATAAAGTTTGTTTTACTTCAATACTTTTGTCTGCATATGGCCCTTCTCTATACACACTTTGTCACTCTACCAGTTTAGAGGACTGGAGATTGCTGGTTGGGAGTGAAGCGCCCACCTGCTGGTACAAGTTGGGGTCGTTGGCCGTCTTGCAGCCAAGCGGGGACGCGCAGTAGCTCCACACATTGCACGAGGGGCCCTCCGGCGCGGCGACAGGCGCATTCGACACGTAGCCGCTGGCAGCCGCCACAGCCGCCGCGGCATCGCTGCCGTAAGTCCCGTTTACGGTGGAGTTGCCGCCGTAAGCGGCACGGCCGGCCGGCCCGGGGCGGCCGCCCAGAGCCCAGCAGGATCGGCAGCAGTCCTCCGCTGAGGTAGCAAGATTGTCATCGCCCGCCACCAACACCGTACCCTGTACTTGTCAAAAGATTTTTCAGGGCACGCAAGCATGATGAAATTCGTCAACTTGCAAGCCCTGAGGGCAGGCATTCACTGTTGGCAAGAAGGAGCTTCTGTGCACAATTCTTGTCAAGACCCTGCAGCTAACGCCTGTGTGCAATTACTGTGCTGTTCCACATGATTTGCAGAAGGTCGTCGGCTACGAGGAATTGCTTGCCGCCAAGCAACAATCGAATTTCTGAGTGGAGAAGGAGGGAGTGCCTTGCTTCCCACAGTTCTTCCCACAAATTGGTGACAATTTAAAACAGCCCTGCAGCCTAAAACAACGGAGACTGCATGGATAACGAAGGTAGGATGTGCGCACATCATAGAGGGCGTTGGGCTCTGCGAGGCAGGACTGGCCGTAGCCGCGGCGCGCGCCGGCGGTGACGTCTTGGGCGGTGATGAATTGGAGCCCCAAGGGAACGCCGTTGAGCGTCGCGAAGGATCCGTAATCCTGCCCCGTAGCTAGCGCCACCTGTGCCTGCAGCGCCGCCTGCACGTAATCAAGCGCCAACCGCAGGCCCGGGAACCTGCGCACACCGCACATGACATCACACATGAAAAATGACATCATCTGTGGGTGATGTCAGACACTGCACACGCACGACCGCCACCAACTTTTCATCTGTCGCCGGCAATTGAGTGCACATTCACGACAGGCTCATGTGTTGGTGCAAAGGCACGCTCCACCAGCAAGCATGGGGAGACCAGACATGACATCGCATATGAAACATGACACTATCCTCATTTAATTCCTGATGTTGTTCAACAAGTCTGGGTGTCCCTTGAGTCAGACAGTTCTGGGTACATTGTCGGATCCTGCGATTGAATCAGGGTCAGCTTCAAGCAGGCAGCTGAGTGCCTGGCGGCAAATGTGGCTGCCTCTTTCAGTCCTTCCATGTTGCATCACTGCTCGCTGCCATCTCAGCTCACAGGACTCTCAGACATTGCAGAGGAAGGTGGGAAGATCTTTGCATGGAGACAACATACATTATCCTCTGCATTATGAGCATGCATGCATGCTGCGGCAGGTCCTCTCACCCGGCGGAGCAGCCTTTGTTGCCGAGGGCGATCTGGGAGGTGTAGTAGTACATGCGCACGAGCTCGTTGATGTACGATGTGCTGTTGGAGCGCAGGATCTGGAACCGCAGCCCTCGCTCCGTTGTTGTGTTGGCCACCTCGTTGGCCGGGATGTACACCAGCGGCGCCGCCAGCACCGACCCATTCGCTGCCTTGCTCAGGTCCGCGATCGGCTCCTGCAGCACAACGTTGCAGGCCTTGACTTCTGTGCTTTCGCGAGATGTGGCAGTTAAGACCAGCCCTGGTTTAGGACCATGCTGAGGCTGAATAAGTGGATCTCACATAGTGGTGTGAAACAGGAAGCCTCGATTGCGCTACTAAATTGCAAAGTACAAAGCAAGCTGAAGGGCCTATATGTGCTCATGGGCTTCTCCATGAGCTTTCTCAGTCTTTCTACAGCCATCTGGCGCGGGAGTGACATGGCTGAGGCCGCCGGTCTACCCAGCGTACACCATCAGCAATGTCATCCCTGCGCTGATCGGGCCTGTAAAGAGGCTTGAAAAACTCATGGAAAAGTTCCTGGCCCGCTTAAGACACATAGGAGAAGTGTGTCACTGTGCGCATGCCTCGGCCGCACCTTGGCATAGGCTTCCTCGGTGGTGACGTAGGCCGGCCGCGCGCGCGCGATGTAGCTGTCCTCCAGATTGAAGTACGCGTTGTCCACCAGCTTGTACACGCACGTGCGGTTGCACGTAGCGTTGTTCTGGAACGGCACCTGCACTCGCAGTCCAACCCCTCAGCCCCTGTCTTCTGCATTTGCCTCAAATGCCGCAGAGAAGGACCTCGTGAATAGGTGACCAAGTCTCAGATCTCTGCAGGCCTCAATCGGCAGAGGGTGCTTCCTTTGTGCATGGCTATTTTTGCGCAATCTAAACAATCCCCTGCGCCATCATAGCTGGGGCAAGGAGTCCCTATGAAACTGCCAGGGGAACAGCGCCAGCAAAAACCATTGTCTACACCATTGGACCCTGATGCACCAGCTTGACCTGCTTCACAGAAGGACACCTTACATACAATGCAGGCCTGGGTCGGGAAACAGGGGCCTTACAGACACTTGGACACACGTAGAAAAGGGAGGAAAAACAGGACTGTATGAGCATGAGGCGCGCACCCGCATCCAGCTGTGGATGGCGTAGGCGCTGGCGTTGTCACGGCGGGTGGAGGGAACAGCCATGAGGTCTGCGCGAAGGTATGCCACCGGAGCCGCGCCGGCCATGCAGGGCCGGTAGCGGAAGATGGCACCCGGGTAAATCTCCATGGGGGACTTGTACTCCAGAGGAGCCAGCACCGCCGCGCCCTTGATCGTCCGGTTATACCCCTCTCCTGCAACGAGCAGCATAAAAACAGCTCAGAGACTATTGTCTTACGACCATTTATGGGTGTCATGTGCGCCCTTGCATGCATGTCCATCTCGCTGCTTCCAGTGGAAAATTGGTTCTGCGGCCTGTGTTCTGCATAAGGCAGGCTATGCCTGTGTGCATTGAATCAGCAGGGAGATAGGCGCAGAAGACAGTGCAGGGTGCCTGGCATATGGCTCCCCAGTGAAGGGCACGATCTGGCGCCGAATGCAGGTCCCCATCCGTAGCAGGCACCGCAACGCATAGCAGTGCACAAATTGACAGTAAAAGGCCAACAGACACAAAACTTCCGCTCTGCATGAAGGAGATGGGTCCAGTGCCACTCCAGCAACTCTCATAAGAAGTGGCCGGAATTTTCAATTTTCAAATTTCAATACCAGGTGGCCTCACCTGCGCTCGAGGGCGATGCGCGGGGCGCGCCGATGTCTGACACTCCGTCTGCAGGGGTGACGACATCGTCCTGGGAAGTGCTGCCCACGCCAGCCCTCACAGATGGGTTGGCCCCCGCCGTGCCGCCACTTGCATAGTTCTCAGAGTTCCTTGTCACCTGTCCCACCCATAGACAGCGCTTTGAGCTTCAAGCAAGTAGCACTTCGCTGGCAGCCTCAGAACAAAAATTTACTGACTCCATGCCCCACAGAGATAAAGGATTGCCGTGAGACTGGAGAAAGCAAGTAGCAGTCGGCCGGCGGGCTTGGAAAGTGTACTCAAGAGCTGCAAGAACTGCACTTACAGATGCTTCAGAAGGGGTGAGAAGAACATGACTCTTGGGTTTCTAGCACACCTGCGAGGTGCCAGAGGAGCCCATGTAGTCGGAAGTGAATTTGTCAAAGCCCTTGGGTGTTTCCTGCGCGGTAGCTTTGGGCCTGCTCGGCGCAGCCGTCACATTGACAGAGCTGTTGCTGGCACCAGCGCCTAGCAGAGCATCCAGCTCCGCGCTCGACCCTGCACCCCAAAAGCTCATCCTTGCCAGAGACAACGAAGCTGCTGCCATATGCCAGCAACTCATGATAGGTGTGACTAGTGAGTATGTTAGCATGTCCACAGTAAATAGCCAGGCAGACGCGGCTGGCATTTGCAGCATCCCACCACAACTACTTTGCAGGGAGATGGTCTTGTGCAAATATCACTGACTTGCAGTTGACAGATGGCCAGAAAGCAAGGTACGCACCTGGCGCCTCAGTGGGGACGGCTGGCCGCAGCATCTCAGGCGCGGGGGCCTGCTTGCCGGGCCGCCCCGACCGCCGCACGGCTCCGCCGCCGGCCGGAGCCGTCACCGGCGTCGCGCTCGCATTGACGGCCGCGCGGCCCACCAACGGGTCAAAGGAACCCAGAACTGCCTGTGCCGGCGCTGCAGCGCTCGCAGATGTCCCACCTGTTGACAGAATGCCGCAGTGTTCAGCGACAGCCACAGCATTGCATCTCCTCAATTACTCCTGAACGGGTGCTGCAGGGGTGTGCATGGTGAAAGGCTGTGGGGGTGAGGAGAGAGGCACTGGAGGGGTATAGGTTGTGCACCTGCTTGCAGCAGCGCACGGCGCGCGGCTGTTGGAACGCTGACGGCCGCGGCTGAAGTGTTGGCAGAGGAGCGCTCTGGGTCCTCGCTCACGTATATGCTGCGCGCATGCACAGCCGATCAATCTATGCAATCTCCAGCCAGCGCTCTCGCAGGCCAGAGGATTGCTGTGCAAGCTTGAGCCAGCAAGGCAACCATGTCATAGCAGGTGAAATTTGGGTCCTTATCGCCCAGTGAATTGTTTTCAGTGCAGGGAAGGTCATTTCAGGGGGGACTATATATGAAGAGAAGGTTACATGTAGGACCCTCCGGTCGACCCATGGCACGAGGTGAATAAGGAAATAGGGGTGCGGGAAGAAAGGGGAAGGGGAGCACCTGCAGTAGGGGTTGAACATGGCGGTGGTGAGGTTGAGGGGCCCAGCGATGGCGCCTTTCAGGCGGATGCGCGCGGACGAGACGCTGGATTGCGCCGTCGACCGGAAACACAACTGGAACCCCTTGCACTTCTCGCTCGCGTCGCACGCCTCCGCTGCCGCCTGCAGCAGAAACATATGAAATCAGACCTGAGGTTTTTCTGCAGCACTGAGGTCAGACATGGCCACACAGAGCAGGCACTGCTGGGTCATTGAGCCTCAGCTATCCCATCCTTCCATGCACAATGATAATCTTGTCATGATCGCTCCGACAATCATAAAGCCAGTGCTTTGCATTGCATGACCAGGAATTACCCTTTAAAAGGGATGCAAAGATGTAATGGTTGGACAACACACCCAAACATATTTTGCTGACCTCTTATATAAAGCGGCAGCCGTGATGGCTGTGACTCACCGTGACATCGCCGGGCAGCTCGCACACATTCTTGGACGTGTCAGACTTTGCGCATGCAAAATCAGCAGAGCCTGACCCGTAGGGCATCTGCACCCCCTTGTAGAGATCATAGCCCGCCGCCGGCTTCAGCAGCTTTGTCGCCAGTGGGATGCCTGTAGGCAGACATCAAGCTTCAGCTTGGGACTGCAGTCTATCCTGATGAAGCACGGTATGCTCCACTGGGGACACTGTTGCATGAGCTTCATGATGTTGGGCTGAGCGGCAGGGCAGGCACTGTTCTCAGTATCTGCAACGGTGGCAAGTGCCTCAGCCGGCAGGAGCCTAGTCAATGTCTCCGCACAATCCAATAAAGGTAATGTGGCTGTCAGGTTGTCATGAAATACTGACTGTCCGAATGCTGTGCATGCATTGCAGGCTGGGTGGTGTGGGCGGCCCCGCACCGGACGTCCATGCGGCCATGTCACCGGTGCGAGTGGTCTCTGGCGGCAGAGCAGTGGTGCCTGACACTGTGATGGGCTGCGCCTTGAAGGCACAAGTGCGGAAGGAGACACCGAACTTGCCATCCGCGTCCGCCAGGTTGCTGGGGTACAGACAGCCCTCCGCCGCCCCACACCTGCCCAACACGCAGTATCTATCTTTCAAGCGAGTTGCACTTCGTGGCAACATCATGATCATGCTGTGCCACTGCTCCTCAGGGGCTTGCTCAACCAACAAGGTAGCTACCTTGCAGGCCTTCCTTCGCTACCCGCCAAACTTATCAATACCCCGATCCACCCCACATCAGTGCGTTGGACGAGGACTCATGGCAACCGATCCGGTCTCTCCTCACATACATATAGATTAAAGAACATGGATGCCTGAAAGGTCATCTCCCAACCTTTGCTGATGCTGGACTCTGGGGTGTTGCATGCATGGATTGGATTCCTCCAAAAGGCTTTTGAATTGTGAGTAATCTGAGGCGCACCAATTCCACATGTTGCACTGTGGCGAGGCCTGGCACTGGCGGCAGCACTCTTCCGCGCTGCTGGTGTTGGTGTGCTCTGTTGGCGGGAAGTCACTCCCATAGTACGCTCCAACCTCCGTCAAGCACTCTGCGGAAAAGTGAGGCCGGGATCAAAAGTCGCCCCAGAGATTGCTGTGCTCCATGGGCATCTGTGAAAATCTGTGCCCAGAAAGAATATCAGAAAGGTGCTCTGCTGCTCGGGAGGTACTGAAACTCTGCAGCTCACCTTTTCCAGTGCCTGCTGGGATGACCACCAGTTCAGGCCTCTTTTGCGCAGGGCTGCTATCCCTGGCACTTGCCAGCACGAGCAACGACTGCGCAGGCCGTCCTTCTAGCGTGATCGCAAGAAGCACCTGCAGGCGGATAGGACCTTGAATGGCAAGTGGTGGGCTCCCATCAGTGCTATAGGGTTGAATTCTGGATGAGGCTACAGGCGGCCGCGTGACGACCTAAAGCAAAGAAGTGGCCAATCTGATACTACAAGTACATTAGTTGACAGAATTCCATTTGGCACGTGATTGAGACTCACAAAGGTGAAAGCGATCCGGGATCCTCGTGGAGGCTGCATAACGGCGCTCCGATACTAAGATGCACTCTAATTCAATCCATCTCCATATTTATGTTGACTAGCGACTGCTATGATTATTCTGCAATGCTGATCGACGCCAGATTGCAGTTGTTTCTGGGCAGGCGATGCCCCTGCTGGTCGCTAGAGCTATGCTATGCAAGCTGCAACGGCAGCCAGCCAGTCTTTCTACACCAGATGGTTGGAGCAAACTAAGCTGATATATGTACGCCACGAAGATGCAAGATAGAAATTTTTTTCTTTTAGTCGACTTGATTCACTCAGTGTTCCGGCCAAGCTTTCTTGAGTTCAGTTGTCCAGGCACCTCACACGATCGCTGACCTGCCCGGCACGATGCAACCCCTTTCACTCGTTTCACGCTATTCAATCTGGAACCCCGTGCATATACGTCCTGGCAGTCACTGACCAGTGCTTGTGACGCTGACGAAGAGCTAGTCCGAACCCTGTCGACCCCGGGCCCGTATATTCCAAGGGTTTTGATCTGAGACAGGTGAAGATGTTCTGGTCCAGAACTTCTGGACCGCAAAGGATACTCTTACTAGGGCTTGTGCAAATATCACACGATTTGAATGACTCGTTGCCTGCCTTGGTCTTTTGTGGGCAGGGTCGCACGGTAGGATTTCGGACTGCACATGCATGTGCCAGCAAACGTTTGTTGACTCGGGTTATTATCAGGTCTTGGGTACAAATTGAACACCATGTTACATTCTGAAGTACGGAACATTGTTCCTTTTCGATCGCCGGTAGCTCATAGCAGATCATCAAAATGTCAATGCGTTCCCCTGAGGATCCAAAGGACACGAGAGAGAAAAAGAATTGTGAAATGTTCTTCTGAAGATGACGCTGCTTCAAGAAGTATCAGGTAGTGTATTATAATGGGTCATCTTATATATTCGATCGTAGGCTCTCTGCCTCGATGTAGAGCGCAGTGCAGTGCAAATGAACACATCCTTTTCACGCAGGGCGGCGGCAGAGCTCGTGATCAAGCAACACATAAAAGAAAGCAGCGTCTTGGGTCTCGGCAGTGGGACGCTTGCGGCTTCAGTGATGGAATGTCTTGCAGCTGAACGGGAGCATGGCAACCTGAGGGTGGGGCTCTGATCGGCATTGCATTCGTCATAGATTGATTTATGGATGTTCAGTAAGAATCATCATGCCCTCGGTGTGCAGGCCATCCGATGCATACCGGCCACAGACACCGCAGCAGTAGAAGCAGCAATACATGGCTTGCCCCTCTCGGACCTTACGCAGCACAACAAGGTAACAAATCGATCCTGTTCTCCATGCGAGTTAGAGAAAGGAGGTGTGCAGACATCAAGGCAGAGCGAGCGCCAGAACATAGGAGAAAGGAATTATATTTGCTTCTGCATGGAGAACCTGTCAATATGCATTTGCTGCCATTGCACGCCCAGAAGATATATTTGATCCAGGTGGACCTCATGGTGAGCGAGGTGGATGAGCTTGATAGGAGCAATCTGGCCTGCATATTTGGAAGGAATCCTGAGGGCACAGCGCCGGTGCAGCCGCCCATCCCGCGCATGCGAGAGCTCTTAGATGCTTCAGACCACTTGATTGCTCTGATCGACCACCCTGACAAGGTGATTGCCATTCTCAAATTGCTTGCAGCTCTTGGGATGAATCACTGATCCTTGGCCATCTTTGGGACTCAGAACGTGAGAGTGGAAGCCAAATCTATAGGAGTGGAAGCCTGCTCTTGTTGGTGAGTGTCTCTAGTTCTCTATTGGAGCTGATCAGAGCTCATGAGAATTGGAGAGTCCTTGATGCTCATCACTGACATGTGCCCCTGTACTCTGCATGCAGGTAGTTGACAGGCTTGCTGGCGATATCCCAGTCTTCATTAGGGCAGATGACTGGGAAGACACAGCCGAGGAGATAGATGACAGGTTCCTGGGGGATGCGGAGATCTGGTGAGCAGTCCCCACTCTTTCCTCAATACTGAACATTGGTGCAGCATGACATTGTGCAAGCTCCCCTGATGTGGGCCCAGAAAAGCTGAGCTAAGCTGAAATACTCACATGTTGCGAGCGCAGGAGGCGGCCATCAAAGGGCACAGCAAATCCTAGGGGTGGGGACCGGCCCTACCTCAGCAACGATGGCGAGCACATCCTGGAGATTCGATTTGGTGGGCAACCGTCTTTGCAAGCAATTCTCTTTTGACCTGCACCCCTGCGTTTGTTGTCCCCCTGCATTGGCACTCCCCTCACGATGCTCAGAGATCTGAGGGATTTTGTGGGTGCAGATGAGACTCTGCGGCTGGATGGCAAGGCAGATGTGGGGTACAGGGAGATTGCTGCAGCCATTGAGGAGATTCCTGGTGTGGTTGCACATGGGCTTATCGTGCGAGCGGGGGTCACAGCGGTGGTGGCTGCACCCTCTGGACCCCAAGTTATTGAGCAAGTGATGCCTGTGCTGTGAAAGCGCGCATGTCAAGTTATGCTGTTGAGCGCAGATGCAGAGAGCGACAGGTGAGACTACCAAGCAGTGCCGCCATTGAACTGAGAGGATCCTCCGTAAGAACTGTATCTGGGCAAGTGGAATGCATCTCAGCATACTGCGCAGCCAAATATGGTGAAAACAGAGGTTGTTGTGCTGATTAGCAGTCAATATGGCATTGTGTTTTTTGTATTCATGCAAGCTATCAGTGCCACACATCAGTGATCATAACTCCGACTCAAGCTCGGCCCGGGACTCAGAGTCTTATGTTCAATGATACAAGTTGTATACTGCCAGTGTGCACTGCAATTTTCAGATCTTCAATTGGCAATTTTGCACGTGCTTGACCACACCCGCTTCGCATAATGATTGTTATTTCCAGTGGAAAGATCATCCTTCACAATCAAAACGGAGATCGTTTGATCTTTGGAGCGATGGGACGACAAAGGGGAACGTATATCTGGCATGGGTATAGTTTGAACGGTGCCCTACATAATTGTGGGCTGCCACTCACGTGATATCCTAATCTGACCTTATCGACTGAGATCCTCCAGACGACTTGCCCGCTGATTGCAATCCACTGTGGTGCTGTGACGGGTGTAGCTGCGTCCATCAACCTGTTAAATCCCGCCAGCAGCCATGAACGCCGTCGTCATGCAGAACGCTGCCTCACAGAGGTGAGCTCAATAGCGTACTGTCCAGCGACCACTTCGGCAGGCGATGCATATATCTCGACTTTGTCCGGTGTTTGTGAAGCTCGAGCAGGGAAAATTGAAATTTTGACTGCGCTGAAATATGTGATCTCCGTGCAGGGTCGCTCTTGCCGGCACCCCTGTCCGCTCTGCTGCAGGTGAGTTCAGTTGCACAAGCCCCTCTGGGATACATTGTGTCCAGTTATATAATTCTTAAGTACCATGCAACAGGTGTGGTCAACATGTGGTAGCTGATATTGGTTGTGTGCATGCAGTGCGCGCTGCCGTCCCAAGGAGGTGAACACAGAACCCATGGAAAGGGATCAGTACCGATCGAATTTGCTGGACACTTGCATCGCCAGCAGCTCTGACAGCTGGGGATTGTTGCATCTTGCAGTGTTACTGTATCAGCGTCCAGCAGCCGATTCAACCAGAATCGCACTGTTTCCAAAACCTGACAGGTGAGATGTGTTGCAGGAGCACCGTTGCAGTCCAGGCTTCTGCTGAGGACACCCGCCGCGGGGTGAGCCTCCATAACTTCGACAAGAACTATAATTCTTAGCAGAGTGACAGCAAATGTGTATTGCATGCATGCTTGCCCACCTGTATTGTACCCAGCTTTCTGAGAGAGATGTGGTGTGTGCGTCAGGTGCTGGCTGGCTTCCTGGGATTCGCAGGCCTGGCATTGACCGCCTCGGCCAATGCCATCGACATCCAGGACGAGCGCAAGGTCAGGGAGAGGGGCTTTGACCTCATCTACGAGGCTCGCGAGCTCGACCTGCCCCAGGCCGTGCGTGACGGCCTCGTCCAGGTGAGAAATAACCCCTCCCCCCGTAAATCTCACAAGAAGTCACCCCCTCTCCCAATACTTCATGCACTCTGCCCTGGGACGTGATGAAGTGGTAGCAATGTGTTCTGCAATTGATGGAGTGATCCAATGACCACGCCTGCCTATATTACTTGTTTGCAACCATTGCCATTACCATCACCAAAAAAATGCATCCCCCAGATTGCCCACCACTTGTGGGCGTGTGTCTGGCTGCATCTATGTGCATCCGGGTGCAAGGACTTGCTTGTGATGCAGCACGAGGGATGGTTATCGGCGGGGAAGGGTGGCTGACTGTTTCTTACATCTGTGTGCGCAGGCCAGGGCCTCCATCCCAGAGACCAAGAAGCGCATCCAGGAGAGCGAGAAGCGCATTGACACCTCCCTCGACGGCTTCGTGAAGAAGCAGTACTGGTGCGACACTCCAACCCCATCTGGGCTCTTTTCATCTCTTAACCCTGACAGCGAGGCATAGAATACTGCACTCGAGAGATACAGTATCTACTAGGCAGGACGGCTTTTGGGCATGCTCCCTTTGCAAACCTTCGCCTGTTCAGTGCCTCAGTTCCCAGAGATACCAGAATCTTTTGTCGGCACAATTAGCGTCGGCACAATTAGCTTTCGGCTATGAATTGAGTACAGTATATTGAATTGATCCTGTTGAAGTCGCGGGCCAGCCCTTCTTTGCACTATCTTGCACGCGAACACTCGCTCCTGGTTTTATGAAAGACATTAGGACATTTTGAAGATGTGCACAAATCATGATGCTGCAAGTGGTCTTGCGCGTGAGCAGGACGAACGCCCGCGAGGAGCTGCGTCTGCAGGCCGGCACACTGCGCTTTGACCTCAACACCCTCATCGCCCAGAAGGACAAGATCAGCAGGAAAGCCGCCGAGGCCCTCAAGAAGGACTTCCTCCTCAAGGTGCATCCCCACTCGTGCTTCCTGCATGCCCTGAAAGCTGCTAATGATCACAGCTGCAGAAGCCTGCCAGCAGTGTGGGTTTAAAACAGTAGAACCTGGGTGCAAACTCTCCAAAATAGCCAAGTGCTGATGCTCGATAGCAATTTTGCCTTCCTGCTGTGCCTTGCAAGTGCACTGCTGTTCACCAGCGACTTTCAATCCATCCCCAAATTTGAGCATGCATTGCCAATGGCGCACTTGCAGAGACATGAGCATATATGGTGAATGTTGATATGTTCTGCAGGTCGACGAGCTTGACTACGCCATCCGCAAGAAGGACTCTTCAAAGGCCAACATCCTCCTGGCCGATGTCCAGAAGTCCCTGGACACCGCCATTGCCGGCATTGCTGCTTAAGCAGTACTGCACCAACAACTTTGACCATTTCCCAGGAGCAATGCCATTGCCGGCATTGCTAAACCCAGTTGGGGTTGTGTATCTGAGATCTGTGCAGTACATTAGTATGTCATGGCGGCTGTGATTGCGCCATCACCTGCTTTTGAGACTGTGTGGACATATTCCCGAGAAGACTGATGTGATTATTCTGTTGAGAGACTTGTCACTTGTACGTACACTTGAGATTTGTAAGGAGGGACATTGCCTCAAGGTTTCACGGATTGCTTTCTGGACTTCTGCACTGATCATAAATCACCAGTATCTCATGAACAAGGAAAGGCCCCCGCCGTTATGCAGATCTATGCATCATGATCTGCGATGTGGACAACCCTCTGCATGCGTTCTCCCTACCAAGCGCTCCAGTCGTTAAAGCATACTCGAAACAAATGAAGTCCACTCTTTTCCAGCAGCTCCAGTCAGAAATCAGAACCTAACCAGCAATAGCGCTGGCAAACGGTCATGTGCATGCAAGTCAATTGAAGTCAATATCTGCGCACGCATCTAGCTCAACATGGGTCCCTGGGGTGTGACTGAATTCTTACTGGGCCGCTGTTTTTGCCCGCTTTGAACCCCTAGTTGCTCTCGTGGGTTCCTTTGGGGCCTTCTGCACATCCTCCTCCTTCAATGCTGCATCATCGCTCTCCGGCTGCTCTGCAGGCGCTCTCTTGCTGCCTGCATTCCCGCCACCACCAGACAACTCCCCTTCTTCCTCACCACCCTCTGCCTCTCCATCAGCAGCCGTCGCCTCTGCCATGTCGGTATCGCCCTCCTGCACAGCAGCCTCGGCTGGCTGCGCTGAGGCCACATCCGCCCGGGCGTCACCGTTGCCGATCCCGTTCACAGCGCCGTTCTGTGCTCCGGTCCCCGCTGCAGCTGCGCTGTCCGCTGCATGTGCAGTGGCGGCCTCGCCCGCAGCCTCCTCCACCGCCGGCCACACAGCGGTCGCATCCTCTTCAGGGCTCTCTGCCAGAGACGTCCCTGCCTTCTGCTCCGCGCCCCTGCCTTCCGACTCTGCAGCCCCTGCTCCTCTGCTGCCCACCGGCTGGCACTCCCCCTCAGCCGCTTCTCCCTCTTCCAACACTCTTTCCTCTTTCATCGTTGCCTCCTGCGACGCAGCGCTCCCGGCCGCGCCGTCCTCGGCAGCAGCTGCAGCGGGTGCTATATCCGGCGGCGCTTCCCCGTCCTCAGCAGCGCTCAGCTCAGTTTCCATGGGCGTGGGGCCCTCGGCAGCGGCCGCGGAGGGAACGGCGCTGGAGACGGCGCCCGCATCGGCGTCGGCGCCGGAGCGTGCGACCGGGGCCTCCGTCGCCTCTGACAGCGCGGCCGACGCCGGCGCCGATGCCGCAGGCGCCGGCGGCTTTCTCCTGGCTCCCTCCGGCACGGCATCCTGCACAGCCCAACGCAGATCAGCGCCCCCGGACGCGACCTGTAGCCAATCGCTTACAAGCACAGACAGACACACGGCCGATGAGCGCTGTGCACAGCCAAGCACTGATCATTGAGCAAAGCACATCACGCCACCTCCACAGCCCCAAATCGGAGGAGTCTACACTCTCAGAAACTTATGTCAAATTGGCTAATTCAAGAAGCAAACTCATCAAGAGAGTATTCCCTGTGCTTGGGCGGATCAGGAAACAAACCGGACACGGCCTATGGCGCGCACCGGGAAGAGCTCGTGGACGGCGTCTTCGAGGTCCAGCTTGGCGCGCGGGTCTGCGTCGCGCTCCCTCTTGTCCTCCTTGCCGCCGGCCGCTCCCTTGCGCTGCTTGGGCTGCGTGGCCGTCAGCATCTTGGAGAACACCGGCAGCGACGCCCGCGCAATCTGCCGCAGCGATTTCCACGTGTACACCTCGTCCTTCTTCGTCTGCATCCCCACATGCGCATGTAGTTAGCAAAGTGTCAGTGGAGAACGCAGGTACTGCAGAGGTGTAGCATGCACATAGAGCAAACTGCTCTGCGTCCTGTGCCGTGACGGCCAGCCCACTTCTTGGAGAAGTGGGGATGCCCGTCCAGCATGCCACCAAGGTGCACCACCGGCGCAACACGAACAGATCACTGTGATGAAGCGGGGCCTGTCTTTTCCGTACCTGCTGCCTTTTCTATCAGGCGCCTTCAGGAATAGCAGGTCAAGCTGGCACCTTGAGAGTACCGTGGATGACAAATGAATTACACGCCGCCTAGGAACCCTCCCATGTTCTCATGCTGGCGTATACAGCCAACACTGCCGCGGGATGTTGCGGGCGGCGATTCATGAAGAAAAGGTGAGAGAGAGGTGGCAGGATCTGAACAGTCAAGTTACATAGGGCTCTGGCGGCAGGCCAGCGCATGCTTGAGCTGGTGCAGACTCACCTTGTACTGCTCCTCGATGCCTTCTTCGGGATCCATCTCCAAGATGACAGGTGCCAGGAATTCCTGCAGGCTGGGCGTGCTGCGCTGGTTCGTGTCGCCCTTCAGGCAGCTGGTGTTGTCCCGGGTTATGTTCCACAGCCTGGCAACACACACAACAGCAATGAAGTGTTTGGGCTATGTGCAAGCACAAGAGCAAATGCCAGCACATATGGGACATCTTGGCACCAGCCGATTGAGGCACCATTGTGATGGGATAGGAACGAGGCTACCCGCCCTCCCCTGCCCACACATTATAAAAAGGCGGTAAGCAGGGGCACAATTCTTTGAAAAAGGGCGCACGTGCTAAGCGCTTGCGAGCCGGTGTCGACGTAGTTGGGGTCAGATACGGTGGCGGCTGTGGCGGCCGTGGCGGCCTGCAGCGCAGTACTAGGGGCCAGCGGCGACAGAGGCGCAACCTCTTTCCTCTCGTACCCCTGGCACCCCTCGCTCTTCCACTTTGTCCACCTGGCCACAGCCAGTCACCAGGCTCAGTTTTGAACTCTCCCAAATCAGGCCAGCTCAGAGGCAACCTTACCAAAATCAGGCGTTCCAAAATACCTGGGCTTGTCATGTTGCATTCCTTCCTTCTGTGATGTGTCTCCCCTCATAAGTGGTCGGCGCTGCATGCAGTGCCTCAAATGCACAGCTAATGGTTTACAGCAATCCTGCAGGGACGCAAGCACACGCGCATGAGAAGCAGGCGCAGAAGGGTGACAGGCAGGGGAGGCGCGCACTGCGTCTCGCGGGTGAGGATGGTTCTGACGGCGGCGCAGAAGTGGGTGCCGTGCTTGGGCGTGCGCTGCAGCTCAGCGTACAGCAGCCCCTCCAACTCCTCCGCCTCCAACACCTGCACAGCAGAATTAATATCAAGAATTGATGGCAAGCCATTTCTAGACCATCGCAAGTGGTTCCTTGCGTGCCGTCACCATGCACAGCCTGCAACTTTTGTGAAGTTCGCCCACCATAACACACAGAAGCCTGTCCATTGCCGGATATCCGGTGCCGATCCCTAGGCACAGCCTGCAATTGCTACAACCGGATTTTTCAACACACAGCGCTCGGGGTCTTGTGCCTTGCGTGGTAGAGCGGCAGGGAGGTGCAGGCCACCAGCTTGCTCCCTCAAACCCAGGAGACATGGCACTTGTCTGCATCGTCACTGTCTTCATCATCTGAACAAATGTATGGACTCAGATTGTCATCTATTGACCAAGCTGTCACCTGCTTGCTGCGCAGGGCTTCCTTCTTGGCCTGCTGCGCGGCGGCGGCGCCGGGCTTGAGCACGGGGTTCTGGCAGGCGTGCAGGAAGATGAGCGCCTGCAGCAGGAAGTGGCGGCGGAGCGTCGCGTCTTGCAGCTGCAGCCGCATCAGCTTGGGGCTGCTCAGGTACTTCACTGTCAGCGCTGCTGCCTCCAGCAGTCCCCCCTCTCCCTCTCCCCCGCTGCTGCTCGCCAACGCCACCGGCTGTGCGCATAAAATTAGATCCTTGAGTGCATGCATGCATGTAGACCACCACGGGGCCTCCCACCCCAGCTCACTGGGCTCATGTCATGTATGGATGGTATACACACCGTTCGTACTTCCCCACCTACAATGGGAGACGCACTGGAGGGGAGAAGCTTCGACAAAAGAGGAAGTTTCCAAGGAGGAGTGCAGCATGCTTTGAAGCCGCAGCGACGCTGAAAGCGCACCTGCTTTGTGAATTCTGTCAGCACCCGCTTGATGTCCGTGATAGTGGCGGCCCACTTTGAGGGCTCCATGGCGGTGTAGGGATGCTGGAACACGTCCTGCAGGCCCCAGAATGTGGCATAGAAGGCTGCGTCCACCGGCTGCCCATTGCTGTCCACCGCCCCCTGCCCAACCCACACCAAATGTCAAAGCCTTGTACCAAACCACATGTCAAGTGCCAAAGCATGCAATCCCGCTGCTGTCTCCTCACATATCCGACACAGTGGCAATCATACACGCTGCCAGGATACCGCCTCCATGTGTGCGCATCACAAACACGGGTCTCGCATAAATGCAAAAGCAGCAGTACGATGCAGAGCCCTCCTGTCGAGGGGTTCACTCGGGGCAATGCTAGCTAGTGCCTTACAGAGTAAGCAAGAACAGAGTGCATGCATGAAGGAGGGCGCGAGCGTTAAAGTAGAGAGGGAGGGCTGCCTCGCAGTGCATCGACAACACAAGAATATCCCGGCCCAGGACAATTGAAAAGCGCGGGATGGGCACCTCGGGGACGTCCTCGACGGGGGTGGAGTGGCTGGTGTTGAACTGGCCCTGCACGTTGAGCCCCGAGCGGTCCAGCAGCGGCAGCAGGCGCGTGAGGAACATCAGGATGCGGCCGCACAGCTCGCTGCTGCTCGCGCGCGACAGCCGCCGCAGCAGCTGGTTGCAGATGCGCAGCACCGACAGCTTCGAGTGCGACGTAGCGCTCCCAAAGTTGTACACCTGCGCAGCCGCCGCGCCGCCTGAGCCTCATCAAGCACATGACCCGTATACCCTGTTGATGGGATCAGGCCATAACAGCAGCCTGTGGAATCTGCGATCGACGTAGAATGGAGCCGGCCAGCCGCCGCCTCTTTCTTTGCAAGCCTGTCAGAGTCTGCCATCCGCTTCCCCAGCTTCTAGCTCTTATAATTTAGCTCCAACCGACTGCTTTGTATGCTTGACACTCCTCCTGAGGTGCAATCTGACTGCAGAGGTTTCTACCGTCCTCAAAGGCAGAGAGTAAAAGAAAAAGCAGGGGGGCATGTGTGGTGGATGAGCCAGCCTCCGTTAGGGGGTAAAGATGACTGTGAGGAAAGTGCCCACCTGGCGCAGCTTCTGTATGCGCGACTCTAGGTAGCCGAAAACGCCCTCCGCCTCCTCAATGGTCGACAGCTCCATCACATCCTCCATGATTGCGAACACCAAAACTGCAAGACCCAGCACAGCACCGTCTTTCTGATGGACTGCAAACAGAGCTCAGCGGATATACTGAGGTTTCCATCATGTCTGCACAGTGTCTGTGATGCGGAAGCGCTAGGTTGCTCTATGTCGGCCTCAGCCTCATGCCACACCTGTATCGATCTGGCGCTGGGATCCAAGGTAGACCGTCAGGTCCAGGAGACGGGGAATGGAGGGCTCTGATGCCCCCGCATGCCTATACTGCGTGGAATTGACACCATGCTCCACTGCAGACTTTACGAGGCTGGCGCATGCCTGCCGCACGCTGTGTTCCAGAATGGTGCGCCCGATCTGGCTCTGCTCTGATGCCAGCATGTTGAGCACCTTCTGCCCAGCCTGCGTGGCACAGGACCTTGGGACAGCATGCCACTGCGAGGTGTCCTACTGACTTCCTTCTTATTCAGACTGTACTCAATTTATTTTCCATTCATAAGGCTGATTTAATTCAGTGAGACTTTCCGGGATCCATCCTGCACTGACCTCGTTGGTGGTCACCCATGGAGCCAGCAGCTCGACGTTGCAAAGAGCAGCTGGTACAGCGTGGTCGACAGCACCATCGGCGACCAGACCGCCAACGATTGCCTCCTGCATTACTCCAGTCGTCTTTAGTCCAATTTACGCTGTGAAAGAAATGCAAGAGCCCTTTCTGGCATTGATCTGTCTTACCTCAGCTTGTTGGACACACTGGTCAAACTCCGTTGCTGTTTCTCCATCCACTTCCATCTGTAATTTTAAGAATTTCAATAAATCTGGGCTCTCTGTGAGGCGCGTTCAGAAGAGATTGCTTGAACACATCTCACAGTGTCAGTGAAGACCTGAGGCTATCACTCAGAAATCTTGCAAAGCATTCTTTAGGAATATTGCAATTTAACAACGTAGAAACTAAAGTCAGGGAGGAGACTTCATGAATGATCGTGAAAGTAAAGACATACCCTCCCATAACCACCTATTTTTCTCGATAGGGCCAAGGGTAAGTATGATATCGGGGCAGCACATAATTCTGGGGCCTTCGAGTCAACCAGGACGTCGAGACAGCTTCCTGCTCTCGCTCCCCTCACGACGCAGTACTTTACAATTGTCCTTCATCAAAAGCTGCAGTGTAAAGTCGAGGCAGGTTGCGAGGGCTGGCAGTGCCGTGCTTCTTTAGCCACTGAGTGTCTGGTGGCGGGAGTTTAGAAGTGCCTCCTCGTCCCCACGACCAACGGCTATTCGGAGGAGCACACCGAGCTTCTCGGGGGGCATCAACACTGCCACATATAAGAGAACTCATCATATAGCACTTGAACATAGCACCAACGGAGATGGGTGCCGGTTGGAGGCGCGTTAAAGAGAAGGTGAAGCCTTTTTGCCAGCTGTTGATGGCCTTTTAACTCCTATCAAAATGCAAGCATTGGAGGCACAGGCGATACCGGATTACTCTCGTCTGTAATGGTTATGATGTTTGCTGCTCCTACCTGTTGGCAATATCTGCTGAAGTCGTTTTACACCTCTCTACTTTCTGCCAATGTAACATCTGCCTGCAAAACCCTTGGCTTCTCTTACATGTCTGGTTGGGCACGCAGGTGAAGCAAAGCTGGCAGTTGAACGAGAAAAATTTTATTGCGACTTCCAATGCCAGAAATGAGCACATGCTGAAGGAGGCTGGAGACTTTGCAAACCACCTGAAGCATTGTGAGAGGGACATCAGAGCACTGAAGAATGCTACAGAAGGTGACTATTGCTGTGTCTCTGCCGCATTTACGATGATTCGGTTGTTACGACAGAGTCTTGGAGCACATCTGGGACAGTGAGCCCAGTTTCACCACTGAGAAGTATATCACTGAAACTATATTTCTTCGCAGGTCTTTTGATCACCACAAAAGCCATAATGGCGGCTCCCCTGCCAAGGGTGTTTGAGGAATCAGCAGGTGGAAAGGCGGTGCCTGTTCCAACAGCACCGGGCCAGAATGGAAACATTGGAGGGGACTTCAGGGCAGACGAGCTTGTGAGGGTGTCCAAGGACACTGTAAGCTCCCAACTCTCAGCTTGCTCCCAATCCTGTTCGTTCATGCTATCACTTCTGCATTTTCGTCGCTGTGCAAGATTTACTCGTCGTCGCATCCGTCATACATGAATATGGAAAACGCACTCTCACCTACAGGGCTGTCCAGTACTGTTTGTGGTTGTGGACGCAAGCTGAGTTGTGGGTCATGGAATGCAGTCCAAGAAGCTGGAGGCGGAAGTGCTGGCGCCCATGGCCAGGTGGACAACAGCTTACTCGACAGTGCAGGCAAGTGTCTTACATGCTGGCACAGCCTTGCAGACACTTTGAACATCTTTGCACATTCCTTCTCAACTCTCTATGTCTCACCCCGCCCTAGCCCGCCACCGTTTTGCAGACTGCATTGCCTTACGCAGCTGGAACATGCATGGTTTTGTCTCTGTCCTTAATTAAGCATTTGCTGTGACTAAGAGTGGCGTCAGTGCAGGGGAGGATGAAGCGGCTGGAACAGGTGCGGCTGGAGGTGGATTCCAGGCGGCACACAGTGACGGGGCTGGGGCATCAAATCGAGAAGCAGAGGGCCAAAGTGACCCCTGGGGGCGCCAGTACCGCACAGAAGGCGGAGAACCAGATGGACCAGACCATCAGGAAAATGCAGCACAAGGAGAACAAGCTCGCAGGTGGGCCTGCCACCCTGCTCTAGTGGCATGAATCATTGGGGACGTGATCTGGTCATCGTCAAGGTCCATGCATTTGCGGTGCATGGATTTGACCGAGACATGCCACGTCCCCATTGACCCTGTCACTGGGGAGACGTGAATTCACCAGCAGCACTCATCTGTGAGATGTAGCAGAAAGCAGATTTGTCATCGCGACTTCTTTATTTCCAAATGCGTGACGCGGGTGACGTGGCTGCAGCGGCGCGGCAGTCGTTCAAGGAGCAGGAGGCGCTGGTGTACCAGCAGCTGGCGCAGCTCATCCGCGACGGCGTCTGGCTCAAGAGCTACCTCGCAGCTGTCATGCGCCTGGAGCAGGAGGCCTTCCAGGTGCACCCACCACTCTCATGCACCGAGTGAATTTTTGCTTACTTGATATACAGGGTGTTTTTGTACTTTTCATTCTGTGTCGACTCCTCATGGGTCCTTTCGCTGATGCTGTCCCAGGTGGGGGGACACCTCACCTGCACGTGCTGTCTACGCCGCATGAGGGGTCTACCTCTCGTTTCTGTTGACCGGTGTTCGCCCAGCATAGGGCTCTGGGGAGGGCATTTTTCAGCGAAAAGCTTCACGTGGGGACTCCCTCAGATTGGGGATGGCTGACATGGCTGTAATGGTGGCGCAGGCGTCATACGCGGCCCTGGGACCGAGCAAGGCGCAGCTGCCGCTGCCGCCCATGTCACCTGACGGCATCACCAGCACAGTGCCCCCCACCTCAGAGCCGGCCGGAGTCTCCATCCCAGCCAGCCGCCCCTTTGACGCAGCGCAGGTACCGCCTTCTGCCCCATTACTGTGCCATGAGTCACACCCCCGCATGCATGTTCCTGCTTGTGCCTCGCTCCCCCAAGCTGGCATTCAGCGTTGCATGCGCCCACTGCCCTGCTCGCCCACAGGCTGCTAACGTGACCGGCACTCTGGGCCCCAAGGTGACTGGCAAGCGGCTGGCCGCCACCGGCAAGGAGAATGGCGTCGGCCTGGCCTCGTCAGCCTACTCCGCCAAGGACGAAATGCCGGCAGCGCCCACGCAGCAGCACCGGCGCACCGAGTCCCGCGGCTACGACCGTTACGGGGAGCAGAACTACGGCGCCAGAGGGGATCCCGTGCCCGCCTGGTAGATTTGCCCGCGCATGCTGCCGGCCGCTGCATTCGGGGTTAATGCAGTGTGCTGCAGCGCCGGATGTTAAAGCACAGAGCTGGGGATGATGTTGGATCTGCCCAGGCTGGAGCAGAATGTATGAGCTGGCAACCTTGTGATGGTCAGTTGGGTCAGAGGATGGAGACTGCTTTTGCGAAATCGAGTGCCGCGTAAAGGCAAGGAATGCAGAAAGGCAGGGATGAGGAAAATGCCAAGGGGGTATTGCGGGTTTTCCTGTTGGGTACTTCATTATTGTGGGATTGCTGGTGGGGAAGCAGGTCCCACTCTCAATGCAACGAATGAGAGGCAAGCTGCATTTGACTTGAAAGGTGACTCGTGGAGATATTGGGAGGCATTATGAGACTCCGATGTTCATGGTCCTGCTTCTCAGAATGACTGGGTCAAAGCTGATGAAACTCCTGCACGGGAATGTCTGCCACATGAGCTGCTTTCCTGGGCCTCACCAGGACGCTGGCTGGGTGCCAAAGATGGTCAGCTCTAGAGTCATGACATCTTGGTAGGATCCTTAGTAGAAGTCGGACTCCACTCAGCAGGCTGCTCCTTTAAATTGCGGTCCAATCGGCCAAGACTTGAAAAGATCGCCAGAAATGTCCCTTCAACAAGCATGAACAGCTGCGAGGTATAGTGGGTGATATGCTGTGAGCGACCTCCAGTGACACAATGAGCATGCGTGGGCGCTCTCAAGTGCACGTGCTGTTGTCACCCCTGAAGACGTGTGAGCTACTAATCATTCAAGGTAGAACGACTTCAGCTCGATCGATTCGCGAAGAGCCCAAGCTTGTCTCTGACCATGCATGTTGACATTTCAACATATAGAATTGATGTCAACAGCCCTGGGTACATCTCTTAAACTATGGTAATACTCAGTGAGGAGCGCCTTTTTTGGACCTTGAGGCCAACAGCCAATGAAAACTTCCAATGCAGTGGAAGGCCCCACAAAACTACGCGCGCCCCCGAGGCGCTGCTCACCTTCCCTATTAATTACCCCATCTGCCTTGGATGTTTCTTTAGTACAAGGTACTTGGTCGCTGCCATCCACCTGTTCAGAGACGTTGGGCGTAGGTAGTCTGCATTTGTGTGGGATGGTCTTGTGAGGCATATTGGGTCAACCATCGTCAAGGGCCGCCAGCCTCGGTATTCAGAACCTTCAAAGTCCAGCCTTTAAACGCAGATGTCGGGTACCACGCCAGCTTGCAGGCGTCAGTTGATGGACGAGCATGCACGGTATCTAAGGAAACCTTGAAAGAGTTGCGGAACCTGTGGATAGAGGAAAACAGTCACAGCGGCCTCAACCATCTGACGAGGTACCCCTCTTCGACGGGCAGGTCTCTATGACAACTTCGTTGATTCAGGCACCATCCATCACTGACACTCAGGACCTCAATGGGCTTGGGATTATTCGTCGAGGTTTGGGTCGATTCAATTATGCCGAAAAGCAGCTTATCAAGGATCTTCTAGCTTTGCGAGATTTAAGACTAACAGCCGTTGGCTCCTACTCGGAACCAAGCTTGGTGGAGTGCCGAATACCTCGCAGCGTAGATCATTAATACATATGTTCGGTGCCCTTTCCATTGCTTTATAGCTCCTGCGTTCTGGGCAGGGCTTTCACATTGGCATGCCCGAGAAAGCCCAGCTATTCCTACTATCCGAAATTTCGGACTATAACATAATCATCATCGTTCATGACTCCGTTCTTGTATTTGATGTTTCGGTATGTCTTTGTGCAGGATAGGCTTCAGGCGAGGAGACGGGACTCCGATAGCCAGAGTCGTTGGAAGGTTGCTGTCATCAGCACTTCTCCAGGCAGACGCACTTGCAACCGAAACCCATCAGGTAAAGTATGCATACACGCCAATAGTTGCTTTTAGGAGGTGAAAATCCATGCTCATTCTGGACAAGCATACACTATCAGCTATGAGATTGTTTGATAGGGTGCAATCTTATGTGTCTCGTCTAGCCTCAAGCACCAGGTCAGGGTCAGCGAAGATGGCACGATTCATTTGCACTATCGAATCGACCCGCTTTTCTTTGTGATGGCAGCATTACGGCCTATAGACTGTAGTATTCTGTCCCAACCTTGGTTTGAATGGGATGTTTGTCAGAGTCGCCAGTGTGAAGAGAATCAGAAGTCCCTGGGTGGCATATAGCAACAAATGGGTAGCAAGCTGCGTAGAAGCCTATAATGGTGTCTGCATTGCCTAAGCAGTATGGAAGTCTGGCCTAGGCTGCCATGTCCATATGTCTACCTTCCCTCAAGTGCCTGCAAATGCCTGCAGGGTGGGCAATGTGCTGAGGAGCATACATGGTCCTGCTGTGAACCAGCACACAAGGCAGACAGGCACCAATGGTATCGAGCTACGTGGGTAGCGTGACTCAGCAGCTGTCGCCGCGGCACCTGCACTTGTCCCAGTCATGGCCGCTAATGACCCCCTCACAAGGTCAGCTGCCCTCCGACAGAGGCAGTTCCTGCGAGTACGAGGTGCCGCTGCCCTACTCGGCCGCCCAGCCGGCCTGGGACCTCACCCTGGAGCCCATTTGGAAGATCACAGCCGCCCTCAAGGGAAGCCGACAGGATAGCTGCGCCACATCGACGGCCGCCGCCGCGCCGACCGGCGCGCCGCTCTCGCCGCTTGCGCAGCGGGCCGCCAACGCGGCAGTGCGCGCAGCCGCCGGCTGGCTGTCCCCCGGCCAGTGGCGCTCGGCGCAGGCCGCCGGCTCCGCCGCATCGCCGCGCAAGCCGGCAGCACCGGCGCGCAGCAGCGGCCCGGCGGCCGCACAGCCGGCTTCGCAGCCGGTCACGGAGGACGGCCTGGTGGCGTTCAGGCCGCGGAGGTGGCTGGCGGAGGGTGCGTCGGACCTGGAGAGCAGCATCACGGCGCTGGCCGACGCGCTGGGCGCTCTGCAATGCGCCGGCAGTTCGCAGTGCGAGGCGTTCCCATCCTTGGCAGACCTCCATCAGCCGTCCATCGGCGCGCCCTGCTGGCAGGCGCCACAGCCGCGCAGAAGTGATGTTCCGCTGTTCAGCACAACCGCCGCATACCTGGGCTCGGACGAGTGGGACGACGGGGAAGGCAGCGTGGACGGGGAGCTGGGCCGGTGCAGGGAGGATGAGCGCGAGGAAGCTCCGCTGCAGCTGCAGCGCAGCTGCTCCTCCGAGTTCTTCTCGGCATGCAGCGGCAGCCTCAGCGCGTCCGAGGAGCGCTGTTCCTCTGCGGAGGCCAGCCCGCCGCAGCAGCACTCGCCGCCGCAAAAGGCGCCGCTGGCCACACTTCCAGCCAGCACCATCCGGCAGAACCTGCTAACTCACTTCCCTGAGGCTACTGCAGCCAAGTCCGGCACAATAAGGGAGGAAGAGCATCAACCCAGCACGGCCCCGACACCCCAGCCATCCAGCCCTCAGGTACTCACAGCCTGCTTGCAAATCGGCACGACATTCCCTGTCATTTCTGTCCCTTATAAGCAAATCTTGGGGACCCTTTACTTGCTGCACAGCTCCATGTTCTGGCTAAAGCATCCAGGTACTTGCAAGTCATCCCTAAAGGCAGATGCCTCCCTGCTCTGAACACACAACCAAGATATTATTCACACATGCATGCGCAGAAAGCCAGGACTAAAAAGCAGAGCATTCGGCGCAGGCACAGGTGCCCCTGTTCAGCCCAATTGCGATGGCGGCCGCGCGCGGCGCGTCGGACCTGCAGACACCGTTTGCTACGGCGTGCTTGGCTTCGCCCTTCGAGGCGCCGAGCCCCCGGGACATGCACCTGTCGCCAGCGGAGGAGCGGCTGGTGCCCACGCCCTCCCTGGGCAGGAGCTGCGGGCTGCCTGCGGGTGAGTCAGCAGAGGGTGACTCGCCCCGGGAGCAGGCCGAGCGCGAGCGCGCGTTGCGCATGCTCGCCTGCCTCTGGGCCAACACAGAGAAGGCTCCCTGGGCCGAGGTGCGCACCTTTCTCCCTACTCGATATGATCCAGATCATTTTGGCCAGCCAACTTGCACAAGCGAGTTGCTCTGGGGATGTGTGGCTGCCCGCCTCTTGTACCCCGCCCATGCCTAACCATTCACCCCTGAGTCTAGCAGATTTCGTGCCTGAATGTCTCCAGCTCAGAGCTGCAAAGTTTGTTTGGTCTCCTGACAGGTGCCTGAATGCAAGTCATTATGGTTGTCCAATCTGGAGCTGCCTTGGGACTGCATGCGTCACCCTGTGTCAAGATGCAAGGTAAAACCATCTGGTGATAAGAGAGGCCGGTCATCATGACTGCAGGCGCAGCCACCACAGGCGGACAGCAGAAAGCGCGAGCAGCCGCACCCGCAGCGGCCGGCCGCTCCGCCGCCTGCGTCGTGCGCGGTGCAGCACAAGAGCGGCGGCGCGACGGGCAAGCGCCTGTTCGGCATTGTGGGCGACGGCCAGAGCGAGTGGCAGCCCCTCGTGCGCGAGTGCAACCAGGTGCTACTTTCACCTTTTGCAGGCTCAAATAGATCTGTCTCCAAGGTTGTCGAGGCCTTCCTGCAGCTGCAATTGACCTGGACCCCCAAACTGTTGAGGGGCCGCTCCAACAGGCCCTGCCAGAGCCTCTTGGCTCTGGAGACTTTTCACATCCGAGCGGAAAAGTTCAGGCATGGCGTCCTCATTACTCATCAGCTGCTAGCTCACTCGTCTGCTCAGACAGCTTCCACGCCCGCGGCATGCGCTGGTTTCACGCATGCATGATAGACTTGCCCACCCAGAAGTGGGCCCTGCGATGCTGGCTGATGTGCAGATCAGAGGCATCAAGGTGGCAGGAATCCTTTGGGGTCAATGGTGCAGGTGGTTGCTGTAACTTGGTGGCTTGATGAAGCTGCTGCTGTCCTGCAGATGATGGAGCTGGGTGGAGTGGACACCGAGTGGCTGCACGACATGTTGGACTTCGCAGACACTGTGTACGGTTGACAGCTGCGTCTGCTGCCTTGCAAAGCTGTCTTCCGCGGAGCCATGCAGCGCAGCCTCATTGAAAGAGTGTGTCTGTCCCAGACACTGATGGGACGGAGACACATAATCAGCTGCCGCGCAATATACCACTGCACCCCATGCACAGATCCAGAGACAGAGAACTAAAATTTGCTTGGGGCAAGCTCGCAGAGGCTATCCTTGCCATTCCATGCGACGCGGGCCGTGCTGCAGAAGGCTGATGTGAGGTGCTTGGCAGACGGGTGCTCCGATGAAGCTTCCAGGACCGCGGAAGCTTCATGGAGCCTCCATAGTGTGCTGAAGCTGCCTCTCGAGGGAATGTAGAGCTTGCAAATGTATGTGTAGGATAGTTTTCCCCGTTCTTGCTCGCTTTTCCTGCACTTGCTGCAAAGGCAGCATCAGCGCTGAATGGTATTGGAACTTGATACTGGCAGAGCATGTCTGCATTCGCAGCGCCAACTGTGATCATTGTCACTGTGTGCAAACTGAACTGCTATCAAACACATGAATAGACCTGAGGTCACAGCTGCAGACTGCGTCCGAGATACAGATGACATAATATAATATATGAGAGTTGCACAGCTTTCCTGCTGGTATTCTCACTGTGGCTTGTCCTGAGAGAAAACAAGCGTGGGAAGGCTTGCTAGCTTGTGCTGTTAGTTTATCTTTGATTGCTGCATCAAGATGCAGACGGTGTCTGATATTGCTCAAGCTGACGAGTGTACAGCTATAGCTGCAAGTCTTTGTGGTCAATCGCAATGCAACAAATGCCACTACTCAAGGGCAGTTGAAGTAGGTGGAATGCAGGACCCAAATGGTATCTGCTGAGACAAGGAAGCAGACACAAGTTGAGTACCTAGCGCCGTGTTGAGACCTTGAGCACTCCAAAGGGATGCGTATGGTCCTGCATCATCTGCATTGCATGTCAGTGTTATATGCAGCTCATGCATTTCTTCCTATACAGTACTTGTATCTAGATAGACTCCAATGCACATCTGTCCAGATACAGAATGTTTTACAGCTCAGTATACCTTTGTGCGCAGTCCAGACAATACATGACTTACACCAGAGACACTTTATTTCCTGGCAAGTGCCGCTCCAGCATCCAGTATTCAAGTTCAAAAAATCTCTTTGTGTGTCAGTTTATGGCTCCTATGCTATCACTCCTCAAGATGCTCCAATTCCTGTCAGGCAGACGGATATGGACGGCCTGTCAAGTGAAGGCTGCAGCTCAGCAACATTCAAACTTGACTGAGGCCTGATCCTAATTAGGGAGTGCGATATCCTCTCCAGTTGTAGACTCAGGTTTGGTGATGATCTGAGGGCGCTGGCTGACTCCCTCAGAAGAGCTGGGCTCCACAGACTCTTGGCGGCCCATTAGGAACTCCATCTCGTGCTTTGTCAGCTTTGCGCTGGCAGCAGAGCCCAGGTCTGCCTGGCCTATGATGCCCTCCACCACCCTCCTCTTCCACTCCTGCAGCTCAAATATCCTCTCCTCCACCGTGCCTGCCCACACACGCAGCCCCATCAGAAAGACTTATGTGCCACAGCCGTCAAATGCGATGTTATCATGCCACTGCTGTCATCTGCAGATCCGCAGAGCTTGGTGCGGAGACCCAGTAATATTGAAGGCTGCTCTGAGGCAATGACTCCAATCGAGGAGCCATTTCAATTGGTAATTTGGGAGCCTCTGGCACCAGATGACCTCTGGGTGGGGCGACTTACTACATGCCATTCCCAATCTGCATAAAGACCCTGGATGCAAGGATTGAGACCCCCTTCTTGGACGCGTGATGGTGCTGGTTGATTAGGGGTCTGTACGCTTTTGGCCCACGAGCGCACCTGGCACGTAAAGCTTGAAGACTTGGACGACCCTGGTCTGGCCGATGCGATCTGCGCGGCTTATGGCCTGCTCCTCCAAGTAGGGATTCCAGAACGGCTCAACCTGTGGACCGACACAGACAATTTCTCTATGTAGCTCTCCCCATCATGCACGCATCAACGATGAATTTGCACACACCCCAAGGCTGCTCGAGTAGTTTGAGAACGGCGAGCACCCATACACATACACTGGCATGGCTGCATGGCATGCAGGAAATGCATGGCAGAGGCTTATGGCACACGCACACACACGCACACACAATGTAGACATACAGAGGGGAAAGTGTTCGGCTTCACCAGGACCACCCTGCTGGCAGCAGGCAGGTTGAGGCCTGTGCCGCCGGCCATGGTGGATATGAGGAAGACGGTGTTGTCCCGATCCCCACAGAAACGCGCTATGTTGTCCGCCCGCGCTGCTTCTGTCATGCCGCCATCCAACCTACAGAATCCAACGTGTCTCATCCTCATGGCATTGCTCTCTCCAACATGCCCAGTACCTTCACGCCCGGACCCAGCACCACCTAAAGATCTGGGTGCAGACCGGAGCACCATTTTGCATACTGCCTTGTTTTTAGCGGTGTCTCTTGCCTGGCATGCACAATCATCAAGGCAAAGACCCAAGGAAAAGACAGAGCACACCTGCAGAAGGGAACGCCCTCTGCTGCCAGGATGGGCTCGAGCAGGTCCAGCGTGGCGGTCCACAGGCTGAACACCAGCAGCTGCTCGCGGTCGGCTGCTGCCTCCAGTGCCGCGTGGCGCAGATACTCCAGCTTGGCGGACGACAGGTGGCGCAGATGCGGCTCCACGGAGCTGCCCTCCACCAACTCCAGCATCCCTGTTCTGGCGCACACCTGGCATTCCTGCTCCACCCTGGGGGACCACTCCTGCCGCGCCCAAGACACACTCGGCCAATATTGCATGGTAAAATAAGCAAGACAACCCCCGCTGCTTCTGCACGCAAAGATGTCTCCTGGGCATCTTCTGAGGTCATTCAACCTCCTGCCGCAGCTTTAGGCAAGCACACAAGTCCCAGCAGCTTCACCTTCATCAAAGTTTCTGTTGGACTGTTAGCTGGGCATCCTGAAAGGCAAGATCAATTTTGGTGGATTGAGGAATGAAAGTGCCTGCATGAGAGCATGGGAAGGTCTGGTGTGCGCACCTGGCAGTCGACGCAGAAGAGGTGGGTGCAGGGCAGCCGGTAGGCGGCGGGCTTGCCGCACAGCGAGCACTGCCATGTATCGCCGTTGCAGACAGGCTCCCGCTGCTGCTGCTGCTGCTTCTGCTGTGCGCGGGCGGCCTGCAGGGAGGGGTGGTTGCAGGCCATCTGCAGCCGCCTCAGCTTGGACAGGAGGAATGCGGTGTTGCTCTCCTGCTCGCTCTCCTCCTGCGTCTCTCCCGTCAGCTCCTCATAGTGCAGCCTCTCCTCGGCGCTGAACTCGATTGCCACCTTGCGCATTTGCCTGCGCAACGTCCCAGGAACATTCTGTTTTGAGCGCTGCTTAAGGCCAACCTATAAGCCCACTTGATCCCCGAAACTCATCATTGAGAAAAGTCAGGACTTCATGTCTGCTCCGATAGATTCGTCCCGGCATTGTGCAGGCACAGAGCGGGCAGGTGGGGGCAGCAGAACGTGCATGGTTACAAACGATCACAAGGCGAATTGGGCGGCAATGGAGCACCTTCCGGGCAGCTGCACAATGGGCGTGCCATCGATGCAAGACTGCTTGGTGCGGCGCAGCATGATTGGGGCCAGGATTCTGCGTAGCCTGTTCAGGCTGCGCTGTCCTTCTTCAACCACAACTGCCTCCCTCATAAGCTTGGCGAAGGCCGCGCGGCTGTTGAAGGGCTTGTAGCCTAGGAAGACAAAATAGGAGATCAGCTCCTCGGGGCTGTTCTGCAGAGGCGTGCCGCTCATGACCCACCTCTTTTGCCCCTGTCATCGCGCATGCGCATGTCAGCTGTAATGTTGACTGCCGAACCAGCGCCGAGGGTGCGAATCAGGCGGCACAACAAACAATCTCAACAGCCATACATGCTCTGAAAGGAACCCCCTAAGGGGTGATTGCTGCCAAGCAAGGCGCTGTGCAGACCCTACAGTGAGGTCTGCCAACAGCCAAGGGAGGAGAGTTTCATTTTGACCTGCAGCAGGGCTGCAGCAGCGGATCTGTGTGATCTGTGGTTCTTGATGGACTGAGCCTCATCAATGATCACTCTGTGCCACGCTACCCTGAGCACAGACAGACAATTTCATTGAGTCAGAAGCTGCCACGCAAAAGACAACAGTGGCTCTTCTTCAAGAAATCATCCTGGAGGCTTGAGCCGGAAAGGAGGCTTACTGGTGCAGCGCTTTCTGTGTCTTCAGGGGTGAGTCCATGAGCATAGTCTCAGGCGTGGCCAGCACAATGTCAAAGGCTGCAAGCTTCTCTGCCGTGATGGCCAGCCTATCCTTGCCAGCGTACACATAAACAGTCCAGTGTTTAGCCTGCAACGTTGCACAAAACAGGCTTTGCAGAGCTCAATATATCTCTCACAAAGGCATGAGCCCACAGCACAGGGCAGCAGAGCGGACCACTTCTCAATCATATAGAAGTGGGATAGTGCCATTGTCTGAGGCGGATCTGGTGTGTTGCTCAATCACAGAAGCTGTCAAGTTGGCAAGCAGACAGTATTGAGTGTGGCTTGCTCGGCCCTCAGTAATAGATGTGCCCACCAGTCTTCGCTTAATTTCTGCCAGCCATGTGGAGTGAAGTGTGCTCTTGGGGCACAGGATGAGGGTGCCTCCTGCCGGTGATGGCGCAGCCTTAAGGGTGTCATCCTCCTCAGCAACGTCTTCACTCTCTGCAGGGGGCTGCTCAACAGGCAGGGGCCCTCGGGGATCGCTCACAACCAGCGCAAGAGCTGTCAGTGTCTTGCCCTGCATTGAAGCAAGCGAGACTTAGCTTCTCAACATGCAAGGACTCTTCATTTTGTGGTAATTATTGTATGTGTCAACTGCTGTGCAGAAGCTGAGCCTCACCACACCCTGGTCGTCTGCTAAGATGCCTCCAGCCGGCTGCAGTTTCTCGCGCTTGAGCATCCATGCCAGCCCTCGCTTCTGATGTCTCAGCAACTCCTCCCCTTTCCTGAAGCACCCCTACAGGCAAGAGGGCCAAAGACTGTGACCAGAAGGCTTGCATTGTGGCACAACTAGACAACAACATGAGATCATATGCTCATAAGAGGGATGCGCAAGGGATTTGTAAGGGATAAGTTGATGTAGGGGCACCAGGTGTTGTCTCACCTCTGGAGGATCTGCCTCATCTGTGGCATCATCAACCAGCTCTCCCAGCAGTGGATTTTTGACTGCTCTGATGAGCTCTTCCGTCCAGGAAACGTCTTCTCGCTCCCTGGGGCCCCTTTCATCCGCTGCATTTGCTCCCCCAACCTCAACACGCGGCTGCAACACACCCATCATGACATGCTCACGTTTCCCCAATGCAACCCATCACAAAATCATCGACATCAGGAAGAAAGCATGCTGTAATGCCGCGCGCTAATGCTACTGTTCTACGATAGCCCAGCATATAGCAACATGTTGACAGTGCCAGTAAGCTGCCGGACCTTCGATGGGATAGATTGGTCATCCTGCAGGTATGCCTCCAGGGGTTCCTCTTCCTTCCTTTTGAGCACCCAATCAGGAGCAGTGTTTAGCCAGAGGACGAGCCCGCTCTCACTGTGCTTGAAGTCTGGTCGCTTGGCAATGCCTTCCTTCTTGGGACGCAGATCCTGGAAGGAGCCTGGCTCGGCAAAGAACTGACGCCAGAGTGCCTCTACACTGGGCTTCTTCTTGGGCTGCAAGTCCACAGGTGTCATGAGTATATTTACCGCTCAGTGATCATCGACACGTACATCTTGACATGCTGCATGCGCGGCAGCATTACTAGGCCCCATGACACAGCAGCTACACATGCACATTGAAGAGTCGGAGCTGATTGACATCTACTGCACATCATCGTACACTGCATTATGTTTGAGTAGACAAGGCTTGTGTCAGTACCCTGGAAGACCCATCTGATGCGCTATCCAACAGTGCTAGCCTCTGCCTTAGGTCTTGGTCATGCCGGTCAATCCACAGAGCAAACTGCGAGTTCGTTTTGTGTTCAAAATCGGCGTAATTTTCTTTGAGCTTGGTTTTACGTTGATCCCAGAACTCAGTCGGATCTTCGAAGAACCGATCCCAATGCCCACTTTTGTCATCTACAAATCGTTGCCATCTCGACTTCTGCTTATAAACAGCTGCCTGAACCACTAATCGTCGTAATCTCAATCTATTAGAGATTGGATAGGCAGACAGAAGATTTCGTGCAAGCATTTATGAGTTTGATGGGGTGCATCAGGCCGTCCCTGATTCCCTTACACCCCACGCAAGAAGAAAAGGAATCAGCCCATGGTCCCTTGAGAAGTCCATATGCACTCTAACCATTGGCACTCCCTCTCCATCTCGAACAAATGTGAGCCCACGCACATGTGCAACACATGAGGGTGTAGATGTGGCCAGGCCAGGAACATGCAAGCATCTCAACTTCCCTCAACTTCCAATTTCCATCCCAGATACAGGCCTGCCAGCAGGCAACATTGTTTTGATATTTGTGTGACTGTTAAAGAGAGAAATTACTCCACAACGCTCTTCTGAACGTGCCATCATGATCATAGCAAGTCGGTGATACAACCGGTTGAACTTCAACGTGGCACACAGATGTGCAATACACGTGGTACATGCTGCAACTCTTCAAGAACTCATTCATAGGACACGGCACTCACATCCCAGCCACTCACTCACACTTTTATCCTCCCATTTACACTCAACTCAACAGTGGTGCGTTACACATTGGGCAGGCCACTGGCCGGGAGTAGTCTGTCGAAGACAAGAACCAGCGATCAATGCACTCCAGGTGGAACTTGTGCTTGCAGGGCAGCCGTCTGAGGACTTCTCCAGATGCATAGTCCTCACAGCAAATGCTGCATGATGCACTGCGGTCATACAACCGCACAATTGATCAATATGAGAGCATGTAGGGTTGTTGACTCTGAATCAAGAGGCAATGACAGCATGTTGCACTACACCAACAGGCGCCCAGGCTTAATCACAAGATCTGACAGCCATGTCGATGAATTTATTGGTGAATCATGTCGATGCTTGCAGGTTGCCCCCCACCTGCTTGTGCCCTCGCCACCAGCAGCCAGAACTTTCTCCACCGCCTCATTCCTCTCCAAGCCAACCTCCTTCACTCCCCTCTGCCTCAACATTTCCTGCAATGCACTTGCCTGATTTACCACTGCATCCCAGTCCGCTAGCAGCAAACCCCCCCTTGCCTGTGAGTGCCTGCTCAATGTACGAGGGATATCCAGCAAACGACGCTCTTGTGAGTGCCCGTGTCTTGGGTCAAAGTAGCAAGAGCTGGATGGAGGGACTCACCCTCAAGTCATGCAGCGAACAGCGCTGCAGGTCTTCCCTGGTCACAAAGTCCTCCATGGGCAGGCTATGCACAACACGAGCCACCTCCTCAAAACGCTGCTGCCTGGTCTGGCGCCTCTCTGGAGCCCCCTGCCCAGTTGCACCCTGCTGCCTGGCCTGCCCTTGCCTCTGCCTCTGCCCCTGCCCAGGACCTACCAGGAAGCGCTGCACCGTGGGCCAGAAGCCGTGGCGTTGCACCTGCAAGGTCCAACAAGCATTGGAAGATCCGGACCATACGTGCTTGCAATTACGGTCAAGATGTTAGAAAGAAATTGAAAGGCTGGAGTGCACCCTACATAGATTATACAGTCCAAGTAGAAGACAGTGGGGGAGGGAGCGTGCCTGCCATGCACCGAGACCTGCAGCAGCGGCTAGTACTAGCCAGAGACCTGGGCCTATTAAGATGCCATTGGAGATCAGCGTAAGCAGCAGGAACAGTGGTGGAAGGAACCACTGCACTCCTCCTTGTGCCCCACTGAAGTTGCCGAAGAACAGGATCATGCCAGCATTGTCAGATCTGTAATTGTCATGGAAGAGTACTCTTGTGGACTTGCAAGCCAATTCTCTGGTGATCTACTGTTACAAATGGGTAACAACAAGCACGATCTCGTTGATGAGCAGCTGGTTCTAAATTTTCTGCTCGCACACAACAATGTCAAGGTGTTCCACTACTTTGATATTCAGATCAATGCAGCAAACGGTCTGAATGAGAAAGAATGGCGCATAATTGGTGTGACCGCAGATAATTTCGAAACCAAAACCCTAGACCAGGACCAAGCCATGGAACGCCGTTTGGCAACCTGGACATATTGCTCTGCAGTGGTGGGCGGCTGTGCTACAGAAACTTTGAGTTAGCAGCCATGGCCTCTGCCAGGCCCCTCGTCAGCGTGCAGTCCCTTGCAGGGGAGGCTGCTGAGCAGACAAATCTTCCAGCAGTGTTTTCTGCACCCCTCAGACCAGACATCGTGCGCATTGTTCACACTGGCTTGGCCAAGAACAAGCGTCAGGCCTATGCAGTCAGCGTGAAGGCTGGGCATCAGACCAGTGCAGAGTCATGGGGTACCGGGCGTGCAGTCTCCCGTATCCCCCGTGTGCCAGGCGGCGGTACACACCGTGCAGGCCAGGGTGCCTTTGGGAACATGTGCCGTGGAGGTCGCATGTTCGCTCCCACAAAGACATGGCGCAGGTGGCACCGTAAGGTCAGCATCAACCAGAAGAGGTGCGATCAACGCTCAGCAAAATCAATTGTATCTGAGCAGGACAAGACGGCTGTGCATGGATCAAAGCTGTAGTCTCATCATTTGTTAACTTACATCTTTATACTATATCGATACGTTTTGTTGAGGGTCATGGACTTAATGTGATGATTGATGAATGTACAGGTACGCAGTGGTGTCTGCTCTGGCAGCATCTGCTGTGCCCTCCCTGGTGCTGGCACGCGGACACAGGATCGAGCAGGTGCCAGAGATCCCTCTGGTGGTGGATGACGGTGTCGAGACATACAGCAAGACCCGCAAGGCTCTTGAGCTGCTCGAGAAGCTGGGCGCATCTGCAGGCAAGTTCCCCCTACTATTTACACACTAGGTTGAGTTACCATTAGCTTGATCTGCAATGAAATGTGCAGACCATGCTGCACAGGAGACCTCTGTGCAGATCCCTCGTGTTCGTCCTTATTGGAGAAACTGGTAGCCAATCAATCTGGTAGCCAATCAGCATGGCTATTGGCCTTCCGGGGTTGACACAGCAGTGATTACAGGGATGTTGTTACTGACATGCATCCACATGCTGATCTGGGCATCTGGGCAATATTACTGATGATGAATCTGTGTTGCGCCGGGCAGATGTGGAGAAGGCGCGCGCCAGCCGCAATGTGCGCCGCGGAAAGGGAAAGATGCGCAACCGTCGCTACACGACGCGCAAGGGCCCCCTGGTGGTGTACAGCGGTGACAGCGGCATCTCGCGTGCCTTCAGGAACATCCCCGGTGTCGACCTGCAGGACGTGGAGTCCCTCAACCTGCTGCAGGTGCCTGCTGTCCCCAATCCCCCTTTTATCTGGAGACTTCTTTTGGGTGCATCCACTGTGATTGTTTTTGTCATGATAAGGAAACAATTGTTTGTCATGAGACATGTGAGACTGTTCTGATTGGAGGCGGGGAAGGCAAGATTCGATTTGCAGATTGGGAGCTTTGAAGCTATTGGCTTGTGTAATTGTGAGGGCATGTCTAAGTGGGTGTCTGCGCATTTGCAGCTGGCGCCCGGTGGCCACTTGGGCCGCTTCATCATCTGGACCAAGTCTGCCTTCGACAGGCTGGACGAGATCTTCGGTGCGCCCCTGCTTTCCTCTCATGAGCAGCTCATATCGCTTGTCCCTGACTCCATGTCTGCGCTGGTGTGTGTGTGCTCAGCGTGCTCTGCAGCCTTCAGATGACCGTCCAGCACTCGGTGGTTCAAGTAATCTGTAAGTGGGATCAGCCGATAGTGATCATTGCGGACTGTATCTCCATGGGAACGTAAAGAAAGGGATCGTTGCGCTGCTGTGTCTTGACGTACGGCCGGCATGCTGCGTATGACAGGCACCACAGAAGAGGCCAGCAAGCAGAAGAAGGGGTACAAGCTGCCGCGGGGGCAGATGACCAACGCAGACCTGACCCGCCTGATCAACAGTGACGAGATCCAGTCCATCGTGCGCCCGCCCAAGACCGGCCGCACCAACGTGCCCCTCAAGAAGAACCCTCTCAAGAACCTGGGCGCCTTGCTCAAGCTCAACCCCTACGCCAAGACCGCCCGCCGCGCCGAGCTGCTCGCGCAGGTGCGCCATATTTTTATACACTGATGTCACTTTCTGCGGCACTTATGGGCTCAACTGGAGGAATGCGGACATCAAGGGCAGAGCGAGCGTTAGAGCAAGTATAAAGGGCTGCCTTGCCGTGTAAGTGCAATGCTTGCAAGATTCAAGACAGTTGCACTCTGTATTTGACATGCCTGCACTGTCTCCTGGGGTTACTGCACAGGACAGTGCATGCGGTGGGATTGAAAGCTGGGAGCTATCTGGGAGCCTTTGAGCTGGCAGCCAGCAGAAGTCAAAGTGACAGAACATGCCCTGTGTTCAATGCGGGCATTGCTTGTTTCACGTCCCCAGAGGTGTTCTTATCTCCGCTTCACACAGAAGGGGTGCCAGTGATAGTCGATGCTGAGCTGCGGTGGGATCATGCAGGAGCGGAAGCAGAAGGAGAAGACGCTGGAGAAGGCTCGCAAGGCGCGCACAGAGGAGACCAAGAAGGTGGGCAAGGACTTCTATGGCAAACTCATCCAGGAGTCGGACTACCAGGGAGAGGACTATGAGGTCTTCTCCTCCTGGCTGGGCCAGACCGCCTGAGCAGCTGCCTCGCTGCCTGGCTTCCTGCCTGCCGAGTTGGCTTTGTTTCCATTTGTCTGTTAGGCTGCTGCTTGTAGGAGGAACGGTGTAACAACGGGAATGGATCCTTGGAATACCTGTAAAAGTAGATGCTGGTCGAAGCACATGTCGGCGAATATTCTGGCATTTTTCACATACTCATGCATGTCGCATCAATGTCTTTTTTCATACATGGTTTCGAAGAAGGCCGCTCAGTGGCCATTGAAGCTCCTAATCTACACGACACTATAGGCAATTTCTCTTTGCTCTTTGGTTCTAATTTCCCCGAAATATTTCCCCGAAATATTACAACTCTGTCAGTCGATTGTGGCAGATCAATCATTTCCGAACATTTTGAGCAAAACAAACAATGTTTTCTTGGCCCACTCCAATATATTGCAACACAGCTGTCAGGCCCTGTCCCTGACAGCACCCAGGACTGCATTGTAGCCCTGGTCCAGCACGGGGATAATCGGCTGCTTGCCCTGGTCGCACAGCACTCTATGCGCGCATCCAAAGCCCGAAAACACCACCGCATTCACGCCCTGCCCTGGGAATGTGCTGTCCCCCACACAGTACAATCCCTGCATGCAGAAACCGCCCCCTTCAACTTTTTGGATTCCACAATTCTTCATTGCAATATCCCTGAAGTGTCTGGACACCAAAGTGAATCTCCCCAAGATCACAAATGAGCAGGGCCACTGCGTGCATCTGGATGCCCTCAATTCATCGTTGTTTTATTACCTGAAAACATGGCCCCAGCAGAATCACAGCCACGGTGGGAACATGGATTCAGAAGCGCACAGTGTCTGTCAAGAGGGGGCTGCTTGCCTTGATGGCGGTGCGGTTGAATGGCATGCCGAGCATGCCGAGCGGGCGGCGCGAGGGAATGGGCCCGTAGGAGCCGTCCTCGCGGTTGAGGAAGCGGCGGTGGGTGCGCGGCGTTCCCGTCTCCCGGAACACCGTCGCAGCCGCCAGGCCCATCAGGTGCGCCTCCACGCGCGCCACCAGCGCGTCCGCCACCGCCTCCTTCTTCCTCTCATACTCCTCCGGTGACAGCCCCTGCACGCCGAGTTATTTTTTCACATGGCCGGCAAATTTCACAAAAGGCAGAGGACGTCGAGTATACATGCACATGATCTGGATCTACACTTGCGGGTGTGCAGTTTAGTAACACCGCCTCGGCTGATTGTGAGGCATGCGCAATGCTGCTGCTTTAAGTTAGCCTGGCTCAAGGCAGGCATCCCTGGAGGATGTGGCATTGGCCGGCACGGGATCGCTCATGGACGTGCAAGGGCCCCTGCTGCAGGTGAATATTGTCTCTGTGCATGCAAAGTCCCCTGACATGCAATGCATTGATGTACACAGCTCAATCAGTGGTGGCTCGCTGGGTGATCGGGGCGCACCCGGTAGTTGTCGATCCAGTCGGGGGAGAAGATGTGAACGATGTGGGTGCCATCGGGGGACAGCGAGGGGTCCAGAAGGGTGGGGATGGACACAAAAAGGGTCCCTAGAGGGTCCTCCATGCGCGCCCAGTCCTCCACAATGATGTGGTGGCATTGCGTCCCGGCCGGCAGCACATCCGCGCGCACGCCCATGTGGATCGACACAAACGATGGCGACTTCTTGTACCGCTTCCTGTGCAGCGCAGACACACATTTAGAGAAAGCACAATTTGTCTACAACGACTCAGCAGCACAGATCTGTGTGCATGTTGTGCTGTACGGAAGCATGCATGCATGTGAATAGTGCGCACATGCATACAAGAAGCAACAAGTGCTGTGCAAGTACCACTGTGTATGGTTGAGCTTGCAACTGAAGGCTGCTGCAGGACGAGCAGGGGTACGCTCTAAAATGCTGATGTGCAATGATACATTACCATGATGCTCCCGCTCTGGGCAGCCCACCAAACTGTATGACGATGCATATTTACAGCTTGAAACTTGCCATCTGTTCAGCCACATCAGGAGTAATAGAACAACCTTTGGCCATTACTTTTGCTTTTCATTGGTTCCCGTTCTGGACGCAGCGCATCGTTTGCCATGCACCCCACAGCCCCGTGCTGTGTGTCTGCATGACAAAACTGCACACCCCACTAGGCACATCGATGTGTGATATCAACGTGTGCTACAACTTGCAGCTTAAACGGCATGATAAGGATGCCAATAAGTAAGAACCAGGGCGCCCACCTGAACAGCTGCTCTGCCTCGGGCATGTCTTCATCGGCGAGCAGGCGCTCAAAGGTGTCCCATCGCGTGGCATTGGACACCACGGTCTTGCCCCTGAACACCCGACCGTCTGCCAGGCGCACCCCCACCGCTCTCGCTGACTCACCCTCACCCTCCACCAGGATCTGCTTCACCTGCACTCACCAGAAGGTCCAGCAATCATGAACATCCCAGGCACTATCATTGTTCCTCGAGCGAATATCGAACGGTAAAAAGTTATTGAAGAAGGGGAAGAGCTGCAATTCGAGGGTGATGGATGACTGGATGAGTGGCACACATTTGCTTTGTATTCGATGTGGCTGCCCCTTTCCTGCAGACCAGCAACCAGCTCCTCCCCAATCCTGCCCACTCCTCCCACCGGGTAATTGATGCCTCCAAAATGCCGGTCACAAAAAACCTGCGCACACAGCATCTTTTATTGTTGCACTGCCCCTGAGTGCCTGTCCCATGCCTGTCCCAGGCTCGAGAAATCTGCAGGTTCCCATCAGATAGGCGCAGATGCAGAAGTCAAGAGACTGCTGAAGTAAGTAGAGATGTAGAGCTCACCATGCCGGCATTGATCATTGGGGTGTGCTCGGCCAGAACGGTGCTCCAGCAGTAGCACTCTATGTCGATGAAGCTGAGCAGCTCGGGGTCCTTTATGTATTTGCGCGCCACATCGCCAGTGTTGGAGGGCAAGTATGATGCAAGGGTGAGGCACGCCAGTGGGTGCTTGGCAAACTCTGGCCCATCACACATTACAATCCTTAAATCAATCTATGCACCTGCTTCGCACATTGCCCATGACATATGACTACTGAAGAGGCAGACAAACTAAGCAGAATGTGCAGCAAGGTCAAGATTCAATTGGCAGGGCAATTGTACCTCCGAGCAGGTATCGGGGTTCTTCCAGGCTCTTCAGCTCCAGCGAGTTCAGTGCATTGAACACCGCCCAGCACTCTCCATAGAACTTTTTAATGCCCTCCCGCTCATGGGGGAAGCGCTGCGAGAGCTCCTCCACAAACTCATCGTAGTCCCGCCACACCTTCACCTCCAACCCCTGTCCCACACCCCAAGGACTACCTTCAATGCACATGCAACAAGTCCCCTTTGGTAGCTATCTCGCTTACACTGAGTTTTGTAAGGCAGCAGCATTGGACAGGGAGGGCATGGGGCATGGGGCATACGTTGGGGTGGGCCTTGGATTGGGGTAGGTGGTAGTGTATCTGTGTGGGGTCGGGCACGGTGTCCAAGCTCTTGCCCACAGCGGCCAGAGCGCGGGTGATGAGATTTGTGGTGCCCTCGTGGCCCATGCCAAACATCATGGAGGAGCCCACATCAAAGGTGTACCCCTCTCTATGGAAGTGCCCTGCGCTGCCCCCTGGAATGATATATCTGCGCATGAATGCTGGTTCTTCAGTATGTCCTGCTGAAGGCATTCAAAGAAAGTTCACGTTGAGCTAGGTTCCCTCAATGATTTGAGGTTCATGCATGGCACCCTGGGGAGGTAAGGTGGAAAAGCTTCAAAGGGCGTACTTTTCTAAGACCACCACTTTTGCTCCCTTTGCAGCGAGCTGGGTCGCTGTTGTGAGGCCTCCTATGCCAGAGCCGATGACTACGGCATCATACTGAAAGTCTGTTGGCGTCTTGGCTGACCCACTCTGCAGCTGCGGCTCTGCAGGGGGCGCTGCCGCTGTTGCAACGGCGGAAGTGGTGATGGTGTTCCGTCCACATCTGTGCGTGTTGACTGCCTGGAGATTTGCTCACACACTGGGGTCAGGCACTGCCCGACATCACCTGAACACCGCAGTGCTGCAGAATTTGGCTTGGAACGCAAGGCTCCAAATTGCCAATATGCCAGTATGCAACTCTGAATTCACCTTCGGTATTGATGGTCCTTGGCATCGACTGGAAGAACTTGCCAAGTTGTGAGCCTGTCTTCGCTGCTGCTGTTGAAACCTGTCACAGCAGACTCAATCCTCAAATGTCATTCGATGTCGATGCGGTAAACTGGTCGATATTGATCACAAAATACGATACAAAGTTTAAGAATGTTGTGCTTCCCACCTCAAGGACGGGCTACAACCCTCAAGCACGGCAGAGTGCATAATGCCTGTCCTGTTGATTATTTCATTCGACGCTTTCGGTGGAGTTCATCAGAGCTCCAAGACTCCTCTCAGCAATTATCTTAGTACTTTCAATGCTGTTTTTCAATAGATCCTTTAAACTGAGTGACATCTTGTGATGGATAAGACAAGTCATGCCACGTGGCTTGCATGCAGAAGCCCCATTGAGGGACCGTGCAGCTCTCACAACGATGCCGTCTTTTCTGTCACAGATGATGTTGGGTAATTGAGAAAGCTCGGCAGATCTCATTGTCTTTCGAAGACTAAAGTTGAAGGATAACCTCTTTCTCTTGCAATGCTTCCAATTGAATAGATGAGAAGCAAGCAACATTGCGCACGCATCTAATTGCAATTGGCATCGAAAGGTGTTGCTAAAAGTCATGTAGCTTTGGCAGCCTCAGATTGCCTTGAGTGAGAGCAGGACACTTTGGGAGAGCTGCCTTATTTCTGTAAAACGTGAGCCTGCCTTCCAATAGGCAGTACGCACGATGCGTAATGCCTGGTGCAGCCTCGATCCCCCTGCTGCTCAGTCTGGGGCGATGGGCAGCCGCGTTGGGAGGCCGTTCATGCCCTCCCCCAAGAGCAGATGGGCTGGCTCGTCTGGGATGAGTGTGCCTGCCACATCTAGCAGCTCGTCCACAATCCCATTCGCACAGTCGATGACGTCGATGTCGAGCTCAAGGGACGACGTCAGGCCAGCTCGGTCATCCAGCGAGAGGGACAGCAGCCCCAGCAGCAGTGGCCAGGCACAATCCTGGACTCTGACTCCGGGTCCTAGGTGGCGTCAGGAGCTGTCGGATGTGTGCGGAGACACAGAGGCCAGCTCGAGCGCAGCATCGCAGCCAGGGCTCCACAGCCAGGGGCAGCCGATGCGGCCCCAGCAAGACAGGGCAAGCAGAGGCGGAAGAGGTGGTGGAAGGGGAGCAGCTAGTGGTGATCCTTCCGAAGGCTACCGCCGCAGGAAGGGCCTTCCGCAGAGCAAGAAGCTGCGCAGTGCTGCGGCCGCACCCCCAGGCAGCAGAGAGCGGGCTTACAGCAGCAGCAGTGACAGCAGCGGCAGCAGCCACAGGTCGGCTCGAGGGGATCTCAGGAGATTGTCGGCTGACTGGCGGGACGATGAGGACTTTAGGGCAGCGGTCCAGCTAAACCGCACCATTGCTGCAACATCCAATGCTGAAGATGTGTTGCGCCTGGTGGAGGAGCATGGACATGTCTTCACCAGCGTCAATGCCGCCACTGCCTTCCACAGACTGGCAAAGGTGGGGCCCCATGCACGTTTAGTACTCAAGAGGGCGGTTGTGGATGGGTGTCATGCGGCACTGGGAGGCTGCCTCGTGCCTATTTAAACTAGGAATTTGACATCTACGGCATACCTCAGGTAGCAGGTTACGCTCGAATAACGGATGGTTGGGCGGTGAGGGAGTGTGTTGCGTGTGCCCCAAGTGATGAAACACCTTTGCATAGAGCATTGCCGCAGCCAAGCAAGCACACCTTGTGTGCTTTGCTCCTGCCTGGTAGCGCTGCATGATGTGATGCCTGCTCCAGGCATTGAACGGATAGCTGATGGGACAGCACAGCATAACACAAGTTTCCTCTTCAGTGGCTCTATTGCCCACTATATGGTCATGGGGACTTGATTGTAGGCATTTGCAAGATGGGGTATGGTCAGGGGAGTTGACTGTCTGTGGGTGGGTGCAGTGTGGGCAGGAGACCTCTTTGGCACAGCAGGAGTCCTTGAGGTTGGACCCTCGGACAAAGCAGCTGGCAGAGCTGGTGGAGGCCAAGTGGGAGGATTGGGGCGGCCGAGCTGCCAACAATATTGCCTGGGGGCATGCTGTTCTGGGGCATGGATCGTCAACAATCATGTCCAAGGTGCCATACACCTTACACACACCATTCTGTGCTACATATTTTGTAAAGCATGATGATATGCTGGCTCTCTCTCTTTTGCTCACATCTTGGTGATTTTTCAGGGTCCCTCCTGGGCTCGGAGCGTAGTGATTAAGCTGCTGTGAGGGTTGTGGCCTTGCTATCTGAACAGCAGAGCTTCAGGAGAGGTCCATGACAGCCAATTTACTGAACTCCACTGTGTTGGTGGTCCCGCAGGTTGACACAAAGCTGCTGGAAAAGCTGCCGACGATGAGTGCGCATGAGATGTGTCTCATCTTGTGGAGCTTCGCCAAGACAGGCTTCACCTCTCCACAAGGGTTTGAGAAGGCTGTGCCTTACCTGCTGGCCAGGCAAGATCACAGCATCCTTACTACAGATAAAGATAGTGTTCAGGCTCAATATTGGCAGCGGGAGGACCATACCGTGCTGCAGATGGTTTGCTCTTAGAGATGCACAGAGTGAGCCATGATTTGAGTGTGCTCTGGCTGCAGGAAGCATGAGATGAACATTCAGACCATCACCATGCTGACATGGGCATACGCAACCGCTGCGCCATACAACAAGGCCCTGTTTGCAACCTGTTGCGAGGTCGTCCTCAATGATTGGCACTCGATAGACCTCAGGGTGCGAACACCAACCACAGTTTTAGCATTTCCTGTTGTAGTCCTTACTTGGGACCAATACCTGAACAAAGCAAGTTGACTGTTATTGATCCCTTGTCAAGCTTCCATGGACAGGGGTATTGCATTTCTGCAATTGCTGACAGCGGGTTGTGCACACCCAGGCGCTGTCCAACATGACATGGGCGTGTGCAAGGGTGGAACACTATGACGAGAAGCTCTTTGATGCAATTGCGGCGCGGGTGGCGACCAGCTGGGAGCACATCTTCAATTGGGACCTGGGTAATTACGCGTGGGGCCTGGGGAAGGCCTATGGCGAGCTGGGCATCCAGGGGTCTGCCCTTGCAGACGAGGACCGAGAGAGGGCTATTTCCCGTTACTTGTCCGACAACCCAGTCAGAAACAAGGTCAGGCCCCTTTGCATGCAAACCCCGTAAAGCACTCTTCTAGGCCTGCAATGACGCCTACTGCTGTCGTGCCTCCGCTCTCTCCCAGTGTACTTAGCATTAGGCCCCTGGAGGGCGTGCAAACTATGTCCAGCCTCTAAGGGAAGTTTCATGCTCCAAGCGTGTCCCCCAATGTTGCGCATCTCGGCAAACTCTGCCAAGTCTGCATGTCTCAGACTGCCCTGACCTAGCGGTTAGCCAATGCCTTGGGTGCACAGGAGCACACAATATTCAATGGGGGTTTGATGGGGTGTTGTAGTATCATAGGAGCCAATGCCTTGGGTCTAGAGGAATCAGAAATTTCAATGAGGGATTACGGGGTTTTTTTTCCATGGGAGCCAGTGCCTGGGCTCCAGAGCAGCACGAACTATCAATGGGAATTTTTAAGGGGTGTTGATTTCCTCAGGCGCTGGAGGCGATCAGCGCGGCGGCGCTGCGGCAGATGGGCGTGTTGAACATGCGCACGATCTCCAACATCGCGTACGGCTGCGCGTGCGTGCACTTTTGGGACTGCCAGCTCATGGACGCCCTCGCGCAGCGCGCCATCGACCTCGCTGGGCAGGGCAACGGGCAGGTAGGACCCAGCTGCAGGATCTGTCCCCTGCTATGATAGAATATTTCTGGATGTTGGGTGTGTCAGAGTCCCCTTGCTTCACCTCTGGTGTGTATGTTCCTGAGCCCATCTGCGGATAATTGTTTCGACCTGACAGCAGCAGATGGCGCGACCTGGAGGTGCCAAAGCGGTGTGCATGGTTGTGAGGTTGCTGTTCCTCAACAATCTGAAGGGCTTCATGCTCACCTTCTCTTTGCTGCTCTCCGTTGTTGACCATGAGAGAGGCGATTGGAGCTGTCTCAAGAGAAGTCGAGTGTGCATGGGTGGGTGACTTTCGTTTGCTTTGGGTTTTGACAGTCGCTGGCGATTCTGCTGTGGGCGTTTTCGACGCTGCGCCACGAGCACCCGGCGCTGATGGAGGCGCTGGCGAAGAGGGGATTGCAGCTGCTGGACACGCCCGTGGAAGAGGGCGGCCTCAACAACACCGCCATGACCATGGTCTTCTGGGTGCGTTCCATTTTCCCCCTCCTGCCTGTGATCAGGCTCACCTGCTCGACTGCTGTCTCCTTCTAAACCTCTTGCCCATCCTCTCGGCATCTGGCGACTTCAATAGAGAGAACCCGTCTGTGGCACTTGCCCCGTGACCTTACCGCGGCCGTGAGCACCATGAGACAGAGTACTTTCCCGTGCTTGAGGACAAGACAGGCGCCATGTCGCCATGACAAGACCTGCTAGTTGCCACGGTATAAGCAGGTCGAGCCTGGTAATAGATGTTATATTGGGCTGTGACCCTCACACCGCGTCATGTGCATCGCAGGCGTACGCCAACCTGGGCAACAACACGGATACGAGCCGGGAGCTGCTGCTGCAGCTGGCTGAGGAGGCGTGCGCGCGGCAGGACACGTACTCCAGCCTCCCAGCTGTCGCCTGGTCGCTCACCGTCGCCGGCTGCCTGCCCGACCCCCTCCTGCGCAAGGTGCTTGTCCCAGCAACACCCCTTTGGCACCATCATTCCAGGGGGTACTAAGTATTACTATAAGTATTAAGGTCCCTCTTTGATCGAATCCCTACCCTCCTCTGCAGATGCGGACTATGGGACCTTCCTGCATGCTGGTGAGGGTCAGGTGCCAATCATGGATGATCCTTGACTCCATCTTGCGCATGTCTTCTACAATGAATCCCTGCAGCGCACGCCCCACCCGTCTTTGTAACAAGCTCGGATTTATGACGGCATGGCGAATGCTTTGTACGCCCCAGATCGTGTGCGGCTGGCTAATGTCAGCAGCTGAAGAATGTGGGTGGCTTTCCAGATACGGAACCTAGTGGGGGACCTACGGGGCATGGACGAGCTCAACCTGAGCCAGCTGTACCAGACCGAGCTGGCCGTGCGCCTGAGGGATGCCGCCTCCCCTGCACAGGTATGGGGCGACAAAGAGGCCGCTCTTTCGCCATCCTTAAAGCTGTCCTCCTCCTGTCAGGATTGGCAGATGTTCAGTCCCATGCCAGCACTACCCAGGTCAGATAGCTGAAGTCCTGTCAGAGATCAATAAGGGGATATGCCATTTCACTGGAAGCTTGCGTTGACCAGCAAGGGCACCGGTGCAGCTGCGCTTCACGTTCCTTCAAGGCTACATGCATCTGTAAGAGAAGACATGGGAAGGGATGCATGCCCGCTTGCAGATCAGTCTCAATTATCAGTGTGGGTGATTCAAGGGGGGGCTTGTCAGATTGAGGGTTGGGCTATGGGTTATTTTGCTTATCGAAGGTGAAGGCTTTGCATGGGCCCAGACCATGTGCTGCTGACGGACGTGAGCTTGTTAAGGTTGTCTAAGCAGGGTGGCAAAATTTGTGTAATCTTAATCACCGGGGTGGCGGCGGGTGCAGGCGCCGGCGCGTGCGGAGGACCTGTTCCGGGAGTGCTACCAGATGGGCGAGGTGCGCGCAAAGACCAGCAAGTTCTGGGAGTCCCAGCTGGCGCACGGCAAACGCTACATCACCGCCATCCACATCGAGGTGGGGCCCAGGGTTCTATTTATCTTCACTCACTTTTTGCAGTGGAGCGTTTTTGACCCGTCATCAAGCCCAAACCCTGAAAGATTCCAATGCATGCCCCGTAACACACTCTTATTGAAGAGGCCAGGCAATCCCACGAGCGCAGGCTGACATGTCAACGCATTACTGGGATGCCAGGAGGCGTCACCTGCCATTGGCGGTAATCAGGCTGATTGATTGGGGTGGTTTGGAGGCTGCTACGATTTCTGTTGTCCATTAATTGTCAAGGAATTCTGGAGTAAACTCATAAACGTATCACTGTTGTTGTAAAGGTCGTTGTTGACTGGGGACAGGTTGCGCGGACCGTGGAGAGCTTGGGAGGGAACATCAAGTTGGAACATGACACTGGCGAGTGGTCTGTCGACATAGGCTTCCCAGAACACCACGTGGCCATTGAGGTGTGTGCCTCCTGTTTGACATCGTGCACGTCTTCCTGATCCTCCTTGCAACTGTCAGCATGGATTGCACTCCTGCTTCCGTGTGTTGCACCGTCCTCGTTTTGAGGGGGAGGATTTCCTGCTTGAAGCCTTCGAGTTGGGAGGCATTCAACTTTGTGATATCAAGTTGGACAGTGAAAGGCTGCCTGTAAGACCAATGAGCCTCAGATGGCTCCCAACACATCTTTTACTTCTGATAAAACTGCAAATTGATGTCTGGAATTGTGGCACTTTGATGGGCCCACCCACTGTGCAAACTTATACATTGCACTCCTTCTCCACGTGTTGTATTGTTCTTGGCTGAGGGGGGAAACCCCTTATTTAAGCCTTCCACTCGCAAGACATCGACATGTGGAACTGCGGCAGGTTGACGGGCCGACCCATTTTGCAAGCAACACGCGGAGGCCGCTGGGCCCGACACTGCTGAAGCGGCGGCTGCTGGCCGCGCGCGGATGGGAGGTGGTATCAGTCCCCTACTTCCACTGGGCCGAGCTCAACACCGAGTTTGAGCGCCAGCTGTACATCCACCTTGCCCTGCAGGTCAGCCTCAGCGCCCCTTTAGAATTGAATGCAAGGGAGTTGCAGCATGCATGCAGTAAAAAGGTGTGCCAGATAGTTGTGATATTAGGACTGACGGGCCACAAAGACAACCATTGCATGGCGTCATTTGTCGGCATGCATCACCGCTGATCAGCTTCACTTCCTGGCCAATTCAAATTAGCGGGCTGTCTGAGTTATTCTTAGCATGGTGGTCACATTCTTTCAATTGCTTTATTTGTGAAGGTGTGGTTTCAGAACAGGCTAGACTTAGGCTGTTGTGGTGATGTTCACAGGCACAGCCCAGGGGGAGGCATGTGGTGGCAGCGCCTGTAGCACCACAGCGCATGGACGATGCAGGGGCCTTCAGCCTGCGCAGGAAAGTGGAGGGCATGCTTCAGGATGTCTCTGCCCCCTTTCCTGCGGCAAACTGGACCGCCCCCATACCAAGCGCGCAGGAACAGCCGGGCAGCCCTGCCTCCTCAGCAGCATCAATGTTGACACCATCGGGTAGCTCTGGCAGCAGATACTCAGTGCCCGCTGACATGACAGCCTGCACCACAGCGTCTGAGGAGCAAGAGCGGCCGTGCGGTGAGGCAAGCTCCTCCCGAGAGGCTTCAAGGGATGCTGACAGCCAGAGGGAGGCTCTGGGCAGCAAGGGAACCAGGCTTGCTGTTCTGCAGTACAAGCAGGGGCGCCTGTCAAGGCATGGGCTATTGACGAAGGTTGCTAGGAGAGCAGCGAACGGGCACAGCAGCAATGGTCCGGGTGAGGAAGCGCCTGTACTAGCTTCACAGCAGAATGATGCCGAGGAGTAGTGAGTGAGTTGGAGGGGAGCAGCATAATACTTTTAGGAGAGCGAGAAGATATTCAGAGCGAAAAGTAAATGCGCATTGTATTCCTGCTCTCATGTGCAATGAAGTATACAAGCCGTCAATCATCTGCCACCTTTTCTGCCTGTACTAGTATCTTAATTATTTTGGTAGACCAGCATGGTTTGAAATGCATGCCCAGGCCATTTGAGTTGAGGTCTTTTTAAAGATCTGCCATGAATTATCAAAATCCCTTGCAAGATTACACAATAGCAGTTGCAGCTGGTGATAAGAGGTACTGAGAGCTTACTTTGACAGCTCATGCCGCATTCACGTACTGACAAGTTGTGAGCAATCCTGATTCAGCCAGCATCCTATTATGCCTTGACCTTCTGAATTGGTCTGCTTGCAAATACACTTGTCAAGGCTTGCACCGCTTTGCCATGCAGACTGCCTGTGACAAGGGAAAGGACACACGCAAGGCATGTCACTGCAAAGAAGGGCCGGGGATCCTTGGGATTGAACCACTCTGAGGGAGGAAGCACCGACCACACCCCCATGATAAGCAGAGGGTGCAGCAGATAAACATCATAAGAAACATCTGCCACCCATTTGAGCGGCCTGATGGACAATGCTTTTGCTAATACGCCGTATGGCCCACCCAGGCCAGCACATGCCAGGAGCAGAATCAAGGCGGGAAGCAGGGGCTGCAGAAGGCCAGTCACAAAGACAAAGCCGACCGCCAGAACGGCTGGATTTGCTGCAGGATGGTTTGGGTCCGGCTTTGGACCGTAGCTGTTGGTGCAGCAGTCTGCAATGATGAGCGCTGACAGCACCACAGTAGCAGTTCCTGCCTTCCACTGATTCCTGCGGCTCAACAAGGAATATCTTGTTTGCACACATTTCACTGCCTGATGGCGCTCCTGCAATCTGCACAAATACATGCATCAAGCCATGCCATACAGCATTCAGTTTCCCTGGTTTGGTGTTACGAGGGCAGTGCACTTTATGGCTCAAAAACAGGAGCAGACCTGGCAAGCCACCTCACAGAAGTGGTGGATGAGAGGGCCAGGTAGGCCAGCACTCCAAGACACATCGAGCCAAGGTGTGAGGCGAGGGACAGATATGAGGCGCTCCACATGTAGTACATCTTGGCCTGGGTCTCTGCTGTGAAGGGCCCATAGAAGGGCACCGGGATCAGCTTCCACAGCTGGATTCTATTCATTACATGCCCCCGATGGCCAAGCACCGCTGCTATTGTGGCAGCCGCTGCCCACCCCACCCTCACCCTAAAATTCACAAAGAATCCATGTCAAGTGCTTCCGAATGCGGACAATGCTCTTACTAGAAGGAGCCATATAGCCCTGGCATGTTTCACTGTAACTGTGGGCGCGCTACCAACAGAAAGGACCGGTCTTCTCCGATCAAGGTCGAGCGCATTCCACAACAAAACAAGCTGCGCGGCTGCAGTTGAATGGGAAGGATCCTGTATCACCTATAAGGATATTTTATCCTGCTGTTTAAAAATGCATGCAAGGCTGGTTTTGGAAGCTGCACACCTGAATCCCGGGGACTTTGGCCGCAGCAGCAGCAGGCAGAGCGGCGCCAGAAGGAAGAACTGCATCTGCACCGCTGTGCTCCATGTGTGGCTCGCGCAGCCGGCAAACGGCAACATGTTGTTCACAAAGGCAAAGCTGGCCCACAAAAGGCGTGGACAGTTGTCTGGGTTGAATGGATCCACCTCAGCAAATGCACGCCTGGCATCCCATGCAAGACTGCAGATTTAGACATCCGGCTGTTGTTTGCCCGCACAAATGAGAAGATCAGCAGTATTCATGATAGTCCATTAAGACGCCTGAGGAGGCCATCATATGCATGTAAGCGGCATTAGGGAGGCAGGTGCTTCAGGGACTCCAGATGGAGACTTGTGCTGTGAGGTGGGAAGGCAGATGTCTGACCTGGCATCGGCCGAGATGAGGTCAGCGGAGATGGCAGGCAGGGCCACAAAGTAGACAAGGGCCAGCATGCTGTACAGAGCCGGTGCAATGCGCAGGAACCTGCTGGTGTAGTACCTGCAGGCTCATCCGCTTCCAATTAATCGCACACCTATTGCCGCAGAGGGTCATGCAGTGCGGGATCAGATGCAAATCTTTCTAGCACAAATGCTTGCCTTCGAATGTATGGTATGTATGCGGGCGCTGTGGCCAAGCCTGGCACCAGTGATTGGGCTGCTAAGAAGCCTGTCAGGACCAGGAAAGTGTCCATGAAGACTTGTGGCATCTTCATCAGCCCTGTCATCCAGGCGTGCTTGTCCAATAATCGGTAGACTTCCATCTTGTCAGAGGCTGATCCCACCACCCAGAACATGCAGTGCCCTATCAGCACGCCCAGGCATGCGAGGGCGCGCTGGCCTGACACTGGGTGCAAGTTGATCGGGTGCATTTTCTGGGTTTTGCTGGGCAGGTGGGCGTCCGCATCCTTGCTTGTTCCACGCACTTGCTCGCACATTGCAGTTCATATGCTGGCTGACAAGCCCCGCAGTGCAATCTATGAGCCAGGTGTTCCAAGATCGCACTGTTGATCTGTATATAAGACCTTCTCAGCACCAGCTAGGACTGCCGTGAGTCAGCAAGCACATCCTGACGCGCTTGAGCTCATTATCGCAAGTAAGCTTGACACTTGACTGTGCACCCGTCGCGAGAGTTGCGGTATTATATTCGCCTAGGCACCCCGAGATGGGATCATCGAAGGGCTGTCGGTTCAGCATTTGGATGGGCGCGACATTCACGAGGCGGACCAACGGTTTGCGATACGCTCTTTCTGCATTTCGGAGGTCTCAAGATGCGTCAAATATCAGCCATCACCACCAATAAAGATACCACCGATCAGAAAGGAGAATGTAGATCTCAACATCCAGGTGCCTAATAAAATCATGGTGGGGCTGTAAAGGCATCCAAGGCGAGCCTTTTTGAATGCCGAGACGCTCTGACGAAGTGACTCAAAGCCAATTTGTAAGGACTTCATCCCGATCAGGTGCCACTGATGGTAACTTTTAAGTAGATTGATGGTGGCATCGATCTCCACGCCGGCCTGCATTGCTAGCTACGAAAACGTGTCTCAGAATAGAGACATTTGACCATCGGCCTTCGCCACGTTTAGCGAGTAGCGGCATGTATAGCTCCTCCGAACTCTGTGGCAATGCGGAGCTGCTGCGGAAGATCATGCAGCACGCTACCGATGGGCACAGTGGCAACGGGGTTGGAGAGACAGCCGGTCAAGATTTGGATCCTCAGCCAACAGTTGCTTTTGGACAAGACAGTGAGACTGGATCCAGGCAGCACTTGGTGGATCTCTACCGCAAGGGACTTCTATCCTCCCAGAATCTGGAGGAAGGAGGTTGCCACAGCCTCTTTGTGCAGCCGAACAGGAGCTCACATGCCTGGGCAGACACACATATGACCAGGCGAGATTCTGAGACCAGCAGCGCACCTACGTTGCATCAGCCCGTAGCCTGTCGCCCTCGAGCCCAGCAGTACAGCAGGAGCCAGCAATTCTCAGAGGCAGCCTACCCTCGATTCAAAACGGCAGCTGCCCATCCTGCCGTGGCAGACCTGACCAACAAGGAGCTCGCCCTGGGCTTCCCTGATCACAGCGCAGAGGACAAGTCAGAGGATGACGAGATCGAGGCACTGCACGCCGGCTGCAGCCACTTTGGCCTGGACGATGGGCTGGCCTTCGGGTACATGCGTCAGTATGACAGCGACCCCACAGCAGGCTACTTCTCAGAGCCAGGCAGCACCGATGATCTGGAGCGCCTGAGGACGCTGGGCTCCCAGGACTCGGCCTGGACAGTGCTGCTGCCAAGGTGGGGACCACCCCATTGCAACTCATGACATGCCATGCGGACAAGCTGTCTTGACATCTGTTCTTCTATTCGATCAAATTCTATTCGATCAACTTAATGTCTGCAATGTATCAGACTCAGACAATGCATCGAGATCTCATACTAGAGATGCCTGATCGCACTGAACTCGCTCAGGACATGACATGCATGCCCTCTCCAGCGCCACATTTGCCTGTTGGCCTCGCCCTCACTGATGCAGTGTCGGGTCATGCTCGCGCAGGCAGCGGCGGCGCAAGAGCGAGAAGCCGGCGCGCGCGCCCGAGGCTGTGGGGCCGGAGTGGTACGCGGAGCAGCGCCTCGCAAAGCGCATGGCGGCCTCGCTGCTGCCGCTGGGGTCCTCCGTGCCGATGCAGCTGCGCCGTCCGCGCTCCAAGAGCCGCGCCGATTTCCCAGCCGCCGACCGCGCCGCCTCCGCCGGTGCCGCCCTCGCAGGGGCCGCCCTCGCGCTCGACTCCAAAGGCTCCTCCAGGGTGTGTGCCCCTTACTGCCCATTCCATGCATCATGATAAATTTGTATAAGGTCACGGTTACGTCTTTCATGTCATTTGGTAGAGTCTTAGGTCTGGTTGGAATGCAGCCTCCAGTGAGTCCAATCACCAGATCCCATCATCAGCCTTGCCAATGTCAGCACGACAATACTTGTCAAATGCAACGCAGCGCCCTTCATTTCTTGAATGATGTGCCTTTACACTAAGATATAGAAGACCCTTGGGCAGATCTGGCAGTACTGGCCCTGACATGTTTGCAATGCTGGCGGCAGGAGTGTGAAGACTGTGGCACAACTCAGACGCCACTGTGGCGCCAGTACGAGGACGGCACCTACTGCAACGCCTGCGGCCTGAGGCGCAAGCGAGCCGATGGCGCCTACGTGCGCAGCAGCAAGGCATCCAGGTATGCCACCTCACAGCACATACACTCCACGAGTCTGTTGGGACCTAAGTCAAGGGTACTAGTTAGCGTGTCCTCTGGAGGCTTGGAGGCTGCTCCAGAGAGGCGGCTGAGAATGAGGCAGCCACCGGATCTGGCTGCATGGCTGCTTGTGCAGTGCGATGCAGTGATGATGGCAAGCACTAAACATGCTTTGGTGGCATGACAGACATGCTCTCAATAGAAGGGACGCCCTATAGGCTGCAGGTCATGTCTGCATGCTTGAGATGAAGCTTGCCCAGAAGCTATCAGATAGCCCAGAGTGACCTTGCAGGGTGACACAATTCTTATGTTCCAATGCAGGTCTTGACTGCCAGGCGACAGGATGGTTCGAGACCATGAGAGAATTTTCAAGTCAAGATCAAACAAGAATGAGAGCGGCCTGATCTGTCAATATTCTTCGTGACAGGGTGCAATATGGGGAGCAGATATTTCATCTGCGAACATCCATTACCTTTCTAATTAGATAGTCATTTTTTTGACTCTTTTTTGACTCTTTCACCGAGGGTGGCGGTACTGATATTTACACAATTTGCATCTATGCAGCCTATGTAGCAGCCTTGTGCGATCCCATGCCCTGATCTTGCATGTGAAGTGAGGAACTGAGAAAATGGATGAACTCAACACCTGGAACTTGCATCGTAAAATCTTGAATCTAGACAGCTGGCGATACCCATAGGTAGATCAGAGACCTCTAGAGGGCTTGTAATGGCTTGGTGACCGTGTCGCTAAGAATTGCAAAGTGATGAAAGATATTCTGATCTTTTTGTGGTAAATATTCTGGTGTGCAGCGTATACATACTCTTGACTTCAAATCCCTATTAGAGATGCCACATGGAATGTAAGAAGGTACTCTGCAGGAGCTGTATTACAATGCTTGATTTCCTGCCCTCACGCAACAATATCATAATTGTAACGAGGCTCTGCCCAGTAGGATGAATTGTGCTGCGATCCCCGGAATCAAGACCACAAGATTCTCTGTAATTAAAATTCGGCAGCTTTGCTTGACGAAAATTCTACAGGATTCTCAAATCGCACCAGAAGTCAAATATATCTAAGTAGTGCACAGTTTGCATGACATGAATGCAGCATCAGTCGACACTGTCAACAACAGAAGACCCCACAAGTATGGCACCAGACACGCTGTGCTTGGTGATCAGGTCACTATGCTACCATCAATTCAAACTGATGAGATTCACCTTTTGGCTGCAGGGGCTCGTAACCACCAGCAGCAAGCCATCAAGGACTGTTCTGATGAGTGCTCCTTACTTTGTAGAAAGAAGCAATTTCATACGTTCAAGCGCCCATAACCTTTTGTCACACCCAAGATCCAAGTACATGGCATGCATGTGATCATCAAGAACCCCAATTTCTTTGAGAGCGATTGAAGGTGATGCCAGTACAGAGCCATTGCAGCGGGTCCTCGGTGCAGGTAATTGCTTCAGGCCCTCCCTGGAACCTTGGGGGCTTCCACGCCGAGGCGCTTGGCAAAGTCGCTGACCATGCGGCTGAGCCCCTCGCGCAGCGCCACCTTGGGCTCCCACCCCAGCGCCTTCTTGGCCTGCGCAGCAGTGCAGCATATGATTAACCTTATGAGACAGCATAACAAAGTTTTGTATTGCTGTGGACCTGTTAAGAACAAAAAATCTCTAGAAAAGGGAATCTATAATAAAAAGCAAAGTAGGGATGCAAAGACAGGCCTGGCTTGAGCTGTTGGGGCGATTAGACACTTTATGACCTTGAACTAGGCAAAGTATTACCTCGGACTTGACAACCAACATGCCCAGATCTTCCAGTAGACACAGGCAATCATGCACAAAGCATGCTTCCATGATGCTCGCAAGTCTAAGTACAGATCAAGTCTGCATACAGGCGGTGCAGTATGTGCTTGCAGGTGTGGAATGCTGGGTGATACAGCTGGGCGGGGCATGCCTTGGAGATGTCGGGCTTGCGGCGGGAGGGGTCGTCGGCGGTGTTCTCCTTGTACACGATCTGGGCGTCGGGGTTGACCACCTCCTTGACCACCTGGGCCAGCTCCAGCATGGTGAACTCGGTGGGGTTGCCGATGTTGAACGGGCCCGTGTACGGGCCATCCATCACCCGCACCATGCCTGCCCCAAACACCACCCACCACATGTCAGCCACCTCTGGCAGCTCTCGTAGGCAGCAAAGGCGCACTCATGACTCTCTGACACATTGAACGAGGGCAATTGAGATTCACCCCCCATCAATAAGGATGTCCACCAGCAACAGTCCTCTACAAATGCAGCACATGTGCACCCACATCATCGTGCGTGCACATGCACCGGCAGATAGACACGTGGAGTATTGAGATCGAGCAAACATCATGCCAGCAGGAGCTAGCAGGTGTGCATCTTTGACTCACCTGGACATTGGGTACAGGCGACATCAGGGGGTCAGAGGAGATGGGAAATGAGGCGCACCCTCGACCAGGTCCGAGACGTATTGGAAGGAGCGCGTCTGCTGACCGTCGCCGTAGATCGTGAGCGGCTGCCCCGTCAGCGCCTGGGCCACAAAGTTGCTGACCACGCGGCCGTCGTCCAGCGCCATGTGGGGCCCGTACGTGTTGAAGATGCGCACCACGCGCACCTGCGCGCATGTGACCGCACATGCTTGCACACGTGCCATACCAAGCCGTGCTTCCACACCCCGCAAGCACAGCACACCCACACAATACGACCTTGATCCAATCCAAGAGGTGCTTCCACTAGCTGCATACTCGGAGGAGCACTCCTGATCGGGCTGAGCATTCTGCGTGATTGGGCTCAGCATTCTGCGACTTTTTCGGAGACAGTAGTGGGGACAACCTTAGAGCCAAATTCCAGCAAATATCTCTTCTCATATCACATAATCAGTGCATCCATCACATTACACGACTAGCAAATGATGCCAGGGCAGCAGCGGCGTACCTCCAAGTTGTGCTCCCGCTGGTAGTCGAAGGTGAGGCATTCGGCTGCGCGCTTGCCCTCGTCGTAGCAGCTGCGCTCTCCAATGCAGTTCACATTGCCCCAGTACCCCTCCGTCTGAGGGTGCTCCAGCGGGTCACCATACACCTGCAGCAGATGCAGCCATTATGTCAGCTCGTGACTACTCAGCGCCAACCTGACGCTCCTCCTGCTCCAGACAACTTCATGCTCCCCATATTTCCTAACAAATTATAATTTTATTATTGTTGTTCCACGCTGTTCCTGCCAGAGGCAACGTGCGTCGGCAGACAAGCTGCAAGAGCAAAGATGTCTGCTCCAAACACCAAGAGCACTTTCAAATGCCACAGTGCGGCTTCTGGCATGTGCAAGGCTTCAGGAAGGTGGTGCATGCATTTCATTATGAGATCTCAGCAGCGCCGCACCTCACTGGTGCTGGTGAGCAGGAATCTGGCGCGAGTGCGCTTGGCGAGGCCGAGCATGTTCATGGTGCCAATGAAGCTGGTCTTGATGGTCTTAATGGGGTTGTACCTGCGCCCAAAGATGATCAGTGATCAGGACCGGATGCAGATCAACGCTGCGCCCAGATTCAAGTGTCTGTGAACCATGGCAGCTTTGGGCTTTGTGGGCATGAAGACTACAAGTGAACTCCCACAAAGACAATGCAGGCATGCTGCCCTATGCCAAGGAGCTCGCACTTGTAGTGCACCGGCGATGCTGGGCAGGCCAAATGGTAGATCTGGTCCACCTCCAGCAGCAATTTCTCGACAACATCGTGGCGTATCAACTCGAAGTTTGTCTTGCCCAACAGGTGTGCCACGTTCTCCTTGCTGCCAGTGAAGAAATTGTCCACGCAGATGACCTGAGGCGAACAGCAGCTTTGAAGGATGGTCAAAGGTCATCTGGGACTGCAAAGAACGACTCCTCCCGTGTATTCGCACAGAGTCTCACACAAAAAAACTGAAGGACAGCTCCTGTAAAAGTCTTGAGAAACCCCTTGGGAAAACGTCAAGGTCGAAGCTTACATGATCTCCCCTCTCCACAAGATAGGTGCAAAGATGGGAACCGACAAAACCAGCTCCTCCAGTCACCAGCACTCTGTTTCTCTCAATACGTGGCTTTGCCTTTATTTTCGTCTCTCCGTTCTCGTGCTTCTGCACAGAAATGCAAGAAATGACCTTGAAAACCCATCAATATCACATGTCATCGTCACAAGCTCTTGGCAAATGCAGCGCAGTTCCCAGATCCAAGATGTGGAACAAGCAGAAAACAAGAGCATTGCCAGTGGGACGGACTATCTTGCATATGGCATGTCGTTGGAAGCATTAAACTTACTGAGTTGCCGTTGCTATCTGCCATATTGTATCCGCTTCGATACCCTGAAGAACACCGCTTTTAGCTGCCAGTTATTTCAAAGGGGACGGTGGGCCAACCTGCGCGCCTACCCTCAAGCGATCAGGACTGTGTTCTCTAGACAAAGTAATGACTTCCAATGAGGACAACAACTTGACGAGAATATAGATCTGGATTGCAAATTAGATCGGAGGGGAGGAGAACAAGCGGTCCCGCTCCGGTGCGTCTTGCCGAGACCCGTAAATTGCTCAAGGTGACTCATATGAAACTTCTGGCTGAGATGCATTACTCCATGGTCATGCTGGTCATGCCCATACCCTCTATATTGCCCGAAGCGGAGAAGATAGACCGCAGTTGCCATTACAATTTGAATTCTTGCTAGTATTTGCAGCGCATACGCCCGGCCCGCACAGCCCGGCCGGCCGGTGGCCGTCAGAGACTCTGCCCATGGGCAGCCACAAGGAAATGGCCAGCCACAGTGACATACCATCTATGGCGATGATCCTGATGATCCCATGACACAGCACTATCCGACACGCAAACACACGCACCCACGATTCATTTAAGAAATGTAGCTCAAATCATGTGCCCCAGCTTAAAGCGCTGGCCACTGTGTGACAAGGTGTCTTGGCTGGTGCAATGCATGCTCCAATTGGCATCCTTCCCCCTTGTTATGGACAGCACCAGACACCTATTTGGGACAAATACAAAATGACTCCTCAAGGAATAGAAAGTCTCTGCACCCATGCCATTGCATCTCAGGGACGATTTCTCAAATCCTACTATGTGCCATTAGAAAAGGTGCACATAATTGTGCGATATTGTCCAAAAGAGGATAAAGGTGAGAAGCAATGTCGAGTTCAATATCTCCCCATAGAAGATGCTCCCGCTGCAGGACAAAGCGAAGTTATTCAGGGCAGTCATGCATTGGTATACCAGCAGCAAGGTCGGAGAACCTGTGAAGATGAAAGGGGCCACTAATTGTGCCAGTCTGAAGTATTGAAAGGTGCCAGTACCACCTCACACCCTCACCTGGACAGGAAGTACTTCTTTGGCTGTCCCCCAGTCTTGGTGAATAGTAAACAGGCAACCTGTAGTGTGCAGACCTTCACTTAGTCCACATGACATCAGGACATAGTTTGGGGTCTAACATGCCACCAGAACAAAGACTCACCACCATGTGCATCGCAAGGTAATACAAGAATCCGCCCCAGCCAGTCACCCCCCAAATCCCTGCAATCAGGCCTGCTACCAGGGCTCCAAATACGCCGCTGCACAAGCAGATGAGCAACATGAGCTGCACCATTTCACCTATTTGGGGCCTTGCCCGACACTGAATTCCTTTCGGCCCTGTCAGTGGAGTGCAAAACAACCTTAAACAGTACAAGCTAGATCACGAAAAGAAAGAATCCATTGGCGATCTGGACTCACATGAAATTGACAACGCCAGCGTTATGTTGCACATTCTTTTGCAAGAGCATGCCAGTGCTCAGGCTTGCTGGCGATTTCTTTGCCATTGAATAGATCGCTAGCCCAGGATCGATGTTTTATCGCTGGGAATAACAAGTGCTGCCCATTGTTGCGATCCTTAATTCTATGTCCTCGATTCAAATACTCGCCAATAATTCAGCACAGTCCTCAACAAGGCAAATGATCTGCAAAAGTCAAAACAGGCTTGGACGTTCCACAGGTGCTGGCATCAAGCGTCGAGTCCAAAATGCAAAAGGTACTCTTCAAGAAGTAGTTATGTTGAAAACAATCCAAACATCGTTAAAAGCGAAGTAATTTGACGGTTTCGTGGAGAAGGATTTCTCATCGAATCCCTTGCGAGGGCTTCGCCATTGAGGGTGAGAAAGTGTAGGTCTGGTGGAACTTCCCAGGCTCCTGTGCAATTTCAAAATTTTCTCTTGTAGCCAACGGATGTCACTGATCCTGAAAATTAGTTGATCTTAATGCGAAGCTTCATAGTGCCGCCATGATTATTGAGTTGCAAGCATTGAATTGATCGGGTGGGCAAACGGGGGTCTGATGAGTTTCTGCGTTGCACACCACCGGTGCTGAGTGGATCGCCATTATTAGAATAAACAGGATTTTTGGTATTTAATTGCTCTGGGTTTGTTTCAACTGGCGGTCTCCGATCATATCCTTGGTGCCTGGAGCGCACTTTCGAGTGCTTCATCTCGTTGGGTAGTTCCCAGCATGGCTGACACCCAGGCAGTTCTGGCGCCGTCTGGGGTCTCAACAGGGCAGGTAGGTCTCCGCGAAGCATGAGCGCTTGCAATTATAGGCTCATTATTGGCACAATGAAATAAACCCGCTCAATCTTCCAGCTGTCAGAGCGTCATGGAAAATCGTGCAGGAGGTCAGCAATCGCCAAGTATGCGCCTCAGAATTTCCTGTGTCACAAACTTATTAAGATCTGCACTTCTGCACAGGTGTCTGCCGTGCTGGCATACATCCTCTTCATCGGTCTATGGTGCTATGCAGAGCTCCTTGAGTATGCCAGAAAGTGAGGCGTCCGACAATTACCTACCTTTTCTCTGTATACATGGGAACATTGCATTGTGCCTGGCGACTCCCATAATGCATGCGGCTCTCAACTCCACAGCTTGTGGAAGTGGCCGATGCAGGTTGGCTGCTGAAGCAACATTGCCGGTTGTCTGCACAGATCGAGATATATCAGAGCGCACTCAGAGGATCATGATGAGGAGACGGGCAGGGAGGGAACCCAGGCAAAGGAAGCTTCCTTGGGGTCTCCTGGCGTATCGTCCTCCCCCCAAAAGGAGTTCACCTTTGTTGGATCAGGCTTTGCGCAGTACGTCGCGCTGACCTCTCCTCTTGAAAAGTTTGATCACAAGAGAATGTCATCTGCATGGCCCCTGCATTTCTGTGTTCTGAGAATTCTCTAGCCGCATTTTCTTGCCTTTGACCACTGGTGGTGCGCTTCAGGTGCCTCATGCTGAAGCAGAAAGCGCTGTTGGACTCTCGTCTGTACCTGAGAGCAGCGTGAGTTCCTGTGACTGCTCGAGTTCCGTCATCTTGTACCTGCTGTCAGGGACCCTGTCATTGCAGTGTCACATTGGGAGCTGTGGGGTAGCATGCATGATTGGAAGTTGATGAGCAAGGTATTTGCGCAGGGTTGAGTTTGGGTCCATCATGCTCTGGTTCTACCTCGTGGACCGGACGACCTTTTTCACATATGGAACAAAGGTGACGCTCTTCCCTACCTCCCTCCCTGCCTGGCGTGCCTAGCCCTTCTCACAAATCCCACTGCATGAAAGTCAAAATACAGATCTGCCTCGTAGTTCTGGCGGCAGGCTTCCCTGTTGCCTTCTTCTTTCCTGCTGCCATTCCCTGTTCCGTTCCCCTGTGAACAACACTGCAGCACTGCCAACTTTGGCGGCTTCTGGGATGTGGTGCTGCAGAGGGAATATCTGGTGGTCCCTCCCTTTCCTGACTGGGTGGTGTGTCCCCCCTGCACAGAGCTACAGCCGGGACGTGCTGACCTTCATCTTTGTGACGCTGACGGCTGTGGCTGCGTGGAAGTCCATGCGCAAGTACAAGGCGCCAGACATGCTCAACCGGTGGCAAACAGAAGAGTGGAAGGGCTGGATGCAGGTGGGCATACCCTCACATAAGGGTACTGCCAGCAGAAACATAGATTTTGCATTGCCATCGATAAAATCTCCTTGCCACAAGGGATCACAAATTGGCTGGATCGGCCATGAGGAATCAATTTGCAGCCTGATAGTGGATCGAGCTGCCTGCGTGTGTGTCCTTCGCATCTGGGTCTCAACGTACGTATCTGCATGCTAGAGGGCTCGCTCTTAAGACATGATGGCGACGTCGCGCGCAGGTGCTGTTCCTGCTATACCACTACTTCAATGCGCGGGAGATCTACAATGCGATCCGCGTGTTCATTGCCGGATATGTGTGGATGACCGGCTACGGCAACTTCATGTACTACTACCACTACAAGGACTTCTGCCTTGGCCGGTGCGCAACTTTCTTCTGCGCCTATGCTGTGCTTGAGCGTTCTCATAATCTGTTCTTGTCCAAACCCTCTACTGCGCAAGTAGAGTGGGATCATCGTCATTTGCCCAATGTGCACATGCTTTCCAGGAGGGTGAAAAAATGGGGACTCCTTCCCACCTCGCGTTAAAAAGGATCTGAAGTCTTGGGGGCTCTGTGCACGTGCAGTTTCATGCAGATGATGTGGCGGCTGAATTTCCTGGTGACCGTGGTGTGCATCGTGCTGCGCAACAGCTACATGCTGTACTACATCTGCCCCATGCACACCATCTTCACCATCTTCGTCTACGCCACCCTCGGCCTGGGCCAGAAGTACAACGCCACCAACACCGGCATCCTCGTCAAGTGAGGCCCCCTCCCATCCTTGTCCTTCAATCACTAGACGCCCTCTCTCCCGCTGCCTGTACCCAGCTTGTATGCATGCATGGTTTGCCGCCAAATGCATTCGCTACCGTGCAAGTGATGAGGGTGAAGACTGCATGCCTGTTACAAATATGTGAATGGTGCTGGGTGCGATGTGCAGGATTGGGCTGTGCGTGCTGCTGATCTACGTGTGCTGGGACATCAAGGCGGTCTTCTACGCTATCTGGAGCCCCTTCATGTTCCTGGTCGGCTACAATGACCCCCGCAAGCCCACCGATGACCTCCTGCACGGTCAGCGCCCCTCCGCCCAACCCCTCTTTGCTGCCTTAAGAGTGACATTAACTAATGTACGTGCACTGTAATCAGCATCCTCCTCATGCCCGGGCTGCCTCATTTGCTGTTCAACTGGATTGTTGCATGACAAACCCCTGCAGCCTGCTGTTGTTCTGTTTGTTTCTTTTTCACTCTCCAGCGGCGCACCACCACAAAATCTGTTTTGCTTGTGAAGCTTCCCTGCATCTTATTATGACGCTTGCAACTCCGCAAGACAGGTCGGTGTGCTGCACCACTTCCTGTGACTTGCAAGCGCCGTTGCTGTGCACCCCATGTGCGGGGTTTGAAGTGGGCGGTATTACGTGTGCGCAGAGTGGCACTTCCGCTCGTCGCTGGACCGGTATGTGTGGATCCACGGCATGCTTTGCGCCTTCCTCAAGCCCTGGGCCGAGGGCTTCCTGCAGCGCGTGGACAGCCTTGCCTTCCGCGCCCGCGTCGCCGCCCGCACTGCCGTCATCGGATGTGCGCTCCCCAGGCCTCTTTGATGTTCGGCAGGCTTTGCATTTTAAACACTGCTCCATATTGCCCTGCCTACAGCGGCCTGGAGAATTAATTGCAAGCCAGCTAGGCTCTTCACCAGAATGCCTTAGATTGTGATGCATTGCGGGCAATGGATCTTGCATTTGCTTTACGTTGCATCATGATCGGCCCCATTAACCCGGGTTTTGACAGGGAGCCCTGAATCCACCATTGATTCAAAGTCCCCTGTTCTCAATCAGCTCCAAAGGTGGTGATTACAACAAATGAAGGGGCAATTGTGGAGGACAGATCGTGAAGGCGGGGTGTGGGTGGGTGCAGGCACCCTGGTGGTGCTGGCGTTGTGGTACGAGCATGTGTACAAGCTGCCAAAAGTGGAGTACAACAAGCTGCACCCCTACACTTCCTGGATCCCCATCTCGGTCTGGATCGTGCTGCGCAACATGACCCCCGCGCTGCGCACGTACTCCATGGGCATCTACGGCTGGCTGGGCACCATCACGCTGGAGACCTACATCTCCCAGTTCCACACCTGGCTCACCACGGGCATCCCCGATGGCCAGCCCAAGATGCTGCTCTCCTTCCTGCCCCCCGAGGACTACCCCCTCATCAACTTCGCCCTCGCCACCGCCGGTGAGGCTCCAACCCTTTTACCCTCTTGTATAAAATTGTCTGTCGGTCAACTTGAATAGTCCCATGTCCCTCTTGACCTGATTGCTGCAATAAACATCGAGGCCTCTGCACCGTGGCATCCAGATAAGACCCCATGGCATGCCATGGAGTGAGACTCATCGGGTACACCCTGCCCTATGTTCCTATTCACTCTTGTGCATTTGCACGTTCTTATGTCCCGTGTTCATTATTCGCGTGCTGCCGGTGAAGCATCAGAGCAGCTTTTGTGTCGCCACTTGTGCGCTGCAAAGCACGCGGCGGCTGTCACTTTTGGCGAAGGTTGCCAAGGGAAGCACGCTGCATGTCTATTGCTGCGGCCGTGGCCACCCTACACCTTCATGCACATCTACTGCTGTGGTGCTGAGCGGATGTGGTGTGGTGTGTTGCGCAGTGTACGTACTGGTGTCGCACCGCCTGTTCACGCTGACAGGGACGCTCAAGACGGCCGTGGTGCCCAACAAGGCCGGCCGCGAGCTTGTGCGTAATGTCATTCTCATCGCCGTCTGCGGCTCCTTCCTGTGGCTCCTCTCGCTGGTCATCATCGGCGCGGGCGGCTGGGGCGCCGGCCCCGCCGTCGCCTCGAGCACCCTTCTCGATGCGTCATCCACCCGGCAGCTCTTGTGAGGGGGGCGCTGCCTGCCCTTGAGACCCTTTTTCAGAGCACGGCTGAGGGGCCTCTGCCGCCTAAGCGCTGGTTGCTGCATTGTATTCCAGCAGCAGAGGGCTGCGTTGAACAATTGCAGGGTGGCTGCTGGCGGCTTCCGGCAAGTTGGGTTGCGGAGGCACAGGTCTCTGTGCCTCACTCCCCTGAGCAGATGTGGTGAGGCAAAGGGGATGTGGCCCAGCGGGTTGCAATATTGCAGGGCGTGTTGCAAGGATCCTGCTTCATAAAGGGATTTCCGCCCTGACCTTGATTCGTTGGGAACTTCCTGTTGAAGAAGTTGGTGCAATAAGGTCAATGTATGAAGGAGGGAGTTGATTGTCTTGTAGAATTACCGGGAACAATGAATGTCCTGGTTGATAAATTTGGTCAGCAGTGCGGCGCATGCTGCAGATCATGCTATTCGGCTCTGTTGCAAGCGTTCAGAAGCATCTGTTGAGTAGGAAAATCTGCTGCCACCGGGATTGCTTTTGCCCATATAGACGATATAGATCAGCCAAGGTGCCAGCAATTTTCCTAGAGGTGGGGCATGCCTGGAGTGATAGCACTACCATGAATTCAGGGGAAGTTGTTATTCCTGGTTATGTCCCAGAGACATGGGTCTCATTCCTCTTACTTCTGGCAGCTTGCAATTAGTTGGAGACTGTGCATTGGCATTTGGTCTGTGGATTAATATTGACCGTTGTCTGGGATCCTCATTTGTTTGGATGCCGAAGATCAGACTACCGGAACATGATTGAATCTTGATTTCAGATCTGTGCAACCGGCAAGGGGCTTGCTTCCTTGGATAAGGACGTGAATATGTAATATCAGGGTTGGCTGGGATCCGTACGATTGCTCCTGGTTTGGGCGCATGCCTTAATTGATTCCCCATTGCACCGCTCTACCATGGCAGCGTGTTGATGTCAACCATGAGATGCATATGGCGCAGCAGAAAGTTCACCAAGTGCTTCCAGCAGCACGCAGAATTGTGGCATGCAAAACAAAGCACACTCACCTGTCTCATCATGGACAACACACCCCTCAGTCTCACGCGTTTCTCCTCGTGAGCCTCAACTGAGTTCAAGAGTGCATAACGTGGTACACCATACTGATACAACATTGTACAAGAGATCTGCAACTCCCTCGCAACGCACAGCAGTCTTCTCAACAAATTGTCACAGATTCTCCCTTTCACACTCAAAGCAACTCACGGGAGCATAAGCAAGCAATAGCAAGGATGCTTCCGTTCACGGGGGACAAATAATGCCTCAAAAAGGAGCACCTCTTCCCGAACGGGAAGTACTTCCCGTTTCGTGAGTATCTCTTCTCGCTGCTTGTACACTTTCCAGCTCACTCCTTGGCATTCTGCCGGGCCAGAGCCTTCTCAACTGCGGGCGAAGGGCTGTCGACAAAGCTAATGACGCGCATGAGCTCGCCGCGGAACGCTCCCACCACCACGATGGCGCTCAGAGTGGCAGGCACCAGGTACAGCAGCGCGGGCTGCCCAAGGTGAGTCACAGCGTTCACCCCAAACGCAATGCCCAGCCCACCCACATACGCGAGCTGCATGTACCCCCAGCAATTCAGCGCCCACCTCGCTGCTCAGAGTCCCGTGGAAAGCACACATAAAAAGTACCTTGGTATGTGACAGGCAATCACTGCTGGCCCTGCAGAAAGGATCTTTTGGAACCGAGATGCAATGGTACAGGCGCTGGCAGAAGGTAGAAGTTAATTTGTTGGGCACACACCAGCATCCGTGTGTCCCCGGCCAGGAGGGAGGCATGCCATTTGGGAGTGATGCTGCAAGGGAGCTTTTTGTAATAAGAGGGAGGAAGGGTACATACCATTGTGGGCACAAAGTAGGTGCGCTGGTGCAGCACGGCATCGGAGACGGCAAAGGGGGACGCAGAGGCGCCGCCCTGCGTGCTGACGCGGTGCGCCAGCTCAGCGTCCGCCACCTCATCAAAGGCGGCCTCCGCCGCATCCGCCGCCGCATGCGCGATCTCCCTGTCAGTCGCACCAGCCTGTGGACAGACACAACCTCCGACTGGAAATATCTGAACGGATTTTTTTTCAGTGTCCAAAATTCATCGGATCTGACATGTCTCACGCCGTGCCAGCGAAAAGGCGAGACTTCTTTACTTTGTGCACAGGTAAAGTACTTAATGGGCACAGGTCTTGCAGCAAGTTTTGGACGCAGAAGTGCTTCCGTGCTGATGCAGCCCGGGCATAGTTTGATGTTGTATCATGCGACTAAGAACTTTTACTGTTCATGGCCCAATTAGAGCTGCAGTATTCTGGCGGATGATGCAAGGGGGGGCACCTGCATGGAGGCGAGGGAGTCCTTGAGGGCGTCGGCAGCCGCCAGCGCCCGCGCGCGCATGTCCGTTGCCCGGGAGGCGTCGTATCTCAGCGCCAGGCACGCCAGCAGACCCGGCACCGCCACATCCCCCAGCCCTGCACATGCATGACGACTCAAAAAATTGCTGGCTCTTGCCGACATCTATTCTGAGCATTCTGACTCACAAGCATCTTGCATTGCGAGAATAACATGACAGCAGTCTTCGCTTCATTTTCAGGCAGGACTGCAAGGAGACAATTGCAAGGACTCATGCTCCCGGGCCGGCGGCGGCTTATCATGCATGCATTCAACGTGAAGCGCTAGGTTGCCTTTCTCCCTAAATGGCACTTTGCACTGCCCTGCACGTCCTGGAAACATGAAAACATATTCCGAAACAGAAGAATTTGAGAGATGGGGGCATGGGAGCGCACCCAGGAGCGAGAAGGGGAAGGCGGAGCCCTCGCCTAGGGAGCCGCTGAAGCGCGGGAAGAGCAGGCGAGTGGGGCCGGTCAGGATGTCCGAGGTGGCGACTGCCAGCATGACATTGTCACCGATGACCTTGGGCGATCCAAACACCCAAAAGATGTCGTACATCGCCAGTCCCACCAGCATCACCGCCGCCGCCTTGAAGCTCTTCAGGCCCAGCAGCTGCGCATGTGCAAGAGCCGCATCAGGCGTCATCGCACCCCAAGACAGAGGGTGCATATTTATCTCGGACAGATGAGCACTCAATGAACATATCATGATCACTCCGAGGACCTCAACCAGCCCTCCGCTCCATGGTTCACAAGACTGGCAGAGGCCTCCAACGATGCTGTCAAGAGATCTGTCGACATGCGTACCAATTACATTAAGCGCAAGCGTGCAAAAAGCATGCATGGCGGCCATAGGGTGCCTGCCTGCAGAATATCGGTGGCGATGAGGCAGGCGATGAGGTTATTGAGGGTGAAGCTGGAGTGGTTGCAGGTCAGGTCCACCGTGGCCACTCCCAGGCCCAGCAGCACAGCCGCTATGTCCGAGGGCGCGATGGAAGTCTCTCGTATAGAGTTCCCATCGTCATCTAGCAACCAGCCTTCTGGGAATGTCAGGGGAATGGTGCACTCGCCTAGCTCCCCTGCCTGCATGCATGCACCCGCAGACTCTGCACCATCTCTGCATATGGGAATTTGACGTACAGGTACATCTTCCCCAGCGGTCTCTTGAAGCATGGTGGCTACACTACTTCCTGCTGACAATCAGCTCAATTTAGAATTGGCGGTATATGGTGAGGGGACAGGGAGAGGGAGGAGGGAATCACCGCTCTGCGGAGAGGAGGTGCAACGTTGCCCACAATCGCTATGGATCCAATGAGCCAGAAGTATATGTTCAGGAAGCGCTGGAGGGAGAGGTCTGGAAAGAATTTTATAAGAAGATACCTGTCGCCAACATAGCTGGTCTTCACCCGACAATAATGCTCAGATGCACAAGCTGCATTACTGTGCCATTGCATGTCATGCCATAGCCTCATGAGCATGCATGCAAGTTTGACCATTGGAGGATGGAAAGACTGACCCGCCAAACAGAGCTACAGAAGCTGCTACAGGCGCAAGGGCTCCCTGCAAGGCAAGCAAGCAATATGACTTTGAGCAAAATTCTTTGCCACGCGCTGACTGGCATGTATGCGATATGTTGAGATCACAAGAAACCATGGACAACCCAGCGATGGCTGATGCACCTCTCGCAGGGTTATCTGCTGCCTGATTTTATTTGTCAGCCCTCTGTGTGCCCCAATGTATATCGTTATCGTAGCAAGGCCTACAAAGTATGGCAGATCTGCAAATCTCACATCCTGCAGAAGCACAGACTCATGGTGAGAAAGCCAGAACTGGCAAATTGGCAATTTGCAGCTGCATTTCTGAGCAGTGGTCCAGATGGCTTCCTCTGCTCTCAGAGTCCTGAACATACTGTGTTTTATTGCTTCTATTCCCGTGCCAAGACCCGCGACTTCATCGGTGTCATTCCATTAGTGGCAAGTGCCTCTCACCCGTACGAAGGGGAGCTCCCCGGCAAGAAGGAAGCCAAAGAATATGAGGTACGTCCGCAGCGCATCCTCTGACTCTGTCCACTGCCATGCCCTCTCACTCCTGCATGCATTCAATAATGCATGCTCTCCATTTGCTAGACATCTATGTCTACTGCTGGCACCAGTATCACGTTGAGATTCCCTCCTTCACTCTTAAGCGAGCATGACTCACTCTGCTCTGATAGCGGAGGGCGCTGCTCCATTCTCCGCAGAGCCTGAAGACCCCTTGCTGGGATCTGGCTGTCCTTCATGCAGGCTCTGATCCGCCAACTCCTCTTGCCGATTGTCGTTCTTTATGGCATGGCATCTGAATGCTTGTAATCTGCAGACAAGGAGAAATGGTGTTCAAGGGCGCATATTTGTATATTTGGGTATTGGAAGCATGCATGCATACAAGACAGCATCAGCATTACTTTTATTATGTAAAGGCACACAATTTGGATGCATGCGGGATCAGGCAAGAGGGAGCAGACTGCTGAAGCCAGCACACCTTGATCTGTGAGCCGATCCTTGGAGTCTGCCTTTCAAGTCAATTCTACACCTCTGGTCCGCAACGGTGATGTATTTTGGGTGCGATGTATTCATAGTATGTTTTGCTCTATTGGTGTGGAGAGACACGGTGGGAGGAGTGCACCATCTAGATATAATCATTGTGAACTGGCCCTATCCAAAAATCGTGATCAAATCGACAATTCGCAGTAAAGCAACAGACTTAAGACGGTACAGAATTTGTCTAGATCTGTGCACGTCAAGTAGCAATTTAATTCAGAAACAGCAAAGATTTCGATTTCCGAACATCCACATAGGAACGCCGCTGGTGGGTTGCATGGGAAAGCTTGCCAATTTGGTCCCTTGGACAACAGACTTGTCCAAGAAATGGACTCATCCATACATTTCTAGCCAGAGCAACATCGACCTAACATCAAAAATCTAGAGGACTTTCATGAGGCTTATTACACAGTATCAGGCTGCCAATGGATAGCTGAGGCGGAGGGCGCACCGGGGAAAATCTGCTTGCCACCTGTCTGCATAAAGTAGGGCAAAGACTGGACGTTGACTTGTGAGGGCAATGGGATGTGCGGCAAGCTCTGTTGTGCAGACAGCGCGGTTTTACGACGCTTGGCCGCCGAAAGTCAAGGAGCAGAGAGTCGAAGGTGAGTCATGGCCTGTCCCCTTTGTTCCCAGCATATAAGAAGAGTCTTCTCATGTGCTCTCCACACTAAACAAAACACAATGAATAGCTACTTGAGAGGAATGCGGCCCTGAGCTAAGTGAAATTGGGCGCCACTTTGTGCGCGCATTTCAAGCATCATACTCAGCACGCTGTTTGATAATGTGGAGTACTGGAACAGGAAAGAAAAAATGGTTCTCTCACATGCCGTACGATGCAGACGACGACTTCATAAATGATTGCATGGTGAGCTAATGCCCCTTTATATGTTTCTGTCGATGGCAAACCCCTGTAAAGATGTGTTGCATTTCTAAATGCCAATCTAAATTCTGAGCAATTTTTGATGCTGTCTTAACAATGCATCCGCTTATGCACTGCTAGGAGGAGCACCGTGCTCTGACGCATCTGCATGCCAGCAGCAGTGCGGCATACGAAGGCCAAAAAACAGCACACCATCGCAAGCAGGTACTGAAGCGAGGAAGCTGATTCGCGCTGCTGTGATGAAGGCACTCGAAAACATGTCGATGCATCTTCTTCTTTGTCCCATTGGGGATGTTTTTGACCAAGCTTTTGTGCAAACACCAGTAAATCTTATTATATACAATCAGCGCTTGCAAGTCCTGAAGGCTTGTGCCAGGTTGTTACAGGCATACATGGATACACCAATCCGTTGAAGACATCATCTTCTTTGTTACAGGGGTCTGGGAGTGTGCAGTGCTCCTCAGCATGGTTGTCAAGGGCAGGGGAGGACTGGGGCGTGCAGAAAGTGAACCAGGACTCAGCACTTGCAGTGGGCAGCTACAGCATTGGCGATGCCCTCTTTGGCGTATTTGATGGACATGGGCCACATGGTGATCACTCTTAAGCTTGCTCAAGAACTCCGCTGACATCTTGACAACGATGACAAAGAGCCCTAAGCCCAGTGAGCAATCTGACAGCTTGTCTTTCTCCTGCAGGCCACTTTGTGAGTCAGCACATCAGGAATCACATGCCTGACATGCTCAGGAGACACCTCAAAGCGAAAGATCCGCAACAGGCGCTCATAGCAGGTGTGATAAGTCAGCCCTTCGTTCCAATGCATTGGAACACCCTCTTGACAGCGCTGCTGCTACTTGGCTGCATGGCTTACTGCCCAGATTATGACACAAAACACGATCTTGTGTCGCCCTGTGACTTTCCACGCTGATAGACATTCTCTATCCGCTCCTGACATATTCTATCAGCTCTGTAATATTGTAGGCCAAATTTTGCCATGCGCACTGCGCATCCCAATGCTGACATTCTCCATGCGCGTCTCTAACGCAGTCTTCCAGGACCTGCCACTACTGCTATAGACTTTTATGTAGCTGATATAGGAGCAGCTCGTATTTTGCATTGTGAGAGTCTTCATGTGCATGTGTGGCGCAGCCTTCGAGGAGATGCAGCAGTCGCTGGAGCGCACCACCTTCAACACAGAGGTGAGCGGATCCACGTGCCTGGTGGCGCATCTGGCCGGGCCGCAGCTGGCGGTCGGCTGGGCCGGGGACTCGCGCGCGGTGCTCGGCCGACAGCAGCCGGACGGCAGCTGCCTCGCGGTGCCGCTCACGCAGGACCATAAGCCCTCAGACGAGCGCGAGCGCGCGCGCATCCTGGCCATGAATGGCCGCGTGGAAAGGTGCAGTTTTGCTCTCAACTTCTCTGCCGGGCTTTGCAAGGGTACATGCACTCGTCTGTATCGACGACCTAGCAGAAGGCTACGCACACGAGGCATGGACCAAGGAGAGAACAAATGTGTCATGGCGTTTGCATGTCTCAATTTCCAATAGTGCAGATTCTGGTGTGGGGTCGTGGTTAATGGTGGGCTAGGAACAGCGATGAGGACAACAGTGTTGCTGCTGCAGGATACAGATAGACACAGGAGAGGAGGTGGGGCCGCAGAGAGTGTGGCTCCCTGATGCGTGGGTACCTGGCCTGGCCATGAGCCGCGCTCTGGGAGATGGCATGGCCAGGAGGTGAACCCCAATGCTGCCGGGGCATGATCCCATACAGTTTGCACCTGCCCTGTGACAGTAACCCATCACTCCAAGAATCTGGATTTCTTTCTGTCTGCATGTAAGCAGAGACATTGCTTCTGGCTGTGCAGGGTTGGTGTGATTTCCAAGCCAGATGTGTGCTTGGTTGACTTGGAAGAGGACGACCACTTCCTTATACTCGCCTCTGACGGCGTGTGGGAGTTCATGGACAATCAGGAGGCGGTCGATATCGTCAGTGCTTGCTCAGACGACGAGGTTGCCTGCTCAAAGGTGCCTCACAACCCAGCAGTGCTCAGCACGCATCCCATGACATTTTAGAGTCTGTCCAGCTTTGCCCACCCGTTACTGAGCAGGTCTCATCCAGGGATGTGAACAGCAATGGGTGTGTCCGTATTCATCCCAATTGATGCAATGCTACCAATATATTGTACTTTAAATGTCTGTCGAGAAAAGCAAGCAGAAGACTGTTAGCCCACACTGCATGCCCTACATTTGGCATCAAGTGGAAGAATATTTCTTCCCTGCATGTGACTCTTCTTGTGTGCCTGCAGTTTTGGAGATATCGCTGACTAGTTGCATGTATGGTGTCAATGCAGTTGGTGGCTGCGGCGTACAAGAAGTGGATGGAGCAGGAGAATGGCGGCGCAGATGACATCACAGCGGTCATTGTGCGGTTCCGGCTGCGGCGCTCTGCAGACCCCAAGCTCAGTCCTCCAATGCACAGGAGCAGCTGATCAGTGGACACTGTGTAGCTCATGAATAGACACTTTGCCACTTTCACCTGCAGATTGAGAGAGAAGAGGCAGCCATGACAGCATGCTCTCAGCAAGTCGCTATCGTAGACGTTCAGTTCTTCTCAGCATTTGATCATAGGGTAGGATGTCATGATCATAGAAACGTTTCAGAGCTGCTCTGAACAATCAATGTATGGTTGCAATTGCCAGGCTAAAAGCTGATACCCAGTGTGGGGCTTACATGCACTTAAATAGGCCTGTTCATGCACTTGCCAGATGATACTAGCATCATCTCTAGTACTATAGATACAATACTATTTTGAGCTCCTGAGCGCTTTCAAGGAAGTTCTGGACGTCTAGGATTTTATTTTAGGTAGCTTGTTCTAGTGCTAGTGTGCTGAATGCCTTGTAAAGTGTCATCTGCAATTTGAGAGTCTGAAAGCCAAGAGAGAATGGAGGTTTTTGCCATTCTGAGAGGAGGACACGATGGCTGCTTTGTGGTGCATTACCCTTGCATTCCCCTCACCCCGTCCAAGAAAAGGGATCCAGACGGCTCGGCCTGCCCCAAATATACGCGATCGCTCTGTCATCATCATAGCCTCGATGGTTGTTTTCTGAAAAACTACCAGTGAACACATTCTGTGCAAAGATCAAGGATCGGCAGGCATTTTGCGAGAACCAGCGCAAGTCGTGTGTACTAGCAGTACTGTTGCAGCCAAGCTCTCAGAAATTCTAATCGGCGGCCTTTAGTGTTTCTGAAAATATTGATCCAAATATATTGAAAGCAGCAAGCTATGGGGGCGTGCGTCAGCTCGCCCCAGCATACAGATTCCAACACAGCGAAGGCAGCGTCTTGCTGTACGAGCTGGCGCCATGAGCAGGAGGAGGTTTCGAATCAACTGAGCGCCGCTGTCGATAATAAGCACGGCTCAGGCATAGTTCTCAGTCTAGCAGGGGACTACAACTACTTGAATCCGAAGAACTGGACAGCAAACCTTGACGTCCCGGTCATAAAGTGCGCAATGGCCCTGTAGATCTTCAACAAGTGCTGCGTGCTTGCGAACCGAGCTGATTTGAGCACATGAGTCACATCAAAGGAAATTTATATTGACATCAATGGAGATGCGTTATGATGCGTGGCTGGTGTTGGGACTGGTCAAACTTTGGGACTTCTACTTGTCGTACTTTCGTTCCGCCTTCGCCGTCCGTGCGGAAAAAGCTAAAGCAATCTGTTGCTGACACTCCATTCCGTCCTCGTGATGCAGTTTCGGACAGAGTGCCTCGAACTAGGTCTCAAGCGCTCTTCCATCATAGACTCCCCTGCTAGAGAAAGTGCGATGGACACAGCTTGACACAAGCAGTGAACCAATATTTCAGGCTCTTATGACTCTTTGTATTGCAGGGCAAGGGCCACCGCGCTCGAGAAGGGTCTCAATGCCATATTGGAGCCGTTGCTAGGAGAGGTCGAGGACATCCTGACACATGGCCACAGCAGGGACCAGCACAGCAGTGGTCCCAAGGATGAGGAGGAGGAGGAGGAGCACGCAGATGCCATCAGCTGGCGCACAGCAAGCCTCACAGACCTACCAGATCTGGTCAGCATGGCGTGCAACAACTTGGCAGCCCGCGGCGAAGCACACAATATCGGCACACCGGCAACCATCAAAGAGGCCACCAGCGCCATGCTCCTGGTCCTGCACGCCATCTGCATCGCTGGCGAGAAGCTGGAGGCAAGCACACACACCCCAGCCCTCATTATCGCCACAGATGCATGAAGACCAAGGATCAGGCTCCATCTTTGCACTTCGGATGCAGGCCCCAGACTCACCTTTGCAGCTTCGAGCTTCATAGGCATGAACTGGTTCAGCAACTATTAGCTTTGACCTGGCCTGCGCTTTCTCGCCTTCAGAGAGCACGACTGAGCGGCATGTGTGGTGGCTGCAGCTGCCGGTGCCGGCAGCGCTACTGGAGATCTCCTCCATAAACCGGCTGGTGGACGTGGCGGCGCGCATAGTCTCCAAGCACGACAGCAACGCGAGCCAGCGGCAGGCGGCGGCCGAGTGGCGCGCATGGCTGTCGGCCAACATTGCGAGCGAGGCCCGGGATGAGGCGCACGCGCGCTGGCGGCAGTGGCAGCAGGCGCTGTGCGCGCTCGGCTTGGTGGAGGACCATTTGGCGGTGGCGCTCTCAGCGCGCTCCAAGGCCTTCAATGTGTTCATGGACACCGCCGCCCGCTACGGCAGCGGACGGCTCAGCCTCAGGGTGAGGCCCCAGCTTGCACACAGCCTGGCCTGAATGGCTATGCTCCTGTTTGTCACAACCACCACTGTGCTTGCTGTGCATGCAAGGACAGCGTGCCTGGGAGGATGCTGCGTATTGCTGCCATGCCTGAGAACAGGCAACAGCTGCAATAGGGCCCAGCTTGACCTACATGACATTCCAATGTCACAGTATCTGTCTCCAATACTGGTTCAGCGCCATCTGTGTAGCTCGCAACATCCAGCAGGCCAGCACCCTTGGCGTGTGCCATTCATGCGCCCGGGCTTCTAGCATCAGCACACAAAAGCCCGAACTGCAGCGGAATGACCGTTTAAGGTTTGCAGTCCATGAGGGCCTTCTTGAGCCGGGTTGGCTGTCCGCGCAGGTGCCGCGGGAGGCGTCATTCAGCGACAGCCTGCGGCAGGCGCAGGCGATGCGGCTGCTGGACCAGGTGGCGGGCGGCATGGTGATCTACCCCAGCTTCACCGATGCGCCCACCCCCCGGGCCGCATCGGCACCCGCCGAGACGGCCATGGGTGATGTCGCGCCGTGCAGGCGCCAGGAGTTCTTCGAGTATGCTGGCAGGCAGATGCTGCAGGGAGGTGCGCCTTCACAACCCTCCCTCAAATGCCATTGTTATCAATCTGCCTGTGCCAGCCACTGGCAGCAAAAAATCTTGTGCGTGTTGTCCCTGTGCTCCAGATCCGGAGCTTGCTATGTAAGCTGGTCCCACCTCTGTGTTGTACTGTGCTTGCTCTGAATGCAGTTGTCCTTGTCGCTTCTTCTATGATGCTGTTTGGTCTGCGAGAGTGTTGCAGCTGTGGCTGCTGTGCGGGTTGGTCATGACAGGTGGCAATCAAGCCAAAGTTTAGGGGAGCTCACCACTTTATTTGTGGGCTGCAGGTGCATCCACCAGCGGGAGCCAGGATGCGCAGCCCCTGTTTGTGCGCACGCGCAGCGGCGGCAACTTCTGGTTCAATACGGAGTTGAAGCAGAGCGAGGCGCACAAGGACGAGTACCGCTGGGCCGGCTGGCTGATGGGGCAGTGCTTTGCCAATCGCACCATGCTATGCATCCCCCTGCCGGAGCTGCTCTTTGTCAAGCTGCTCAAAGGATCCTCCTTCCAGGTATGTACCTGCAACAGAGGCCATATTTACTTGCATGCCAGCGCATCCAGACATGGACATGCATGGGCTGTTCATATGTCATTTGCAATCTGGGTTTGCTGCCACGTCAAAGAAGCTAAAACTAGGGGGATGGGTAGCAGTGATTCAAGCCAGAGCGGTGCCATACACTATAAGACCGAAGAATTGCAGGATGCATATGGCTGTCTGCACCTGCAAGGACTGTAGACACACGGCAATTAGAGTGAATAAAGTATCTCATAGTATGTTTGCGGAATTGTGAGGGCAGCTGGGTTGCCATGAAACACAAAGAGGTGCTAGATGCATGTTCTGTGTCAACCTGCAGGCGAGCATAGAGCTGCTGTCTGAGTTTGACGCTGAGCTGGCGGCGTCGGTGCGCGGCGTTGCCAACCTGCGCACAAAGGAGTACAAGCAGCAGCTGGCGGCGGAGGGCTACCCGGCCGACTTCACTCGCCGCTCCTACATGCGCTACCAGATCAAAAAGCTGCTCGTCACCGACGTCGACTGGCACTTCGAGGCCCTCTCCCAGGTTTTCTACTCCTGCTATTTATTCCCAGCAGGACCTTCTCATGAGCTGCAGCTGCATGGCCATCAGCATGAGTGCATGTGTACGTCCGAGATTGAGAAGAGAAATGTGAGGACAGCCCTCCCTGGCATGTCAATTTGCAGCGGCACAGCAATGGGGCTGGCAGCTGTGGCTGGCAGCAAAGGAACCCCAGAGTATGAAGGTTGCAGGGGGATAAGGGGTCAGAAGCCTTGGGTGCGCAGGGATTCTTTGCGGCGGTAGACAGGGAGACGCTCAAGTTCTGGCGCATCACACCGGCGGATTTGGCTGAGCTGGCAGCAGGGATGACAGAGTCCCGGCCGCACTGGGTGCCAAAGGCGCGCGCGGCCGACGCGCAGATCAAGCAGGAGGTGCAGGCGCACGTTGCCACCAGCGACGCACCCGTCGTCAACACCCTGTGGAAGGTGAGTCAAATATTAGGCGGCCCTCACCCTTGCAAAGCACCGGATCTCCAAGCTCCCAACACCCAGTAATTCTCATCAGTGACCATGAGTGGGGTAGGTATCTGCCACTGATGCACGTGCAGGGTGCATGAGGGGCATGATGCATTGTTCTCTGCCTGTCAATTAAATAACATGTCACTGAAGCGTTCGTTTGCATTTGCAGCACTCGCCGGGCACCCAGGTGAACATCACAGCGCAGGCAAGCTTGAAGAGCATCGCGCAGGCAGTCTTTGGCCATTGAGCAATCGCCAGAAACTTGCAGCTTTCTTTCTGGACAGGAGACCCTTCTGAACGTCCTCTGGGGGTAGATTATGATGTAACGTAAATCTGCACGAATTTTGCATATCTCTATAATCATTATTCTTTTGTGAGCATTGCCAACAAAACAGCCATGTTAGCATTTGCAAGGGGGGACGCCTTCAGGTCTGCAGCGATTGACAAACGAACGATGACTTTGACGTGGACAATAATGACTTTTGTTAATGACTTTCAGATGTACCAATAACTTCTCCAAATGAGGAAGGAGTAGGATAGCTACCCGTGTTTTGTTTGTAGACAAATATCATGAATGTCCGGACAGGATCCTGACATAGAAATTTTCTGAAGCTCAATTATCAGAGAGTAGATAGCAAATTACCTCACAATTATATCCCTGTAAAGGTAGTCTTCTGCACCAGATCTTTCAAAGTCGAGCTGATGTGATCAGCGCATTGCTAGACCTGTCTGGCACTGCCAAACATGAGAAAGATAAATGCGGGTGCAGACCTTATTGATTCAAATACCCCAAAGTTCCGCCTGCAGTCCAAACATGATCACCTTGCCCTGGTAATTCTTGGTTTGAAATCTTCTGTTATGCCTGCATATCTTTGTGTCTGAAGAAATTGTAAAAGCATTTACTCCCGCATTGTTTCAATCCCCACTAAGCTTACAAGCTTTGCGATATATGCAAATTAGAGCATTCTGTCTGAAAATCTGCAAGTTTCAGACAGAAGACAATATTAACTGTACAAAAACACTGTCACGAACCAGGTACCCCAAGGGCCCGTTTCAAATCCTCTTGCGCATTTCCTCAAAGTCTCGCTCTGTCAGCTCGTACGCCCAGTGCAACAGCGTTTGGCGCAGCACCGGGCTCACAGTGGCATCGTTGTAGTGCCTGCAACAACAGTCGGTCAACGCAATCTTTCTGGCCCATGCAGTTCTGCAGCGCACATTGCAATATATCCCTGGCACGTTGCTAGTGTTGGCATTAGAGGGGGTATAAATATCAGGAACTAGGTAGTGGGAGTCTAGATGTGGTGGTCAATTGCCTTCCAATGGACGCCGGTAATTGTGCCATGCAAGATCCAAGCTGGGTCCTGCTGAATGGCCGGCAATTCTTGGCAATGTTAAGTTATCCTCAGTAGTGTTTAAAAACAGGAGAGAATGCATACATGGAAGACAGTGCAAGCGCCACAGTAGGGGGAAAGGGCTGCCTCGCTGTGTGAACAGGAGTGCATCGACACTATACCTCACAGCCCAGGAGCACTAATCATCACATCAGCTGGACACGAGATGGTCCGTACCGAGCGCACTTGTTAGCAGCAAGCACTAATGATCACATCAGCTTGACACTAGATGGTCGGGACTAAGCGCACTTGTTAGCGGCAAGCACTCTGTTGACGAGAGCGCGCTTCCAGCGGCCCTTCTCGCCAGCTACCCCCCGCCACCTCTTGATTTGGCGCTCGTCATCGTCAGTTCTCCGCCCCATGTAGAAGCGGCAGTACCACTGGAACCAGCCCCGCGGATCCAGCTCTGGCTTTATCCACCCCTTCTCCTGCATTACCGGGTGGTTTTGAAATTGTATACGGGCCGAGCCTTCGACCGAGCTAGGCCTGTCTTCGTACAGCTGGTAAGTCCCATGCAATCGGATGCCCCACATAAGAGGTGAGACTGGCCTTGGCGTCCGCATACAGTATAGAGTAACCGCTGGCTTATAATAAGGTGGAGCATGTTGTTCAATATCACATTCGGCACACCAGGCATCATCATCATCATCATGTAGTCATCACGGCTGTGCTATCCTGAAACAACATGCAATAGCAAGAAAAGGACTGTCTGAAGCGGGCAAAGTCAAGCAGTTTGCTGGAGGAGCAATCTACCTCCCATGCTGCCTGGTTCTGTCCAGCATTGACCTTGTATTTGTTGAGCTCTGTTCTGTACTTCTGCCCTCTGTACGTGTCTGGATCCAGCCCCTCGAACCAGTCTGCTGGGAACTCATTGTGGTCAATGGCGACGCCCTTTGGGCTGATGATGCCTGCTCGCCCTCCCCTTGGATGGAAGTAGATTCTGCATCCAACCCCGGAGCAGCTTCATTCAGCATGAACAGGAACCATACAGCCTGGTAAATGTTGAAAATCGTCAATCAGGCAAGGGCTGCTGGGGTGGTGTACATGTGGACAGTACACAGCTCCACATGCAGAATGGGACTTCATTCAGGCCTTGGTGATCAGAACAGAAGGGATCTCACCCGCCAAATGATCCGGCCTGAATGACGTCCTTGGGTCGGAGGGTGGGGCGAAACTCAGGCATATCTGCGAAGATGAGGCGCCCCCTGGAGTCCCTCTTGTCAGGCGCACCCAATCGGACAGCAGACTCCACTACATTCTCTGTCTTTCCTTGTTTGGGGGTGTATTTAGGGCGTGCCTGCAGGACGGCAATCTATCCATATACTGCAAAGGTTGCGCAGATCAAGTTCCGAAAACAGTGAACAGGGTGGTCTTCAATGGCCCTGCACCTTTTGTGCAGGCTCTGTCGTTGCGTTGGACTCTGCCGCTCTAGCTTCGGTGATTGTCCTTCTAGGTCTTGTGCTTCTCCTGAAATAAGTGCAACTTAATTTGACTGGAAGAATTCCACGAGGTTCCTTGCAAACACCAGCTCATGAAGGTGCGGCAATCACATCCAGTCATCTCAAAGGTCACTGTTGGTGCCCAGAAATCTGACCGATGTCTGGAAGAAATCTACCTATGCAACCACAACAGCTAAATATGAAGATTTGCGCATGCTATATCCCACCTCGGTGCGGCATCTGCATCATCTGCAGGTCTCTTGGCCTTGGCCATCTCCCGAACACTGATGAACACTATCGATCCGACAGTCTTGAGTCTTCCTAGCCCTAACGGGTAACACAGGAGCTTACCATCCACTTTTGCTGTTGCAATTTGCATCTTAGGGCTCAACGGTCCACATGGATCCAGCTGGCGGTTCACGTGGCAGTCCACCTGGCACCCACTTGAATTCTGAACACCAGCAACACAGCCGTCAAGCCCAGCAAATTCTGCAACAGAGGTGCAGAATGAAAATTTACGTAGATAGCAAAGCCTTTTTAGTCCGTTCGAAGTGATGTTGAGGGGGCTTTTGAAGGGCTTCGAAGCTCAGGTACTCTCAAATGTCCGTAGTCAGCTACTGCATCCAGCTTCTCAGACAGCTTCAGGAGGAGTTCTGCATTCTATTGAACGGATTTTAGCCCCATCGCAGCAGTTAATAAGCTTGGCAAATTTCAGTACAGCCTCCTCTCCAGCTCCAGAATTGATCCGTGACTTTGCCATTATTGGTGGGTGAAGCTTCAGGCAGCTGTTAGTGAAGTATTTTTACCAGATTAATATGTGATTTGCAGATGCTACACTGAGATCCTTGGCTGCTTGTGCATCGTTTGCTCAATTCCCAGACCTATGTGGGAACCAGATCAAGTGATCCAGACAATTCTGAACTTGCAGCCCACGTGGATCATGGCAAGACGACGCTCATGGACAGGCTCCTGGCCCATTGCGGGCATTCCTCAGGCCAGGAGCGGTTCATGGACAGCAACGTAATGGAGAAAGAGCGCGGCATCACTATTAGCTCCAAGTACACCTCGCTGCAGTATGGGAAGTACACCCTGAATGCAGTGGACACTCCAGGTCACGCCGACTTTGGTGGCGAGGTGGAACGGTGTGTTCCTTGCGTAAAACCCAATCGAGACCATGCCTTTTGTCTTTCTGCATGCGATGTGCTCCCACTTCTACTAGACGTGCTGGACGAGACTGTTTGCTATGTGCAGGATCTTGGGGATGGTGGATGGAGCAGTGCTGCTGGTGGACGCAAACGAGGGCCCGCTGCAACAGACAAAATTCGTCGTGGAGAAGGCCCTCAAAGCCGGCATCCGCCCCTTAGTGGTGCTCAACAAGGTCAGTACACCCCGCAAATGTCCCGCTGTCTCTGCCACCCCATTTCAACTCAGTGTCCACTATGTAGGAAGCTTTCAAAAAGGACTGGCTGAAGTGTAATGCTCAATGCGTGCATGGCATGTGCAGGTGGACCGGTCAGGAGCCACCGAGCAACGGTGCGGTGAAGTGGAGAGCAATATCTTTGACCTGTTTGCCCAGATGGGCGCCACAGAGGAGCAGCTGGACTTTCAAGTGCTCTACGCCTCAGCACGAGAGGTGTGTCTTTACCTGCTCCCAGCAGTAGCTGCCACCTTATACGCATGTCATGGCTGCCTATACATGCAATTGTCAAGGTTTTGTGGAGAGCTGGCATTGGATGTCATAGCTGCCTACGCATGCAACCAATTCATATATTTGGGAGAGCAGCAATCATGGCTGCTTCAATGACATTTGGGGGATTTATCTGCAGGGCTGGGCAAGCACGAGCCTGCCAGAGCAAGGCATAAAGCCCGAGGGCGCGTCGGTGGCTCCCTTGCTGGATGCGATAGTGAAGCATGTGCCGCCGCCTGCCGGCGACCTGGGGGCACCCTTTGCCATGCTGGTGGCCATGGTTGAGCACGATGCCTTCCTAGGCCCCATCGCGACCGGGCGGGTCGCGGCCGGCACCGCTCGCGTGGGAGACCGCGTCCGCGTGCTGCACCACACCGGTGAGAAATTTCATGGAAACTCTCTCTCCCGGAGCCCCTCTCAGTTGAGAGTCTCTTTCAAAAGGCACTGAAGTTTCCACTGTCACTCTTACATCTCGTAATCCTTGGTCTGCAGCGTAAAGCACACGCCCAAATGATCAAGCCTGAAGAAGCTTCACACCTGAGAAGACTCGAATGGTGTTGACGCCATCAGGCATCTGGCCACTGCTCTCTCTTTGAACGAAGCAAATCACTACTCGTGGGAGTGATATACCAAGTGCCATTCAGCGCCTAGGTAAGCAAGTTATGGCAACTTTACATTCTCTTCGCGCCAATGCAAACGGGGTCGGTGCTGATGCGCGCAGGGAATCCTGGGGAGGAGGGGCGGCTGACGAAGATCTGGAAGCGGTCGGGACTGGGCCGCTTAGAGCTGGAGGCGGCCGGCGCGGGCGACATTGTGTCTGTCACCGGCGCCGGTACCGCGCGCATTGCTGACACCGTCGGCAGCCTCGACTTGGAAGAAGCCCTCGCTCCCGGCATCATTGAACCCCCCACCCTCAGGTGCGCCCACTCTGCCATCCACTGGACCCTGAGGACCAGCTCGAGTACAGGCACCGAAGGAATTGTATGCATGCAAAGAACGGCATCAGGTGGCAATCCTTGAAGGCTTAACAGCCTCACTGCACAACCAATGTTTGGCACGCGAGTGGGCCAGGTGAGAGAGATGTTGCGCAAAGGAGGCCGTCAGGGGGGGATCAATGGGAGTTTGGTTGGACTCAAGCGGTGACTGTATTCTGCTGTTGCGCAGCATGGTGTTCTCGCCAAACGACTCGCCGCTGGCGGGGAGGGAGGGAACGCACCTGACCGGCAGCAAGATTGGGGAGCGGCTGGCAGCCGAGGCGGCCACGAGCGTGTCGCTGCGCGTCGTCCCCGTCGACGGCGGCGGCGAGGCCTTTGAGGTGCAGGCGCGCGGCGAGCTGCAGCTCGGCCTCCTCATAGGTGAGGGCACTGCCATTAGCAACACCGCATTATCTTTGCAATCCACACAAGTTATGAAGAAAACAGTGCTTATCACGAACAGAGCAGACGCTGTCACAGCACGTTCAGCACGCTTGAAAAAATAACATAGATGGTGATCTTGGCAGCTGGTCTGGCATGGCGGCCAAGCTCACGCCTTGACATTTCTTCAGACTGGGAGTGCATCATGGGTCATCAGGTGCTGAGGGGGGGCATGATGCGTGCGCAGAGAACATGCGGCGGGAGGGCTTCGAGCTGTCGGTGTCGCCGCCGCGTGTTGTGTACCGGGAGGAGGGCGGCCACAAGCTGGAGCCGCTCGAGGAGGTCATCTGCGAGATCGAGGAAGAACAGGCCGGCAGCGTCATCGAGGCAAGCACATTTCCATTCTGCACCCGTCATCAATGCCCCACTGAGCAATATCTGCTGGAAGTGATGCAAATTTAAGAACATTTAGTGCGGCGTATTACAACTGAGTGGATATGTGCAGGCATGCTATTGTCCTACGTCTGTGGATGCAGTCGAGGATGCATGCCTTTTTCTTCCGTGCGCCCGGGTCTGAAGGCCTCTAAGTTTTGTGGGTGACGGAAGCACAGTCTCCTCGTTATGGCGCCTGGGCCTGAAGGCCAAAGTACTACGGGCTATATAAGAAAGCACAACTGTGCGGTCGAGGGCCTGAACGCAGCTTGTCGGTGTGTGCGCGCAGGCGCTGTCGCTGCGCAAGGCGGAGCTGGTGGAGATGGTGCCTCAGGCGGGCGGCAAGCAGCGGCTGGTCTTCGAGGCGCCCAGCCGCGGCCTCATCGGCTTCCGCTCGGCATTCGCGACGCTCACGCGCGGCACCGGCATCCTGCACCGCGCATTCGCCCGCTACGGCCGCTTCAAGGGGGCCCTTGACGGCGTCCGCAAGGGCGTTCTCATCTCCACCGCCGGTGCGCGGCTGCCCCACAAACCTGGGACGATATCACCCCTGAAGTACACCTTGAAAAAAACAGGAATAATGCTACCCAGTGCTGGCTCGCCGGCCTTGGGATGCACCGCAAGCCAAGCTTGTGCCCTCCTGAGGGGAATGTCATGCTTGCCGCTGCTCTGTGACCCACAAGCGCCTTCTGCAAGAGGGTGTCCTTGATGCACCAGGCAAATGTGCTGGTGTGGCGCGGTTGATCGGAAGCACAATTCAATCGTGGCATGCAAGTGCTGCTCTTCCTTCCTATACCCACCAACCTTGGTTTTGAAAGTCCTCAGACATTCTCTCATGACCTGCTTAATCCACTGGGACCTTACGATGAATGTGCCGGTGCAGACGGCAAGACGACGCTGCATGCGCTGGGCAGCTTGGAGGCGCGCGGTAGCCTGTTCGCGGGGGTAGGCACGGAGGTGTACGCGGGGATGATCATCGGGGAGTGCGCGCGCGACAACAACATGGAGGTCAATCCCGTGCGCGAGAAGAAGCTCACTAACGTCAGGGCCTCCGGCGCCGACGAAAAGGTGGCCCTCCCCTTCAAGCTTGGCTGTGTTGTATAGCTGTACTCAGACGGCTTCACCCAAAATTGTGGAGTTGCAGTGCAAGCTTGTCTGCCAAGCCTCTGGCAGATACTGGTACTGTACTTGGATCAGGCAGCTACTGCAAGCGTGAACTCTGTTTCTGCTCGGAGTGAAACATGCATTTGCCTGAAAGTGTCAGGGAGTGCTCGCTCTTTGCCTGATCTGTTCTTCATGGCTGATGTATCAGGGGCTGCATGGCAGATGTCGCATGCATAACTAGCCTGCAGACTAATGCATGCCCCGCTCACGCAGCTCCCCTGTGTGTAGGCCCCATTAGCTCCTGCTCTGGCAATCTTGTATTTTTAAGTAACGACTTATGTGCATGCAGACGTACCTGACTCCCCCGCGCGCAATGACTCTTGAGGATGCCATTGGGTATGTGGCGGGTGATGAGCTAATGGAGGTCACCCCCAAGAGCATCCGGCTGAGGAAGCGGATGCTGGACAGCAGCCAACGCAAGAGCCTCAAGCGCAAGACCGGATGAGTCCCTAATCAATGGCCATGCCCATGGGGGATCGGTGTGAGACCACTCGGTGCGCTCGTGAAAGTCTGCACTGCACTGCAGCCAGATGTACAGCCAGCGGAAGGTGGGTACAGCTAGGAGAGGAGGAAATCTGGAGAATTTGCTCTAATTTGTTGCTTTGTAGAGCTCTAGAGGTTTTGTCAGTGCTTCGGACTCAGGCTCATTGGCCAGTAGATGCAGGGCGCAGACGTGATGGCCGGATGTCACGAGTAGATTGAGCGCTCAATCTAGCTCGCTGATGGTGCTGCCGATAATGTTGTTGAAAATGTCACACTCTTCAGAAGCAGTTGCCTCTCTGGAACTTGTAAGCTTTTTCTGGATGACCACCTCAATGAATGTTTTGAGTCGCAATTAATTACAGGAGCAATTGATCCTTCCATCCCCACTGCAATCGTGATGGTCATGTACCTGCCATGATCAATGCATACATACATTTAAAAATGCCTTTGTAGGCTTGATGAGGGGTCAGGTTGTCACAGCAGACAATTTCAGAGCAACTGCGTAGTCTCTCATGCTCACTGGAAGCTCAACAACTCCACATCGAAGATGAGGGTGGCGTTGGGGGGAATGACCTACACAGCCACATTGAATGAGCCTTGGTCTACGCATGCGTGTGCCGTTATGAAAACCCAACAGAACAAAGTACATCAAGGCAATACGAGAGGGTAAAAAAGTTGCTTTGCTTTAAGACTGCATCCACAAAGCGACTACATGTCCCGACTCAGGAGCACTGATGATCACAAGTACTTCATCACTAGTGTAAGCTCTCCAGAAGTGTATGACTCACCCCAGCGGCTCCACGGGCGCCATAGCCGTAGTCAGGGGAGATGGTCAGCTTTGCCCTCTCACCCTTGGACAGCTGAGCGACACCCTCGTCCCAGCCCTTGATCACCTGATCAACACAAGACTGCCTTGTCATATCATACTGCAAACACTGAAACTATTTGAGGTGACCTGTGACAGCTGATTCGACCCACTCTCTGCAGTGATTAATGGTAATATTGGCGTGCGCACCTCGCCAGCTCCCAGCCTGAAGCTGAAGGGGCTGTTGCGGTCCCTGCTGCTGTCAAACTTCTTGCCATTGGTGAGGGTCCCCTGTGTAGTGCATCCAAACCCTTCAGAGTTCGCTCGAATACATCCTGGACATATTAGCAAAACGGGTTCTCCCTTCTTTTCAAATGCTTAGAATCCACAAAGGATCGGTTCAGCGACCTCACCGTGTAGTGGACGGTCACTGTCTGACCTGGGTGGCAGCAAGAGGAAGAGAGTCAGACACCGATTTTTTTTGAAAGGATAAAAAGAAGCGCCTTTTGTCAACAAGCTATGTCCTGCATCTCATGTGGCGCACAACACGCATCAAGCACAAGTCTTTGATCGGGATCCCGATACAGCACGTGCTGGGTATCTACTGCAGGAAATTTTCCGAACTCCGTGCAAACCCAGGTCACAAACAAAGCGATGCTCACCCTTTGAGGGCTTGGAGCCGTCGCCCTGCTTGATGGTGTCGATGTCGACTCCCACTGTTCGGGGACAAGACATCGGGTGTCACGACTTTCTTTAGTGAAAGCACAGATGCAAAAATCTGCATCTGCTCACAATTCAGGAGGTTTGCGAGGTCATAGTGCATCACAAGTGGCATACAATCATACATAGAGACTCATGATGCCTTCCAGAAGCCCAAAGGATTGACTCACTTCTGATGGTAGTGGTGGATATACGCCGCGCGGGGTGTGCTGACAAGCGTGCTTGCAACGGAACCGACCTAAACAAAGCTCGTTGCATTGGGAAGTCGCTTGAAATGCATCGAACAAGGTGCCGGCTGTCTGGCCTTTTACGATCCCATACACCCCTTCGGGATATTTATAGGTGCAGGGAGTTGATTTTGAGGGTCTGTCGTTTGAGGGAGATTTAGAATGGCAGGAGGAGATTCTTCTCTGACGTTCGCATATGAACACTTCGCAATGGCTGCCAGCATGCTGCGCATGCACGCGCTTGCAGTGTTGTCCATGCACTGCAGTGGCATGTGGCATGTGCGAACCACAAGCCTTCAGGCTGATTTCAATTCGAAGGGTAGGCTACTTCGTTGCCAGTGGCCAAGTTAATAGCTCATTAGCTTCAAAGAGCCGTTGCCGCTGCAGCAGCACAGCCCCCGTTGGGGTCCACTGGGTGGACATATCTGGCAGACTAAGCATTCCAATGCACGCAGAGGGTTCTATCCTAGGCTAGGCTGACTGCGGCTCCAATATAATCACCGGAGTGGGCCATGTAGTATAATTTGACCCTTCACAGGCAGCCTCAGTAAATTGCAAACAAGAGCACCAGGCTTCCAGTTGTATATTGGCCCGAAAGCATGTCCTGTTTCCTCCAGTGTGATCAATAAATGCCATGCATTAAGCACATCTCTCAAAGGCAACGACGCATGCCACACTCACCTCCAACACTCGCATCCCTCCCACAAACGTGCACAAAATGTGACATCACTTGAAACAAACAGAATGACGTGACACGAGACCGTAGACATCTCCAGGCCTGTAACCTAATGGTACACCCAATGGTACAACCATGATGTCCTCAAGAAAATGGATGCTGATCAGATCAGGGAAGCCAATTCCCCAATCTCATGCCAGGAACACGGCAATGCTGAGTAGAATGAGAGCGACGGTTGAGTAGCGGACTGCTGCAGACAGGAGTGCCCAAGAAACCACCACGATCCGCCACACTACATTGCCCACCGCCAGGCACAACAGCAACGCCAGTGCTATTGACAGCACGTTCTGAGCCACTGACTCTGCTGAGCTCTCATCCTGCAAAAGGCTGCATCTCTCAGACCTGCCAGAGTGTCAGCATGACAGGGATTGGGCAGCGATCTGATAAGGATGGTGAGAGGCATGGGGCCGCGCCGTACGCTGTACAAAATGCCGATCAGCTCGTCATCTGAGCACTCCCTAGTCTCCCAGTCATCGGTATCAGCCCCCCATGTCTCGTACATTGCATCCTGCATCAGGTGAATAGCGATCTCTGGTAGAAATGATTGCATGCCTTTCCATGTGATGACCTGGTTTGATCCCTGTATAAAGAGCATTGAAGCGCACTGCAAGGGAACAGTCAGCATGCCAGATTTGCTACCTGCAGGGGGTCATCCATTGCATTGCAAGAAAGCTGCCGATGAATATGCTGCTTTAAATGAATTTGTTTCTTCTCATGTTGTGCTCTGAAAGCTGAAGGCGTTGCACGTCTCCTTTGGGCAGGTCTGCTGCAACTGAATGACCCATGACTGCAACATGCCTCGCAGCTCAAGGTTTCACCCGGGCGCATTTTGTGCCGAACTTAAAGAAGCATATTGGACAAGTTCCAAAGTCCTGACTGTTGATAGAAAAGACACTCAGTTGGAAATGGATTTTGATGTCCGATAGATATTAGCGATATTGTCTATTTTTATCTTTACTACCTTCCCTAGGGATTCTGACGCTTTTCACTGCAGGAATTATCGAACGCAGGCACAAGAAAGGATGCAGAGCTGAGATCGAGCAGGACTGACTTCCTTTCATATATATTACGGCACGAGCTCGAGGTTTGGATCCGTAGGCATGGCTTCACCAATTCATCCCCTGTATGAACTCGATGAAATTGAACCCGGTACCTTCGAAGGTGTTGCCCCATAAACCGTGAATAAGTAAAAGGTGTGCCCTGAGTTGTAGGTGATCCTGTGCAGGCGATGAGGGTCTTGACACGACTCAAGATTCGCTGAGAAAAAGGAAAAGATTAGGCCTAGACTCTCGTGCACTGGCTGTCTTCTGACGCTATCCTCGTAAATCAATCATATACACTTTTTAATCTTTATTAAATTCGGCATATCAAGGAGCAGAAGACGCAGGAAGTACAGAGTTGTTCCCAGGATGGTTGTACTTGCGGCTTCAATAGTCACCAAATCGGGGAAAGGTACTGCTCAGAAATATACTGTTGTTGTACAGTCTTAACTTGCTCAGCCAGGGTTGCTTCAAGGCAGATTTGAGTGTGTGATTGAGGGTGATGGCCTTGCTTGCAGCTCTCGTCTCGCGGCAATTTGTGGAGATGAGCCGCATCCGCATTGAAGGGCTATTGGCTGCTTTTCCCAAACTGGTGGGGAGCGGTAAGCAGCATACTTACGTGGAGACAGAGAATGTGCGCTACTTGTATCAACCAGTAGAGGTGAGCATAATCTTTCTTTGTTGCCCCACGTTTCGTACCCCCTCTCTGCATGGAACTTCGCTTCGTGCATTGAATGCATGTGGAATGTGATAACTTTGCACATTCCGTGTGAATCTTCCTAAAGGTCTTCAACTTCTTGTAAATCAACTGTATTGATCCGTTCGACCCTCGCCTGCCCCTCTCCAGGGGATGTACCTTTTGCTGATGAGCAATAAGGCCAGCAACATCTTGGAGGATTTGGAGACGCTGCGCCTGCTCTCCAAGGTACTGCCAGAGTATGTGTTGCCGCCCATGGACGAGGAGAGCATCAGCCAAGTCGCCTTTGAGCTGCTCTTTGCCTTTGACGAGGTCATCTCCCTTGGCTACAAGGAGAACGTGACGGTGGGCCAGGTGAAGCAGAACACTGAAATGGAGAGCCACGAGGAGAAGCTGCACAAGATGATCATTGCATCGAAGGTCAGCGACACAAAGGTGAGCACATCAGCAGCCCTCTCCATCTCCACTACAAAGAACCAACACCCTCACCTTTCCTATATCCGCAGCATTATCAAAAGAGGGACAGAAAGGAGCAAAGCATTTGCCTGTATGGTCCCCTCGGAGGGCAGAGTATCATCCTGTTGGTCATGGACAAGATGCAAAAACGATGACGGTGTAAATAATGGTGGGGACTGCCTATGTGGATCAAAAGCACGCAATCCTTGTACTACTCAGAGCAGCTGCACATACAGCACACAACACACAACAACTGCTGACGTTGTTCTCCAGGATGTGATGAAGCGCAAGGCAATCGAGATCGAGAAGAACAAGATGGAGCGTGCGCGCGACGGCAAGGCCAACGTCTCCACCTATGTTCCCTCCTCAATCTCCAGCATCTCAACCAGCGGCGGCGGCCGCTCCGGTGCCGACCAGGACGCCACACCGACATACTCCAGGTCAGCCTGCACTACCTTCTTCACTTCATGTATCATGAATGGCTCTGTCCTGCTGTGCTGCGGCAACAAGCTGCTCAGATATCTGTGCTTTCCCTTCCTTTGTGCCAATTTATCTTGACAGATTCGCAGCATGAGGTGTTCGGCGCTGAGCGTCTTTTGACGTTGGGATTGTCTGAGCACATGCATGCATTCTGCAGCTGATGAGATGATTCTGATGGTGGCTGTTCCTTTAGCGCTTGATATTGACATGTGTGGGTGGCAGAGAGAGTCTGGCGTGGTTGCATGTCTTGAGAGGGCAGGGGTTTGTGCACAGGCCGGAGAGTGCGAATGTGAACCTGAAAACGGCGGTCGGCCCACGCAAGGGCATGCAGCTGGGCAAAGCCAAAAAGGCCAACGACTTCCTCGACTCCCTGCGCGCCGAGGGCGAGAACATCCAGGTCCCACGTCCCTCCGCCCTCCCTCCTCCCGTCCTTGCAGATCTTTGTCAAGATTTTCAGCGTCATCTCAAGTCTCTGATTGTTGACTGCGGGTCGCAGTCTGATATGGGGACCCCTTAATCGTGCACGTCTTGCTCAGACTGCTTTCTCAAGAGTTTTGGGCTTGGTTTCCTGCAGTACTTGCAGTACCAGGTTGTCTTGATCGGCTCTATCAAAGTATCCAAGACAGCATGCGTTTGCCTGTTGGATCTCTTCTGAACATCTAAGGCTATAAGAAAAGTGCAGAGAGGGAAAGGTGCTGACAAAGTGTTCTGTGGGAGGATCAGTTGGACACCGGTGTGGGATTGTCTACCGGCCCGGCAGCATCAGCGATGACGGCGCCGCCACCTGGCGAGCCGATATCGCTGGCGCTGGAGGAGAAGCTGCTGGTCGTGCTGAACAAGGACGGCGGGGTGGAGAACATGGAGGTCCAGGGCACCATTGCGCTGCAGGCACGGCCCATCGCGCACTTTCTTTCTCTTTGCAGCTCTCTTTTGCAGCATGGTAGCTTGAGAACGGTCAGACGATGCCAAGATGCTGATGGTGGTGGACATGATCTCATGGAGCTTCGAATTGCATGCTCGCATGTCTTTCTAGCCGAGACGTTGGTCCGCCTGCTCTTAGCAGAAGAAGCTGCCAGAGCTTCACGGAGATCTTCACATGCCTAGCAAAATGTGACTCTTCTGTCTTTATGTCTTTATCACAAGGTTTGATGCGTTGGTGAGAGCTGCTTCATTTATGGGGACAGGTGCTGGACGAGACGCACGCGCGGGTGCGGGTGATGATCGAGACGGGGGCAAACGAGGGGTACCAGTTCAAGACGCACCCCAATATCGACAAGACGCTGTACGCGCGCAGCGTGCTAGGCCTCAAGGACGCCGACCGCCCCTTCCCCACCGGCAGCCCCCTCCCCATCCTCAAGTGGCGCATGCAGGTGTGCTGTCATCCCCCTTGTGCAGGTTGCCACAGGGGAGTTTAAAATCTTAAATTTGATCTAGAGTCCCCTGGTTGCCAAGTTTATGAGGATCCGCTAGAAAGAGTGTACAGGAAATTTGGGCACCCAAGACATCTACTCAGCCTTGTTGGCTGGCGAGTCTATATCATATTTCTCTCCCCCCATGCCCTCACTGCAGGGTGCCGCTGCAGCATGAGCCTTGAACAATAAGGTAGCTCTATGGCATAAAAGTGTCCTGACTTTTGTTGACAAGCTGCCCGGAAAGGAGGAGGTAGCGCCAACATCAGATTGCAGCTTGCAGCAGTGCAGAGCGCATGGGAAGAGAGATTGTTGTGGGCGCTGCGCAGACGAAGGAGGAGAGCCTGGTGCCGCTGTCCATCAACTGCTGGCCCTCCATCTCGGGCGCCGAGTCCTTCGTCAACATCGAGTACGAGTCCTTCGCCGAGTTTGACCTGCAGAACGTCGTCGTGGCCATCCCCTGCCACCAGCCCCCGCGCGTCAACCAGGTTCCATCCTCTTATTACTTCTCCACCCTAGCTTGCCTGCTGCCAGGGAATTTATTTATCTTCAGGCGCTCCGTGCCACATGCCGCCATGCTCTGTGCTGGGCTTGACGGTCCTGTGAACTGCCTTGCAGAGGACATAGCAGCACATGGCTGCCTTGTGAACTGCCCTGCAAAGGACAGAGCCGCTGTAGTGCTTTGCGTGGTCCCACAAAATTGCCAGAAATCATCTTGAGCGTTTTAATGTGGATGTCGGCTGTTGAAGCCTGCTCTGGTGCTTTCTGTCAGGTGGACGGGGACTACCATTACGACTCGCGCAAGCAGGTGCTGCTGTGGAGCATCGACCTCATTGACGACACCAACCGCTCCGGCTCCATGGAGTTTGTCATTGGCTCGGCCGCCAGCTCAGACGCCTTCTTCCCCGTCGATGTCAGCTTCTCCGCGCAGCACACCCTCGCCGATGTCAGCATCTCCGCGGTACGGGATTTTCTCCGCGCTCTGTATGCCTCTGTACACTTGATATACGTTGCAGCACGGCTGCTGCCTGGAGATGTTGTTCCTTGTTGCAGCAGTGGCATCTGGTCACAGGGGCCTGCATGCATAGCTCTGCGACTGCATGCACCAATGCAGCACACAGGAACATGGTGTGTATCAGAAGTGCCAAGGCACGTCTTAGTCACAGCAATAATTGGATGATCACCATCCCTTGTAGTTCATAACGAAGAAATTGTGTTGCCATTCGTGCAGGTGTTGGCGGTGGATGATGACCAGCCTGTCAAGTACGCCACAAGGAGCACGCTGCAGACGGATGGCTACCAGGTGGTCTGATGCAGCCCCAGGGCGTGCTGATCTGAGATAGTCTTTTGGCAGTCAATGCATGTGCTGGGTGACTGCGTTTGGCACAAGTTCTGCGTCTTTTTATTCTTGCAAGGCCTATTACATATCGCCTTGTTCTCATGGACCTTCTTCAATCTTCGATGGGACAATAATTGTGACAATGGGTAGTATCCTATCCTAAATTACAATAAATTTTGTCAGGCATACACAACCTGGTCAGGCTCATCAAGGGCCCCGAGCTCGCTCACAATCTCTGCTGCACTTGATGGCTCCTCCTGCAATTCTGCAACAACAGGCACAGTCTCCTTTTCATCGGCCAAGCTGCCTTCCTCTGGCGCCTCAACTTTTGGACGCTTGCCCTTCAGCCGCCGCTCCCTCTTCTTGGCTGCCAGCACCAAGCGCTTCAGCTCAACATGCTCCTTCTGCAGCCGAGTGATGGCGTCCCTGTGCTGATCTGCCTGGGCCTGCTCCATGTTCAGCTCGCCCACCAAACTCTCCAGCTGCTTCTGCTTCTCCCTGAGCTGTGCCTGCACAATACCCATTCACAGCACCCTTTCATAACACATCGATGGATCGAGGATAATCATCTCACATGACAATACATGCAGAAGCACACGTGCTGAAGCATAACAATCGCCCGCAGGAAACTTCTCTCTGAGGTTTAGAGACCAGGGCGATCAACAGATGACCCTTCATGACATGATAAGCTTTCTTTCGTGTGTCACTGCGGCAACTTCACACCAGTAGTGTAACAGTAACAAGGAAGAGATCAGTCAGACTTGGAGAGATTCATCAAAGGCTTTGATTATGTCAAAATCTTGAATATTATGGAGGGAGTGATGTTTGTGAACTGCCTTGTTACAAAGAAAAAGGTCCAGAGGGCGGGGCACCTGGAGAGCGGAGATGTGGAGGGCGGCCTCGGGCCCCGGCTGGCGCGCCAGGATGGCCTTGAGTTCCAGGTAGACATTCTCCTGCTCCTGGATGCGCGCGTCCTTCTCCACGCACGCCTCCGTCGCCGCTATCAGCCGCTTCTGCAGCGCCTGGCACTTCATCAGCATCTCGTACGCCGCCGGCGTGCTGCCCTCCAGCTTGCGCCACCTGCGATGATACATTGCCACACCACCGTTGACTACTGATCCCTCATCCACCTGCCACCTTGCACGCCACCATGCACACAACTCCTTCATTATGGGCTGCATCTTGGCTGTTGTTACTGCCATCTTTCACTGCATTCACGAGATGGAACGGGCATGCTGGACATGTTCGCGGTCGTCCAAAATGGAGCCATGACAGCCCTCGCATAGTGTAAGGTGCAAAAAACCTTGCTCTATGTAGAACTACCTCAGCCAAGAAGAAGGGCGATCCTGGGCTCCCCTGGCCCCACTTAACTTTTCAATTGAGTCCCTGCAACCTTTGCCGGCAGACCATCACCCCCAGCATTTTTGCAGCATCCCACAGAAGTGCTTCAGCACAGTGCAGGGCTCGCGTCCATGCATCTTGAAGGGTCTAAACACTTGTTAACTTTGCCCTCATTGTGCAGCATTCCAATGTTTTTCCAGGAGATCAGCAGCGTCTTGCCTGTGCACGTTGAGGGGGTTTTCCAGCTCCTGGCCGAGCGCCTGCACCTTGGCGCGCTCCTGCAGCACCTGCCGGCCCAGCACGTGCACCTCGCGTTTGAGCGCCTCCGCTCCCGCCACGCCCGCGCGCAGCACACTCGCCTCCCGCACCAAGTCCGCCAGCCGCAGCCGCAGCGTCCGCAGCTCCGCCAGCCGCTCCCTGACCAATATCAGGGACCAGATGCTTTCTTCACAGCCGCGAGCCCACTTATCTTGACTTTGGTACGATCCTAATATTTGGATGGATGCTCATGACACGTTGGGATCTGCCAGCAACACATCCAGAGCAATGACGCAAAGAGAGATTTGCATGAGACCTCCTTGTTGCTTTTTGCTTGAGCGCCCTGCATGCGCCGGGCATTGTAAGACCTTAGTGTCCTGCTGGCATGCATTGGCACTGGCACGCCCCAGAAAATGCCCTATTGACGCTCGACAGGGACGCTCGATAGACGCGTGCACACTCCATCCATCGCTGACTTGCAGCAGCACGAGCGCGACGTGCCCGTTCTTTGTATAGGGGACAGGTGCGCACCGGTAGGCGGCGTTCCCTTGGGAGATGGTGGACTGCTGCAGGCGGATCTTTTCGTATAGCAGTGCCAGCTCATCGTTGCGGCGTACCAGCTGCGACCCCAGCACGTCCCTGTCGCGCACAACCGCCTCCATCTCCTTCCTCTGCCGCGCCCGCTCCTGCGCACGGGACCACGCAACTATTCTTAACTCACCCCTGCACTTCTTGCCTGCCGGACCACTTACAACTCATCCAACGCATTTGTGCAATGCAAGCAGGCCTTTTGGCAGCTCAGGGTGGTGCACGGCAGGGCAAAGACAGACAGCAATCAGGTGGCGCAAGAGTGTACTCAAGAAACTCCTTTGACAGCTTTCCAGGCATGCACATCCTTTTGCGCTGACTCGTGGTCGGCTGGCGGGGGCCGGTATAAATGTCAAGCACCGTTCCCACATTTGACTGGGTCTAGCTTGGCTCTGGCAAGTTGAACGAATGGTAGCTTTTCACTGCAGCTTGTCTTTAGTTACACCTTGCCTCCGCCTGGCAGGAAAGGCATGTACAGAAAATAATAAACACCTGTCAGATAGCCTCGAATTGTCCCTTCGGCGCGCACCTTTTCGGCCTGTGCCACGACGGCGGTGAGCTGCGCGACTTCGGCGGAGGCGTCGCGGATGGCAGCATCCACCTCCCTCTCCCTGGTTTCCAGCTGCGTAACGCGCGCCTGCAGCTTCTCGCACTCCTGCTCCGCGCGCGCATGCACGAAACGATCCTTTGAAATCGCCGCCTCCAGCCGAGCGTTCTCCTCCTTCACCTGCTCCATCTGGTGCGCCTGCTCGCGGACAGAACACCACAACACTCTGCGCTCAGCCGTCTGCTTTTGTAAATTATCGTCACTTTCTGCAGGCATCACTGTGTCCTGAACTGCGACGCCAACAATCTCACAAATCCGTGCCAACTTGGTCGGTAAATACAGTCTGTTTCGGGCGCAGATGTGTGGACATTGTTGGGACATTGACAGTTGCACTCCAGAACATTCAGTGACGGCGGCAGATAACATTGCATCATTGCACTTGGGCTTGAATCCTGGTCAACTTCATTGCACAATGAGTGCTAGGAAAAGAGACGAACGCGGAGGCTGCGCACCAGTATGCGTGAGCGATTCCTGAGCTCAACTACTTCGTCCTGGGCCGCTATGAGGTTGCGGGAGCATAGGTTGCGGTCTGCGCGCACGGTCTCGTACGCCGCCTGCTGCTGCTTCATGCGCGCATCCGCCTCTGCCAACTGCAAATCACACCCTCTGCCATTACAGTACATCGACAAGCATTGACCCTCGCATGCATGCTGGATTGTCCATGAGGCACTGCAAGGGCTCTGATCTCTTGCAGACTGAAGCAGCTCGCCGAGTGGGAGGGAGTATCTCAGATCGAGTGCACACCCCAAATGGATCATCGCTGACCGAGATGCGCTGATCTGGTATCAAATTTTGCTGATCCGTGACAGGGAGAGACCGCGCACCTTCTTCTGCATGTCAGTGAGAGTGGAGTCCTGCAGCTGGATCTTCTCCTGAAGGTCTGCCACCTTGGCTGCTGCCTCTTGCGCCCGTGAAGTGGCCGCCTCAATATCAAGCTCCAATGCCTGACAGCAGAAAACAGCATGCAACCGTTGCACGAGTGCCGCATAACACTTGCATCCCAAGAATATCACTTCCCATCGCATTGGATCTGTCATCCAATTTTAGCGGGTGCATGGTCAGATCTGGAACACACCTGTATGGCTTTGTCATGCTTGAGAGAGTTTGCCTTGTAGCCAGCAATCTCCGCCTCGAGGATCTTCTTCTCATTCTCATACGCTCTCAGCATGTCCGCCTGCCAATATGTCGGCAACCAGTAAAAGAATTGCCCCTCTTGCAGCCGTGCATTGTTGTCAACATGCAACAAAGAGAAATGGATATCGCCGCTGAGATCAACCTGTTGGTGCTTGGAGCCCTCTGCTTTGGTGGACTGCTTGTTGAGTGCATCCTTTTCTCTGGCCAGTTGCTCCACCCTCTTGCGCTCAGCCTCCGCCTTGCTCTTCAAGCTGTCCACCTCCCTCTCTGCTGCCCTCACCTCCGCCCTGCCAGCACATCGCTTTTGTCAGCTTACATCATCCCTGTCACCCTGATGGCTGTGCACTTCCTCGATGAAGCTTCATTCAAGCCCCCTATGTAAGATTCTATAGCTTATTTCACAGCATGATTCCTCTATATAGTGAGGCATGTGCAGAAGGGGCAAGCCCGAAGCCTTGCTCACATGAAATCATGCATGCATGGCGATGCATGAACAAGAAATGTAGAACTCATATGTCACTGAGTGGAAACAAAGGCTTGCCTCAGCTGCTCATTGATTTTCTCCACCTCCGCCTTCAGTTTCTCGATGGCTTTGATGCGCGCAAGGGCTGCCTCCTTCACTTTCACCACCTTGGCAGTCTCGGACTGCAACGCCCTCACAGCTTCCTCCTTCTGCTTGAGCTCCGCGGCCTTCACCTTGTTGCTCTCGACCAGCCGAGTGTTGGCAGCCATCTGCTCCTGCAGCTCGCGCATGAGCCGCTGGTTCCGCTCCATCAGAGAGTTGTTCTCTCGCGTCGCGCGCTCATCCGCTGCCTGCACTCGCATGCATGTCGGTTTGACGGAATTTCGAATGAAAATGTGTTGGTGTCCGCCTACCTGGCTCACAACTGTTTTTCTTCAACTTATTGCTACTGCACGTTTGTCCTGTCCGAGGCGAGGTGCGCTTGCAGACAAGCTGCATGTAAAGGCTGCCACATATCCTACCCCTAAGCAATACCCAACCGATTGTGGGCAAGGTGCTCAGTGTTCATACCGCCCCCCCTTGCCAGCAGGGAGAAACAATGACACGCCTAAAGAAGAGATTTTAAGCACTCCAAGGTTGGCTTGGACGGGCCAGGGGATTTGAGTGGATGTAGCGTCGTGCCTGCTGTTCCTTGATGGTCTGCTCCAGGCGAACGATCCTTTGCTCTGCAGTCCGCAGCTCGCTCTGCTGCAGCTTGATGTCCGCTGTGCGCGCCTCAATCTGCGCCCTCAGCTCGGCAATGTCTTTCTCCAATTGCTCCCTCCTCCGGGCCTCTCTGTTCACAGAGCCCCAGTCAGCATGGGACTGGTCCATGTGTTGTGTAACGACTGAGCTGCCAATGCTTAATGTGTCAGCTGCTTTTCTTGCAGGTCGGTGTCCTGATCGTTTTGAGTGACTTTGTTCGCGATAGCAGCCATGCAATCTGAGGAACAATGCTGGAAAGGCAGACCTGTCAAGCTCCATGTCCTTCGACGCGATCTGCTGTCGGAGGGCGTCGCATCCGCTGTCCAGCTTCAGCGTGGCTTCATGTACCTCCTTTGCCTTCTCCTGGGCATCCATCAGCTCCTTCCTGGCAGCTGCCAGAGCCCCTGCCTGCACAGTGCACATGCAACTTGACCTCTGAAACAAGCACAAACAGATCATCATCACGGACAGCTTATATATGCAGCAAGGCTGTGCTGCTCCTACTTAGTGACAATGCTTCTTTGGTGCAATGACTGTGCTTATTGGTTGGTGCACATTGCCAGGAAGGCAATTAATCAGACTGTAGTCATGGTGTAGGCAGGAAATTTGAGCAGGGCACCTGCTCATCGCGCTCCTTCACAAGCTCATCGTTCTGGCGCTGCATGTCGCTGTGCATGTTGTCATCCAGAGCGCTCAGCCCGGCACCCGCCTCAACCAGCCGAGTCAGATTGGCAATTTCCCGCTGGAAGGCTGCCCCTGCGTCCTTCAACCGCGCCTCCTACCGAACATGTCACAAGGAATCAATCGACTCAGGCTGCGCTGTTGATAAAACCAAGTATTGCGTACAAATTTGGCCAGGAATATCTGCATGTCAGAGATGCCGTCAAATACTCTGCTCAGGCATGGACTTGCATGGGCTCCCTGACAGGACTTAATACAGTTTAAGATAAGATGTGATTTAGTGCAGGGAGCACCTTTTCCTGACCGGCGTCGACCAGCTTCCAGGCTTTCTCCAGTTCTTTTCTGAGGCTGAACACCGCGCCCCCATCCTCAGAGCTGAGCTTGAGAGCTGCAGCCATTTTGGCTGTGCTCTGAACAAGTTCCTCCTCCAGCTCCCGACATTTTCTGTCAAGCCGCTTCTCATTGTCTGCAAGACATCCACCAATGAAGTGAAACAGAAGTGTCTGATTTGTCTGGGGCCATCGTCAGAGCAATCATTACCCTAGGCTTTGATTTGAGCCTGTCAGCTCACCGTGCGATTTCCGAACAGCCTTCAGCAGGCTGTCGTACTCGACGCTGAATTGCTCGAGGATTTTGTCGCCTTTAAGCGTCTCAAGCACCTGCAAAGAAAGATGCAAACAAAGATGTCTTGACAGGAGCATACACGACGATAGACTTCAGGATTTTCGCTATTTTTGTAATAAAGCGGCTCAGTTTTATGACATTGAGTGACTTCTGAAGTATCCGTGAAAACACACCTCCTGAAATTTTCGCTCTGCAGCATCATAGTTCTGTGCCTCCCAGGTGATCGAGTCGAAGGAAACATCTTTCTCTTTCGTGTATTCTTCCATCGTGAAATTTGCATTGATCGAGACTCTCTTGTCGTGCAAATGATAAGGAGAGTGGCCTTTCCAAGATTACATTCCAAAAATAACAGGAACCCTACCACAAAAAGGGTGACGGTAGAAATAAACTCAAAAGTCGAGGGAGTCATCCAACCCTGAGTTCCGTGACGTGCTTTCCGGCAATCGCGCGCCTCTCCCAAGATGAGTTCGGGCTGTGAAGGCCTCGTGCTTTGAATTTAGCAGTTGACCTGGTCTGATTGATCGGAGGCGAAGAATGTGAAAATGAATCAATGGCCCAGGTCTGCTATCTACCGACTGCATCTTGACCTGTAGAATTTCTCGGCAGCAGCCCATCGGCTGTCGCTGCCTTGCTTATGCAGGCATCAGATTGTCATGATGGCAAGGAGGAGTTGATTTGCTTGAGGCTGAAGCAGGTGCGTCATTGCACTGTACGCCTCTTCATCGCATCTTACGTATTGCTGGAGCGCTCGTACCCCGCAATAAGTTGATGAGAGGATGGAATGCTCTCCAGAAATCACAATGATGATCCATCAATGGAGGTGACAGACGATGTGTGCACCTGCAATCGCCAAGACGAAAGCCATCCATGCACTCGACAAGGCATGTGATCAACTTGTCATTCCTGCTTCTCAATAAGATGGGAGCCAAGCGGAATAGTCACACGCACCAGGCTCAGAACGGCACGCAAATTGCTGCAGAAAATGAGGGGCAGCATCAGAAAAGTGCTGAAGTGTCCCAGACACAGAGGCTGAAACAGAGGAAGTATATACCCACAACACCAAAGGCGAGAAGCCCCCAACGATTGGGATCGGGCTTTTCTGCGCCATGCAGTACAGAGCAGACATGCGTAAGAGGCACCCAGTTGCGTGATCAGTAATTGATAGCAATCTCTGGTGAATGACAAGCCTGTAGACGCTAAGGCATCAGGTTCTAGGCATGACAGCAGCTGTACGTTAACGGGCACTAATGTTGAAGGTGTCTTGCATGCAGGTGGCGTGGAAGACTCAGGGGGTGCTGCGCATGGGCAGGGAGTCGGCCAGCTTCATCAGCAGCTTCGCGGGGAGGCACACCTACAACACGACATGTGCCCGGCAGCTTCTGCATAGCTACGGAGACCTCAAAATCAAGGTCCACGTGACAACGTCATGTGGGGCCTAGGCTTCCTCTGTTATGGGCGCCAGCAATTTTGCTGATTGCACTCTAGATCACAGATTTATGCTTTTGCATCAGATTTCTTCAAAGGCTATTTCTTTCAATCCCTGCTTGCTGCCAAAGTTAAGCAAGCACAGCGCAGGCTTCAACTGTGCACATAAGCACATGCACCATTTTGGTGCCAGATCCTCACTGACGCCAGCAGTCTTTATTGCACAATAGTTTTCATTACCTCTGTTGCCCTAGCCCACCTGGACAGACTGTTTTCGGGAGGTTGCTGCTAGCCCTGCATGCTAAGATGATGAGCTTTCAATTGGGCGAGGGACATATGCATGCAGCCATCAGCAAGGGGTTGGGATCACGTTCTGCTATAGCCAGCTTGGGGTTTTACGCGAAATGGTGGTCCAGGGGTGCAAAAATGGCTAGTTTTATGGGACATTCAGTCCTCTTTCCAGCTAGACGGGGTCGCAGAATGCAGCTTTTCATGAGCCAATTTGCCTTCTCGAGGCCTGCTCAGAATTTGTCCCTTTTCTATCTGGGAGCGTTCCGACTGTGTCGAGGGACACAGGCACGAGAATGCACACAACCCGAATCTGTTATTGGGCCATTGTTACCGGGTTGCCTGAGAACCTTGTCTCAGGTGGAGCGAGGTACAACAGGGGGTTTGCGCTGGCTTCCTTATTCAGCTGCTACAGTCGGGGGTCATGTGCAGGGGTGACTCAGTAGCACGCACAGAGGCTGTAGAAAAGTGATTTAAATGGATCATACCTTTCCTTCACGTTCAATATATTGTGACCTCCATGGGACATCATTATAATGACCGCTAGAATGGACAAAATCAGTCACATATAGAGACATAATTGTTGAAGCGCTGCAGGGATGACTCAGTGGTACTGTAGGAGGACCATGTAGATGATGGGGTGAAGCAATTTGTGGCAGGGTTTTCTTTGTTCTTTTCTCTTGTTCAAAAGGGTTGCTCAATTTCATAGTCTGAAACATTGGACACGCGCAGCTGCTAGCTTGACTAGCTAGTTTGCTGAGTGCACGTGCGGCGTTTGCCATTGACAGTATATACACACAGAAAATACTGAGAGAAGCATTCTCTCTTAGAACCGGCATGCAGCAAATGCAGATGGCCTTCATGTAAATCCGTGCTTGAAGTTGCCAGTATCGCTGTGATGTGATTTGATCATGATGTCATGCAATATCGATATCTGCAATGGCAGATGTGGGCCACTGATGATCATGTAGCTGTTGAGTTCATGGCTGAGGTTGCGGGAAAACGCTATGGAAAATGGCCATTCAACAATGCCTCCTTGGAGTATTGTTTTATAGTTTTTATATAATATATATTTATAATTATATTGTTTTAATTAAGATGTAAAATGTGTGTGGCGCCGCCCCGCTGTGTTACAGGAAGATAACCACGCGAGCGAGCAATTAAATGAATATCTTCCGCCTGGGACAATATTAAGCAGAAATTAGTTGGCTGCCGCAGGCGCCAATTGACCAATGAGGCACTTCTCGAGCAGCATGTCTGAATTCACCCAGGCGTGATATTTGTTGAACAGCGCAGTGCAGTCCATCCCCGCTCCTTTCATGATCCAATCCGCCCCACCTGGGTGGAAGTTTATATAGGGAGTGATGTTGTACACCTGCATGAGTACCACATTCGAATTAACCTTTGGCCAGCAGATATTTCGAATCAGAGAATGAGAAAGCTCATGAACAAGAACTGTGGTCACAGCAACAAGTCCTCTACTTCCTCTCACCTTCCCTCGCAGAACTGTCCATGCATCACTCTTTGTTCGATGCGCCTTCACCTCTTCCATTGTTATATCTCTTCGCAGCGGCTGCCCTTGTCGGCCTGCACCCCACACCATTCAACCTGTGAATGTTGGCATGTGTGGCAAGGGTTGCATCAGATGTGTTCAAGCAGGGCACCGGTCAAAAATATCGTAATGGCAGGGACCAGATCGCTGACCTGCCAGGTCCTGTGAGCCTCGGCTCAATCTCAACCAGTCCATCTGGCTATACCCTTTCTCCAAAGGGATTTTGCCGGGCCGGCCGGCCGGCTTGGGCGCGATCTGCGCGAAAATGAAGCAGCTTGATAGCACTGTAACACTTCCTTCTGGAGTGACGCATGTAAACTGTGGAGGACATTACTGTGATGCAATAACAAGCAATCATCAGGACTAAAACAGAGTGAAACAGCTCTCAACACCTGCACTGGTGCTGGTACGCTGAATGTGAAGGACCCGGAATTGCCGCTAGCTCCGTCTGCACCGCGGCTGCTCGCATCAACAACAGTGGCATTGGCCACAAGCGGACTCTGCAGGCATATGGTATTCTTTCTTCAGATCTTCTAGCACACATTCCACCAAGGCGTCTCGCAAACAAAGCATATCAAAACAGCGAGATACACACTCCAAGATTTGATGAAGCAGGATGATGCGAATGCACATGCGCCATTGCTGCCAACGGTGGTTTGTCTGCCTGATCCTACAGAAGAAAAGCAGAAGCTCAGCCAGGAGCAAACCTGTGCTGGCAATGGACGCCTAGATTGTGGAATTGCAAATGTTGGTTCATTGGATACTGTAGCTGGTTGTTGCTCATAAGGGGCGGCCGCAGATTCGCGAGAAACCTCCATCTGCTCAAAGTGAGGTTCCTTGATCCTACGAGCGTGCGAACTAGAACTGCAACGATGCCACAGAAATTTGCTGATGGATCCTAATTGACGGTTTGCAAGATGTGCTCGTAATTTGAGATTGTCAATCCCCGTGTGAAAGGTCTCTCAGTGATGAAAGACCGTGATGTCAGCGTTGACTTTGACTGCGTGGCATCTGCAGCTTCCACCAGCTGCTGCTGCAGTGGCAAATCCGCTTTTTGAGGAAGCCAAAGCATTAGGCAATTGGTGGGTGTGTAACAACTAGAGTGGTCCGCACATAAGCGCTTGCTTGAAGAATTCCTAATCGCCACTCTTCATCTATCTGTGATTTTGCTGTTGTTTAGAGCTCCCCACTGGGCCCCTGTTTTTGCAGCTCGATTTGCATGTGGGCAGGCCATTAAAATGATGGCCCCAAATTCTCAGGCGCTCCTCTGGATTGGGCGGACTGAAGACTTTCTTACTGGTAATGCAAAGCTGGCTTTACACAGCTTGATGGTCACGTAGCGCGATTTGCATGAACGTTTTCGATCTCAGCACTCCAGTATTGATCCAGAGCAATCAGACAAGCAAGCTCAATCTCCAGACAATGTTGCTCAATATCGCCAGTAATCGAACACACAGATGGCACACACGTCAAAAACTGTGACCACACGGCATCCAGGCAGAATGCGGCGGCCGTCGAGCGTCGGCGGCGCGACAAATGCCGCCGGCAATCTACCAGCGCACTTTGTTGAAGGAGTGCATGTCGTGGATGCCACCCTCGGCCTGCGCAGCGGTGGAGCGCGCCTCGACGCGCATGACCCCGCCGGCCAGCGCAGCGTGCGCAGCCGGTATACTTCGCGAGCCCAAGTCCTGGAACCCCTGCCGCACCGCCTGCATCAGGAAGGGCACCGTCTTCCTGCAGGCACACAACCTCCCCTCAGTCCTGGTCCACAATCTCCTCTCAACAGGACAGCATGACCACATGGGTTGGCTCTGCAATCTACTTCATGATTATGCTCCGGAAGTACTTGATGGCACGACAGGGGAGGTGTGGTCTTCAAATTGCATGTGGACGCTAAAGGAGAAAGGCAGGCACGGGCAGCAGGATTTACAGGTCATCTGTGAACCACATGGTTATCCCAAATGGCAATGCAGTAATCACCACGATCGCAGGTCCTTCCTGCCAACAACCGTGATGACCAGATCACTGCCATCTGGAGTATCCAACACCAGGGGTCAAAGACTCTAAACTTTTAGTTCAGAGTCTCTTCCAGGGGTGCGAGCGGGGCTGCGCGCCTGATGGAGCCCTTGTCGCGGACGGTGCCGGAGACGCCCTGCGCGATCTTGAGGTTCTGGGTGTCGCTGTGGTAGCGCGCCTCGCTGCCCTTGGCCATCGCCTCCAGGCTGCCCATGCCCCGGTACTGCTTCACGCGTACACCATCCACCACAAAATACTCGCCTGCAACCCCAAAAAGAGCCCCAGAATGCGTCAGAACCCACTCATCCGGCACGGTGCAATTTTTCATCTGTCGTCCTTCAGCTCACACAGCAACAAGATGCTCCTTGATGCATCCATGGATGTCTCAGTGGCACTGCCTCAGACGCCGCAACCTCAGACGCCACAATGAGGATCCACAGAGGCCTCATGAACCACCTTGGCAGCGCAGGAAGCTTCGTGCAGCAGCACAGGGGCTGAGGCGCATGCACCCATGCCAGAAGCTTCATCAAAATATTGGGCAGGGCATGAGAAAGCATATAGGGGCGGCTAATAAAGAGTGTGAGCATTATGCACGGATGGAACAGCGCGCACCGGGGGCCTCGGAGGTGCCGGCGAAGAGGGAGCCACACATGACGGTGGAGGCCCCGAGCGCGAGCGCCTTCACAATGTGACCCGAGTTCTGCACGCCCCCATCGGCTATTGTGGGCACTCCCAAGCTGGCCGCCAGCCGTGACACCTGCCACACTGCTGCCGCCTGGCCCCGACCCACTGCGCACACCTGTGCGCACATGCACCACTGACCAGTCAGCAGCCATGACTGCAATTCCGGGATGTGCCTGCTGCGGACTGACAGTCTTGCACTTGGTAAAGCCAGGGTGTGACACAGCAAATAAAGGCCCTGTATGGCCCACTCCATTTCCAGAGTTGGGCAACGTCCAGGCACTTCCATGTGCATAGCCGTCACCCAGCATGCCAAGCATGGAGGGGAGCATTCGTATGAACCAAAATGCCCTTTATTGCCTATTGGCATACATGGCGGCCAAGTGGGCCCATCTTGCCAACAGGATGCTGCCCCACAGCAAGCTCACGAACAACAGACGAAGGCACGAGTTGCGCTGAGGCACGCCCTTTTACGCACCTCTTGGGTGGTGCAGATGGACCCGGAGCCCATGCCGATACGCAGAGCGTCAGCGCCGCCCTGGATCAGCCGCCGCGCCTGGCCGCTGGTCACCACGTTGCCGCAGACCACCTGCAGATCCGGGTGTGCGCGCTTCAGGTATGCCAGCATGTCCAGCTGGTACGTCGAGTCGCCTGCATGGTCACAACCCATCGCCCCTGTCAGTCCCTCTCCACATTTGATTGTCCCATTCTGCCTTCGTGAGGCCAACCACAAAAGCTGGAGCGACACCCATGGGTCCATGCACAGAAACCTATTGCAGGAATCGGCTACCGTAGAAATGCACAGTGCACTCCTGAAATCATACATCAGCCATAGTAGCCACCTTGCCCCCAGGGTTGACACTTCACTTGCTTCTTGCTAAGCACTACCAGCACGCCTGGTCAGGCTTCTAGCTTAGGCTTTGGCCCACAATCTGCTTGACTGTTCCAGCAGCACGCACAACGGCAGCCATTGCTCTTCAAGATTGACAAGCAACTTTCTTGAACTTCTTCCTCAAAGTACAATGCTTCCTCGCGTCAGAACACGTGCACAGCTCCACCACGATTGGCAAGCACCCATCTCCACCTCTATCACCCAGAAACAGAATTTCAGTTCTTGGTGAAAGGAAAAGAAGGAATTTCTTCTGCGCACCCTGGCTGGAGTCCAAGATGACGGCGTCGACGGCGGTGGCGGCCACAAGGGCGTCGACGCGGCGGCGGTCGTCGTCGCGCGTTCCCACGGCCGCGCCCACCAGCAGGCGCCCGTCCGGCCCCGTGCTGGCCGCCCCCCGCCGCGGCATCCGCGCCTCCTCCAGGCACACCGCCCTTGACGCCAGCCGCACCTGCGCTCCCGCACATGTGTAATTGGGAGGTGAACGCAACTTGAATCTTACTGATTACTACTCGCATTAAGATTGCTGATACTCAGCGCTGGAAGATAGCTTGAGGTGCAGATACGTCTGGGGTATTGTCAGGGGCCAGCGATCTCAGCATAGCAAACTGACTTAGTTCACATAATGGAGAAAACAACCAACAATCATACGCTGTCCAAGATGTTGAGTGTCCTAAGATCAGGCCAAGAGGCGCCTATAGCAGCGTCCAAAAGGGTGCCTGACACGGCCTCAACAAACGCACATTTCAGGGAGCAGCCTGGAGGGATAAGAGGAAGGGAAGGAATTTGGAACGGAAAGGCTCACCAGGTTGCCATTGGAATCCACCACCGGCAGACTCTTCCGCTTGCTGCTCTTCAGCGCCTCCATCGCCTTCTCTGCGCTCACATCATCTGACAGGGTCTCCACATCCCTGCAGGTTTACATGCACACGATTGAGCAACGCTCATTCTTTACTGACACTGTCTATTTGAAGGCTGCCTGTTGCAGGTTTAGTCAAAGTCCGTCTTTCAGAGGCCAGATCCTCGCTCTGAGTTGTGCTGTGAGCACCCACCGTGTCATAAGCTCTCCCAGCTGCGTCAGTCTGTCGTTCACAAAGTCTGTGTCCCTGGCTGTCACAATGCCCACAAGCCTGCTGCCCACACGCCCATCTTCTGTGATGCAAACGCTCGACACCCCTCTGGATGCCTGCACAAGCCCATTAGTTTCAGCATCTGATACTCTCACCTAGGTACTGTACCACAACTGTAGTAAAATCCCAATTCTGGACCTCATCAGCTGGATATTGCAAACAGCTCAAGTACATCAGCAGCTAGTGAGCCAGTCAGGTGCCACGGATGCACTGATCCCCAACATTGCAGGATCGCCAAAACTGCAGGTCGTCATTTGGTTGCTGAGGACAGCGCCTCACCTTGAGCGCCTCAAAGTCGGCGATGGTGTTGCTTGACTGCAGAACTGTCGGCGTCATGACAAAGCCCGGCACATGCCGCTTCACCTTCTGCGCCTGCGCCACCTGCTCCTCCAACTTCATGTTGTAGTGCAGAAACCCCAGCCCGCCCATCTGCACCCATGATTTGCATCAGCTTTGCATCAAAACATCATCAACACACAACTGCACAGGAGGAGCTGCACGATGCTGACATGCACAGTAGAAATCAACAGAGCGGCTGGGGAGTACGCACCATGGCCATTGTGATCGCCATCTCCGCTTCTGTGACGGTGTCCATTGGGGAGCTCACGATTGGGGTTGACAGGCGCAGTTTCTTTGTGAGGTTTGTTGTGAGGTCCACCTGCATGCGCAAGGAGCTCAAGAGCCAAGCCTGGAAAATCTCATTATATCTTGAGAAACAAACGTGACGGCGCATGGGCAAGCTCTGCATGGTCACGGAAACTCTGTGTGTGCATCTTTCACTTGTGGTTGAAGTGCTGTTCTAGGTTGGCTTCTGGGCTCGAAAAGAAGTACAAGCATGGCCGACCTCGTGAGCTCCAAAGTCGATGTGACCAGGCAGAAAGATGACATCGTCATATGTGTAGGTTGAGCCCTGCCCGAAAAGTTGTGCAGCGCTGTATCCTGCAAAGCACCCAAGTTGCAACTCTGGCGCATCACAAGGAGTTGCATGTTTTATAGACAACTAGCAAGTTCGAGCGATGTGCAAATTATGTTTTTCGTCGTGGGTGAATTTGCTCCATGCATACCGTCGGCTATGCTGTCGTCAAAAGATGCCATCCTTCTGCAAATTCAGATATGATTTTTTGTTGTGCTGGTTGGATGCAAGAACCTTTTGACTAATTAAAGTTTTCAACGTGCTCTTGATCGATTTTTAGATTAAGAAGATTAAGATTAAGGAGAACTCCAAATCCAGCTGGCTCAGTCCAAGGGAAAGTGCGGCTCCCAGTGCTTCGTCATCATCACGTGGGTCACAAGTGCTCGACAGATCCTGAACCCAAAGCGCTAATGAAGGATTGAGATTGCGATTGTTTGAGTGCCCGTCATCTAGCTCCCTTACAGCTTCTTCAGCCAGAATGCCGAGCAATGGGGCCTCGGAAGCCCTTCTGCCCAATCGCGATGTTGAGGCGAACCAGGGGGAGCACTATGATGGCGATGCCCATGAGTGAGTGCCCATATTGTGTTGGAGATGTCCGAAAGCTGTTTTATTTGGTCTTAGACTGAAACTAAGGGATGAATTCCAAGAGAGCAGTCTTCTTTAGATTGTTGTGTGTACATCTTTTACTCCTTATGAATTGCATCTCTGCACATCTCACAACAATCTCTGATCTGTGCTGCAGGGACGAACATGTGCATTACTCACAGCGAGCCAACTGGTGAGCGATCGTTTCTTTTCGAGCTATGCTGCGTGAGCTTGACCCTGTTACTACTGTGGCTCGATCTGTTCATGTTCGATGAGTAAAGGTGATCTCAGACATGCTGATTCAGGTTGAGGGCAGCAGTGCTAGGCGCCAATGATGGCCTTGTGTCAGTCGCATCCATCATGCTCGGTGTGGGAGCTGCATCAACAGACCAGCACACCCTGCTCCTCTCTGGCCTCTCGGCTCTCGTGGCAGGTACTGCTACCCCCAATCCCTTCTCGTATTTCCCTCAAATTTTAAGACATTATGCTGACAACTGAGAAGGAAGCATGCTGAGGACATGTCATGTCCAGGTGCAATGAGCATGGCTGCCGGGGAGTACATCAGCGTGGCCTCACAGAAGGACACCGAGGAGGCTGACGTGGAGAAGGAGAGGGAACAGCAGGAGGGCAGCGCCGAGACCAGGGAGCACGAGCTGGAGGAGTTGACTCAGATCTATGTGGCCCGCGGCTTGGAATACAATCTTGCTCGCGAGGTGACTTCTTCACGTGCTCAACCACTGCAGCTGCACCCTTGGACAAACGTGCATGGCACAATTTTGCTGCTCAATCTGATCTGGAGGCATGCACTTGTTAACTATTGTGTTGGGGGCAGATGCAGCCCTCAAGGCCCGACTACGGTACATGTAAATCCATTGGGGAGCAACTGGTTCATGATGATGAAGTGTGTGGCCTGCAGGTGGCAGTGGCCCTGTCGCGCACGAAGGAGTCTGCGGTTGAGGCGCACGCGAGAGATGAGCTTGGCATTGATCTTGATGACCTGGCCAACCCATTCCAGGTCCGCAGCCGCATGGCGCCACTGGACGTATACACAGCACATTGTCGGTCTTCTGGGCATATGACAATGGGCTTTTTTGATGTGTGAGTGATTGCGAGCTGTTCTGAGGTGGTCATTAGATGTGTGAGGGAGGCTGTGGTCTGCAGGCTGCTGCGGCATCGCTGCTGGCCTTCAGCATTGGCGGCGTTGTGCCCCTGGTCGGGGCGATCTTCATCACAGACCCGCGCATCCGCCTGGCAACTGTGTTGGTGCGGACATGATGATCCGTCGCTTGCAAATAAGTTTACGTGATGGAAGTGAAGCACATGCTTGCTTTTGTGGGTTTGTTTTGTGGCAGGAGCAACGGGTGTCTGATGCTGAGTGTCTGCAGGTCCTCGCAACCTTCGCCCTGTTGACATTTGGAGCGACGGGTGCATGGCTCGGTGCGTGCAGATTTCCCAAAATTGGCCATGCCTGCACTTGTAAGAGCCCAGAATCTACGCTGTATGAAGCAATTGCCCTCTTGAGAGATGGGCTTGCTGCTGCAGGAGGCGCAAAGAGGGTCCGAGCTGCGCTTCGCGTGCTCATTGGGGGGTGGCTCGCTATGGGGATCACTTTTGGTGTGGGTTTCCTGTTTGGGGAGAACCCAGGCCGTTAGGCATGCACAAATGGAATGCTCCAAGGGAGGGGACATGAGATCAATTTTTTTTGCGATGCTTGAATATGGCGTACGTCCTGCTCTGGTGGCTGCAAACTAGATCCGCAATTAGTTGGAGTGGCAGGTTGCGTAGCGCTTGCCCCACATTTAAGACCTAATATTCGTGTAGATTATCATCTACAGTTTTCGTACTTTTTGACTGGACGATCTTGTCCAAGCCTCTGCAGTGCAGAATTTGGACTATTAGATGGCTTGCGGTAACCATCGAATTCATCTGATTAGGTGCCCGGTGCCTGAAAAGGTAAGTTCAAAAAATGCAAGTTGCCTAATTAGGGATAGTATTCAAGGGGAAGATATCTTAGAAGTATCAGAACCCCAGTAGGGTATCCTCAAGCTGGGCGGGAGGTTGGGGGAGGGTTAGGAGGGTATCCTGCTGCGGACAGCATTACGGTATCCATACAAGAAGCAAACTCTGTTTTCTGCTTGTTCCCACCGCTTTCCGGTGTCTGGTCCCACCGGTTAACATTCCAAGATCTACATATTCAAACATATGCAATGATTACATATTTGGCAGCTTCAACATATCTAGATCTCTGTTTTTGGCTGCCATCACAGAGATTATGTCAATGCCTGCAACTTCCAATTAATTTCCCCATACCTGCACACAGGACTCAAAATAGCATGACAAGACAGTCTTGAAGACACCCATGCAGCAAGGTTTGCAAACAGAAAGTACAAGTACATGAAATATGCATCTCCGGAGATCCATAGTGCTCCTGTCCACAACCTACCGTAATCATCTGCCCTATACTACTTGTGATACCAGGCATAAGAATCTGCATACTCACATATGACAATCTGCTTAATCACTAATAGGGGAATAATGCCAGACAAACACGTGTGGCATTGCCATTCCTTCAACATGATACTTGTAGACACCAGCGGACAGCAACAGTCCCTGGCTGAAGCGTGGAAAATTCTTTTTTGTTGAGTTCAAAGAAACAGTGTCAAGTTCAAGTGGCTTAAGGGCACTTCGATAATCATTGAAATAAAATTAGAGCATTACAGAAATGTGCCTGAGTCTGCCATCACAGCTCATCTTGTTGGGGCAAGACGGGTCTCCCAAAAGAAGGATCCCTTGATATACCCCTTGGTATGCACTTCTGGTCCTGTTCACCCATTGTCACGCCTTTCTCCTCATTTCTATATCTGACACCCCGCAACTTCTGCAACCATCTCTTCTGATGTGCTGCTTGATAAGATCACCAGTGCCTCTGTGAGCAGGTGTGCTGGCTTCAAATATTGGACACAATGAAGGCGGCGGCAAGCATGGTTGGCCAGATCACCCAGCCAAGGATGAGGCGAGCCCACAGCGTGCACCCGGCTATGAACACCAGGGCGCTGCCGGTGGCTGCCATCCACTGCCCAAACGCCAGCACAACGTTCATGATCTCCGGCTGCAGCCGCGGCTTCTGTATCCTGAAGCGCTTGCCGCACATCACCTGCACGGCACAGCAGTGTGCACGTCAGTCTCTTCCACCACAAAACCCCTGTCACTGATCCAACCAGGTCATGCGTGACATTCCAAATTCTTGTCCAGCATGGTGGGGTAGATCAGACACGTGTCAACCACCTTGCTGCACTTACATACAGGCAACCGCTGTCTGACTGACAGGACAGGGCTTGCAGCAGCTGGGATCGCAGAAACAGGCAAGAATTGGCGAAAGAATTGATTTAATTGCTCTGCCGCACCTCCTCTATGCGGTTAAACTCGTCCTGCCAGGTGGCGTCTTTCCTGCTGGGAGGTGTGTGCCCGCCCTTGACCCGCTCATGGCACAGCTTCAGCCACGCCTCCAGCTCCTTGCCCTCCGCGCTGAACCCCGACTGCGCCCAATGACACCCACTTTGCCATCTTGCTGCTCTAACACTCCCTCGCGCTCAGATCAGCATCAAGCCTAGGGCGTTCTCAAGGCGTTCAAGCAAAAGAGGAGGCAGGCATGGAAGACAGAGTGACAGCGCCAATGCAGCGTGAAAGAGGTGCATCGCAGGTCTTAACGAGTGCTTAACAGTGTGAGCAAAGTGTTCTGTGATGGCAGGCAGGCAGCAGCGGCACACCTGAGCGCCCCTGTACATCTCCAGGCGAGTGCCGCTCTCCCCATAGACAACCTTTGGGGTGCATCCGCGGCCGGGCAGCGCCTGCACCACGCGCACGCGCTGCAGCCACTGCCCCGCGCGCGCAGCGCACGACAGCAGCCCCTCTGCAAACGCGCTGCTCGCCTTGAAATCCCCCGTATTCAGCTCGATTTCCTGCCGGCAAAAGCATGCAGGGGCTAAGAACCCAAACACATCATCCCTTGGCCTTTCATGATTGAGGGTGCATCTACTCATAGCACACACAAGCAGCGGAATGAATCCGGATTTGAAACAGATGATTGCATCCTGCTGATCTCTGAATGTGAGAAGCAGGTGGTGTTGTGAGGCGCTGCTCACCTGCCAATACTCTGGCTTGTACAGGGCTGTCTTCCATCTCCGGCAGACTGCTGCAAGCCTGCACCTCTCCTTGGTGCCTGCTGCCGTGTGTAGCTCAGCGCTCCTGAATATGAGGTGCAGGATGTCCTCTGGCAGAGTCTCCAGTGAAGCATACTCCTGCGCCTTGGTGCCTGCCCATGGAGGAAAGATCGTCAAGATTCTGTCCTCTATCAGATGCAGCATACAAATAGGTCACAACATGAAAAGGCAGGGTCTGGACTGGACACACCGACCGATGATAAAGTGTGCTGTCACAAAGACTGTGCTACATGGCGTGCAAGTCAAAGTTGGGGTCCCCACCTGATAACATCCTTGTCAGCCTTGTCACCACTTCCGGTCTGCAAGACTCCACCTGAAAGGACAGGAAAGAAACTTGTCACACGGCTGGTGGACTTTCAAAGCCCCACGACTATTCAATTACCCCGGCATCTTCAAGCTCGAGACTAACATTCTGGGGCTGCTTTGATCGTCCAGGCCTGCTAAATCGAGAACAATTAGCTACGATGTAGGCCCTCTTTGTGTCGCGCGGGACGAGAAAAGGCTAAGAACCCTGTGGTTCTGGTTCCGAAGTCAAACAGAAAGACGGTCCGGCAAGTGCGATGGAACCCTGACGCGTGCGCAAACAACCCACGATGGAACTCTTGTCATGCCAGGGGATACCAGAGTATCCTGATAGAAGCGAAGACACTCTCGACACTCGAATGCCATTCAACGTCGTTTTGAACGTCAGGCTTTTATATGCTGATGGTGATGACTAGAACGCCATAGCACAACATGAGATGTACACAACCAAATCGGAGCTTAATCAGCCCGGTGCCATTCGCCCACCTCTTTGTCCTTCCACAACCAGTGCACGACTTCCCTACATGCCTTTGAAAGTCAGGGTGTGATAAAGCCTCTTACCCATGTGCTAGTGACACTGATGAGTATCTTCCGATCGGGGTATCCCTTCATGGCCTTTGTGGTTGCAGCAGGCGCTGGTCCTGTGTAGCACATGCTTGAAAGTGTGTGCAACTGCTTCTAGAACTTCCCCAAATCACCACCTCGAGCTTCCTTGCGTTTCTTAGCGGCAATAAAACTATAGATTAGCTGCTTCATACCAATCAAGTGAGCGTTTTCATGATACGCCAGATGATTTTGTCTCGGAAACCTGCAGAAGGCACGATCTCGTCACCGTGCATGACTCAGCAAGACTCAGCGGTAGTCATCAGAGCAATAGTATCCAGGGTCGGCAAAACCATGCTAAGCAGCCCTTGTATTGTTGCTTTCTTGATCTGAAGGGTGCTTATGACAGAGTGAATCGGGTGTTGCTCTGGGAGAGTTTGCGTCGCCTGGGCATTGATGGCCGCCTGCTCTCTGCCATTCAGTCTTTGTATGCCAATTCTACGGTTGCCATGAAGATTGGGAGCAAGAAGGGTCCTAGTTTGCCTTCTGAGACAGGATTGAAGCAGGGTTGCCCCCTTAGCCCCACGCTGTTTGGCTTGTTTGCAGATGGCTTGCACAGGCACTTGCTGCAGAGGTGCCCTGGGGTTGGCCCGCAGTTGCGTACTGGCAGTTGTGTACCAGATCTAGGCTATGCTGATGACTTTGCTTTGCTCGCCACCACACCTGCTCATTTGCAACGCTTGATTGATGCAGCTGCTGAGTTTTGTGAACAAACGGGAATGGTCATAAGTGTTGACAAAACAAAGATTGTGGTGTTCTCTTCCAGTTTGCCAGGACCTTTTCAGTGGCTTTGTGGTGGTGCGCCTTTACATTGGGTTCAGCAGTTTGAGTACCTGGGTGCCCTTTTTGACGGTGTCCAAGGCATTAATCTCACCTTTGGCAAGCTTCACAGGAACATGTGGGGTGCGTGGGCACAGCTCAGGCAGCAATATGGGAAGTTGCATTGCAGCATGTCAGCTGGCCTGTTGTTGCGCCTATATGATGCATGTGTGCCGCCGACTGCCTCCTACGGTTGTGAGGTGTGGGGCCTGCGCAGCCTTCCTGGTGGCGACAGCCGGCGGGGCCGGGCTGCCTTGGCCTCCTCTCACCTGAAAATTCTGAGAGACATTGCTGGCGTCCCCACCTCTGTGCATGGTGCCATCTTGCTTAAGGAGTTAAATCAGCAGACCCTTGATTGTGTGTGGTGGCGGCGCATTATCAAGTTCTGGAACAATTTGGCTGCCTTGCCTGCAAATAATTTTCACAGGCAGGTGGCCCTTGATGATTGTTGGGATGCCATAACCCGTAATGTTAAGAATTGGGCTTGGGCCTTCATGCGGGGCTTGCGCCGGATTGGGTATGAGTTTGTTATTCGGTTTGACACCCTTGTTCCTGTAGAAGTTGCTGCTGTGATGCAGCTGCTCGATGCGCAAGCACTGCAGGTTTGGGATGACATTGACATTTGCCCTAGGACCTGCCCGTCCAGCAATGCCACCTTGTGTACATATCACAGATGGTTTACTAGGCCAGCTTGTGTGCGCCACCCTTGCCAGCTCTTACAGCAGCCTTTGAGTGCCCGTTGCTTGCGTATATTGTTGAAGTTCAGGATGGGTTGTCATAGTCTGCCCAATGTCTCGGGCCGCTGGGCCAGGGTTCCCCGGCCCCAGCGTTTGTGCATGCGTTGTGCCCAGCAGGTTATTGGGGATGAGCGCCACCTTGTGTTTGAGTGCCCTGCCTTGCAATCTGTTCGGGACAGATATCCTGGGCTGTTTGGTGCAGACATTGTGACGATGCAGCAATTCATGTGGCAGTTGGACATTGTTGGTGTTGCACATTTTGTGATGGATTGTTTTGATTATTTGGATGCTGCCAGTTCATCAAATCAGCCCTAGGCGGCTGGGAGTGATGTAATCTTCCTTCCTTCCTTCCTGGGCTTCTGATGCACAAAAGTCACAACACACTACGGCAGCTAGGCATGTGCTGCATGCAGGGCGCTATGCATGTGGGGCCCATTGTGGGGCATGCGGCATGACGAGCCATTTTGTGGGCCATGGTAATCAAAAGCAGTGATCAATGATCATCACATGATGTCGGGATCCGCAGCGCCATACTCTGCCACTTGGAATGGATAACCTCCTGGTAGACCATCTACTAGACGGGCATCCAGCTGCAGCTGATGTACAGGTGCCCATTCTGCAGCGAGCACAGTGATAACGACAAGACGTCTCGTTACAGGCGCGCTAGTGCTGCCAGCCCAGTGGGGCTTTCCGGATTCGAGATGAAGTCTAGACGCCTGTGGGCAGTGCTGGCTGGCATGCTAGGGCTGGCCAGCCTGGCCTGCCACCGTGTGACACTTACAGGCATGGCAGTGCAGACTGGCCGCCACGCTGCAACAAACATCAGAGATTCCCAGAGCCTGATCAGGAACTGGTCCAGCTTTCAGGAATCCTCCCCTAGCAGAGAGACAGTCGGACTGAAATTGATGATCACAGCCCTTTCTCCTACTCTGGCGCTCGCAATGCCTTCACGTCTTGCATTCTCCCTTCTCTTAATTACATCCTGGATCTAGATCTCTATTGTTCAGTGGACAACCAGCATGGTGATTGCATGTGGATGGAAAGATGATATTGCAAAGTTTGAGGTATCCTATAGTTGTGACCAGACCTCATGATCAAGATGTGATGTCTGCACAAGTGCACCTACCTTACAATATACAGGTTTGGACGCTGGTCCGAGAACAATATTGGGTACCCAGCCAGATACTCAGCAGAACAAGTCACAGGCAAAAGTCCCTCTTTCCTGCAGCCCCTCAGTGAGCCAGGGTTGCTTTAGCTGCAGGCATTATCATAGCATTTTGCCCTATTGTGCCCCCGCGCCGCCACCAAGTGTAGCTTGCACACAAAGACACGCATGAACTCAGCACAATCTGTATATGGAGTAACTCCTTGCAATCAAGAATGCCCTTGTGGAACCGCTTATGCGCATGCTTGATCCCAATTGAGCAGCTCTCCTTGGTCAACCAATGGCCCGTAAAAAGGCTCAAGCTCTAAAGCCCGGCGTTGTGGTGTCCGATAGCGAGGCCGGTGGTGAGCAGGCCAAATACCAGGAAGGGCTGCGCGCTGGCCTGGTACTTGACATCGTTCTTGATTGGGTCCGGGATGAAGTACTTGTACTGGAAGAAGATCTGCCACCAGCATGACAAACTCCATCATGACCACCTCTTTCTGCCTGTATTCCTCAAGCAAACTTGTCCCCACATAGGTGAAAAATTGTCAGTGGGTGCTGAGGAACCTCGCATGGCAAGAAAGGAAGCAAAGCAAAGCTTGCCGTGAGGACGGCTCTGGATGACAGGGCTGTGAGATGGGCGCACCTGCGGGAGGATGAGCGCTGTGAGGATGGCGCCATAGAGCGGCTCGTTGAGGCCGAGGAAGAGGTAGGCTGCCACGGCCGCCTGAGTCACATCGATGGTGCCCACAGTGATCCACTTGGCTGTCTCCACTCCAAAGGCAACTGGCAGGGACTCCAGGCCCATTTTCCTGCACGCAGCAGCGAAGAAGCTTGTGTCCCTGATTCGTTGTATGTCTCGCATTTATTTACTTCTTCCCCACATGCATTTACCAAGTAAAAAAGCAGATTGACAGTAGGAGCAGGGAAGGCATACCTGTCGCCCTCAATGGACTTGAAGTCATTCACAATGGCAATGCCGAGGCCAGCTGTGGAGTACAGCATCGTCAGCACGATGACATCCAGTGTCAGGTTGCCGAAGAGAGCCTGCAGGACACGCATCACGTCTTCAGAGGCTTTCAATCACACTATCACCCGGAGTCATCTGTGACACAGATCTACCTCTGCTGAGAGGAGCAGGCTTGCAGAAAGATGACGTTGCAATACCCGAAGCAGGCAGCCAAGACTGCCAGCCTCCGAGCCAACTACACAAAACCTATCCATGGAGTGTTGGCAGTGTATGTACCTGGCCAGCCCACCAGGGCAGCGAGATGTAGGAGGATCCCAGGGCGTAATTGCCGGCCCAACCGCTCTGCTTGAGCTTGAGCGGGGGCGCCGAGTAGATGTAGGAGATGAAGGAGCCGAAGACTGCCAGGTAGAAGAGTGTGGGTGTCTCGTGGCCCACCCACTTGTCCAGCGCGAAGGCTGTGCCCAGGCCGGCCGCCAGCAGCGCCAGAAACTGCACGACCACCTCCGTCTCTGAGATGGCACCTGCACAATTACCAGCACCGCCCTCAGAGATTGTTGAGGCGCCTGTGTCTCTGAGATGACAACTGCATATTTACCAGCACCGGCCTCAGGCAATTTACAAAGGTGCCGTATTCTCTGTGCGCCTTGAGGTTTCATGCTGGGCAGCCAACTCGCATCAATGCTGTGCCTCCTTGCAGCCTGGGGCCTGGCACTCTAACGTAACATTTGCTAAAAATACTTGATGAAACTGACCTGAGGGAATGGGGCGGTTGGGCTCGTTGATGGCATCGATCTCCCTGTCATAGTAATCGTTGATGGTCTGCGTGTAGCCCGTGAGGAAGGGCCCCGACATGGTCATGCACACGAGGGACTGCGCCACATGCTCTGGCGTCCATGTGAAATTGCCTGACGCCGCCGCTCCGCACAGCACACCTGCACCACGCCATCATTACAACTGTTATCATTATTGCACGATTTCCAGTTCCTAACAATCGAGGATCTAGGTACGCCCAGCATTACGTGCTTCCAGCATTATGCTGGACACCAATGTGCAAACTGATCACCTCGTCAAGATCATGTATGCATGCTGGCACTGAAGATGCACTATGGCAGTGATCTGCACGGATGGAGTTCATACGCACCCCAGATCAATGGGACCCATGTGACGGGCTTTGTGAGCTGCAGCCGGATCTTCCACTTGTCTGCTGTCTGCTCTCCGCCCCTGACTCCCAGAAGCTGTGCCACATTGCTCTTGAACACCTCGCCCGTCTCCCCAGTCTTGACCTTCAGCTCCTCGCCGGCTTTGCCAGCTTTGCTCTTCAGATCCTCTGTGGATTGAGCTGCTCGCACGGTGTTGCCTAGGCGCCTCCCTGCAATAATGTGGAATGTGGTGTTTGGACGTGTCACATTAGAAATGCAACTCTGAGATAGCAGCTTTCATAAATTGTTTGATCGCTACTCAGAAGCACAGATCTGCTAAAAAATTTGGCTGTGTGCTGACGAGAGGTGAGGTAAGACACAACGACACTAGCTCAATGAAAAAGAACTTGCCTGGAAGAGTCGATTTTCTTTGTGTAGGAGCAAAAGCAATTTTCCCATGCTGCCTGATACTTCCAGAGTGCACCACGCTTGTCCTTATCTGCCCAGGCAAGTTAACACAAGACGCCATCATTGGATTCGCTGAACAAGAATACTAGAACTTTTTCTTAAAGGGGTTCAAGGCAAAAGCCAGAAAGTGCTTTTCTAAATAGCTAACGTTCTCCTAAGTGCTTTGATTGTGCGTGTGTTCTTCGAATGCTGCGTTGCGATGAGATAGGGCACCATGCCATCTGGCGCCCACGTGGCCATATCTTTCAGCGTTGAGATTTGCAATGCCGAAACTTTTGGTGCCAGAACAAGTGAGTCTGGGCGGAATAGAAGTTGTGGAAGCGTCACAGTGGGCCCTTAGGTGTCCAGAGGCCATGGACCAGACAAAGTTAGGATTCACCAAATTGCCTGCGCATGCCAGTGGCCCAACAGTGGAGTGCAATGCACTCAGTGCATGTGCATGCAGCATCTGGTAATATCAATATTGCAATCGGGCGAAAGTTTCATGCTCATGCATTTATGTCATTGACAAAAGAAAGCCTTCACTGTCTCAATTTTCCCATATTCACAAGTCAATTACACACCCATTTGAAAGATCACGCGCACATGAGCTCTAGAATAATGTTTCCAAAAACGAGCCAGCTCGCTTCAGCGTACGAAACCCAATTGCAGTACAGAGCAGTCCATCGGATCATAGTATAACAATCAGACCCACCGAACCGGTCACCTCCAGCAACAAGTTATGATACAGAATGTTCCACACTCTCATCTCCCCAGCACACAACTGCCCCTGCCCCTGCATTATTTCACTTCAAATCTTTAAGCAACGCACACAGGGGATTGCCACGAGGACATTAGGCGACGTCCCTCTCTAACGCTATTTAAGAGTTTGGCACCGCCTGGTAGGGCACAGTCACCGAGGGCTCATCAGCCTTCAGGTAGTTCTCTGCCTGTGACTCCAGGATGAGGCGGAGGAATTCATCGCCGTCGATCTGTTCCCGCTCCAGCAGCACCTCAGCTGTCTTGTGCAGCACCGTGATGTTGCTCTGCATCAGGTCCTTTGCACGCCTGCAGCAGCAAACTCAGCTCCCTCAAAAACTCCCCCAGAAACATTGAGGTCTCACCACCTATCCAATAGATGACATCGTGAGGAAGCACATCCAATAGAGTACACTGAGGTCTTATCGCCTCACATCCAACGGATGACATTGAGAGGCAACAATTCCCGCAAAAACCGCTACAAAAGAGTGGAGGGGCAGAGCAGACATGATAATACCACAGTGGGAACAGGCCACTTGAGGGCGACAGAAGAGAGGCTTCACTCAGGAAAGCAAATGGAGAAGAAGTCATTCAGGCCCACCTGTAGGCGCGGTCTACGAGCTGCTTGACCTCGGCGTCGATCTCGTCGCTGGTCTGGCCAGAGCAGTCGGCGGGCTGCCCCATGGACTGGCCCAAGAAGGAGGGGCCGCCGCCGCCGCTCCACGCCACCTGCCCCAGCTTCTTGCTGAAGCCCATCTGCGTCACCATCATCTTCGCTGTGCGCGCCACCTGTCACAACACATCCAGTACATTGAGGACAGATGACAGCGACAGTGACAGATCTTGTCAGAGTGTGATGTCAAACGCACTCCAGAAAGAAGGCAGATCAGAACATCAACAACACCGCAAGTCTGCGAGCTGGAAATGAAGGGGAGATGCGGACCTGCATGAAGTCATTGGAGGCGCCGGTGGTCACATTGTCCTCGCCGAAGATGATCTCCTCAGCAATGCGGCCGCCCAGAGCCACCGCCATCTGGTTCTCCAGGTAGCTCCGGCTGCATAGAGAGCAATAAATTCAAGACGCCATCCACAGCAGAAAATTCAAGACGTCATCCAAATGCACATCATCATGTACGTCACAGGAACAGCGCTGCAATGCAGCTGTGGAAGGAGTCAAGGTGCGGGGGCTGCTGGGCATGATAAACAAAGAGGGTAAAGACCACACCTGTAGAGGCCGGACTCCAGGCGCTCCTCAGAGGGCGCGAAGAAGGTGAGGCCGCCTGCAGAGCCGCGTGGCACGATGCTGATCTTGGCGACTGGGTCGTACTCCGGCATGAGCGCGCCCACCAGTGCGTGGCCAGCCTGTCAAGAGTCACAACTGCGCCTTCAGCACTAGCTTCCTTCACACAACGGGCGCAACTGCAATCATACTACAATTGCTTGCATATACAACATTGCCGATACGGTACAAAATTATTGATAATCATGCATGAGGAATGATACACCTGAAAACCTGCTAACATGCATGGTGGCACCTGGCCACCATTAGACTACAGACCCACAACGCCGCAATCTCCAAAATCCACGTTAAGAGAAGGGCACACACCTCGTGGTAGGCGACGAGGCGCTTCTTGGCCTCGGTCATGACGGCGCCCTTCTTCTCGGGGCCAGCAACGATGCGCTCCAGGGCGTCGCTGATCTCCTCCTTGCTGATCTCCTTCAGGTTGCGCCGCGCCGCCAGTATGGCCGCCTCGTTCATCAGGTTCTGCAGGTCTGCTCCAGTGAAGCCTGCACGAACAAATACAATATAACCTCATCAGCACAAACCAAACTAAAGAATACACATGCACCCTCTAGTACAAACAATATGCAGCATCAGCAAGCTATAAATGCCCAACACAATCTTCAGACAAGGCGCCACATGCTGGGAGCTCCAGTGAGAGTCACACGCTGTAAAATGCAAAGAAGTGCGTGCTCACCTGGTGTGCGGCGGGCGACCTTGTCGAAGTCGACGTCCTTGCCGATCTGCTTGCCGCGCGAGTGCACCTTCAGGATCTGCACGCGCCCCGAGATGTCCGGCCGGTCCACTGTCACCTGCCTGTCAAACCGCCCCGGCCGCAGCAGAGCGCTGTCCAGCACCTGTCCCCAATACAACTTTATCAGTCCACATGTCCACCACAGATATGGCAATCCAGAATGACAACATGGCACCGTTTACTTGCCATCTCAACTGTCAATGCAGGAGCATCTTCGCAGCTCAAAGCAACTCTGTATGATGGTGGACAGCATCCCCTCTGAAAATTCAGCTTTAATAGCAATGCTCTCATCATTTCTCCAGATCAGATGCGATCATCCAGAGAACATTATAACAAAACGGTGGGGGCCAACTCACGTCAGGCCTGTTGGTGGCGGCCAGCACGATGACGCCGGTGTTGCCCTCAAAGCCGTCCATCTCTGTGAGCAGCTGGTTGATGGTCTGCTCGCGCTCGTCGTTGCCACCGCCCATGCCGGCGCCACGCTGGCGGCCAACCGCGTCGATCTCATCGATGAACACGATGCACGGCGCCTTGGCCTTGGCCTGCACAGCAAGCTCGTACATAAGTTCAGCACATCCCTGTTGATTTGGCTCTTTAAAGAAGGATCTGAGGAAATACCATGATATCACTATAAAGTATGACTGGGCACCAATTCTAGCATGAAAGAAACAGCTTATACTGCATTCCCACCGTCAAGTATAGACTTCAACAGAAGATCTGATTCCCCTCTTGCTTGACGAGACAATGGCTATATATTTGTTTCCAGGTACACCGAGAAAGTCCTATCAACGGCTATGTATTTGTTTTCCAGGTACACCGAGAAAGTCCTATCAACGACAAGGATGAGGAATAAACAGGATATGAAAGCGCACCTTCTCGAACAGGTCGCGGACACGGGAAGCACCCACGCCCACGAACAGCTCCACGAACTCAGAAGCTGCGCAGGAGAAGAAAGGAACTCCCGCCTCTCCTGCAATGGCCTTGGCCAGCAGCGTCTTTCCGGTGCCGGGTGGGCCCACCAGCAGGCATCCCTGCGCAGCGCCATCAGCTTATCAGATACAGTGCCTAGTTTGCATGCATACTGTGATGAGAGAAAGAGGAAAAATTATGTAGAGATGTGGTCAGGGTGAAGCTAAGGAAGAAGACCTTGGGGATCTTGGCTCCCAGGGCTGTGTACTTGTCGGGATTCTTCAGGAAGTCCACAACCTCCTGCAGCTCCAGCTTGGCTCCATCCACTCCCTGCAAGCACCATGTCCCACACTCAGCGCTCCATTAACAAAAGTCAACGCACCAAATGTCTTGAGTAAAGCTACAGACCTGCTGAAGCAACACTTTCCATGCAAGGAGGAGGAATCAGAGGAGGACAAGGTGCACTGGAGTGTGGACGGAGGCGCTCACCGCAACATCATCGAAGGTGATGCCGGTCTCTGGAACCTCCTGGAACTTGGACTTGTTGCGCGCAAAGTCCATCGGGCCTCCCATCGGACCCATGCCGCCGCCGGCGCCACCACTGCCTCCAGCTCTTCTGCACATGGCAAATAAATCTTTAGCACTACTGACACACTCTACGCAGCACTGGTACACAAAATGATCACATGTAAGCATTGGAAGTGCATACATCACTTCATTGTACCAATGTAAGCGGCACTGCAATGTGCGCTTTAGTAGCCAGCCGCACCTGAAGAGGAAGAAGAGGCCACCGAAGGCAATGAGAGGGAACAGGAGGTTGCCGAGCAGGGAAACGTAGTTGCCCTGCTGGTCACCCTCTGAGACAGAGATGTCCACTCCATTCTTGGCCAAGATGTCAACCAGCTCAGGATCATTCGGCAGCACCACGAATGCGCGGCGTCCGTCCACAGCTGTCAGCTGCAAATACAGACACTCATATGTTGAGATTTTTCCACAAGCTAATCATGGAGACACTGCATCTTACAGCTTAAAAGGACAAGAGCCCAGCAATTCAACATGCTCTGTGGCCAACCTGCAGTCCTGGGAGACAGCAAAAGCATGCATGAGAGCACAATGAAGCAAGAAAGTAGTTTTGCTGGAAGGCAGTGACAGATGACTGACCTGCAGCTGGCCACCCTCCTTGCTGAAGCGCACGCGCTCGACCTTGCCGTTCTGCACAGCATTGATGAACTCGCTGTATCTCCACTGGTTGCCCTCGGGCAGCTGGTAGTCACCGCTCTTGACAGAGGGTGCCACAGCGGTGCTGCCAGATGGAAATTGCAGGGACTGCTGAGACTCCTTCACGGTCTCTGTGGCGCTGTTGCCGGATGGAGGCGTGTAGTACTCGGCAGCGTTGGCCACGTTAGCAGATGTAACAGACAGCGTGCCAATCAACGCTGCCAAAGCTGCAGCTGGCACCTTCTGTGCAAGCTCGGCAGCGAGACTCTCGCTCTGCAATTCAAGCAAGCGAGCATTCAAATCATCATAAGCATCCACAAAACTTTGTCTCATGCAGGACTACTTCGCATGCCCACACTTTACAGTAGTGACGTGATACAGGCTCACAGATGACCTGTCCATACACAAAAGGAAAGTCATAGAACTATATCCGCCGTGCGTCACCTGCTTCTTAGCGCTTGCACATACTGGCAATGACTTTTTGTGGCTCCTCGGAACGCCAAGGATCTGCGAGCGAAGACGGTCCGCGTTGCGAGCTTGGAATCGACGAGCTGATCGGCTAGCGAGCCCAGCCTGCGATGCCGACAGGCCGATAGAAGCCTGCATACTTGTGGTCTGAATTGCAGTTCTTGCAGGAATATCACTTCAGTTACGAAGTTTCACTAGTGGGATGAAGTTAAGTGGCATGTCCTGTGCAAATCCTGAAGAACAGCGGAACCAGTGGTCGCATCGCGCTGTCGTGGCCGATCCTGTCGATATTCAAATTCCCTCTCTTTAAGGGTCTGCACCCTACATGTAGGGCAGAGGTGATTGAATGCACGCACCGACAATTCAAGAAAAACTGTGCAAATGGCGAAGGGTGCAGCTCAATAAACTGTTTTATTGGTACATTCTTGGCCATCAAGGTGCTCAAAAGAGCGGTTCGAACAGGCCTGGTTTGTGGAGGTGCACAACGCCAGCTTCCAACCTGTAATAAGTTGGGGCAATGCAAGATCTGCATGCATAGGTCCTTTGGTTGAGCACTTGCAGCCAATGACTAATTTTCATCGACATCTATTGTTGCAAGATTAGTTCGAACGGACAGAAGCCCGACCATCTGAGCACAAAGACATGAATTTTACATTTTTAGTATGGTTGCTGGCGTTCTTCATACAATTGGCGTTGTTGGGAATGTCCATGTATGGGGTGAGCAACCCCTTCATCCTCTCCTCTTCTTCCCTTTTGTTCCATGAAAGGGTGATCTGAGGGTGATCCGACTCCCTTGCAGCACCAAGCGCGTTATCTGATGTATACCATTGTTTATTGCCGCAGCTTATCATCCTTTCAGACCTGGAAAACGACTTCATCAATCCTCACGACTCCTCTGCCAGCCTCAACACCTGGGTGGTGCGCCCTGGCTGCCAATGCTTCACAAGCGCCCAGGCCAAGTTTTGCCTGCTTTGGCTGTGCAGATCGTTCCATGCGCGCAATGTTTCTCCATCATCTTGCCAGACTCAAGGCTTGCCTTGGCGTGCAGATGCCGGAATATATAGCCCAGGGAGTGCTCACAGCAATCCTGCTTCTCACTGGGAAGTGGGTGTCGGGGCTGGTCATGCTGTGCCTCTTGGCATGGAATGTGCGCACCTACCTGCGCAATGAGCACAAGGTGGACGTGACCGAGGTGTTCAGGCAGATACCGCGGGAGAAGAACATCCGCATCATCAAGCTCATCTTCTACCTTGTGGGCTTTGTGTACTTCATCTACAGGTGAGTGATTGCATGCGGTAATCTGTAGCTGGTGATGTGCTCTGTCTCAACTGCAATTACAACACTGTGGAGATGCAGTGCTTGATTGCATGGCATGGGATGATGTATCAGTTGGGGGCTTGTCATTAAAGCAGCACATGATTTAATGAAGAGTGTGGGTGGGCAGAGTTGTGCACACGGCTGTAACTTCCTTTTTGACGCCCGAGTCTCGGGAGGCTGCTCATAAGTTGTTTCAGGATGCTGCTGCCACCATGTGATTGCTCTGGATGGCCCAGGGATCATTGCAGGTAGACCCTGCTTGGCACAGGCTTGCAGATGTCAGGCTAGGAGCAGACCTTGCTGGCATCTGCGTTATGCTCATTTTGGAAGGCTTGCCTTTGGGTGCTTGACCATGAATTGGTTTTTTGGCTGCAGGTTGATCATTACCCTGGTGGAGTACTTTGACCATGCGTACCCACCAATCCAAAAGCCATGGGAACACGAAGCGTGATGGTCAATGTTTGTGACAGCACAGAGTCACGTGTGCACACGCCTGGCGATTGTACATTAGAAGGACCATTGCAGCGGTAGATGATGAAGGAACCTAATACAAGTTGGGGTACCCCAGTACATGTTTTATGTACCCCAAATGTTGGGCCCCACCCGCGCATCACTGGAAACAAGAGGGTTGGGGTCAAGTTGATGTATCTTCAACATGTCAACAAGACACGTGGCTGGACTAACGAAAGATTGATTGAGGAGGATCCAATTGCCGGATCTGTAAGAAGGCAGCTTCAGAAATGCTGAAGATTAGCTGCTTGCATTGTAAGGAAATATGCATTGCGTTTTGCACCAGTTGCACAAACAAGCGTAGGAATCCTTGCAGGCATTGACTAACAGGTCAACAAACATCTTGTCATCTTTGCTGTATCAAACAGAGGGCTCGTTGGTTTCTAAACTCTTCCAACCACTACATTGACATCCAAAGTGCATGCGGGATTCCATGATCACTCTTGCTTCATTTTGTCATCTACAGTCAACCCCACTGCCACCATTGAATCCTTTATGGCAGCCTGCAAACACAGCAACCTCGCTGTTACTTGATACGAATGGAAAGCAGCTGCAAGCAAGGACACCTGTGCAATACTACGCGGCCTTTCCTGCAAAATAGATACCTCACCTTCAGCTCCTCCAAGTCCAACAAGAATTCCCCTGCGTTGGAAATGTCATGCTTTCGCAGGACTGTCAAGCGCTCAGCCTCATTGGCTGCTGTCAGCGCATCCTCAAAATCACCGCCAGCATGCAGTGACAGGCCAAGCAAGTACCACACATCCGGCACTGAGTCATCCTCGGCAATTAGGCCCTCCAACACCTGAAACAAAAAGCACGCCATTTGGTGTCATACCCATCACTGTGCTCCTTGAACCTTCACTGTGCTCCTTGTACCTTGTTCACTCTCAATACTTATCACTCGTAGCATGCCCTGTCCTGCTGTGCAGACTAAAAAGGGGCCCCCAAAAAGGTAGACATTGTGGTGACATGGAAAGGCAGGAGCAAAGAGCATGCCTTGGTGGCCGCGTGCGTCTTGTCGTCTAGCTCAATGAGCAGCTTGGCTGTCTCAAAACGGAATTCAAATGTGGGCAGCTCATCATCATCGTAGTCATCCTCCTCTTCACTGCTGTCAATGTCCTCATTAAGCTCAGGCTCAGATGTTCCCTGCTCTCCGCTTGTGCCCACCCCTGCATCCTCCTGCTCCATTTCTTTTGCAGATGCTTCTCCTTCATCTGCAGTCAGCACTGAGAACATGTCAACAGGAGAAATTACAACGCAAAAACTAGGCTCTCCACACCCATAAATATGCCCACGCTTCATTGAGATCATATATAAGGCACCTGCATCCTCCTCTGACTCACTGCCGTCTTCAAGGAGCAGATCGGGGCACCAGGTGCTGATGGATTGCCTCAAGCAGTGCAGAGCCTCTTCCGGCCGGCCCTGCTCCACCCTCAGACTTGCCAATGCCTGCGAAAATTACTTGACAGTCGCAAAACTGCTCATCTACCAAGAGCACAAACATCGGCATCCTTGTAAGATGCATCTATGGCATGTGAATGAAAATGCTATCAAAAGTGGCTGACCTGCATGGGCTCTGGGCTGGTCGGATCTGCTTGTGCAGCTCGCAGCAAAAGTGCCTCACACTCTTCTGCCACATCTGACACCTCATTGGCCTGCCCCATGTGCGTCTCTGCCAGGGTGCACAGTGCGCTGGACAGCCGAGCTTGCAACTCCTCCTCATCCTCTTCCCCCTCATTCATTTCCTGTGTAACCCACAGAACGTTTGATTGTGAGTGTAAGGATGTCTGCCCCTTTATCCTGCCTCTGATGGTTTCAAGTAGCCATGCACGCCGCAAGACAGCTGTTTCTACCTTTTTGGCGTTCGCACTGCCTTGCATGTCTTGCGTCTCTCTTCTCTTCCAGTCCTTTTCAATCAGCATGGATGTCACTCTGCTACATGTGGGGCCTTTGGGAACATGTACCTGGCTGTCTATGGTGGACTGCAGCACTGATACTCCCTTCTGCAGGGCAGCCAGGGCTTCTTCGCCATCCAGCAGCTGTCCAAGGTACCTGCATGGCGACCAGCAAGGTCGGTTTTTCCCGCTGCCTGCATGTGAATGACCAGACATGCTGATGCATCAGCAGGACCTCAGGGTAAAGAAACAGGTAGATAAAGACGTACATGTACTTTGAGAAGCCCTTCTCTGGCTGCAATTCCACAGCTCGTCGTAGCACTGTGATGGCGTCCTCCTGTTGGCCCGTCTCTGCTAGTACTGAGCCCAGCGCATCTAGATACTCCACATTCTGTGATCGTGCCAGCCCCTTCAGTGGCTGCCTTAATGGCAGGAGCCTTAATAGGAGCACAAGCGGCCGCAGCATACCTCTGGATCCAACTCAGAGGCCCTTCGAAAGTGCCTGACTGCCTCTTTGAACTTGTCAGAATGAAGGGCAACCTGAGCTGCTTCAAAATGCTGCTCCGCACTCAGATCCTGCCGGCAGCGAAAATGATTATTGTTACATTTGATGTACAGTGTTAGTGACTGTGAGTTGCAAAAAAATTTGCTCAGAAAGGGATGTGACACACTTCCGTCACTTGTTTTGCCTTCTTGACGCGAGAGCCTTTCGTCTTTAGGCCCCTTCCACTTTGTGCTTTAACGAGAGGCGCCATAATCTTTTGAAGTAGATGGGATCGCGATCTCCTGCTGGAAAATAGCCAAGGCTAGTACGGGAAAACTATAGTGCAGGAAACTTGGAGTGCAGTAAAGATCGATCTCACAAAACGCACACTTTATCAACAAAATAAACAAGTCTTTCGAAGAGCTTGTCTGCACGTTATGAATTTAGGAGTCGCGAAAAATTTGCAAGTGCTGTCGGCCCTCCAAAACTTCGCCTCCCTTAATATTACCCTCACATTCGAAGGCCCAGTCATGTAGGGTTCTCCAGTCAAAAGCATTTTGCGGAAAGTTCAAGGACCAATGCCAAATGAAAGTATGTCCGACAACAGAGAATCCTGGATGTAGCTTTCGTACTTGGTGAAACGTTTCAATGACCAGTTGCAGGAGATATTGACATCAGGGGCCATGGCACCATATCGTTGTTAAATTCTCTGGCATGACCGTTCGAGGTGAACTTGGACATGCTGCTTCGCAATCCTAATTTCTTGTTATCGTCGATATAATCTCGTATTTTAGAAGCGCAATCATGCATTGCTTTGGCGTAAGGGCTTGACTTGTAAACAGAGAGGTGCTTACTCTGCATTGACAGCTTGGCACAGCAATTTGGCTGTTTCACTGTCTTTGGTCAAGCGTATACTTTCAGAATAGATGCAGCTTAGATATTCTTTTTAGACGCACACCCGCCACTATCCATGTAGTCAGCAGCAATAAGATGGATTCCCATCACGCGCTTCTCAAAGTTTGGGCGTGCCTAAATCTAGCGAACGAGCGTTGCATATTCTCTTGTTTGGCAGTCATATGATTGACATGGTGGGTGTTCGCAGACTGAAAGGGCGTTTTCATTTGAAAGGGCTTCACGATGGCACCCCGTACAAGGAAAATGTCTATGAGCCAGGTGACCTTTGCTCCGGCCGTAGTAAGCGGCGGGGAGCTCAGCAGAAAAGAGTACGTGGAACGAAGAGATGCAGCCACGGCTTTTGAGCTGGCCAAGTAAGTTCCGTAGCGCTCTTCCTCGTGGTTTGTTTGCAGCTTGAACAGATGTTTGCTTCTCTTTATGGATTGAGAACTGGCGTGCCCCATGCAGGCTCCAGTCCAGTCCAGAGTTCAAACAATGGGAGTCCGGGAAACGAAGGAGGGGCACCCACAAGGTGCTCTCCTGGCAGGGGCTTCTTGGCCTTTGCACCCTGCTGCTGCTCGGCAGCGCCGGTTTCTTGCTGCTGCAAGTTGCACCTGCATTGTCCCATTCTGGCGGCCTGCACATCCCTGCGGCCATCACAAGGACATTCAGCAGCCTGACCCCTCATCAGGACACTGCCTCAACCACCACTGCAACCCAGGAGCCCACCGCCCGGCAGCTGGAAGTTGAGAGGACCTTGGCAGAGCGCCGTGGCAAGCAGGTGCCTTCTCCCATGCCAATTCCCCGCACCCACATAAGCTACCTCTTCTTCAACAGCTGATCGTGGTGCCTGCATCCTTGCATTGAAGGCAACTCCAATGGCTCTTCATGACTGTGCAGGTGGAGCAGCTAACAGCAGAGGTCGCGCGGCTGAGGGCCGAGGGCGAGACAGCCTCCACGGCGCAAATGGAGCTCCGGGGGGAGCTGGCGCAGAGGGACGAGCGCATGCGCACGCTTCTCGCCGAGCGCGAAGCCGACGGCGGCCGGGCGCGCGCCGAGGCAGCGCAGCAGCGGGAGGCGTCGGAGAGGGCCGCCGCCGCAGCCGATGTGCTGGAGGAGCAGCTGCGGCGCGAGCTGAAGGCGCTGGGTGCGCGGCTGGAGCGCGCGGAGGAGGTGAACCCGCCGCCGTCGGTGGTGTCGGCCAGCGGCCTGGCGATCACGATCCTGGCGCTGCTGGCCACGTCCGCGCTGGCGTTCTGGATCTCCGCGGCCAAGTCTGCGCGCGACCAGGTGCAGGAGCTGGAGGAGCTGCGCCTGCAGACTGAGGAGCAGGAGGTGCGCTCTGTCTCTGTTCTTTTAAATTCAAAACACCTGGTGGAGTGTGCTCGTAATATCTTCACAGTTTGGGGATGGTACTGGCCAAAGAAAAGGAGAGGGTGGGAGAGACGTGCCACAGGACTCAGAAGATCACACACACAGCTTTGGTACTCTCACAGGAGACATCCTCACGCGTGCATTTGTCCTGTTCGGATGACCTTTGGGCCTGAGTTGCTCTGCCCGCTGCAGGTCTTTCTAATGTGAGTTATGGGGTTTGCACAGCACCTGAGGCATGGATTTGATGTGAGTGCAGAGGAGGCACAGGGAGGAGAAGAGCATGATCGGGCGCCTGCAGAACGAGCTGGTGGCAGCCAACGCGGAGCGCTCCAGGCAGTACCAGGAGCTGGCGGCGACAAAGCGCCAGCTCGAGCGTGCAGAGAGTCAGGTACTTTCATAGCAGAACTATTCACCGGGCCCCTCACCCCCTGCTGAGGTATGCAAAGAAGTTCCTAGTGAACCCCCATATCCTGGTGACGCATGCATGCAGACAGGAGACTCAAACTTTTGTACCTGCACATTGCTATGCGACTCTGATTTAACATAGCTATGTTGTGGTTAGATGGCGGTGCTGGGCAGCAAGGTGGAGGAGCGGGACTCACGGCTGTCAGAGCAGAAGGACTGCTTTGACGAGCTCGACAGGAACTACATGGCCACCAAGGCAGAGAAGGACAACATGGACTCAGAAAAGGTTCATCCTCCCCCTGAAATATCTTCCTTTGCAGCGCGTTTGCTATGCTTTAGATCAAGTCCATGCATGGCAGGTCTTGTGTCATTGGTAGACTCACAATGTGCATCTTCACAATGGCAAGTTGGAGAGAATGGAATATTGAAAGTACTCAGTTGGTACCTCAACGCAAGCGTGATCAGGATAGGATAGGTGTTGGTGTGACTCACACAAATCATGTGGTGACAGAGGCGATTGGAGGACAAGGTGACAGAGCTGGAGGATCGCAACCGCGAGCTGGAAGCAGGGGTGGCTGCGGCTGCGCTGGAGTCTCAGGCCTGCCCGTCTGACACCACGCCGCAGAGGCATGCGCCGCCCAGGGCGCGGGGCACTGACAAGGAGAACACTGGTAGCTCCCAGATGAACGCCAGGAGGGCCGTCAAGGTAGCTTTTTTTTTTTCAATCAGCTCACATTGCATCGCACTTTGCTAAGATAATTTGCACACTTCTGCTGAACGCAAAGAATGCAGCTCTACTCCCAATGGCACTGGGCAGGTTTTGAAAGCTTGGCTGTTCGCCACAGGTGCCATTGGATGTGGTGCTGGCAGAGAATTCCGCCTTCCGCCAACAGCTGGAAGCCTTCAAGAGGCGAGAACAGGAACTGACAACGCAGGTAAGATAATACTTGTGGAATTGTTATTTCAAGGATTGACATCGTGAAATAGCTGGTTGGCACATTATGCTGGACAAGCCTTGACCAGCAACTTGCTGTTGGCAGGTGGCCAAGCACGAAGAGGCAGAAGAGAGCTTGAAGAAGCAGATCCTGGAACTGCATGCAGCCCTGAGCAGCAAGGCTGAGGATGCTGCAGCCTCAGAGCAGCTGGCTTCTCAGCTCACCCAGCTGGAGCTGCAACTGCAGGTCTGCCTCACTGGGCGGCGCTGGTGAAAAGAACGAGTGTAATTGTCACTCTGCTTTGCTGCGTTTTGACTGTGCCATAAACAGTCATAAATATTCAACGCGTTGTCTGGATGTGTTGCAGGAGGCAATGGCAGCTGGGCAGGTGGCAGAGGAGGATTGGAAGTTGGAGATCTCTGAGATGCAGGACAAGCTGGAGGTTGAAATCACCACCACCACTGAGCTGCTGAACGAGGCCGCCATAGAAAAGACCATCACAGAGCAGAAGTGCGCTGTCACCTGGTCACAATACTTCCAGGCTCTGTACTTGTGCATGTTCTAAATGCACCCGTGAATTGGATAGATCGTACTAATCCATCACATATATCTGCGCCTGCAAGATTGACTGCAGGATGGTTTGAACTGGGGTTGTTGAAGGAGTGAGCTGCTTCAGATGAGCGCTGATGGGTGACTGTGTGGCTGCCTGCAGCTTGACGGACATGGTGACGAAGGCACAGATGCTCCAGGAGCAGCGCGACATGCTGGTGCTGCAGCTCTCCCTGGCCGAGGAGGAAAAGGTGGAGGCCACGCAGGCCGCCGCGATCGCCAGCGCCGAAGCGCAGATGCAGAACAAGCTTTATGCAATGCTCGAGGTGTGCTCTCACTGTGTGTACACCGAAAACCTTCAAATCGGAAGGCCAACATAGCCCCACCCATCTCAGCAAGGCTTTGTTGCGTCCAGAACTGGATCGCAGGCGTGGAATTTTGTCAAATGTGTCAGGAGTCTTGCCATCATTTGCATGATCATGGAGGTGGGGCGCTTGGCAGAATTGAGGGTTGGTCGCATCTGTGCAGCAGGTGGTGTATGAACGTTTGTGCATGCATGTACAGGAGGAGCTGAAAATGGAGGAGTCCAATGGGCAGGCGGTGATCGGGGATTTCAAGGAGGCATGCAGCCAGGTGCATGGCCTGCTCCTGAGGCTCACACAACGGCTGCGCTACGAGGATGCTGAAGTGGAAGTGGACCGCAAGCAGGCCCAGGTATGTGTGTTGTTCTCAAATTTTCAGTACTGCAATTAATGCTGGTTGCTTCTGCCAAATGCATCCTAATGGGCACGCAGTCTTCTGCAAGGACTATTGAAGCCTTGTGCT